CGTCCATGTACGACGTGAGGTACTTGTGACGACCGTCGTCTGTGTGTGAGGAGAACATGTCAGTCCTTGAGCCCTGCAGGAAGAGAGGGTGCGAGAGGAGGACGCACGCTGAGGCGGTCGAACAGGAGGTCGCCGACCGTCTTGGGCTCCTTCTTGAACAGCTTGAGGTTCTTGAAGACCTGCTCGTCGACCTCGACCTCGTTGACGTACCGGATCGAGTCCTTGCCGAGGAAGTCGAACGTGACCTTGTTGGGCGGCGTGAGCGTGACGTGCTCGAACCGGAGCGAGCAGCACCCGACCGTGTCGGCCTCGTCCTCGCCCTTCTCGTTGCCGGCACGGAGCGCAAAGCGGTCGATGAGGTACATGGCGACGGCCCGCTGACGGGTCGCCATCTCTTTCGATTTGAGGTCGGCCCAGCCTTTCCCGCGGATGCGGTGCATACTCTCCCTCAAAAGTGGGCAGGCAGTAAGGAGGGAGGGGTGCGCACGGCAATGTCAGTCTCCAGTCGAGGTGGGCGAGGGAAGAAAGAGGGAGAGGGGCGAGGTTTCGCGACCGGGGTCGGCCGCGATGTGGTAGAGGGGGGCGAGGCGATGGGGTGCGTTGCGGAGGAGGGGGGGGCGGGCGTCGGGGCGGGTGCTGGCGAGGCGCCGGGAGGAGGAGGGAGGGAAGAAGGTCCCGCGCCCGAGATGGTCGCTGCTCCCTCGCCCGCCACCTCTTCCTCGAACCTGCGCACCCTTGCCCGCTCCTCGCCCCGGAGGAGCATCTTGATCCTCAAGAGGTCGGCCTCGTTGACGACGCACTGGAGCGCGGCGCACCCGAGCGCGAGCGTGAGGCCCGCGCGGGCGTGCAGCAGCGGTGGGGCCGGGCGTTGGTACGCCGAGAAGGCGGTGCCGGCGATGAGGGCGGAGAGGGTCGTCGGGACGAGGTTGGCCGTGTGCGGGTTGGGCGGCGGCGGGGCGGGCGACGAGGAGGGGGAGGGAGGGAGAGGCGAAGGGTGGAGCGAGAGGTGCGTGAGGAGTGGGATGAGGGCGTATTCGCGGATGCCTGCGGGGGGCGAAAGTGTCAGTGTTGGTGTCGATTTGGCGCACACACACAGAGGGCAGGGCAGGGGCGCACTGAAGAAGGAGAAGGAGAAGACGCCGGTGCGGATGGCGGTGCGAAAGGCGGCGGGGATGGCGGGCTGGTCGCGCACGACGCCGGTCGCTGCGCCTGCTGCTGCGCCGAGTGTGGCTGTGTGTGTCGGTGGGTCAGTGGCTGGACACACTGCACTCGAGAGCTGACGAGGGAGGGACGGAACTCGAGGCGGCGGTGCCGTACACGATGTTGAGCGGGGCGGTGCGGAGCGTGTAGTCGAGGAGCGAGGTCGGTGGTCGGTCCTTTGCAGGTGGTGCTGCCATTCTCAGTCGAGCGAGTTCTCCTTTCCGAGTCGGAGCTGTGGTGCGAGAGCGAGAGGGACCGTCTCGACTTCATCTCCCTCCTCCTCGTCCTCCTCTCTCCCCCATCGAGAGCCATGGCCTTTGCCCACCAGGTCGGCGGCCACGCCAACACGATCCTCGCCTCGCCCCTCAGCGCCAGCACCCTCATCAAGCCCTCGTCCGCCCGCGAGCTCGCCTTCTACCAGCACCTCGCCCCGTCACTCGACCCACACCTCGTCGGCGAGTGGACCCCGGCCTTCTACGGCACCCTCAAGCTCGCCGGCAAAGTTCACCCCGAGGGCGGCGTCGCCCAGGTACCGCCCGCGACCGACGTCGAGCCAGAGGTGCGTTCAACGAGGCGGTGCTCGCTCGCTCCTCCTCCTCCTCCCTCGTCGCACCCTCACTGAACTCGCCGCCCGCAGATGCTCGTCCTCGAGAACCTCACGTACCGCTTCGTGCGCCCCAACGTCCTCGACATCAAGCTCGGCACCCAGCTCTTTGACGAGGACGCGTCGCCCGACAAGCAGGACCGCATGCGCCGCGCCGCCCTCGCGAGCACGAGCGCCCGAGCCGGCGTGCGCCTCACGGGCTTCCAGGTGTGGGACCACGGGCAGCAGACGTATGTCCAGACGGACAAGCCGTTTGGGCGGGCCTTGACCGTGGACGAGCTCCCGCTCGGCATGGCCCGCTTCTTCTACCCGCCGCTGTCGGGCCCGTCGGCCGCCGAGCGAGCCGCCGCCGCCACCGCCACCACCTCCTCCTCCACAGCCTCCCTCAACCCCTCAACCTCAACCCCGACCGCACCCACACCACCACCACCCACGCCCCTCGCCCTCCCCCTCCCCCTCCCGCTCCATCTCCTCCTCCCCGTCCTGCGCACCCTCGTCCGCCGCCTCGATGACCTCGTCCACACCTGGTCGCGCCTCGCGCTCCGCATGCGCGGCGGCTCGCTCCTCGTCGTCGTCGAGGGCGACCCGGACGCGCTCGAACGCGCGCTCGAGAGGGCCCAGGACGAGGCGGATAAGACGGCGAAGGCGGCGAGGGCGCGGCGAGAGCGGGGGTTACGCGAGGAGGGAGAGGGAGAGGGGGAGGGGGAGGGGGTGGGAGAGCGCGAGGAGGAGGAGGGCGACGACGACGACGCCGACAGCGTCTCGACGGCCACGAGCGGCGGCACGGCCGCGCCCCACACGCTCCAGGCGTTCGACGTGCGCGTCATCGACTTTGCGCACACGCGCGCGCTCGTCGACGGCGAGGAGGGCCCCGACGAGGGTGTCCTCACGGGCCTGAGGACCGTGCGCGCACTCGTTGACGGGCTCGTCGAACGGCTCACGGAGCTGCAGAGGAGCGAGGAGGACGAGGCGAGAGAGAGGTAGAAAGACACGGTGCAACGTCTGTTGGTGTTTCAGTGCGAGGAGGAAGAGAGTGCTACAGGCAAAAGAGAGAGGGAGAGAACGACCAGCGTGCGCCGAGAAAGAGAAAGAGAGTGTCCGTGCGAAGCCCTGCTTGACCACCATGTGCTCCTCACCTCGAGCGCCCGAGCGCGCCGTACTGCCCTCCCCGCCCCTGCTGCGCTGCCCCACCCGCACCCGCACCGACGCCCGCGAACCCTCCCTCGTCCGGCCCCTCGAACGGGTCCTCGTACGCTCCTCCTCCTCGCCCGCCCGCGCCAACGTCGCTCTCGCTCGCGAGCGGCAAGTGCGCATAGCTCGATGCCGGGTCCAGGTCCAGGTCCTCCCTCTGGTCGACCGGCGCGGCGTACGCGTACCCGAGCTCGGGGACGTCGCGCCGCTCGCCGCCGCCGCGCCCATCCTGCCACGCCGCCGCCGGTGCTCGGGGCGTCCCACCGCCGCCGCCGCCGCGCATCGCGGGACTCTTGCTGTCCCAGTCGTCGCCCTCGCCGTCGTGCTCGTCCCACGCCGAGTGCCCGTGCCCGAGCCCGTGGCCGTGCGCGCGGTAGTGCGACCGCTCCGGGACGCCCGGCTCGCCCTCGAACGCGGCCTCGACGAGCGAGTGCCTGCGCTCGAGCGGGGCGCCCCTCGCTCCCGCTCCTCCAGGGCGCGGCCCACCACCCGCACCGCCGGCGACGGCCGCGAGCGGCGACTTGGCAACCTGGGCCTCCTCCATGTCGCGCAGCACCTCGGGGTACAGCTTGCGAGCGCGCATGTAGACAATGTACAGGCTCACGACGGTCGCGATGCCCGTCGCGAACAGGACCGAGAGCGAGATGATCTTTTGCTCGCGGACCTTGGCGGGAGAGGCCGTGTCGTGGTTGACGCCGAACTGTGGGGCGGCGCCACGAGCGAGAGGGTCAGGGTGGGTCGCGGGTGGGTCGGAGTGAGAGAGAGAGAGGAAATGTGGAAGAAGAGGGGGAGGGAACTCGAGCGAGAGGAGCTCACCATGTAGCCGAGGTAGACGATCGCGAGTTGCTTCGGGAGCGTGACGATGCTACGAGGGAGGCACGAGAGAGAGGGTCAGGAGAGTGTCGAAGAAGAGTGCGAGGAAAGAGAGAAAAGGCCGACGCACATGGCGAGCGAGTAGACCCAGAACGACATGCCGACCGTCGACTGGATGGCCGTCACGACGTGGCCGGGCACGGCCGAGAAGCGGATGATGATGATGCTGTGAGGGAGCAGGCGTGAAAGAGGTTGTCAGTGTGGTCGCTCTGCAGCAGGTCTCGAGGGAGGGAAAGGGAGGAGAAAGGGAGGAGAAAAGGGGAAGGTGGACGCACATGCCGAGGCCGCCGTGACGCATCAAGCGCGCGATGCAGGCGTACCAGATGCTCTTGGTCTCGATCTCGTTGGCCTTGCGCTGGAAGAAGTACTTGAACCCGACGAAGCAGAGCGCCTCGCCGAGGTACGTGCCCGCACAGGTGATCGCGAAGCCCAACCAGACGCCCCAGATCAACCCGATGACCATTATGACCGCCTCGTGTCCCGCGAGAGGTGGCACGCTGAGAATTACCAGCACGGCGATGGGGATGACCCACGAGGCCGGGAGGTCGCGGATGTCCTGCTTGTGCGGCTCGAACCTGCGGGCGCGCGCCGGTCAGTACCGGCCGACGACCTCAGGACAAAGTGAGGACGCACTTCTCGATGATGGTGTCGCGATAGATGCTGAGCAGAACGACGGCGGCCGTGACGATGGCGCCGACGAGCCACCAGACTGCGAGGTCGAGGAGGTCAGCGGCGTCTCGCGCGACGCCTGAAGGTAACGTGGGACGCACCCCAGTACTTGCGCCGGACGATTTCGCGGGCCGACTTCTTCCAGTTGTGGTCCTGTCGGCGGAGGAGAGGTCAGTGAGGGTCTCGAGAGCGGAGGAGGAGAGTGGGGGGAGGACGCACCCGCAGGAACGTGACAATCTCGCGGCCAGCCTCCTTAGCCTCTGTCCACTCGTTGCGAGCCCAAAATTTGAGTCCCATCGCGGCGGCAGGAGGGTTGAGGAGGGCGAGAGGACGAGGTCGAACGAGGAGGCGGGGTGATGAGGTGGGCGCGGCGTGTGCGGCCTTGGCGCGGCGGATAGACGGCTGATTGGGTCGAGGAGGCTCTTGCAGACGAGTGCAGGCAGGCGAGCGAGCCTGGCAGCCTGTGCAGGGCGTGGCGAGGAGGGACGAGAGGGCGACGTGGCGGTGCAAGTTGAAATCCGCCTTGCTGCGCACACTCAGGCGGCCGCAAAAACAGCTTGATCGAGCCTGTAAGACCATCGTAGCACGGTCGAGCACGGCGCAGCTCGCACCGCTAGAGTTGCGCAAGAGCGGAAGCGGCTCGCGAGAGGGGGACGACAGTGTTCTCGCTCTCTCGGCTTCGAGAGCTAGCGAGGCACGTCCGTAGCAAGCACAGTAGCTGTCTGACTGCGTCGCAGTCATCGGCAGAGCGAACGACGCGCTGCTCGAGGTGTACGAGGTCGACCGGCACGGGAAGACGCGCGACGTGAGCCCGGCCGCACAGGCTTCAGGCGCGCTCGAAGCTGCGCGTGAGGGTGCACGCATTGTATTGCAATAGGACCACACACTTGGACAAGCGGCCCACGAGAGTGACGGGCGGGTCGAGAGGTCGTCGTCCGGCGAGAAGGAACCTCGTCGACAGAGCTTCGTCCTCGTCCGTGCCCACCCGACCGGCCCAGCTAGCCCGTGCACTCTTCCGACAGAGGCACTGTGCTTACCTCTACGCGACTGCCTCGCCCTCGCGTCGCCCCGACCGCCCTCACCTCGAGTCGGGTCCTCCGTCCGTCAACCGCCGCACCTCACGGCCGCTCTCGCCTCGCCCGCCAGTGCACGACTGCCGACAAGCGTTCCACTCAGGCCGTAGCGCCATCAGGTGCGTCCGCTCACTCTCTCGTGCGCGACGTCGAGCTGGAGGTGGGCCGGCCGTCTGGAGGTGCTTGCGGCGAGACGGGCCTCGAGAACAGCGACGACGCCACGGGGCTGTCGAGCGCGAGCAGGAGCGGCTCTTTCGATGCACTCGAGCCCGGGTGGCATAGCCAACAGCCCCCCCAGTGACGCCGGAACTGACCTCGTCCGCACCCTCCCCCTTTCCCGTGTTTGCCTCGCCTCGACAGCTCGACCATGGCACGCCCGCGCGCAAGAGCACCACCAGCCTCGCCAAGTACCTTTCTCGCTCCACGACATGCCCTCGCCCTCCTCGCTGCCGGTGCAGTCGGCACCGCCGCCGCCCAGTCGTCCGCGTCGTCCCTCCTCCCCAAGGTCGACTTCTCGGCCCTCGGCACCGTCGCCGTAGTCGGCTCGTTCGCCGGCCTGTCGTTCTACGACGCCGCTCACCCGCCAGCGACCTACGACAGCCGCGCGTCGACCCTCCTCGCGCGCACCGCCGACGGCGACCTGCGCAACCTCGGCGCGACCGACGCCGGCGGCGCCATCCACGCCATCTGCCAGTCGCCCATCGACGACGCCGACAACGCCGCCGTCTTTGTCGCGGGCAACTTTACCCGGATCGGCGACGTCGACGCGCGCAACGTCGCGAGCTACGACCCGGCGAGCGCGACTTTCGCGGCGCTCGGGCCGGGCCTCGACGGCGAGGTGCGCGCCCTGTCGTGCAACGGGACGACGGTGTACGCCGGTGGCGCGTTCGGCGCACCGGCAGGGTCTGGCGGCGGGCCCAACGTCGCGGCGTGGTCGACGGCCGACGAGGCGTGGACGACGTTGCCGCTGTACGGTCTCAACGGCGCCGTCGACTCGATCTCGGCGTCCGAGGACGGCCGGTCCCTGTTCTTCGGCGGCGCCTTCTCGACCGTCTTCTCGAACTCGTCGTTGTCGTCGTCGGCGGCCGTCAACTCGACCTCGTCGTCGAGCACGTCGACCTTGCCGTCGCTCGGCTCGTCCCTCGCGCCCGTCTCGCTCAACGCGTCCGACTACTGGGCGTCGCCGACCACGTACAAATCGGGCTTTGGCCGGCCCGAGTACATCTTCTGCCCGAGCGGCGACGACGGCGTCGGCACGAGCTGGCTCCTCACGGACGGCGCCGCCGGCTTCTTCATCGCGCGCATGTACCGCGAGCTCAACGTGCGCGGCATCCGGCTCGGCAACACGTTCTACGAGAGTCGCGGCACCCGAAACTTCTCGTGCGTCCCTGCTCCCTCTCTCTCTCTCTCTTTCTCGTGCGCCCGGACTCGACTGACCAAGTCCTCGGTCCCGCCCTCGCAGCGTCGTCGCCATTCCCGACAACCAGGTCCTCGAGCTCACGTACGCGTCGGACCCGTCGGACCCGTCGTCGGCGCTCGCGACGTGCTCGGACAACTGCGTCCTCGCGCACAACTCGTCGGTCCCGTACCAGGACTTCCTGTTCCCCGAGGGCACGTCGCTCACGGGCATCCAGCTCAACATCTTTGGCTGGTACGGCGCCGGCGGCGGCCTGCACCTCCTCCAGCTCCTGAGCGACGGCGGGTACGCGTACGCCGCCGAGTCGAACAACAACGCGCCGTGCACGAGCGGGATCGGCGAGACGACCGAGAGCACGGTCGAGACGGCGGGCAACTGGACGACGGCGACCGTCGTGACCGAGACGGCGGGCACACTCCAGGACGTCCTCGTCGCCAACGTCGCCGGCGGCTCGACCGCGAGCAGCGCGAGCGCCCCGAGCCTCACGTGGCGGCCGTACGTCGCCCAGGCGGGCCAGTACGCCGTCTACTTTGTCACGCCCGGCTGCACGGCGCAGGGCACGTGTGCGCGCCGCACGACGGTGCGCGTTACGGCGACGCCGAGCGGCGCAGGTGCGGGAGCCGCCAACGAGACGGTTGTCGACCAGGCCAACGGGCGCGACGTGGCGACGCTCGTGTACAACGGCACGCTCGCCGCCGGCGCCGACGCGCTGTCGGTCACGATGACGCTCGCCGAGGGCGGCGCGCCGTCGTCCGGCACGACGTACGAGCTCGTCGCCAACTACGTCAACCTCGTCGCGTCGTCGACCAACGGCTCGGCGTCGTCGGTCGTCCTCGAGCGCGGCTACGGCGTGTACGAGTACCCGCTCGTCGACACGGGCGTGTTTGGGGACGCCGACCCGACCGCTCAAGCGGCGGGCGTCAACGCCTCGGCGACGCTCACCAACGCGACCGGGTTCGACGCGCTGTCGTTCCGCCTCGGCGAGGGCGCCCAGGTGCACAGCGTCGTCTCGACCGGCACGGGCGCCGACGCCATCGCGTTCGTCGGCGGCGAGTTCTCGTACGCGTCGGTCGACGGCGCCGAGCAGAGCCGCAACGTCGTCGCGTACCGCCTCGACGACGTCGTCGCCGCGCCTAACGGTGGGCTTGACGGCGTCGTCCGCAGCCTCGTCGAGCTCGACGGCGTCCTGTACGCCGCCGGCGGCTTCGAGGCCACCGTCGACGGCGAGGTCAACGCGCTCAACGGCGTCGCGCGCTGGAACTACACCGAGGCCGCCGCCTCGTGGCAGTCGCTCGGCGCGTCCGTGCCCAGCGTCGGCGGCACTGTCGCCCAGCTCGCCGTCGTCAACCCGTCGTCGTCCCACGCCGAGTCGTCCAAGAACGGCTCGACCGGCGGCGCGATCGTAGCCGTCGGCGCAGGCGGGTCGGGCCTTGCCTTCTTCGAGCCGGCGTCCTCCTCGTGGAACGCGACCGCGGCAAGCCTCTTCCTCGGCAATCTGACGGCCGTCGGTCCGGCGTCGTCGAGGACGGCGACCAACGCGACGACGTACCTCGCCGGCAACGTCGTCGCTGCGATCCAGCACGCGACGCCCGGCGGCGCCATCCTGAGCGAGGGCAAGAGCGGCTCGCCGCGCATGTCGTCCTTTTCGTTCGGCTTCAACTCGTCGTCGTCGTCATCGTCGCCGTCGACCGCCAGCACCTCGGCCAGCAGCACCTCGTCGGCCGCTCGCGTCAAGCGCGCCGAGACCTCGACCGCCTCGCCCGTCGACGACACGGCCCTCCTGCAGCAGCGCCGCTCCTTCTCGCGCGTCCTGCTCGAGGCCCGCGCCCCGCCGGCCTCGGCGCCCGTCAACCTCACCCTCCCGTCGCCGATCCAGGCCGTCGCCGCCGCGCCGGGCTCGGCTCGCTCCGCCGACCAGGTCCTCGCCGGCGCCTTCTGGAAAAACGGCTCGTCGACCCTCATGCTCCTCGGGGGCGCCTTTTCGTCGTCGACCGGCGTCGAGAACCTCGGCGCGTACGACACCAAGGCGGGCTCGCTCGAGGCGCTCGCCGGGTTCGAGGTCGACGGCGCCGTGATGTCGCTCAAGGTCGTCGACGACACGCTGTGGGTCGGCGGCAACTTTACGAGCGCGAGCGGGCGCCAAGGGTTTGCGACGTACGACCTCGCGCAGCAAAAGGTCGACGACAGCCAGCCTCCTCTCGCCGGTGCGTCCCTCTCTTCGTCCTCCTCTTCGCGTTCGGCGTCAACTGACCCACCGACGACCCTCGCAGGCTACGCCGGCACGAACGCGACCGTCAATGTCATCACCCAGCGGCCCGGGTACGACGAGCAGATCGTCGTCGCCGGCGCCTTCTCGTCGGCCGGCTCGCTGTACTGCCCAAGCGTGTGCCTGTGGAACTCGGACAAGCTGCAGTGGCAGGCGCTCGCGACGGGCCTTCAAGGTGTCGTCGGCGCGGTCGACTTTGCCGGCGTGCGTCCACCTCTCTTTCTCTCTCTCTCTCGTCCTGTGTCTTGCCCTCGCAGGAGCTGATCCTTGACCTCGTGCAGGACAAGTCCGAGTACCTGATCGTGGCGGGCAACTTTGTCGTCAACGACGAGACGCGGTACGTCGCCCGGTGGTCGTTCAAGAACTCGACCTGGCTCTCGCTCGGCGCGGCGACCGACCTGCCCGGCCCGGCGACGGCCGTCTCGTCCGACGACCACAACGAGGACAAGGTGTGGGTCGCCGGCTCGTCGACGTCGGGCGCGCCGTACCTGCGGTTCTGGAACGGCACCACCTGGGCCGACGCCAACGGCAACGCGACGCTCGGCACCGGGTCGGGCGTGCAGCAGCTCGCGTTCGTGCCGCTCAGCAACTCGCACGACTCGAACGGCGTCATCGAGTCGAACCGGATGCTCCTCGTGTCGGGCGACCTGACGATCAACGACACGGCCGTGTCGTCGGCGCTGTACGACGGCGCATCGTGGTACCCGTACCTCGTCGCGACGTCGGCGACTGGGTCGGCGGGCGTCGTCTCGCAGCTGTTCTACTCGGTGTCGAACTTCTCGCTCGGCGGCGCGCACCACCTCGCAACGGGACTCGTCATCCTCATCTCGATCGCCATCGGCCTCGGCATCGTCTTCCTCCTCGTCCTCCTCGGCCTCCTCGTCATGCTCGCCCGCCGCCGCGACGAGCCGCAGTACCCGCCACGGGACCCCAAGGGCGCCCACTCGGCCGCGAGCGAGACGTCGAGCCTGCACCGCCCGTCGTCGCTCCTGCAGACTGTCGGCGCCGCGACGGCCGTCCTTCTCGACCCTCGAGGCGAGAAGGCGAGGCGCAACTCGCTCGGCGGCGGTGCCGGCGGCGACGGCGACGGCGACGGCGCGCGCGCGGGCACGGGCTCGTTCGACGCGGCGGCGCTCAGCTACGGCGGGAGCGACTACGAGGCCGACGAGGACGAGCCGTCGACGGCCATGGCGCGGTACTCGTTCCACGCCGAGCACCCGGGCGAGTTGAGCATCTCGGCGCGCGAGGAGGTGACGATCCTCGACTCGCAGGACCAGAACTGGTGGATGGTCGCCAACCGCGAGGGCAAGCGTGGCCTCGTGCCCTTGTCGTTCCTCGCGTGAGGGCGCCCTCGCTCTCGGAGCGGGTCGCGTCGAGGTCATCGGCCCGCTCGGCCCCTTCCCTCCCTCCCCTCCCTCTCCCTTGCCCTCACTTTCGCCTTTCGCCCTCTCGCCCACCGACACTCTCGCTACCACTATCCTATCTGCCTCTTTGCTCAACATCTCTTTGTCGGCTGTGCCGCTCTCTGCCCTCCCCCTCGTGCCTCTCTCTCTCCTCCCCCACCTCAAGTCACTCGTTCTCGTCGCCGCCTGCAGTAGATTCCCCCGCCCTCCTTGGACTCGGTCATACCCCTTCTCCCTTCTGTGCGTCTTGCAACAACGATGCAGCTCGAGTCACGTGCTTCGCGTGAGAGCGTCTTCTCGACAGGAGCGTCCCGAGCCGGCTTCGTCCGCTGTGCAGCTTGCTCCCTCGTCACAACCTCGTCTCGGCTCGAGGTCCGCTGCAACGGCTTGCACGCGGTCATGAGCGACAACGAGTCTGCGGCTGGTTCGTCGCGGCAGAAGGACGTCCAGAACGAGGTGCGTCCCCCGTCCTCTTCATCAGCCCGAGGAGTTTCCTCGATGGCGACAGCCCGAGGCGGTCGGCCGTGGGTCGTAGACGCCTACGAGAACCTCACAAACACCGACAGAGCTGACTGAGCCGCTCACACAGGCCTGCACGGCGTGTCGGCTCGTCAAGCGGAGGTGCCTCAACGAGGGCAAGGGCTCGATCTGCACGCGCTGTGCCAAGCAGGGGCTCGACTGCCAGTACCTGCAGCAGAAACGCGGCCGCAAGCCGGGCAGCGGCGCGCCCAGGTGCGTCCCTCTCCCTCCCCTCCTTCCTCTCCTCTCGTGTCCGCCTCCCGAAGCTGACCACTCTTCTGGGCCGAACAGGAAACGCCGCGCGGGCGAGGGCGACAGCGAGCCTGTCGGAGCTGCTGACCGCTCAGCAAGTTCGGCTGTCGAGACGCCGTCCGGCGCCAACGACTGGCTCCTCGCCGACCTCCTGCGCACCCAGGCCGAGGGTCCGGTACCGACGACGGCCGCCTTCTCGTCCACGCCGCAACGCGTTGCCGCGTCCGCCGCACCGCCGTTCCCGCATCCTTCCGCCTACGTCAGCACCGGCATGAGCGCGTTCGCCGCCCTCCCGCACCACTCGGCGCCGCAGCACCACCCGACAGGGCCGAGCCCGGCCGCGAGCCACAACTCGGCGCACTCGGTCCCTCCTGTACCAGCGGCGTCGAGCCCGTGCGGCGCGCCGGCGACCGGCGGCTTCTCGCTCAGCAAGCTCCTCAAGGAGAACCAGCCCACCAACGGCGACGCCGACGAGCCGAGGCATTCGCTCGCCGACGCGTTCGCGCCTCGTTCGGCTCATGCGCCCGCCAAGAAGCCCGAGCGCAAGTTTGTCGACATCGTCGAGGCCGGCGTCCTCCCTGCGGCCCAAGTGCCTGCCCTGTTCCAGTTCTACTTCGACCACCTCAACCCGATGACGTCGCTCCTCGACCCTGCGCTCCACACGGTCGACTTCTGCCGGTCGCGGTCGCCGTTCCTGTTCACGGCCATCCTCACCGTCGCGTCCAAAGTCGCGCACCCGGCCCTGTACCCGTCGACGCTCCAGTACGCCAAGACGCTCCTCGGCCAAGCCTTCGAGGCCGGCACCAACAGCCTCGAGCTCGTCCAAGCTCTCGCGACGCTCGTCTTCTGGCAGGACCCTGAGGACCCGAGCGGCGCGCGCAAGCTCGCGTACGCCATCCGGTGCGCGTTCGAGCTCAACATCCACAAGCGCGGCAAGCGGCCCTTGCCCGAGGACGAGATGCAGCTCAGGAGGGCGCTCAACCCGGAGCGAACCTGGTTCTGTGCGTCGGGCTATTCCCCTCTCTTTCTTTGCCCGGGGCCCTGAACTGACAGACTCGCGCCCGCAGACCTCACGATCGCCGACCACCGCTTCTCGACGCAACGGTGCGCCCCTCGTTTCCCTCCTTTTCCTTGCGGCGTGCGAGACTGACGCTCAAGGCGATACAGTGGCCTGCCCAAGATGATCGACAACAGCTTCCGGTCGGACGCCATCCCGTGGCTCCTCGAGCACGACTCGCAGCAGCTGTGCCCGCAAGAGACGGGCCTCGCGCCCCTCATCGAGCTCGGCCGCATCCTCGACACGTTCGCCGTCCTCATCGCGCCCGAGGAAGGACTGCCGTCGCTCGAGCTGCTGCGGTGCCTCGAGCGAGACGTCGAGGCGTGGCGCAGCAACTGGTCCCTCGAGCGAGGTGCGCCCGACCTTCTCTCCCTCTTCCTCGTCCTTCCCCGAGCCGGACCCTGACCTCCTCGCCTTGCCCTTCCTCCGAGCAGCGTCGCTCCCGCTCCAGCCCGCGCAGACGTCCCTCGTCCGCTTTTACGGCGCGGTCCTCCAGTTCCAGCTCCTCGAGCTCAACCTGCACATCTCGATCAAGCGCTCGAGCAGCCTCGACGCGTTCGACCCGCGCGCCGACGTCCGCGCGACGCCGCTCGTCGTCTTTGGCGGCTGCATCAAGGCGGCGATCCGGGTCCTCGACATCAAGGAGCGCGAGCTACGCTTCATGGTCTACTCGTTCGACTCGTGCGTCGCCTCTCTCTCTCGTCCCTGTCAAGTCCCAAGCTCACTCGCTCGAGACGCACAGGATGTGGGTCGGCGCAGCGTCGGCGTCGATCTGGCTCGCGCAGAACCTGAGCGGCATGGAGCCGGCCGACAAGGCGGCGTCGCTCTCGGCGCTCAACCGCCTCCAGAACGCGTGCGCCGAGGTGTCGAACGGCCCGCAGAGCATGGCGGCCTACACGTCGAGGCTCCTCTTGCACCTGCTGCAGAAGGTGCAGGACGGCGAGGCGGCGGCGGCGGCAGCGGCGGCAGCAGCGTCGACGGCGACGTCGAGCGACGGGCAGGCGAGCGCGCCGCCTCCAGGAGGGCTCGGCGCGGACCCGAACTCGGTCGGCTCGTCGACGCAAGCCCCGTCGTACGTCAAGGCGAGCCTGAGCGCCCCGTCTTGGTCGGTCGACCCGTCGGCGAGCGCGTCGGCCGGCATCGGCGTCTTCAACAGTGGCGGCGGCGGCGGGGTGTACGGCACGTCCGCAGGTGCGACGCCCCGCCGCGAGGTGTCGCAGCCCATGTGGGCGGCGCAGGCGCTCGAGCCGAGCGGGTCCGAGACGCCGGCGCAGGGAGGCTTTGACTTCCTCGGCGCCATGATGCCGCCCATGTGCGTCCCTCTTCCTCTATCTCTCCGTCGAACTCGCCCTCTGACGTGTCGTTACTCGCAGGCAGAACCTGGTTGAGGACTTGCCCTTTCCTGCGGCCGACGACGCGCTCTGGTGCGTCTCGTCCCCCCTCTCTTTGTGCGCGCTCTTGCGCGCTCACTCTTTCCTCCCTTCCTGCACGCAGGCAATCTCTCTTTCCCTTGTCGTTTGATTTCGAGTCGACCTGAGCCGCCCTCCCCTCGTTCGTTCCCGCCTTTGTCGTCGCCGCTTGCAATGTTGCCATCTTTGTCTCTCGCTCTCTCTCCTCGAGCAGCGGGGCAAGGGCACGAGAGCGAGACAAGTATGTAGTACTGCAGGACTGAGCACGAGGGATATCGAGAGGGCGAGACGGCGAGCGAGAGACAGGAAAAGGAAGAGAGAGGTCTAACACGGGGAGGAGCGTGCACGGCCCTCTAGATTAAACTTGCCGTCGCGACCCCACCGCTCCCTCCTGCGCCTCCAAACCCGCCGCTGCCGCCGTACCCACCGCCCGTGCCCGTCGGCTGAGTCGTCGCGCCGGCGGACAGAGGACTGTTGAGCGGCGGAAGGCGAGTGCCGCCAAACGGGTTGAACCCGGTCGGCTGCTGCTGCAACGGCTGCTGCTGCTGCGACGGCTGCGACGACTGCGACGAGAACGCCGACTGCTGCGCCTGCCCGCCGACACCGGCGCCGCCACCGCCGCCGTTGCCGAAGCCAGTCGCCTGCGGGCTGAGCGCCGACGCGCTGATCTCGCTCGCAAGCTTGTTTCCAAAGGAAGACGAGGGCTGGAAAGCGCGGACGGACGAGAAGCCGCCGGTCGGCTGGGCCGAGAGTGGCGAGGCCGTGTACGAGTGAGCGCCCGTGAGTGAGGGCGAGAGGGCCGAGGTCGAGGTCGAGAGGGAGAGGGACGAGAACGGCGTCGAGAGGGACGACGACGAGGCCGGGGCGCCGCCGTTGCCGGTGCCGTTGAGGGCGTTCGAGCCCGGGAAGGCGAACCCGAACGGCGAGCTCGACGCGCCCTGCGGCTGCGACTGCTCGCCGCTCGAGGCCGCGAGGTCGCTCGCGACACTCGCCATAAGCCCGCCCGTCTTCTGCGCAATGAGCGGCGTCGCGCCGCCGTGCTGCGCGCCGCCGGCCGCCTCGGCGTCGCGCTTGGCCTGCTGTTGAGCGAGGAACGCCGAGAACGCGTCCTGCTTGGGCGGCGGCGCCGACTGCTGCTGCGGCTGAGCCTGTGGCTGCCCGAACGGCGAGCCGACGCCGTTCGCCTGCGCCTGGCCTTGCGCTGGCGCCGCCGCCGACGACGACGACGAGCCCTGGAAGCCCGTCTGCTGCTGCCGCAAGTGCGCGAGCTCGTACATGCTCGGCTGCTTTGGCTGCGGCGGCGCCGTGTGCGGGATGACGGTGCCGGGCGCGGGCGCGAACGGGTTGCGCGCGCCCGTCTTTTGCGCGACGAGTGGGGCGGGTCCGGGTCCGGGTGCGGACGACGAGGGCGAGGTCGGGGTCGGGGTCGAGGACGAGGACGAGAACGGGTGCTGAGGGGACGACGAGGCGTGGAAAGGGGAGGTGGGTGCGCCGAGGGGAGGTGCACCGGGAGCGGTCGAGCCGCTCAGGCCGCCGGACGACGACGACGGCGGCGGCGGCGCAAACTGCTGCTGCTGCCCGGGCTGGCCGAACGGGTTGCCCGTCGCCTGCTGCTGCAGCAGCCGCGCCTGGCCCTGCCCGACCGGCGGCGCGAGCGGCCCCGTGCCCACCATGCCCATGCCGAACGGGTTCCCGCCCGGCGCCGCGCCCGTCATCATCATGCTCTGCCGGAACGGGTTGGCCTGCCCCTGCCCCTGCCCCTGCCCCTGCCCCTGCCCCGTCATGTGCGGCGCGAGCCCCTGCGTGCCGCCGAACCCGCCGCCGAAGCCGCCGCCGACGCCGCCGAAGCCCGTGGGCGCGTAGCCCGTCTGCTGGGGCTGCAGCTGCAGGAACGGGTTGAAGCCCGTCATCTGGGGCTGGACCATGCCGAACGGCGACGAGCCCATCATCATCGTCGTGGGCATGCCCGTCGGCTGGGGCGCGATGAACGGGTTGAAGCCGCCGGTCGCCTGCGGGAACATGCCCATGTGCGGCGGCATGGGCGAGGCGCCGCCGGCAAACATGGGCGTCTGGGCGGTCTCGATCGAGTCGAAAAAGTCGGTGAAGGATTTGGGCGGTGCGGCGGCGGCGGCGGCGGGTGCAGAGGGCGAGGTCGAGGTCGAGGTCGAGGTCGACGTGGCGGGTGCGGCGGAGGAGGAGGCCGGGCGAGCGGGCGAGGAGGAGCGGGGTGGGGTGCCTGTGGGTGTTCGGGTGGGGCAAGAGTGTCAGTGAGAGGCGGGCCGAGAGAGAGGGGCAAGGAGGAGAGAGGGAGGGAGGGAGGGACGACGCACTGCGAGGGGCGCCGCCGTCGGCGATGCGCTTGACCTCCTTGTACTCCTCGCGGTTGCGCTCAAAGTTGGGGTCGCGGACGTACTCCTCGAGCGAGTTGGCGAGCGACAGCGGCGCGTGCTTGAGGTTGGGGATCGGGATGTTGAGCACGTTGTATAGCTTCTTGGCCGTGCCGAGGTAGGCGACGACGCGCTCCGTGTCGCGGCAGAACGTCTTGTAGATCTTGAGCGCCATGTCGCAGTCGGGCTTGGACAGGGCGAAAAAGTTCTCGAGCAGGTTGATGACGCCCTCGTTGACGACGGTGAACAGGACAAGGAGGTCTTTTACGAGGAGGCGCAGGGCCGTCATCGACACGTCGTCGTCGACGTCGCTGTCGGCGTAAAACTTGGCCTCGACGAGGGCCGCAATCATGCGCTGCACCTCGCGCGTCTCGCGCAAGAGGCCCTGCTCGACCGAGAGCTTGCGCATGCGCGCCGCGTTGCGGCGGTCGCTCTTGTCGCGGATCGCGTCGCGCTTGAGGGTGCCGAACGCCTTGATGCGCACGGCGAGGTACTGGCCGTACGCGGCGACGTTGGCCGCCTCGCTCGACGAGAGCGACAGCGAGACGGACGACGACGCGAGGTACGGGAACACGCTGTCGATCGAGCCCGAGCGCATGAGGGTGTGCAGGACGATGAGCGACTTGAAGACGACCTGCGGGCGGCGTTTGAGTCGGTGGTCAGTGAGCTGGCGGGTTGCGGGCCGTGGGAAGGACACGGAGAGCGAGAAGGGGGAGGGGGGACGTACCGTCGTGTTGGGGTCCCGCATGCGGCTCGCGAGGGTGCGCACGACTTCTTGCAGCTGGCCATCTTGCTGAAACGTGGCTTGCACGAGCGGGTCGATGTACTGTGTGCGCGGGCCGAGGGAAGGGGGGCGAGAGATGTCAGTGACGGGCGCTCTCGAGAGAGGGCCAAGGCCGGGCTTTGCGAGCAGTACGGCGGGCCCGCGGTCCCAAACCGCAGCGGCGCAAGCCGTGCACTGCCCACGCAAGGTATCGTGACGGCCGCCGGCGGACGACGACAGGGCCGAGAGCGGCAAGAGAAGGAGGGGAGAGGACGGACCTTGGCCTTTGGGGCGGCGCGCTTTGGCTTGGTGGCGCCGTCTACGGCCTTGCGCATGCTCGACATGGTAGCTTGACCTGGAGCGGGCGACGAGAGGAGCGAGGGGCGGAGGGTCGGCCGCGGGCGAAGGTGGGGGGAGCTCGACGGCGGCGCACGGGACGAGGTCTAGCGGGTGCGGACTGTCGAGGTGGAGCGAGCAATCGAAGCTCTGACCTGGCCTAGCCTACACAGGTGCTGAGCGAGTGGGAGGAAGCGAGCCGGGCGGAGGGCCACTGTCCTCGAGGTCCGCATCACCGCCCACGACCCACCACACCGTGCACACGCACCGGCTGCGTCCCTGCTGCCCTCTGCTCTGCCCTCAGCTGCACCACCAACACGCCCGTCCAAGCGGCGCCCTCTCGCGAGCCCTCAATCGCCTGACCCGCCATCTTCCCCTCGACCTGCAGCACACGCCTCCCTCAAGCCCTGGTGCGTCCCCGACCCTCTCACTCGACTCCCAGACTCTCACTGACACCGGTCCGAGCAGCGCGCCCGCAGCCTCGAGCCCGCCATGGCCGACGCACCACCACCTCCGGACGAGGCCCTGTCGCCGCTCCAGCTCGCAGACGGCCTCCTCGAGAACGTCACCACGTGCCCCGACTGCTCCAAGCCCGTCCTCCAGAGCGCCATGCCCGATCACCAGGGTGAGTTGGCGCCGGTTTCGTCGACCTGCTCTCGCTGTCGTCGCACGCCGCGCGACGACGACGCAGAGCTTCATCTTCCCGGCGTTCGCTCACATTCCCTCTGCGCGCAGCCACCTGCCTCGCGATCCGCGAGGGTCGCCTCCCCGACGGCGCCAACCTCAAGCGCCGCCTCTCCGAGGGTCCGTTCCCTCCTCCGTCCCTCCCTTCCTCCTCGCGTCCTCACCTGACGCCCCGCTCGCCGCCCGCAGCGTCAAACGGCTCGGGCGCGCCGCAGAAGAAGAGCAAGCTCGTGCTGCACCTCGGTGGGCCGGCGGCGGGCGGAGCAGGAGCGGCGGCACCACCGGCGGCGGGCGACGTCAAGCCGGTCAAGCAGCCTGACGCGCCCAAGAAGAACAAGCGCGGTGCGTCCCCCCTTCTCTCTCTCTCTCTCTCCCTCTCCTCTCTCCCCCCGCAAATCCTGACCTCGCCGCGCCGCGCCGACAGTCGTCGACGTCGACCGCCAGTGCGGCGTCATCAACGACAAGGGCTACCCGTGCCCGCGCTCGTTGACGTGCAAGACGCACAACATGTCGGCCAAGCGCGCCGTGCCGCACCGCTCACAGCCGTACGACCTCCTCCTGTTCGAGTGGCAAAAGACCAACAAGGCCAACCAGCAAAAAGCCGAGGCGCTCAAGCAGTCGAACCCGGCCGGCGGCGGCGCGACGTCTGGCGGCGGTGGCGGCGGCGGCGGCGCGGCGGCGGCGACTGGTGGGACGGCGAGTGCGGGTGCGGCAGGAGGGACGGCGCGCACGGCGGCGGCGGCGGCGGCGGCAGCAGCAGCAGCAGCGAGCGCGCACGGCAGCGACGCCTCGACGCCGCTCGGGGGCGCGCCGTCGCTCGTCGACCCCTCGGGCGCAGCAGGGCTCGCCGACGCGCCCAAGGCCAAGCGCCGTCGGAGCAACAACATGGACGCGCAGTCGGGTGGTGCAGGCGGCGCGCTCGCTGGGCCGGGCGGCACGAGCGTCGCCCTCGCCGGCGGTGGCGGCGGGTTCAAGCTTGCCGGCGGCGAGGGCCCAGGCGGCGGTGGCGGCAAGAAGGGCAAGAAGGGCATCGTGTACGTCGGCGAGTGGGACGAGAGCGACGACGACGGGGCCGACGAGCTCGTCGACTCGGACGAGGAGGTCGAGGCGGTCCTGCGCGGGCTCGCGCGCGCAGAGCACGGCCGGCCGCTGTTCATCGCGAGGGGCGGCGGGGCGGGCTTTGCGGCGGCGAGCTTGTTTACGGGGAGGAACACGAAGCTCGGGCGACTGAGGGGCACGCTGAGGGACGTGTTCCGGCCGGCGGCGTGAGGAGGAGCCGCCTCTCTCTCTCTCTCTTTCGCTGTCGTCGTTTCGAGTAGCAGTGACCGTGTTGTACACTTTGCAAGTCGTGCGCCGTCGCTTCAGCTCGAACGAGACGAGGGCCGAGCGAGAAGAGCGACCGCGGCGAGCGAGCGACTTCCCCACTTTGATCAGCTCTCGCCCTTACCCTCGACCCTCTCGCTCCCACGACAGCTCGCCCATCCTCCGCCATGGCGCCACAGCCCTCTCGAGGCCTCATGCACACGTTCCGCACCGACTACCCACCCCTCCACGCCTTCGAGTTCGGCACGGGCGACGACCCTCGTCGCCCGCTCGTCCTGTTCGTCGGCGGCCTCGGCGACACGCTCCTCAGCACGCCGTACCTGCCCAAGCTCGCGACCGCACTCGAGACGCACGGCTGGCGGCTCGCGCAGGCGCGGCCGACCTCGGCGGGCATGAGTTGGGGCGGGTGCACGGTCGAGCAGGACGCGAGCGAGATTGCGCTGTGCACCGAGTACTTCAAGGAGCGAGGCGCCGACAAGATCGTGCTCATGGGCTGTTCGACCGGTGCGCCCGCTGTTTCCAGTCTCGTTCTCTCTTGCGGGGCGCGGGCGGGCTCACTCACCTCTCGACCTCCTCCCCCTCTCGTCCTCCCGCAGGCTGTCAAGACGCCATCGCGTACCACCACGCCTCGTCCGACTTTGTCCCGCTCGCCGGCGTCGTCCTGCAAGCCCCCGTGTCGGACCGCGAGATCGAGCAGGTCCAGACGCTCCTCAAGAAGCACGCCGACGAGGGCATCGACTACAGCAAGCCCGACCAGCAGTCGTTCGTCCCTCAAGCTTGGAGCAAGTTCTGGCACTGCACGTCGGGCCTCACGTACGCTCGCTGGCGCTCGCTCGTCGAAGAGCCCGCGTCGGACACGATCGACCTCGCCGCGTCCGAGGACTTCTTCTCGAGCGACCTGTCCGACGCCCGACTGCGCAACGCCTTTGCGCCCGTCAAGTGCCCCGTCATGATTGCGCTCGGCACCGAGGACGCGTCGTACCCGCCGCACGTCAAGGCCGACCTGCCGGCGCTCCTCGAGCGCTTCCGCAAGGCCGCACCGACCCTCAGCTCCGACATGATCCTCGAGGGCGCAGAGCACACGCTCGGCGACGGCAAGCACGCCGACGAGTTCGTCGAGCGCGTCGTCAAGTTTGTCGGCGAGCTGTAAACGAGCGGCGGGCGCAACTCGAGGTGTCAGAAACGGGTCGGCGTCGTCGAGCGTCGAGAGGGAGAGGCTCTGCTCCCGGCTGCGCGGCTCGGCTGCGCTTCTTCCGGCCGCCGCTCGACGACGATCGAGGACGGCTGCAGATCCGGCGTACTCGGCGTCGCACGCTCCTCGCCTCGGCGGAGCCGGCGGGCCGTGCGCGCCTCGGGCTCCTCTTCGTCGTCGAGATAAGGACCGCCTCGCTCTCGCTCTCGCTTTCGCGCTCGGCGGCGCGACGACCTCGTCGCGTGGCAAGCAGGCCCTGGGCAATGCTGCAGGTTGTCGCTCGCTCCCCGTGGCGGCAGCTCGCCTCGCTCTCCCCCTCGAGCATGCTCGGTCGGGCTCGTCCGTCCGACGCTGGCACCTCGGTCTGTCCGACCGCCGTCAGACAGAGTTCGAGGCTCTCGCTCGTTGCTCCTGAGCGGGCAGCGGGCCGGTCGCTCGCCGTCTCCCTGCGCCGTCCCACTTTCAGGCCGTCCTGCGCCAAAAATGTCGCGAGCTGCGACTCTGCTGCTTCCTCCTCCTCGACGACCTACTCGCTCAAGATACGACGATGGTCAAGGCCCGCCTTAGCGTCGCACCGCAGCCCGGCGTCCTCCACACGTGCCGCGCCGCCTGGCCGACTGCGACCGCCTTCGTCTTTGGCTCGCCCTCACCGACTGCGCCCCTCGTCCTCTTTGTCGGGGGCACCGGCGGCACGCTCATGAGCACGGCGTACCTCCCTGCGCTGCACCAGGGCGTCGAGGCGAGCGGGTGGGCGTTCGCGCAGCTCAGCATGGTGAGCGTCGGCGGGACCTGGGGCGGCGTCGACGTGCGGCAGGACGCGGTCGACATTGCGGCCGCGACGAGGTACTTCAAGGAGCGAGGTGCGCCCAAAATCGTGCTCGTTGGGCTGTCGACCGGTGCGTCCCTTCGCCCTCTCCCTCGGACCTTCTCTCGACGGGCACCTGTCGCTCACCCGTTCTCTTCTCGCCACAGGGTGTCAAGACCTCATCGCCTACCACCACGCCTCGCCCGACTACGTCAAGGTCGACGGCATCGTCCTTCAAGGCCCCGTCTCGGACCGCGAGTTCCCCGACTTTCAGCGCTTCCTCGAGACGGTCACCGACGCCGACCCGCTCGCACCCGGCCCCGACCCGCGCCAGTTCGTCCCGAGGACGTGGTCCGACTTTTGGGGCGCCCGAGCCGGCATCTCGTACGCGCGCTGGCACTCGGTCGCCGCGAAACCGACGAGCGACGAGGTCGACATTGACGAGTCCGAGGACTTTTTCTCGAGCGACCTGTCGGACGCTCGGCTGCGCAACGTCTTTGCGCCCGTCGAGTGCCCGATCCTGTTCGTCCTGAGCGGCAACGACCCGTCGTACCCGGCGCACGTCAAGGCCGACATCCCGGCGCTCCTCGCACGGTTCCGCCTCGCGGCGCCGACGTTCAGCGCGTTGAGCATGATCGTCGACGGAGCGTCGCACACGTTGCGCAAGCCCAAGCACGTCGAGCAGTTTGTCGAGCGCGTCGTCGAGTTCCTCGAGACGGTGTGAGGGCGACAAGAGGTGCGTTCAGGCCTCGGCGGCCTTCTCAACTCGTCGCCGCCTCGTCCTTGCCTTCGCACCCTGACCCTCGCTCGCCCGCAGGACCCACTTGTCGTGGACCGGCGTCGGCCTCAGCACGCGCCTCACGAGCGAGCGTCGGCTGCTCGTGCCGGCGGCAGCCCAGCCTCGAGCCTCTTTCGCTCCCTCTCGTCCTCTCTCTTTGCCCCCCCTCTCGCTTCCCCTCTCGTCGCATTTGGTGTCACTCTTTGCAGTCAAGCGTCACGCGTTCGACTGGCATCACGGGCGAGTGCGAGAGCGAGCGAGCAGATCCGAGAGCTCAAGGGTCGAAAGGAAACACCTCGAGCCAGATGCCCAGGCTTCTTTGAAGGCGACCGACGAGTACGGGCTGCTACAGCTTCCATGCTCGTTGTACTCAACACGCGGCGAGGAAAGGTGAGTACGAGTTCGGCGCGTCGTCCCTCCTCGTTCGTCGCGGCGGAGGTTGTTCGTCCTCCCTCCCCTCCCACCTCTCGCCCTTGTTCTCGCCAACCGCACCAGCCTCCTTTTGTGCGTCCCCTCTGCGTCCGCCAGATCGTGCACGCGCCCCACACTGACGAGCCTTCTCTCCCTCATCTCCCCCTCCCCCTCCTCCCTCCGACGCGTCGCACCCTCTCCTCCACACGCCTCTCTCGCCCACTCGCACCGACCGCCACGCGCCACACACTGCATCTCACAGCCACCATGTTCGCCACCATCCGCCCCGCTGCCCTCTCTGGCGTCCGCGTGCGTCCCCCTCCTCCTCCCCCCCCGCTCAAACAGGCAGTCGGACCTCGCGTCGAGTCGAGCTAACCCCCTCCTCGCCGCACCACCTTGCAGGCCTTCTCGACCTCGCGCGTCGCCGCCCGCGACATTGCCAAGATGACGCTCGTCGGCCGCATTGGCGCCAACCCCGAGCTGCGCGACGGCAAGAACGGCCAGCAGTACCTCACCTACAAGGTCGCCACCACCGACAAGGGCCGCGCGCCGAAGGAGGGCGGTGCGTCCAGCTTTCTCTCGCTCTTGTGCGAGGGTCGACGGGCGGCTGCGAGGCTGTGGACGGGGGCAGGGACTTGACCGTCTCCCGCTCGTCCTCCCAGGTCCTGCCCTCGCCCGTCCTCTGGGACGTCGAGCTGACACGTCGCTGCACCCACAGAGGAGTACCAGAAGCCGCCCACGTCGTGGCACACCATCTTTGCGCACGGCCAGGCCGCCGAGCGCCTCCAGTTCCTCGAGAAGGGGCACGTCTCCTCCCTCTCTCTCTCTCTCTCTGCGCCCTCGTGCTTACTCGTATGTCCCCCTCTGCAGCATGCAGGTGTACGTCGAGGCCGACTTCTCGGTCAAGAACGTCCGCGACGAGACGACGGGCCAGTACAACACCCAGGTCCTCGCCACGCACGGTGCGTCCCGCTCTCTGCGCCTTTCGAGGGCACCGACTGACTGCCCGCCGGCCAACAGACCGCCTCGTCGTCCTCAAGAAGCCGTCGCCCCGCGAGGAGACCGCCGAGGAGCAGCAGCAGTAAAGCCTCTGGCCCTCTCTGCCTTCGTCTCGAGCCGCATCCCCCGTCGTTTCTTCGCCTTTCTCTCGCGCCCCCCTTTGCGTTGCTCCGGCGACCACATCCACCTTTTCCCCTCTCTCGCTTTGCAGCTAGAGCAGTCACCACTCCCCTCCCGTCGCACTCTCTGTCCCCTCGTCTTGGCCCGGTCGCGCGCGGCGGTTGTACTTTGTCGGAACCTTAGCCCGGTCCCCTCTTTTGCAGTAGCAGTTCTCTGTCGAACTCGCTGCACGAATGCAACCCTCTCCACTCTGTCTACCCGTGAGTGTGCGTACGAGAGAGGAGCGCACGTGCTTCCCCCGCCCGCGCCTCGTCGCGAGCAGAGCAAGTTCCGCCTCGAGCCTCCTCCCCTCGCTCTCCCACCACGGCCACTTGCTGGCCCGGCAGCGGCTGCCATGTTTACGAGCTTCTCCCAGGGAGATGACCACCCTGCCAACTGGAACGGCGCGCTCACCTCTCTCCTCGCCCGCCTTCACCGCCTCATCAGCTCACGCCCTCTTCGCCGACGACAGACACACCCGCGTACCTCCCCGGCCGCTTCCACGCGCACGTCCGACCCTCCTCGCCGCCCATCGGCTCCTCCTCGCGCACCGGCAGCGTCCCCCTGTGCTCCTCCTCCTCGCCCGGCGCCCTCCCGTCCTCGCCCACGACCTCGACGGCCGCCGACGCGCATGCCCGCCAGCGCTCGCGCACCCGGCCGCTCGGGAGGGCGCTCCTCGCGCTGTCGGGCACCAAGAAGCGCGAGCTGCGGGAGCGCGAGGAGGAGGAGGAGCGCGCCGCGCTGCTCGGAGCGTGGATCGGCGGCGGTGGGGGAAAGAGCGCGGCGAGCGGCGGCGGCGGGGCGGCGCTGCAGGCGGCTCTGGGCTTGCCGGCGGTCAACGAGGGGCCCGAGGCGGAGGACGAGGACGAGAGGGGGTTCCTGCGCCCGGGGAGGAAGCGGGTCGAGCGGTGGATGGGGACGTGGTGGAGGCGGTGGGCCGTCCTCGTCGGTGCGCCGTGCCTCTTGGTGCGCCCCGCTTTCTCCCCTCTCGCCCCGTCGAGCACCGAGCTGACTCGCGCGCACGCCATGCAGATCTGGCTCTGGTGCAGCGTGCCGTTCCCGGTTCAAGATCCGTACGACGAGCAGCCGCCGTGGCGTGCGTCGACGCCCTCCTCAGCCTCACTGCAGAGCGTCACTGACGCACACTTGCACCCGCAGACATCCCGTGGCCGCCGCCGCCAGCCGACCCGCCGAGCTCGCGCTTCGAGAGCCTCCTCGTTCGCCTCCCGTGGCTGCATCCGCCGGTCGCATCTTCGTCCGCTCTCGAGCTGCCGCCGCATCTGGTCGTCGACGAGCCGCTTGTCGTGCAGCTCGTCCCTCGGCGACGTCAAGACGAGGGCGTCGAGCTTGCTTCGCCGGTCTTTCTACCAGCTCGGCGCGGCGAGGAGGTCGGCGCGCCAGACCCAGAGCCTGTGCTACCTGTCGACGCCAACTTCTACTTCTTCCTCGTGTGCTGTACGTCCCGCACTCTTTCTTGTGCCGATCGTCGCGGATCCTGACTGACCGAGTACTCGTCTGACGCAGACTACGGCTTCTACGTCGCCATCGCGCTCGTCTTTGTCACCAAGCTGTTCGACCTCTATGTACGTCGTCCTGCATCCTCGTCACACCGAGGCCGACCTGACCTCTTCTCGCCGATCCTATAGCGCCTCAACTGGTGGCCCTCGAGCCTCGGCGGCGGCGCGTCCTACACCGTCTTCTGGGCCCTGTCGCTCACGGCCGGCTTCGCCCTGCACCACTTCGACCTCGACGGCTTTGGCGACCGCACGCGCTCGAGGAGGAAGCACAAGGGCCCGGGCGAGCAGGTGTGGGACTGGCAGCGCAAGACGATCTGGGTCCTGCTCGCGTTCGCCACCATGGCGCTCCCGGCCCTCGCGTGCTTCGCCAAGCTGCGCGCCGACCGACGCAACAGCTATCGGCGCAGCCTCACACCGGCGCAGAAGACGTTCGTCCTCCTTTCCCTGCCCTCGCTTGCCGACCTCGTCCTCCCGACCCCTGGACTGACCTTCCCTCTCGACGGCGTCTCGCAGGTTCCTCGAGCGCCAACTCGCGCAACGCATGCCCCGGTCGTACCGCCGCTTCCTGTGGTTCCTCGGCGTCCAGGCCCTCGCGCTCGTCGCCCTCATCATCGGCCAGGGCTTTGCCGCCGTCTACCTGTCGACCTTGCCGCACAACAACCTCGAGGGCCTCTTCTACGTGTGGTCGTGGGTCGTCACCGTCAACGTGCGTCTGCCTCTCTCCCTCAAGCGTCGATCCCGCCAACCCGCTCACGTCCCTCGCCCGCCGCCCGCAGCTCCTCAACGCCGTCAGCTCGTGGATCCTCCTGCGCAAGGTCCGCTCGCAGGCGCTCCTCTTCGTCTTTCGGTTCTACTTCTTCCTCGTGTACCACGTCTTCTACCGCAACCTGTTTGCGCGCCTGCGCTCGCCCGACCAGGCGGCCTACATCACGCTCCTCTCGTCGTCGGTCGTCGTCGTGTGGTACCCGCTCTCGATGAGCAGGACCGTGTGGCGCCTCTTGAGGTGGTCGACCGGGCTCGAGCAGGACTGGGCAGAGTATGCGGCGTCAAAGGGCGAGGAGCTGTACTTGCGCAACTTGAGCGAGTCGGTCACGAGTGCGTCCCCGTTTCTCCTCCCTCCTCGCGTCCTCTCCTTCCCCTCCTCGAGCACGTCTGACCTCGTCTCGTCCCACTCGCAGTGATCGCCTTCCTCGGCTGGCTCTCGATCCTCCACTGGGGCCCAAACCGCGCCATCTACCCCTTCTTCGCCTTCGACAACCGGTTCGACCCCTACACGTACCGCCTCACCTTGACGGCGTCGCTCGTCATCTACGCCGCCGAGCTCGTGTCGAGCTGGCTCGCGAGGATCGTCTGCTGGCTCGCGTACGGCGTCGACGTGACCAATGTGCGTCGTCGTCCTTCCTCTTTTCGCAACGAGCGGCTCGACTGACCTTCCCTCGTACGCCCGCAGCTCGGCCTCAACCAGTTTCGCGAGCATGTACGTCCTCATCTCTCTCTCTCTTTCTCTCTCTTGTCGGGGTCGGGGAGCGGACCGTGCGCGACGCTCACGTCCCCGTCTTCCTCGCGCAGCCCGAACTCGTCGTCGCCTGCGTCTTCACCTCGTGTCACGTCCTCTCGGACATGCTCCTGTGCGTCGGCCCCCTCTCTCTCTCTCTCGTGCACCTCGTGCGACTGGCACTTGGCGCACGTACTGATTGACGGCGATTCGCCGACAGATTCCTCGTCAAGCTCAACTTTCGTTGAGGGCCCTCGCCGCCTCAGCCTGTTGCTGTAGCTCTCCCCTCGCCGACCGCTCTTCGTACTGCAACGCGTGTGTCTATGAAGCCCGTACAGAGCGATCCTCGAGCGCCATCTGCCCCGAGAGCGCGAGTCGAGAGGAGGAAGAGCGAGTCCCTCGACTTGGGAAGGTCACTGCCGCTCGTCTCGAGCGCGATGGTAGCAAGCGTGTCTCGCGACGGTCTCGCTGCTGCTCGGCGACGCCGTGCGACCGAACGACCGAGGAGAAGCAGCTCGAGGTCCGTGCGAGCCAAGTCGCAAGTTGAGAAGGTCACTCCTGCACTCCTCGAGAGCGGGGCTGCAGCTATCGTCTGGGCAGCTCGAGCTGTGCGACACCGCTCGCTCGTTGCTGTCGTGATCGCATCGACCGAGAGACGCCGCGTCGCTGCTCTCGGTCGACGCGCAAAAGTGCTCAAGCGGCTCGAAGCTTCGCCTCGCTCTCGAGCTCACCCAGCTCTCCAGACGCACGTTCTGTCGCCAAGGAAGCACGACGATGCACAAAGAGAAGAGAAAGGGAGCTAAAACGACCCGCCGCCGCTCAACGCTCGAGCCCACGCGCCGCCCTCAGCTCCCTCCTGTGCCGCCTGAACGCGGGCGAGAAGAGCTCGCCCTCGGGCAGCTCCCCGTCCCACAGAATACGCACGCCCTTCTCGACGCAGAGCTCCTCGACGATGCGCATGCTCTGCGCGACGACCGGCGTCGTGTCGACGACGCGACGCAGGTTTGGCGGGAGGATGAGAAGACGAGGCGTGGTCGAGGAGGGTAAGGGAGGGGTGAGTTGGAGGGACTTGGCGAGGTGGGAGAGGGTGTCATTGGCGGATGCGTAAAAGTGGAAGGGGAAGGGGGTCGGAGACGGTGTGGAAGGGAAGAGATTGAGGCCGGCCGGATTCGAAGTAAAACGACGAGGGGGGAGCGTGCGTCTTGCGCCAGCTCGTAGTCGACAGGAATCGACAAGTCGTTGCTCTGCAGGATGTCGAGCTGACCGAGGAAGTCGGGCGACACCACTTTGTCGAGCCTGATGGTCCGAGAGAGAGGGCCGCCGACCAGGTCGACAAGGTGGACCTCGCGCAGGTGAGGAAGATGTACGGCTTGCAGCTGCTGCTGGACCCATGCCGAACTTGTGGAGACCCGGCGTAGGCAGAGCTCCTCGAGGGCCGGGAAGGTGGCGCACGTACCCTCGAGCAGCGCGGCCTCGTTGACGTGAAGCCGGCGCAGCTCTGCAGAACGGCACAGTCGTTAGTTCTCGGGACTGAGGATCGTGAGAGGCGAGCTAACACGCACCGCAGAAATGGCTGAGGAGCATAAAGTCCAGGAGCGGCCAGGAGTGGATGCGGATCTCGACGACCTCGGGCAGGACCGAGGATAGATTGGCGACGGCCTGGTCGCCCGAGAGCATCGTCGAGGGCACGACCGCGAAGAATTTCGTGTATCGCCCGAGGGTGCACGGCGCGGCCGCGACGAGATGATCAAACTGCTCAGGCGTCCAGATGGCGACTTGGCGCCACAGCCTCGGCTGGGCCAGGCGACGCAGCCTGCGCGACGAGAGGCAGACATTGTGGAGCGTCTCCTGCCTGGCGTGGTACTCGCAGTACCCGTGCGCCGGCGTAGCGAGCTCGTCGAGGATCATGACGAGGACGTCGTCGATGAGGCGGTCCGACATGATGAGGACGCTGAGGGTGCGAGCGAAGTCAGTATCAGGGATGCGCAGAGACAGAGAGGAGCGAGCAGGACGTACCGATGTACCAGATGAGGACGACGAGACGACGAGATGTGAGGCGGATGAGGAAGGGCGACGAGCGACGACTGGCGAGAACGGACGACACTGTGAAGGCGAGCGAGGTCAGTATCGAGCCTGCAGATCGAGGCAGAGGGCAGAGCAGGACGTACCGAGATGAGGATGAACAAGGTCTGCTGGTGTCGGGAGGACGAGGAGACGAGCGACGGCGAGCGAAAACCGAGGACTCTGCGAGGACGGGGTGAGTCAGTACGACAGACGCAGAGAGAGAGCGAGAGGTGAGAGTAGGACGTACCGACGATGAAGATGGACAAGGCCGGTCGACGAGAAGTGAAGCGAGGGAGGAAGAGGCAGGACGAGCGACGACGGCGAGCGGCCTGCTCGTCGGAACGTCCGCCAGAAAGCTCGACCGCGTGTCTCGGCAGCGTGTGCCGGCGCGATCAGAGCGGCGCCGGCCGGCCTGAGCAGCACGCGAGAGGCTCAAGCGTGCACGCGCACGGACCCCTCCTCACCTTCTCGCCGGCCTCTCTCGCGCCTCTCGCTCGCCGCCACCTCTCCTCGCGCAAGAAGACGGCCGCACACGTGCATTCCAGCTCAAGAGAGGCTACTCGTCCTCCTCTGCATCCCAGAATCGCGCCCGCTCCCACTCGACCCCACTCGCCGCGTCGTCGTCCGCGAAGAGCACGACCGGCTGCCGGCTCGAGAGCTGTACGCTGTCCGGCGCGTCGGACGCGAGGAGGGACACGAGCGCATCGCGAGATGAGGTATCGGGGAGGAGGTAGGCGAGGCGGCGAGTGGCGGAGAGGATCGAGGGAGCGAGGGCGGTCGACTGGCGAGTCGAGGCGTCGGGAGAGTCGAGCGAGGTGACCCAGTGCATCGCCGAGTGTGAGGCGGCCGTCGACGAAAGATGCGTGAGTGAGGTACTCGAGGAGCGAGAGAGAGAAAGAGAGAGAGAGAGCACGCACCCGAGTCTGCGGCGCCGAGCAAGATCAGGTCAAACCGCGGTACCTCGCCCTCAGCCGGCTCGAACACCCTCGCGAGCTGGTCCTCGTAGTCTTGCACGACGTCGTCAACGCCGTTGTTGAACACGTGGACCTTGCCCGAGCAGACCGGGACGCGCGAGAAGAGCTCGTCGACGAACCGCTTCGTGACGTCGATACCGGCGGACGAGGATGCGCCGTCGCTGGCGAAGAAGATTTCCCTGGCGGCGAAGAGAGTCAGTATCTGCTGCCGAGAGCGAGAGAGAGGCTCGGATCGCACCACTTGTCCCACTCGACGCGCTCGTCGAGGCCGAGGGCCTGCGAGAGGAGCTCGGGCAGCGCTCCTCCGCCGAGCGCGATGCGGAACGCGCCTCGTCGGTCGACCGACTGGACTTGCGCTGCGAGAGGAATGAGTAAATGGCTGTGCGGCTCGAGTCGGGCTCGGAGGGAAAGAGGCGACGGACCCTCGACGATGAATTGGGCGACCGCGTCGAGCAACTCCCTCGCACTCGCGAGCGGCGGGAACGAGAAGAGGACGGGCAGGACGGGCTCGAAGTGCGACAGGGTCTGTGGGAGGCGAGGAGAATCAAAGAGGTCCGAGCGCTCGAGAGAGAAAGGGGGATGAGGACGTACAAAGCGGTCGAGCGTCAAACATTGGTCGCCTGGGTCGCGCTCGTCGTCCTCGGCCCTCATACTCTGCCGCCTGCCGCTGTACTGGCTCCCGTCCTCGCTCTGGCTGTCGTCCTCGCTGTCGCCCGCCGCCGCCGCGTGCAGCTCGTACTCGCCCTCGTCGCCGAACAGGACCGGGCCGAGCTGAGGCGAGTCGTCGAGGCCGAGGGCGGCCTGCAGCCCGGGCGAGACGAGGTACGGCGAGTCGAACGAGCCCGAGTAGTCGAGCGTCGACGACAGGGTCGAGGTGACGTCGAGCGTGTAGTCGTTGTCGTCGTGCGCGGTCGCGTCGAGCTCGTCGCCCGAGTCGTCATCGGGCTGCTCGACAGGGACGGGCAGGATGGTCGGGAGCGACGTCGAGAGGGCACTGGCGGGGCGGATGGTCGGCGAGGGCAGCGGCGAGTGGGCGAGGTCGACAGGCTCGAGCGCGCTCGGCTCGATCGAGGCCGTCGGCGACGAGTAGGTGAAGCGCGGCGGGCCAGCCGCCGCGTCGAGGAGGATCTGTGGGAGGGCGATCGGCTGCGGCGAGTGATCAGTGCGGCCCCGATAGGCGAGAGAAAGAGAAAGCTGAGGCGCACCTCGGTGGCCCACTGCGCATCCTCGCCCTCCTCCAGCTCGAGCTCGCCGAAGCTGCCGCCCTGCGCGCCCGGCGTCTCGACCGCCGGCGTAAGAATGCCGCTCCACGTCCTCGACGTGCTGCCGCTCGTCACGTTCTCGGTCACCTCGGTGATGCTCGACAGCGGGCGCCCTTGGTGCGTGTACGACTCGAGGAAGTCGTCGAGGCCGTCGCTGCTGCCGCCGTTGGCGGGAGAGGACGGCGACTCAGGCGAGAAGGACGACGAGGCGAACGGGTCGTCGTCGACGTAGCCGCTCGGCGTCGCGGGCTCGTTCGTCCACGTCGACGGGTCGTCGAGGACGAGCGCGACCGGCTGCGGGACCGTGCGGGCCGACGGCTCGCGGATCGTCGACGACGACGTCGATGATGCCGCCGGCGGAGGGTACAGGACGAACGTCGGGTAGACGGGCGGGTACAGGACGAGGGACGGGTAGGCGAGGTCGTTGCGGCCCGAGGTGGTCGAGAGCGCACCGACGTCGTGCGACGAGGTCGACCGCTCGGCGGCACGTGGACGGATCGTCTTCGAGGGAGGGCCGACAGGCAGAGCCATCGACGACTGCGTGAGACCGTACAGGCCCCGCATCGGGTAGATCCCGCTCGCGTAGTCCTCCTCGTACCGCGCTCGCGCTCGCGTCGCCGTCTCGCCCGGCGCCTCGCCCGCCGCTTCGCCGACGATGCTGAGGAGGAACTCGCCGAGCGTGTCGTTGGCCGACGTGGTGACGCTGCCAAAGTGCGACGGGTGGTCGACGCCGACGACGAGCGACGTCTCGCTGATCTCGCGCAGGCGGTCGAGCTGCGTCGTCCAGTCCGAGTCGGGCGGGATCGCCGAGGTGAAGAGGGCGTCGCTGTCGCGCGACGAGGACGCGGTCGAGACGTTGGACAGGGAGCGCGGGAGCGGCCGAGGGAAGGCGAACGTCGATCCCGAGGCGGTGAGGGTGATGGGCGACGGCTCGGGCGGCGAGGTGGCGGCAGGCTGGCGCTCGACGCCTCGCGACGGCGTACCCTCGTCAAAGCCGCTGTCGTTGACGGTCGACTTGACGAGGTGCGCCGGCAGGACGGCGGCGCGCGGCGTCGTCGCCTCGATCTCGGCGCCGAGGCCCGCCTTGACGTCGCCGCTCGATGACAGGGCCGACGTGACGCTCGACGAGCGCGCCTGCGACTGGTACCTCCCGCTCGCCTGGCTGACGAGCGAGAGCGGGCGGTGCGACTCGAAGCTCGTGCGCGGCGTCGACGTCCTCGGCGTCGTCGGCGCGCTCAGGCCGTCGCGCGGCGAGGAGGACGGGTCGCCGTCGTCGTCGGTCGTGTGCGACTCGCTGACGTAGATGTCGGAGAAGGAGGGAGTGACGGGGCGGACGTAGGACGACGAGGTGCGGTGCAGAGGACGCTCGAGTCGGAGGCTGAGGGCGGGCGACAGGGGAGGCACGACGTCGAGCGACTCGGCCCTCGTCGGAAGCCCGCCGGCGCGCCAGTCGTCGAGCCACCGAGCGCGCCGAGGATCAAAGTCGAACTCGATGCGGCCGACGATCGCTGTGTCGCAGGCAGGAAGGAGGGGTCAGTCGGGACGCGAGGTCAAAGCGCCGGCGAAGAGAGGGCCAACTCACGCAGTCCACCTGCGCCGGCCATACCGTGCGCGACGCCCTCGTCGTGGAAGTAGTCGGCCCACAGCGCTGGCCAGAACTCGTCGGTCAGGCGCGGCTTGAGGCCGCCATCGACGGCTTGAGGACCCGACAGGTGCGGCGACCAGCTGCTCATGCCGTGCTGTATTGCGGATGTCGTCGAGGTCGACGAGTCGGACGGCAGGGCGAGGTACAGGGACATACCGGCGACCGAGGGCAGGCCGTACTCGCGCGCGATGAGCGAGACCTGGGACGCGAGCTGCGAAGCACACGGGCAGGACCGCGAAGTGGAAAGTCAGCGCCCGGCCTGACAGACCAGTAGATAACGAGGACGAGTGGAGACGCACCGTCGACTGGAGCGCGACGAGGATGCCGCCCTCGAAGCGTCCGGGCGCGCCGTACCCGTTCGCCCACCCGGGCACAGCCGGAGGCGGCGGATCGTGCGGCAGGCTAGTCGGCGGAACCTGTCAAGGGGATGGTGAGGCTGCAGTCAGTAGAGTGCCGAGCAGGGGGAAAGAGGAAGGAGGGACGCACAACGAGAACGAGCCACTTCTTCCTCGTGCGCTTGAGCCCACCGCCCTCGACCGACCACCTCGTCTCGCTCGTCCGGTCCCGCGGCCTCGACACGATGCGCTCCGGGCTCAGGGTCGCCGCACCGAGGCGCTGGATGGTCGGCGAGGCCGGGTGCACCTCGCCGTGGTCGCGCTCCTCCTCGCTCTCGCCGTCCTGCTCGCCGTCGCGCTCCGCCTCGCCCCTGTCCTGGTCCCGCACCCCCTCGACACTGCCCGCCGTTCTCGTGCCGCTCGACGACGGCTGGGCGGGCGGCGGAACGAACGCGGGGAGGAAGGGCGCAAAGGGAGGAGCGCAGGACGACGTCGGTGGTCGAGCGGCGACGGTGCCCGATCTTGCGCGGCGTGCGACGCCAGGCGGTGCTGCAAGTGCTGGCGAGGTAGACGAGGCAACGTGCGGCTGAATGGCGGCCCGTGACGAGGTGCGGGGTCGGCTGGGTCGAGGACGGCGATGAGGGAAGGCGAAAGGAGAGGTGGGCGAGAGGGGCGACAGGCTGGATGGGCCGCGCGGCAGCGATGCGGTTGCTATGCACGACGAGGCGAGCGTCGAGCCCGAGAGTGACGAGAGGCAAGAGGGCGAGGGAGAGAGCCGGGTCCTCGTCGAGCGCGTCCACGTCGCGCTTGAGCTCGAGAGGGCTCGAGCGGAAACCCGTCTCGCATTTTGTCTGCCTCTCCTGCCAAGCGACGTCGATGGCATGCGGCACTCTCGTTGCTCACACATCGACTTGCAAGATGCTCGTGCGCCCGCCGACGCACCTCCCTCTCCTCACCCGCTCGACCCGCCGCCGACCCTTCACAGCTTCCACTTGCCGAAGAAGGCGTCGAAGGCGGCCAGCGCGGTCCACTTGCTGTTGACGCAAAGAGGGCGAGTCAGCCTCCTTCAAGTAGCCCCGCACGGTCGGGCAGAGCTCGACTTGAGCGAGGCGAGGAAGACGAGGAGGACACGCTCGACGCACCGGTTCTCGGCCTCCTGGAACACGACCGACTTGTCGCCGTAGAAGACGGCGTCGTCGACCTCCTCCTTGTGGCGCGGGAGGCAGTGCATGAAGACGGCGTCCTTGGCCGCGCCCTTGAGGAGCTCGTCCGTGATCTGGTACCCGGCAAAGTCCTTGAGGCGCTTGGCCGACTCCTCCTCCTGGCCCATCGAGATCCTGCGGGAGGGACGAGCGAGGGGTCAGGGCGGAAGGAACGGGAGCGGCTCGAGGGGGAGGAGGGGCGAGGCGGGACGCACCACGTGTCGGTCGTGATGACGCTCGCGCCCTTGACGGCCTCTTCAGGGCTGTGCGTGTGGATGATCTTGCCCTTGCCGCCCTCCTTGGCGATGCCGTCGTTGGCGCGGTCGAGCGCCTCCTGCATGAGCGGGTACCCCTCGGGCGTCGCGATCTGGAGGTTGACGCCGAGGCGAGGGTACGTGACCATCATCTCGTTGAGGATGTTGTTCGAGTCGCCGACCCAGGCGATCGTGAGGCCCTCGAGCGACGATAGGTCGGTCGTGAACGGCGTGCGCAGCTCGACGAGCGTCTGCAGGTCGGCGAGGATTTGCAGCGGGTGGTACAGGTGCGACAGGGCGTTGATGACGGGCACGGTCGAGTGCTTGGCGAGCGTCTGCGGAGGAAGGTGGGGTCAGTAACCCGCCTTGACGGTAAAGGGGGCGCAGGGACGCACCTCGACCTCGGAGTGGTGGCCGACGCGGGCGAGGATGCCGTCGACCATGGAGCTCACGACGCGCGACGTGTCGTACAGGCTCTCGTTGACGCCCAGCTGGATGTCGGCCGAGCCGAGGAACATGGGTGCGCCGCCTGTGAGGGGGCAGAGTGAGAGGTCAGCTCGCCGCTCCTCTTCTCGTCCTCGGGCCGTGGTGGGGAGAGCGAGCGAGGGCGCACCGAGGAGCTTGACGGCCGTCTCGCCCGACACACGCGTGCGAGTCGAGCGCTTGGAGAACATGAACGCGATCGTCTTCTCGTCGAGGCTCTTGCTCTTGACGAGCTCTGCCTCGCCCGCCCCTGCGCCCTCCTCCTGGAACTGCGCGCCGGCGATGCGTCCCGCCTGCGGGATGGCGCGGCTCTTGTAGTGCTTCTTGAACGCGACGGCGTTGGTGATGAGGGTCTGGATCTGGGGCACGGACAGGTCGGCGAGGGTGAGGAGGTGCGGCGGGGCGAGGTTGGACTGGGTCGGGTGGAGCGTCGGCACGGGCGCAGAGCCGGTCGACAGGGCGCGGTACGACACCCGCGCGATGCACGAGCACCGCGTGCGGGCCAAGGACGAGCTGAGCATGCTGGGCGGGCGGAGCGATAAGGGCGAACGGCCGCCCTCTCATCTCTTCCTCCTCCCGCCCGAGAGAGAGTCAACTTGGCCGTGTCGCTTTCCTCCAGCTGTCTCTCTCGCTCTGCAAGAGCTTCGCGGGTCAAGATTACGACAAGATGCAATGCAAGAGTACGGCCCGTCCCAGAATCCTCGTCCTCAGTCGTCGTGCAGCTGCGGGTCGACGCGGTTGTCCGACGTGAAGCCGCGCTCGAGGTCCATGTGCATGACGCTCGCAAAGACGGCCTCGACGCTGTACACCGGGCGGCTGTACGGCGGCTGCACGAGCTTGTCCCACTCGCGACGGTCGGCTGGCGTCGAGATGACGAGCGCGTCGGGCTCGTCGGCAATCTTCTTGAGCGTGCGCGACAGGTCCTTGACGTGCACCTGCGGTCGAGGGAGAGGAGCGACTTCAGTGAGGGCTTCTTGAGAGGAGTGGCGTGACGAAAGGGCACGAGGCGAGGCCGGCAGGGGAGGAAAGGAGAGGGAGAGAAGAGGGAGACGCACGACTGCGCCCGCCGCCTGCAGGATCCTCTGCATCGTCGCACAGTCCGGCTGGACCTGCCGCGTGACGTACACGGACCGCCCGCCGAACAGCTTGCCCTTGCGCGCACGCGCGAGGATGGCCTCGAGCGTGTCGCCAATCTCGGCCTCCTTCTTCTTGTCCTTGAGGAGGTACGGCGCCTCGTCTGCTCAACGTCGAGGGTCAGTGTCAAGTGGACAGTGTGGAAGAGAGAACTCGAGACGCACCGACGAGCTTCTTGGCCGACACGCAGGCGTCGATCCACCGCTTGTCCACGATCTTGGGCGCGAACGGTAGGCCTGCTCGAGGGCGAGACAGAGTCAGCGCACAGGCCGGCCGAGCAAGACAACGAGGAGGAGGAAGAGGAGAGCGCGAGACGCACAGCAGAGGAACTTCTCGGTGCGCGAGATGCCCTTGACGACGAGGTGGGTCGCCTCGGACGGGCGGTCGGTCCAGGTCGCGCCGAGCGACTTGAGGGCCTGCGAGCGCTCGCATAGGACGTCAGTGAACGTCCACGAGGGGAGAGAGAGAGCGAGACGAGGCGCACCTTGATGTCGGGGGACGTCTTGTCGAGCTGGAGGCCGGTCGAGATGATGCGGATCTTCTTGGCGACGCTGCAGGCGTCGACGCGAGGTGAGCGACCGTGCGCGAGAGACCGAGACGGAAAGAGAGAGGACGCACGGAGCAGGAGCCTTGGCGTTAGGCGGCTTGTCGAAGCTTGACACGGCGCCCGGGTCTTGCGTCGTCGTCGCCGACGCTTGGACCGCCTTGAGGCCCTTGTGCGCCGGACCGGCGCCGACCTTGGCCTTCTTCTTCTTGGGCTCGTCGCCGTCGTCGTCCTCGGGCTCCTCCTCCTCGTCGTCGTCGTCGTCACGCGCCGCCTTGGCCGAGCGCTTGCCCTTCTTGCGCGACGGCGCCGCCTTGTCGCCGACGGCCGCGCTCGCCTCCTTCTTGCGCCGCTTGACGACGCCCTCAGGCTCGTCCTCCTCGTCGCCGGCGCCCCTCGCACCCGCCGCCCGTCCGTCCTCCTCGTCCTCGCTCTCCTCGTCCTTGACGCGCACGCTCGCCTTCCTCGGGCTCCGACTGCGCCTCGCGCCCGCCGCACCCGCACCGCCCGCACCTCCCTTGCGCCCACTGCTCTTGAGCTCCTGCTCGTACGCGTTGCGGTCGCCCATCTGGGCGACGAGTGCCGCGCGCGCTTTGGCCGCCGCGCCGCGCTTCGAGCCGCCGACGACGAGGTTGGCGTCGCTGATGAGGGCGAACGTCTTGCCCATGGCCTTGGCCGACGGCGGGGGCGACTCGTCGGACGAGGAGGAGGAAGGGGAGGAGCGGCGAGCGGGGGAGGCGGAGCGAGGAGGGTCGGACAGGGGGGAGGACGCCTCGCGGACGACCTTCTTGCTCGAATTGGCCTTGGCCTGGCGCTCCTCCTTGCCCTTGCCCTTGCCCTTCTTCTCCTCCTTCTTGGCGCGCTTGGGCGGCGTCGCGAGCGGCGTCTTGTCCTCCTCCTCCTCGTCCGCCTCGTCGACGTCCATCGCCTCGGGCTCGGGCTCGGGCTCGGGCTCGTCCTCCTCCTCGGGCTCGCGCATCGCGGACCGCCGAGGCTGCGGCTGCGGCTGCGGCTGGAGCGGCTCGCGCTCCTTGCCCTTCGAGGCGGGCGCGGGCGCGGTCGCAGGTGCGGGCGCAGGTGCGGGCGACGGGACGGGCGATGGCGACGAGGAAGGCGGCGGCTGCTTGACGACGGCGGCGGCGGCGGCGTCGGCGGCAGGTGCGGAAGCGTTCGCCGTAGCGACGGCGGGCTCGGCGACGGGCGAGGGCGACCTCGTGCGGCGCGCCTTGGTGACCTTGGGCGCCGGCGCCGGCGCAGGCGAGGCCGTGCGCGTCGCGGCGACTGCGCCCCTCGTCGGCTCCGACTCGTCCATGCCGACCTCGCCGACGTGCGCCTCGCGGTCTCGCTCGCCCTCGCCCTCGCCGTCGAGCTCGAGCGCGCCCCGCAGCAGCTCCTCCTCCTCGCGCTGCAGCTCGCCAACGTCCCTCGTCGCGAGGGCCCTCGCCTCGCGCTGCTCGTCGAGTGCGGCCCAGCGCTCGATGCCCTCGCGCGTCCACGCCGTGTCGCCGAGGAGGGTCGTAAAGTGGGTCGCGCCCGCGCCGCCGGTGCCCGACGTGGTCGAGCCCGAGAGGGTGTAGGACGGGTGGGCGGTGGGCGGCGCGAGGCGCCACTCGAGGAGGAGGGCCTCGAGCCAGAGGTGCGTCACGAGGGGGAGCTCCCACGTGCGGGCGTGCTGGACCTTGGAGCCGAACTCGCTGTGGGCGTGAGGGCAGGGGTCCGGGTCAGTTCGAGGCGCTGCGAGTCCGGCGACGGCTGCACGACGAAGAGAGAGAGGAAGAGGAAGAGAGAGAGGGAGGGAGAGGGAGAGAGGGAGAGAGAGAGGGAAAGAGAGGGAGAGAGAGAGAAACGGAGGACGCACGACGCCGAAACGACATAGCTCGTCCCCTTGCTCATCGTCCCCTCGAACCTCGCCCCGAGGGCCTCGATCATGGCGCGCACATAGTCCCTCGCGGGGCCAGCATAGTTGCTCACCGTCATGACGACGTCGAGACCGCGCCACGCGGGGAGGCCCGTGAGGGACGGGACCGGGTAGTGGAGGAGGCGCGAGAGGGGCGAGGGGAGCGACGAGGTGGCGAGGCAGTGGAAGAGGTAGGCGAGGTTGCCGATCGTGAGGTTGGCGTCGTAGGCCTGTGGACGAGCAAATCGGCCTAACTCAGTCACGGCGCTCGACGAGTCGAGCACGGCGAGCCGAGAGAGAGGAAGAGAAGGCGCGACGCACCGTCCAGTACTCCCAGCCCTCCCTCGTGCGCAGGACGACAATGTCGCTCGCCCTGAGGCGCTTCTCGGCCTTGCGCCGCTTGGCCCACGCGTCCTCCCTCTCGGCCGTGCTCCCCCTCCTGCCCCTCGTCGCACCCGCTCCGGCCCCCTCCCGCTCCCCGAGCCCCTCGCCCTCGTCCTCCTCCTCCTCCTCGCGCCCCTCCTCCTCCCCCTCGCTCGCACCCAGCCCCAGCCCCACAGCCGACCCACTCCCACTCCCGCTCCCGCTCCCCCGCCCCGCACTCGCAAAGCTCCAGCACTCGCCGCCCGCGTCTTGGACCCGCGCCCTGAGCGCGCGCTCGAGCCCCTGCCCGAGCCCGAGGTCGCTCGCGAGGTACACGCGCTTGCCGGCGAACGGGCGTCGCGCGCTCGCTCCCGCTGCGGCAGGGCGGTCGGGCAGCGTCGCCGCCCCCGCCCCTGGACCGCCGCCGGCGCCCGCCGAAGCGAGGTACGCCGCGTCGTCATCGTCGCCCGCCCTCGCCGCGCCGGCGGCAAACGCGCCGCCGCGCCGCCGAGGGCCGAGGATGACGGCCGTTGCCGTGTTGGGCTCGGTCGCCGGGGGCGGGAGGCCCGCCTCGTGCTCGCGCGGGTGCGGCGTGGTCGAGTGGGCGGCGAGGCGCGTGCGCCAGTAGTCGTGCAGGCGGGTCGCGAAGGGGACGATGGGGGCTGGGGCGGTGGCGGTCGGGCGCGAGGAGGAGGAGACGGCGGTGGTGGTGGTGGAGGTCGAGGTGGAGGGTACGGGGCGGAGCGAGGTCGAGAAGGGGGGTGAGGGGAAGCGGTAGATGTCGATCGGGACGAGCGTCGACAGCTTGAGCGACTCTTCGAACCTGCGACAGCGTTTCGAACCATGTATCAGTCTCGGTGCCCTGCTCAAGACAGAGCACAGGGAGAGAAAAGCCGGCGCTCGGCAGCGGAACGCACCAATGCGGCAGCACGACGACGATCCCGAGCTCTGTGCCAAACTTGAGCGCCATCTCGTACTTGTGGCCGTGCGCGGCTGCGCACACGAGGTGCGTCACCTCGCGCGTGAGCTCGCGACGCGTCTGGCCGCCGAGCGCGACGACGGCCGCGTGGATGGCGAGCGTGTCGGGCTCGGGGAGCTGCGCCGCGTGGGAGGGGGAGGGGGAGGACGAGGCGGTGAGAGGAAGGAGGAGGAGGAGTAGGAGGAGGAGGAGAGAGACGGGTCAGTCGACTGTGAGGGGAACGGCGAAAGAGAGAGAGAGAGAGTGGGGGAGCGAGGCTCGCGCCTTACCTCGGACGTGCACACGATCGTGCCCGAGAAGAACAAGGCGCGGTCGGCCGAGTAGAACCGTGGTCTGTGCGGAGCGGGTCGAGCGTCAGTCTCTCGTCGCTACCGCAACGAGTCCAAGGCGGCAGGGCATCCGACAGAGAGCCCTGACGCCTGAGACGAGGGGAGCGCGAGAGAGCACGCACGGTTGGAGGACCTGCAGGTCGAACGAGCGCGTGACCCACGCCGGCTGTCGTCCATCGATGCGACCTGGTCAGTCGTCGGGATCACCCTCGTCGTCGCCGCGTCGTCTCTGCAAGAGAGAGAGAGAGGGACGCACCGTCACGACCTCGACCGCCGCGTCTGCCGCGCTCGCGCCGCCGTGTGCACCCGGCTCGTTGCGCGCTTGGACGAGGGCAAGCTCGGGAAAGTCGAGCGTGTCGGTGACGATGTGGGTGACGCGGGCCGGGTCGAAGCGAGGTGGGCGGGTCGCCGTCGAGGAGGAGGGGGTTGAGGTGGACGGGGTGGGCGGAGCCGGACAGGGGGAGCCGCCCCAGGTGATGAGGAGGTCGGTGAGCTGTTGGCGGGTAGGGGTGCGGGTAGGGGTGCGGGTCAGTCGGGGGGAGAGAGGGAGCCGGGCGGGGAGGAGGTGCGAGGGGGACTGACGGCGGCGCGCACGTCGGGGTGAACGGTGGTGGTGATGAAGAAGGAGACGCCGTTGAAGAGGTGCTCGTTGGCGTTCGGGGGTGCGGGCGGTGGTGCGGGCGAGGCGACCATCTTGGGGTGGAGGGTGGTGGGTGGCAGTTGGGGGCTAGCGGGGGTGCATGCTCTGAAGGGGGAGGGTTGTCAGGGGCTAGCGTGTGCCCTTTGTGAGCTTGTCGACGAGCGAGACGACGACCAGGAGGACCTCGTCGGAGGAACGCGACCGAGACGCGTCTGTCCTCCCCTCTCGCCCTTTGCCGCCCGACTCGCCCTCACAGCGCACCAGCTGGGCAGCCTTCGAGTGCAACACTCGCACCCTCTCACTCGAGCAGCCACCGAGAACCCGCCCTCGCCCCTCCCCCTCGACCGACCCCTTCCCCCTCCCTCATCAATCAACGACCCCTCATCTTCCTCGTTCCCTCACTCCGACCACCCACCATGGGCGACCGCCGCCGCACCCTCCAGCACTCCAACTCGGGCCTCCCCGTCCCTTCCTCCATCCCGCGCCCGCCCACAACCCTCCGTCACTCGCTCGCCCCTCAGCAACACGGCCGCCCCTCGCTCGCCGCCTCGTCGTCGTCCGCCGCCCTCCCCGGTCGCGCCCGCGCCTCGATTGCCCCGCTTGCCTCGTCCCAAGAGTCACAGGCCCAGTCGCAGGGCGGCGGCTCCCAGTTCTCGCAGGGCCACGGCGGGCCCCTCGTCCAGCAACAGGCGCCCATGACGGCCAGCCGCCAGGGCCACATGTACACGTCGGCCGCCGCCCAACAGCAGCAGCAGCAGCAGGGGGGAGGAGCGTTCGGAGGGAGCATGAGCGTGTCGCGCAACCCGGGCGCGCTCAGGAGCTCGATGGCCGTCCAGCACGACTATGCCCCGCCGAGGTGCGTCCAACTCTCTCTCTCTCGTGTGCCTCGCGCGCTCGAGCCTCGTACTGAACCCTCGAACGCCCACACAACAACAGCGAGCGCCGCACGTCGACCTACCGCCGCGGCACGCTCGGCACCTCTCTCGGCGGGCCCGCCATGATGGGCCTCTCGACGCCCGGCGGCGGCCCAGTCGGCCACATCGGCTCGTCGACGACGCACGGCCGCGCCCTCGCCCTCAAGGACCCGCGCGACTCGAAGCCGCGCCAACAGCGCGAGCGCATGGCCGACGACATTATGCAGTTCTGCGCCCTGCACCAGCACGCCGTCAGCCAAAAGGAGCTCCTGACGCCGACTGGGCCCCAGTTCGAGAGCATGTTCAAGTTCCTCGTCGACAAGTACGACCCGGCGATCCGGCTCTCGCCCGTCTCGTCGTCGTCGTCGGCGGCGGCCGCGGCGGCGGCGCAGGGCCGGGACAAGAACGCGGGCGCCAAGCTCGCCGACGAGGTCATGCAGACGCTGCGCGCCGTCCAGTACCCGTTCGCCGACTCGATCACCAAGAGCCACCTCCAGGCCGTCGGCTCGGCCCAGAGCTGGCCCAACATGCTCGCCATGCTCCACTGGTTCGTCAAGGTCATCGAGGTCCGTCCATCACGCTCTCTTTCTCCTCTCCCTCTCTCCCTCTCTCCCTCTCTCTTCTAGGGCCAACACCTGACCCCCCTCCCGCACACGACCCACACAGGCGCGCGAGCAAGCCTTTGCCTCGGACGTCGAGCTGCACATGCCCGCCGCCGATTTCGCGTCGCGCCCGCCCGGCGAGGACACGAAGCAGCACGCGTGGGTCGCCCACTGCGCCAACGTGTATGCCCGGTTCCTGTACGGCGAGGGCCAGCCGGTCGACCCGCACGACCCGGACAGCGCCTTCATGTTCCCGGACGAGGAGGACGTCCTTCGCGAGCTCATCGGTGCGTCCCTCTTTCTCTCCCTCTCTCTCTCCCTTTCTCGTCAGCGTGGGCCGGCGAGATGGGTACAGGGAAGTGGAACTGACGCGACCATATTGGGCCGACGCACGCAGAGCGCTCGCAGTTGGCGCTGCGCGAGCGCGTCGAGGCGGTCCGCCAGGAGCACGACGACCTCGAGCGAGAGTACAAGCTGCTCACCGCCAAGCCGGTACGTCTCGCCCTTTCTCTCACTCTCTTTCTCTCTCTCTGCGCCTCGACCACCTCGACGACGAGCTCGCCCCCGAGAGAGGGCGCGACTGACCCACCCCCCTCACCCCTCCCCTCGCGTCGCTCGCTCGCAGGACCCGATCCACGGCTTCCGCGAGTTCCGCGAGTCGCAGAAGCGCGACCTCGCAAAGGCCGACACGTGGCTGCGCGACCACGAGCGCAAGCTCGACAACGACCGGCGCGACAAGGTCAACGCCGAGAGGGAGATCGAGGTGGCCCGTGCGTCCCTCCCCTTCCTCTCTCTCGCCCACTCTGTCTTTCTCGGTGCGGCACGAGCACTGACACTCCTCGAACGTGGCGCAGTCAAGGACCGCGACGACAAGCGGGCGCTCCTCGCGCGGCTCGACCGCCAGGTCAAGGAGCAAAAACTGACGCCGCTCGAGATCCAGTCGCTGTCGTCGGACCGGCAGAACCTGACGCGGGCCATGCACGACGTCCAGTCGCGGTACCGCGCCGTCCTCGGCAAGACGATGAGCCTCGAGATCGACCTCAACAAGAAGATTGACGAGGCGACGGCTCTCTGCGGCGAGTACGACGACAAGGCGCAGCAGCTCGGGCTCCTCGACGGCCCGGTCAAAGGGTTCGAGCACGTGCCGTTCGCGCAAGAGGTCAACGGCGCGAGCGAGGCGCCCGTGCCCGAGGGCCTGTCGACCGTCGTCAAGCCGGCGCTGCAGAGCCTGCGCACCTCGACCCGCAACGAGGTGCGCGACCTGAGCCTCCAGGCGGTCAAGGTCGAGGAGGAGCTCACGCGCATCAACGAGGTCTTGGGCGACTTGGGCGACCGCGAGGCGCAGCACGAGCAGGAGCTCGATGTCGTCGACCGCGAGAAGGACCAGATGCAGCAGGTGCGCCCCCCTTCTCGTCCTCTCTCGGTCTCGTCTCTCTTTCTCCTCGTCGAGGGACACGCACTGATACTTGGAGTACTTGTGGCGCACGCAGGCTATCGACCGCGAGACGGCGACCTCGACCGCCGAGCTCGACCGCCTCCAGACCCAGGTGGCCGCCATCAGCGCGACCATGGAGCACGCCCTCGCCGTCGCCAACCACCGCTACGAGCAGCGCGTCGTCGAGTGCGTCCCACCTCTCTCTCTGTGTCTGCGCGCCCGCTCGTCGGGTCGAGAAATTGACCCCCTCCCCTCCCCTCGCGCCCTCCCTCGCAGGCGCATGGCCGTCAGCGAGCACACGTCGGCGCTCCGGCGCGCCAACCGCCAGGCGCTCGAGTCGGCCCTCGAGCAGTTCATGAGCTACAAGGAGCACATGGGCTCGGGCGCAGACCGCCTCGGCCTCCTCATCGACGAGGCCGTCGCGGCCGTCTAGCTCGCTCGCTCGCTCGCGCCCTCCCTCCTCCGTACACCCTTAATGATCACGCCCCTCGTCACGTCCCCTTTCGCCCTTTCGTCGTTGTCCTTCTTGTCCTCCCATTCCCTTCCCCTCGCGGCCGGCTCCCGCCAGCTCTCGGGCCTCTCCCTCTCTCGGTAGACTCCTTCTCGCTGTAACAGAGTTCTGTGCCCTCCCCGTCTCGTCGTCGTCGATGCGCTCTCGAGCTCGCAGCATGAGGGTACTGAGAGTGGATCGTCGTTGCCTCTCTATCGCCTCGCCGCGCTCGACCCCCTCCGCCTCCTCACCCTCCTCCCGACCGCCTCGTGCGCGCCCTCGCGCTCGCGCGTCCCCATGCCCTTTGCGCCAGGCCTCGCGCCCGTCCCAACGCGCCGCCCCGCCTCGGCCTTGACGAGCGCGCCCGCCTTCTCGCCGGCCCCGACCCGCGTCGGCGGCTTGAGGTCGGATGCGGCGCCCGAGCCGAGCCGGCCACCGGTGCCGATCTGAGGGCGGGGCGCACCGGCGGCTGGTGCTGCTGCGGGAGCGTCGTCGTCCGACGAGGAGGACGCCGCTTCGTCGGCGGCGTCGGCGCTGCTCGGCTTTTTCGCACCGCCTCGTCCGGCAGCAGCCGCGACGACGGGCGCAGCCGCCGCGTGCCCCTCGCTGTCCGCCGCCGGCTCGTCGGCGTCGTTGCTGCGGTGCGGCGCGGCGGGCACGATGGCGGCCATGGGGGCGCGCACCGCCGCGTCCTCGAGCGCTGCGAGGCCCGGCTGGTCGGCGAGGAGGTCGGCGTCGAGGAGCGCGTCGGCGGCCGCTGCGCCGGCCCCGAGGTGACTCGACGAGGTGCCTGACGACGAGGAGGAGGGGCGCGAGCCGGCGGCGTCGGGGTCGGCGTCGTCGACGAGGTCGTCGAGCGGAGGAGCGGTGGCGGAGCCGGCCTTGCCGAATGGCCGAGGCCGCTTCTTGGCGGCCTGCGCGCCCTTGGGTCGAGCGAGGCCCGCCTCGTCGTCGACCTCGTCCGTCTCGACGACGGCAGCGAGCGCTCCCTCGCTCGCTCCTCGGCCCTCGCCGCCCGCCGCCTCGCCCTCTCCTCGTGCCGCGCCCTCGCCCGCCTCGGACCTCCCTCCTCCGCCCCATCGGTCCCTCAGCGCCGCCGCGGCCGCCTCCCTCGCGCGCGTGCTCTGCTCGAACGCGGCCGCGAAAGGTCGCCGCGCCGTGTCGCTCAGGCGCGCGGCGACCCCTCCTCCACCCTGCTCGGCGGCGTCGCTCGTGCTGAGGAGGGCCGTGCTGCAGAAGAGGAGGGCGACGAGGGCGACGAGGGCGAGGGAGCGGCGGTGCGCGTGGACGACGGCGGGGAGGAGGAGCGCCGTGCGAGAGGCGGAGCTCCGGCGGCGGGCGTGCGCGGTCGCGCTCGACGAGGACGAGGGCGGGTGTGCGCCGGGCCCGAGGGGCAGGGCCGAGTAGGCGGTGGGCATTGGGCTCGAGCTGGTGGCGCCGCGCTGCGAGAGAGGGGGAGGCGAGAGCGAGTGGAGGAAGGAGGTCGGGCGGGGGTTGAGCGATCCTGGGCCACGAGGCGAGGCCGAGGGTCGGGTGCTGGGCGGGCAGAGAGCGCTGGAGCTGGTCGTCGAGCAGTGTACAGTGAGAAGCTGAGAGAGCGCGGTTCCCACACGCTGAGAGGCGAACGGCTGGTGCGCCAACTTAGCCCCGATCGCGAGCCAATTGGAGCCCACCGGCCGGACGCAGCGATTGCTCGGACGCCGCGGACTTTGTACTCAGAGCTGGACGCGGGGAAGGACCGCTAGCGCTCCTCCTCGTCCACGCTCGCTGCTCTTGCCCTCGACTAGCAGGGCCACGGACCCAGCAGCTACCCTCGCCTCGGACCAGCCTTCCGCCCGCCCGCGCCAGTCTCGCGCGCGCCCCACCTCGCCACGCCGACGGCCTCGCCCCGCTCGTTTCGACCTCCCCTCCCTCGCGCTCAGCACACCTGCGCGACAGCCACCTCGAACCCGACCAGCACATCAGCCCCAGCCCACGCCGTCACCACCCGAGCGCGCCGAGCCATGGCCGCCAACCTGCCCGACGACGTCGTCCTCCTCATCCTCGAGCAGCTCGCCCACCCCGCGCACACGCCCGAGTCGTACCGCGACCGCCAGAACCCCCTGCGCAACGTGTGCCTCGCGTCCCGCCGGCTCCGTCACCTCGCGAGGCCGCTCCTGTGGCGCCAGGTCGCCGTCCGCTCGCCCCGACACCTCAACTGCCTCCCGGCGTCGCTGCTGGCCGTCGTACTCGGTCGTCACACGCGGTCCTACACGGTCGTCGGCTCGGTCATCCTCGACCTCGCCGACGCTGTCGGCGTGTCGGACCTGTTGCCCGAGGTCGTCGACTTGCACCTCACGTCGGCGCCCCTCGTCAGTTTCAAACTGTGCTTGCTCGAGCCTTTTGCCCGTGCGTCGAGCCTCTCTCTCCCTCTCTCAGGTTCCCCCGACGACCCACGAACCTCTCTGACTGCTCGCCCGCTCTCGCAGACCTGCGTCGTCTCCATCTCGGACTCGCCCACCTGCCTCGCGACGCCCTCGCGACGTTGCCGGTCCTTGAGGAGCTCTGCGTTCGCCAAATCTGGTGCACGACGCGCGAGCTACATGCACAGCTGCTACCAGCACGTGTGCCTCGCCTGCGCGAGCTGCACCTCGTCCAGGTCAAGGACATGACCTCGCCGACGACCGTCCAGCTCGCCGACGTCGTCCCGCCCGACCTCCTCCCGCAACTCGACCTCGTCCAGACCGACTCGGCGTCGATCGACCCGACGAGCGACCTCGCGCAGAGCCTCGCGCCGCCCGTCCTCGTCTTTGGCCCTCCCGCCGCCGCCACCGGCCCGCCCCGACCGCTCCCGCGCCACTCGATCTCGCAGCCCGCGCGCTTCAAGGACGCCCGCACCGCGACCGACACGCTCGCCAAGCTCGCCGCCTCGACCCGCCTCGTCCCGATCCGCCACATGCGCGACCCGCCGTACCTCGTCCTCCTCCCCCTCGCGCTCCGCACCCTTGCCGCCGCCGAGCCGAGCGTCGCGCCGCATCTCGCGGCGCTCGAGGCGCTGTTCGCAGAGAAGCGCGTCGTCGTCGAGTGGACCGAGGACTTGCCCGAGGGCGAGCTCGTGTCGCCCGAGTTCCGGCGGCACGCGAGGGAGCTGCGGGCTGCGAGGGCGCTCGAGGGAGAGTGAGCGGCGAGGCGGCAGCGAAAGGCCGGTGTAGCGCGGTGCGTCGGTGCATCGTCTATGGTCGTGCAGGCGTCGCGGCGAGGGAGCGGCTCGCGAGAGGGTCCGAGCGGGAGGGGAGAGGGAGAGCGCGAGAGTGGGTCCGTGCGCTCGCCTGCTCGCTCGAGCCTCTCGCTTGCTGCTCAGGCCGGCGCCGCCCCGATCGAGCCGACGCACGCTTCCAAGACACACGCTCGAGCCTTCCTGCCGGACTTACCGACGAGCAGGCCGCTCGCCGCCGTCGCTCGTCGCTCGTCGTTCCCTCGTCGTCCCTCTTCCTCCTTCGCTTCACTTTTCGTCGATGGGCCTTGTCCATCTTCAGCGTCGGTGCGTCCTACTCTCTTCTCTCTCCTTCTGTGCGTCTCTCTGGTACTGACCCACCCCGTCCTCGCAGAGTTCTCCTCGGTTTTCGTTCGTCGTCGCTCCTCGTCCTCCCGACGTCGACCAGCCTTGTTCATCATCATCTCGGTACGTCCTGCTCTGCCCTCTCTCTCGATCTGCAGGCTCGGTACTGACCTCGCTCGCCTCCACAGTGTCCTCCGTCCTCGCCGGTCGTCGCTCGTCGCCCATCCTCATTCGTCTTGCTTCTCGTCGGCTCGTCGCCCTCATCTGAATCTTCGGTGCGTCCTGCTCGCTTCTCTCTGTCTCTGCGAGTCGCCGATACTGACCTCGCTCGCACTCACAGCGTCCTCATCATGTCGGACCGCCTCATCGACGACGTCCTCGTCATGATCCTCGACGAGCTCGCTGCGCCGGCGCACGGGTACTACGAGTACTACGCCAGGCAGGAGACGCTCCGCAACGTCTGCCTCTCGTCGCGCAGGCTGTGCAGCCTTGCCCAGCCAAGGCTGTGGCGCCAAGTCACCATCTGGACGCGCGAGCAGTTTGAGCTACTTGTCGCGGCTGCGCCGTGCACCCTCGGGCGAAACACCAAGTTCTTCACGGTCGTGACCTCGACGACGCTCTCAGGCGACCAGGCCGTCGCCAGGCTAACCTCGGTCCTGCCCGAGGTCGTCGAGATCCGCATCGGCTCCTTGCCGCACCTGGACTTTGCGCTCCTCAGCCAGTACCGCAGTACGTCCTGCCTTGCCTCTCACGATCTTCAGTCCCGAGACCTAACGACTGTGCCGTTCTGCAGACCTGCGCCGGCTTCACGTCAACGAGGCCGAGCTGCTCGAGGGCCCGTGCGCTACCTTCCCGGCCCTCGAGGAGCTCTGCCTGCACCGGGTCTCCACAAGTTCGGCATGGGTCCAGCAGCAGCTGCAAGCCGTACATCTTCCTCACCTGCGCGAGGTCCACCTTGTCGACCTGGTCGGCGGCCCTCTCTCTCGGACCATCAGGCTCGACAAAGTGGTGTCGCCCGACTTCCTCGGTCAGCTCGACGTCCTGCAGGCCGACACCCTGTCGACCCCGGTCGACTATGAGCTGGCGCAAGACGCACGTTCCCCCGTCGTCATGTTCCATTCCGGATTCGGTCCGCCTGAACCTCTTTCCTTCCACACCCTCTGCGTCCCCTTCATCTTCCGCGATCCCACCACCGCCTAGACCACCCTTTCGTCCCTCGCCAAGCGGCTCCAACTCACCCCTCCCTTGCCCTCCTCGACCACGCCTCGTCTCCTCATCCTCCCGCCGATCCTGCGCCGCCGCATCATCGAACCGACGCCGCTCGTTGCGCAACGCATGCGCACCGTCGAGGCGCTCTGCGTCGAGAAGGGCGTGCGCATCTTGTGGGACGACGAGCAGGCCGACGGCGAGCGCTTCTCGCCCGCGTTCAGGCGGTACGTGAGGGAGCTGAGGGCGGCGCGTGGGCTGGAGCGTTGAGCAGCGGCGGGTCGTTGTAGCTCCCTTTCTCATCTCCTTGTGCATCGTCGTGCTTCCCCTCGCGGCAGAACGTGCTCTTGGAGAGCTTGGAGAGCTCGCGAGCGAGGCAAAGCTTCGAGCGTCTCGTGCACCTGTCCGCGTCGACCACTCGTCGTCGAGAACGACAGCGCGGCGTCTCTCGGTCTCTTCGAGTCATTGTCGAACGAGTCGGGCCGCACAGCTCGAGCCGACGAGGCCACAGTGGCAGCGCCGCTGCGCTCCTTGCAAGCGGCGACCTTCTCAAGCTGCAACTTGGCTCGCATGGACCTCGTGCTGCTCCTCCTCAGTCGGGCCCTCACACGGCGTCGCCGAGCAGCAGCGAGAGCGTCGCGAGACACGCTCGCTGGCGCCTGCTTGCCCTTCTCTCGCTGGGCTGCACTGCTTGCTCGCGCTCTCGCCCGCTCAAGGTCGACGAGGGCGCTCCACCGGCGAGCTCGCGCTTCCTCTCTCTGAGCGCCGACGGACGCAGGAAGACCGCCACGCTTTCGACACCTCCCGAGACGACGGGCCGAACCGCGCGAGAGTGAGAACAGGTCATTGCGTCGAGGGTTAGTGAGGGGGAGAACGAGGAAGGGGACGACGACGAGGGGTACACAAGGGATCCGGGAATAGGTCAGTTTTGAGGTTAGTAGGCGATCGAGAGGACGAGTACACGAGGGGAGGAAGAGGGTGGGGAGGAGAAGGAAGGGGGACTAGATCAGTAGCCGGGGCCGCCGCCGCCGCCGTACCCAGGAGGCGGTCCTCCTCCGCCGCCGTAGCCTTGCGGCGGTCCACGCTGCTGGTACCCGCCACCGCCGTCTGTGCGAGAGGAGGAGAGAGAAAGTCAGTGACGGGCGCTTGACGACGAGGGCAAGCGCGACGAGAGAAGAAGAGAGAGAGGGACGCACAAGGCGCGCCACCGCCGCCGCCGTAGTTGCCCTGCGGGTACCCGCCGTATCCGGCGCCGCCCATCTGCTGGCCGGGAGGACCGCCGCCGTAAGGAGCGGGAGGCGGCGGAGGAGGAGGGCGCTGCCCAGGAGGAGGGGGAGGGCCGCGGTTGAACTGCATGTTCATCGGCGGGTTCCTGCGGGCGGCGGCGAGCCAGTCAGTGACGGCGCGCGCAAGAGGGAAAGAGAGAGGGAGGGAGACGCACCAGTTGGACGGGATGCGCCAAGGCGGGATCTTGTTGCCCTGCTCGTCGCGCGGCTCCTGCTGCATGCCCTGCGCGCCGCCCATCATCGGGCCCGGCCCACCAGGTCCACCGCCGGCGCCGCCGCCACCAGGTCCCGACATGGGCGGCGCCGCCGTCGTCTCGCCGAGCTCGGCCATGAGCGACGCGTACTCCGAGTCGAACTGCTGCGCGACCGAGGGCGGGCCGCCGTCGGGGCCGGGCACAGGCGGGAAACCGGGAGGGCCGCCGCCGGGCCCGCCAAAGCCGGGACCGCGACGCTGCGTGCAGTCGCGAGCCATGTGGCCGGCTGTATCGAGGCGGGAGGAGCGTCAAAAGGCGTGCGCGAGAGGGAGAGAGAGAGAGAGAGGGAAAGACGAGGACGCACCTCCTCCGCAGATGCGGCAGATGATGTTGGCGCTCCAGTTCTTCTGCTCGGGGCAGTCGTACTTGCGGTGACCGAGACCGCCGCAGTTCCTGCGCACGAGAGGAGGAGAGCGGGTGAGCACGTCGTCGAGGCGCGAAAAGCAGACAGAAGGAGGAGGAGAAAGAGGTCGACGCACTGGCAGACCTGGTTCTCGTCGTCGCGCAGGGTGCCGTTGAGCGCCGCGAGCTCGCGCAGCTGGTTGCGCTTGTGGTCGTTCTGGCCCTCGGGAACCGACGCGGCCGTCTCGATCACCGAGTTGATGAGCTTGACGCAGCCCTGCACCTTCTCCTCGGTGTCGGCCGAGATGAGGCAGTGCAGCTCGTCGTTCTCGTCCTCCTCGCGGTGGCCCGGACGACCTTTGCCCTCCTTGACCGACCCTTTGCCGCGGATCGAGATGCGCGCGCCCGACTCGCGCTCCATCTTCTTGAGCGAGTTGCCGCGCGGGCCGACGAGCAGGCCGAAGAAGTTGATCTCGGGGAACTCCTTGACGGGGATGTAGACCTTGTCCTGCGGGCGACCGCTCGACTGGCGCTTGGCCATGATGTACTCGGCCGGCGGGCGAAAGTTGGGGTCGAGCTTGATCTGGCGGTCGACGAGGCGCATGCGCTCGTCCTCGAGGCGCTTGCGGTACCGCACCTCGCGCGTGTTGGTGCGACGACCGTGGCCGTCGTACGTTGGCGGCGGCGAGGGCGAGCGCTGGCCGTCGGGCGGGACGACCTGGCCCGTGCGGAGCGCGCGCTGGATCTCGTCGAGGCGAAGTTGCACTGCGGGTCCACCTCATGTCAGTGACAGGATCCCGTGAAAGAGAGAACAGGGGAAAGAGGAGGACGCGCCGGCATAAGTCTCCAGGTCGCGCTCCTGAACGCCGCCCGTGATGGCGACCGGCATGGCCGAGTCCTCGCTCTTGTCGCCCCACCGGCTCTTGCGCTTGCGCTCGCCGGTCGGCGCAGCGGGCGACTCGCTGCCGTGCGCGGCGGGCATGGGCGGGAGGCCCGCCGACGCAGGAGGAGGAGGAGCAGGTGCCGAGCTGCCGCCGCCGTAAGGCGACGACGGCATGGGCCGCTCGTCGAACCGGCTCCTCGGCCGCCCTCGGTCGTCGTACCCGCCGCCACCGCCACCACTGCCCTCGTAGCCCCTCTCGTCCCTCATGCCGTACCCTCCCGGCGCAGGCCCGCTCCGAAAGTCGTCGCGCGGCGGCGGGCCGCGGTCGTCGCGCCCGTATCCACCCCCACCGCCCCCGCCGCCGTTGCCGTACCCGCCGCCGCCGTAGCCGTCGCGCATGCCGCCACCGCCGTGAGGAGGAGGAGGAGGGGGAGGCCCGCCGCCGCCGCCGCCGCCGTCTGCGCCGCCCCAGCGACGAACGGGCGGGAGGGGCGCCTCGTTTGCGCCCGTCTGGCGCGAGTTGCGGTTGTACATGTGCCGAGGGTGCTGCTGGTGGTGGTGGTGGTGGTGCCGCTGTAGTCGACGAGGTGGGGAGAGTCAGCGAGAGAGGGAGGAGGGGGAGGGGAGGGAGCAGGGGCTGATGAAGACGAGGCGGGCTCTGGGGCACGGCGAGAGCGCGTGCTGCTGCTGGGTGGGGTTACTCGACTCACAAGGTGCGGCAGGCGACAGGTGCAAGCGAGCGCAGAGCAAGGACGGCGAGCTCTCGTCCTCGCGCTCGCATCCCTCTCCTCTCGAGATCCGGGGGCGCGTCTCTCCCTCTCTCGCGGCAACGTAACGACAAAAACGAGTGGGTGCGTTGCAAATGCGAAATGGTAACTAGGGCGACTGGGTAAAGTAGAAAAAAGCAGACGAGTGAGGCGAGGTCAGGGCACGGCCGACTCCTCGTACTCGAGCCCGACCTCGTCCTCCTCGTCGTCGTCGATCCCGGCCTCCTGGTACTGCTGGTACTCGGCGACGAGGTCGATGACGTTCCTGTGCGCACGGTGACCGTGTCAGTCAGTTCCGCGAAAGAGAGAGAGAGAGAGAGGGAACGGTCGCGGTACGCACGACTCTGCCTCGGTGAACTCGAGCTCGTCCATGCCCTCGCCTGTGTACCAGTGAAGGAACGCCTTCCTCCGGAAAAGGCTCGCAAACTGGGCGTGCGTGCGACGGAGGAGCCCTTGCACCGACGTGCTGTTCGAGACAAACGTGGCCGACAGGGGCGAGTCGCGCGAGGGGACCGACGTGAGGGCCGTCTGGACGGCGTGCGGGATCCACTCGACAAAGTACGACGCGTTCTGCGGGGCGAGGCGAGTCAGGGAGGCGCTTGGGCTCGAGAAGAGGACGAGGGAGAGAGAAGGGGAGACGCACCTTCTGCTGCACGCCCGTCATGGCCTCCTCGACCGCCGCGCTCGACACGTTCTCGCCGCGGAAGTAGGCCGCCGCCGTGAGGAACTTGCCATCGCGCACGTCGCTCGCCGCCATCATGTGGCTCGGGTCGAGCAGCTGCTGCGTCAGGTCGGCGACCGAGAGCTTGTTGAAGGTCGCGCCGGCCGGCGAGACGAGCGGCGCGTACGACGTCGTGAGGAAGTGCAGGCGCGGGAAGGGCACCATGTTGGTCGCCAACTTGCGCAGGTCGCTGAAGTGGGAGAGGGAGAGAGTCAGAGACGGTCGGGGAGAGAGGGGCGTGCAGGTGGACGCACGAGTTGAGCTGGCCGGGGAAGCGCAACGGCGTCGTGATACCGCTCATGACCTTGGCGATGAGGCCGTTGAGCTGCGGGTACGTTGGGTTCGACACCTTGAGCGTCCGCCCGAGGATGTCGTACCTGCGAGCGGGCGCCACACGAGGGTCAGTCTCGCTCCGCTGCTTCGACGAGGAAGCGAGGGAGAAGGGGACGCACAGGGCCTCGTTGTCGAACGCAAACACCAGGTCGGCGTTCTCGATGAGCTGGTGGTACGACAGGATGGCGTTGTACGGCTCGACGACCGTCTCGGACACTTTGGGCGACGGCAGGACCGAGTACGTCGCGAGCATGCGGTCCGGGAACTGCGGGGCGCTCGAGGGTCAGTAGGACGTCGGGTCAGGAGGTACAGAGAGACAGGGAGAGGAGGCCGCAGCGACTCGCCTCCTCGCGGATCTTGCTGAGGATGAGCGTCCCGAGGCCCGACCCAGTCCCGCCACCGACCGAGTGCACCATCTGGAACCCCTGCAGGCTGTCGCACGCCTCGGTCTCGTGGTGCAGCTGGTCCATGATCGACTCGACGAGCTCGGCGCCCTGTGTCCGAGGAGCAAAGAGGTGAGCCGGCGTTCGGGCGACAGCGCCCTGAGCAGGGGGGAGCAAGGACGCACCTCGGTGTAGTAGCCCTTTGCCCAGTTGTTGCCAGCTCCCGACGAGCCATTGATGAAGCCGGACCTGCGACGAGCGAGACGGAGGGTGAGCTCTTTGCGAGAACAAAGGGGTCGAGTCGGGGAGCGAGGAGGTCCACTGTCCGGCTCGAGGAGAAGGACGGGAGGGACTCACGGGCGGAACAGGCCGCCGAGCTTGCTCGCCTTGACGGCGTCGAGCGTTGCGGGCTCGAGGTCGATCTGCAGGCCACGCGGGACGTACTTGTGCTTGGCTGCGAGGCGGAGGAGGGCGGCGAGGTCAGCTCTCTCGGACCTGACCCACTGCGACAGGGTGCGCGCAAGACGGTGGAAGACCTTGAGCGAAAGGGGACGGACCGGCCTCGGCAAAGAAGACGTCGAGACGGTCGGTCTGGAGGTGGGTCGCGGTCGGGTCGAGCTGGCCGTCGTTCGAGAGGCCGTGTTCCTTCAGGACGGTCTCCCAGAACGAGGTGGCGACTTGGTTGCCGGCCTGGCCTGCGCGCACGGGCACTTGGGTCAGCGGTGGTTGCGAGAGGGGAGGTCACGTCGGGGGAGGAGCTGAGGACGAGGAGAGGGGTGAGGGGGCGACGAGCGGGCGTGGGAGGAGGACGCACCGACTTGGAGGGTGACGAGCTCGCGCATGAAGGTGCAGATGCAGTCTCCCCGGTGTTTGGGTGAGTGGACGAGGAGTAAGAGGAGGTCCCCCTAGCCGGGCACCGCCTCTTTCGCTCGCACCTCTCGTTCTGCTCTTGTCCAGCTTGGTAGAGCCCAGCTGCCTGCCTGAGATGGAGCACGACCTCGACACGCTCCACGGCGTCGCTTCTGCGCACTCGGACTCGGGCTACGCGAGCAGTGCGTCGCCTCTCCCCACCTCGCGGCGAGACGGCCCTCGTCGTCAAGCGTCAGGCGTCCAGCGTGGCGCTAATGCAGCTCTCGTGCAGCCCAGTACTCGGCACAGCCCCTCGGCCCGGCCGACGCTCCTCGGCACCCAGGCCCCGCCTCGCTCAACTCGCGCCTCGACCGCCTCACGCGCCAGATGAGCTCGCTCGCCCACTCGACGCCTCGAGACGCAGGCTCGAGCATCGGCATCACGCGCAAGACGATCCCGCGCACCGTCCACAGCGCGAGCGAGGCGTCGACCCGGCCCACCCGCGTTCGCCGCCGCCAGGTCGAGGAGGAGCAGGACGAGGACGCGCACGAGCAGCCGCACGCCAAGCGCAGGCGCTCTCTGCCGCCGCGCCTCACGCTTCGACCGGGCAGCATCGGCGAGAGAGCGGCGGGCAACGATGCGGCGAGCGGGTACCCGGCGCCGGTCGTCCTCAACCGCGTCGTCTCGCATCGTTCGGGCGCGACGAGAATCGTCACGAGGTCGACAGCGCCGCCGCATTCTGTCGAGACGCTCGAGGGCACGATGCAGATTCCCTCCTTCCTCCGCGAGCAGCCAGTGCGCCGGATCGTTCACTTTCTCGCCACCGTTCGACCTTTTTTTCACCGCTCACGCCTCCCTCTCGCAGGACTCGCCGCGACTACCCGCCTCGCCGCCGCCCGACTGGCTCAGCAGCCGACTTCTCGCTTCGTCTCGCGCTCACGACGCCTCGCAGGCGCCACCTCACGCCCCGCTCTCGACCTCGACCGACCGACTCGACTTGTTCCCGCCCGACCTCGTTCGCGACGTGCGCCACGGCCTCTACGAGCCCGCCTTCGACTCTCTCGGTCTATCGTCCTCACCTCAACTGAGCGCGAGCAACTGGCTCGCTCTGCCCTTCTCGACCGACGGCCGCCTCGCCCCGACCGCCTCTCTCGCCTCGTCGCCACCTCCTCGCCCTCATCCTCTCGGCTCGCTGTACGAGGCCCAGATGCAGCGCGACTACCACCACTTCCTCGACTCGACCCCGACGGCGCAGTACGACCGTACCTCCGTGCCGAGCCGCCCGCCCTTCTCGCACCCGCCCCTCCTTGCCTCGCCCCTCGCCGAGCGACCCGCCGCGCCCAGCACCATCTTCGGCCAGCCCATCTCCAACCTCGCGCACCTCGTCGACGACCCGCAGCAGCCCTCGACTCGGCACTATCTCGCCTCGTCCACGCCGCCGCCGGCTCGGCCCGCGCTCGGCCCGCTCTCACCGCCACTCTCGCCCGCACCGTCCCTCGACACGCTCCTCCTCGACGACGACCTCGACCTCGCCCTCGACGACACGCCCATGTCGTCCGCCGATTTCTGGCGCCCTCGCCCACGCCCTCGTCCGCCGACCCTCATCGCCGTGCGTCCCTCGCTCCCTCTCTCTCTCTCTCTCTCTCTCTCTCTCTCTCTCGGTACCCATGGCGGCCCGCTCACGCGCTCGAACTGAGCCCACAGCCGGACCCGACGCCCGGGCGCGCACGGTACGCCGCGCGGCTCGAGCGCGAGGCGGCGCTGCAGCAGGTGGGCCGAGGAGGAGCGCGGGCGGCGCTCGAGGGGGCGCAGGAGGACGGGCCGACGACGCGCGAGGGCGAGTGGGAGGGGGAGGCACGGGACGCGGGGCGGGCGGCGCGGGACGAGGGAGGAGCCGACGGCGCCGAGGGGCGCGGGAGGAGGGACGAGGAGGAGGAGCCGACGGCGAGCGAGGGAGGGGGAGGGGACCGTGCGCGGCAGGACGAGGACGGGTTCGCGATCTGGGAGGACGACGACGAGGTCGAGGAGGTGTAGCTCGACGCTGAGAAGGTGAGAAACGCTTGACGTGGACCTGTTCGCGAGATGCGAGAGCGTGAGCGAGAGAAAGCGCCCCCAGCGAGCGACCCTCTCCTCGTCCTGCAGCTCGAGCCTCGCCGCCGAACCCGTACCGGACGAAAAACCCATGCAGCGTCACGCTACGCCCTCTGTCCATCTCCCGTCTCTCGCGCCCAGCTCTACTTGGCGAGCTTGTAGGTGCTCTTAAGCCGCGCCTCGAGATGCGCGTCGGCTGTCACGTCCTTGCCCGGCTCGACGCCCTTGCGCGCCATGCGCTCGCGGTCCTCTGCGGGTCGTCTCGGGCCGTCAGGAGGGTCGTGCTTTCTCGGGCTCGGGGAGAGCGAGAGGGAGAGAGAGAGGGAGAGAGAGAGGGAGAGAGAGAGGGAGAGAGAGAGGGAGAGGGAGAGGGAGAGAGAGAGAGAGAGAGGGAGAGAGAGAGGGAGAGAATAGAGATGAGGCTCACCGGGCGAGATGGTCGACACGGGGACGCAGGTCCGGAGCGAGGCTTGGGGCGAGGGCTGGTTGAACCACGCGATCGAGAAGCGCTCGGGGACGCCGGTGGGCGGGAGCGGGGTCGGGAGGACGACCTGTGGCGGCGAGAGCGGGAGGACGAGGAGGGAGGGCGAGAAAGGGTCAGTCCGCGGCGGGCGAGACTGCCTCGAGAGATGTCGAAAGGACCCGCAGGAGGACGAGGAAAGGGGGGACGCACACGATGCAGGGTCGACTTGAAGTTGGCGCCCGACCAGACTGTGGCGCGACCGTCGCAAAGAGAGGGTCAGTCTCGTCGAAAATGTGGAAAGGGCGGGTGCGCCCACAGCGAGGCGCGCGAGCGTAGCGACTCACGCTCGATGGCGTCTCCGACATTGACGAGCATGGCCCCTCGCACCATGCCGACGTCCCTCCACCGCCCACCCTCGAGCGGCTCGGTGCTGGGCAAGATCTGGAGGCCCTCGCCGCCGTCCTCGCGCTGGAACAGGCACGTCAACGAGCCGTAGTCGGTGTGGGCGCCGGCGCGGTTCGGGTCGACGGTGGCGCCGGCGGGGATGGCTGGGTAGTGGAGGAAGCGCAGGATCGAGCGCGAGTCGGGGCCCGCGTGATGCTGCGAGGTGAAGAAGTCGACGGGCAGCTGCGGCGAGGATAGGGGGGTCAGTAACGCCTCGCGGGGCGCAGGAAGGCCGAGGGAAGTGGACGGGACTCACGTCGAGCGCGACGGCGAACGCCTGGAGCAGGCGTTGGCAGATCGAGAAGCACGCGTGCTGGAACGCGGCGAGCTCGGCGGCGTGCTGCTGTAGCAGGTTGGGCAGAGGCTGTGACGGTACGGGCGGGTTGCCGTTCTCGCCGAGCTGGATGTGCGCCGTGTTGAAGCCCTCCTTGAGGTCGGGAGCTGGCCGAGTCGGGTCGAGCCTGCGCCGCGAGCGAGGGTCAGCGGGCCGGGACGGGGAGAGGAGAATGAGGGAGGGGACGTACACCTCCTGGGAGAATCTTGTGTAGCCCTTGTTCTCGCTGTAGGCGCACCGCAGCTTCTCGTCGTCGGTCTCGTCGCGGAAGAAGCGCTCTGCATGAGCGGGAGGAGGGGTCAGTGAGGTCGCCACGACTCGAGTCGCTGGAAGGGACGGACCCGAGATGTCGAACATGCGCTCGGCCTGGTGCTCGAGGCCATGGCCCGTCACAAAGAGGAAGCCGGTCGAGGCGAGCGTGTCCTTTATGGCGTCGGCGAGCGAGTGCGGGTCGTCGAGCTGCGAGATGTCGATGACGGGGACCGCTTGCGGTGGAGCCATGTCGGAGCGAAGTACAATCGGAGCAGGTTCCGCGCGGAGCAAGGTCCAGCGAGCGAGGTGGGAGAGCGAGAGAGAGCTCGTCGGCTCCTCCTCGGCGTCGTCTCGCCCGCTCGCGGCCGACTTGTGCGCCATGGCACCTGCTGCCTCGCCTGCCGCGCCCAGCTTCTCGTCGGCAGAGCACCTCCTGTCCAGCTTCGAGTTCGACCGCGTCCTGAGCGAGGGTGAGTCGCCTCTCGTCCTCCCCACTTCTTCATCAGTCGCGAGCGAACACAGAGCTCAACCTCTCCCCTGCAGACTCGCGCGCCATCGTGGCCTACCTGCTCGGTACCGCAGTGCCCGACAGCACGCAAGACCGCGTGCCGTGCATCCTCAAGGTCGAGAAGACGCCTTTCGCCCCGGGCGAGGCCTCGTCGCTCGCGGCGAGAGACGTCTGGCAGCAGCTGCAAACGGTGCGTCCTCGCGCTCTCTCTCCCTCTCGCTCGCGTAGCAGTAGCTGACCGTGCCGGCCCCTGCAGGTGACGACCAACGACGTCTACTCGACCTCGCTCGCGTGGTTCGCTCCCGGCCGCTCGACTGCCGATGTCCAGCTCTCGTCCATCTGCCCTGCCACCGACAAGGTCCGTCCCTCTCCTCTCCTCCTCCTCCTCTGCGACGTCGAGCCGACCTCGGACACCTGCGCGCAGCACGTCAAGAAGTACAGTGTCCAGGAGTCGCGGCTGGTCCGCGAGACGCCCGACCTGTACGAGCGCGTCGTCAAGCCCTACATGGACAGCCTCCCCTTGTCGACTGTCGGGTGGGTGTACAACATCCTCGACGGCGTGGCCGAGGCCGACAACGTCCTGTACCGCGACGACGACCCTGAAACGGGCTTTGTCCTCACACCCGACCTGTTCGTCCTCGCTCTCTCTCCCTCTCTTCGAGGTCCTCGTGTTCCCTCCTCCACGACCTCGAGCTGAAGCCTCCTCCTGCCCCGTCGCAGCAAGTGGGACCAGAAGACCATGTCGGCGCTCTACCTCCTCGTCCTGTCGCAGGATCGCACGATCCGCTCTCTGCGCGACCTGCGGCCGCAGCACCTTCCCTTGCTGCGCAAGATTCGCGCCGAGAGCGAGCGCGTCGCTGTCGAGCGATACGGGATCGACAAGGGCGAGCTGCGCTTCTTCGTGCACTACCAGCCGACTTACTGTGCGTCCTCGTCTCCCCCTCTCTCTCTCGCTCTCTCCTCGCGAACTAGCTCACGGTACCCCTTTCGCGGTACAGATCACTTCCACGTCCACGTCGTGCGCCCACCTCTCCTGCCTCTCTCCACTCTGCGGCTGCAGCACTGACCCCCTCCCCCTTCGCCGCGCACGCAGGTCCACCTCTCCTACATGTCCTTCTCGGGCATCACGGTCGGCCAAGCGCACCTCCTCGACGACGTCATCGACGCGCTCGCGCTCGAGCTCGAGGCCGGCACGGCCGGCGGGCCCGAGCCGCTCCAGGCCTACTTTGCGCGCCGGACCTTCACGTTCGCGCTCGGGACCGAGCACAAGCTCTATGGGTTGCTCTCGGAGGCGGTGGCGGCAGGAGGCGCGTAGAGAGAGGTGGATAGAGTATGTATTGAGCAGGACTGTGGACGTCTATGCGGCGCGAGGTACGGCTTCTAGAGAGAGAGATCTACTCGAGCGAGAGGGGGGTGCGAGCGTCTACGGCTTCGAGGACGAGGACGAGGGAGACGAACGGGATTAAGGGGTGCTGGACGAAAGTAGGGAATAGTGGCAGGAGAGGGACAGGACCGAGAAAGAGAGAGAGAGAGAGCGCGCGAGAGCCAGAGCGCGAGAGGCTCAAACGCTCGCCTGGAGCTCGCCCGCCTTCTCGTGCGCGACGCTCGGGCGGCGGCTCTCGGCGACCGTGCTCGCGGCAGCCGAGTCCTGGTGCGTCGTGTGCTTGGTCTCGTGCGCGACGAGCGGGCCGTTGCTGTCGACGCCGTGCTTGAGCGTCTTGCGCGCCGCGATCGAGACGAGCACGAGCGAGATGGCCGTGAACAGGAACGCGATCCAGCCGACGATGACGTACGACAGGATCGTCTTCTGCTTGCGGTCTGCGTGCGTGGGGTTTTGTCGCGTCGAGTGAGCGAGGCCGTACGCAGAGAGAGGGGGAGAGAAGGAGAGAGCGGGACGCACAGCGAAGGTCCTGGCCCGACGCCTTGACGAGCTGGTCGATGAGGGTGCGCGGGATGCCCGGCGCGTTGATGATGCCCGAGCGCGTCGCCGTGTAGTACGTCGCCGGGATGAGGGCGCCGAGGAAGAAGACGAGGATGAGGGCGAACCCGCCCTCCTTGAGGCGGATCGACGTCAACGTCTCGGCCTGACGAGGGCGGAAGACGGTAAAGAAGAGCATGACGAGGCACACGACGGCAGAGACGGCCTGCAGGGGAGCATCGTGGGTCAGCTATGCCGTCGCCGGTCCTCCTTCTCCCGACTCGAGGAGGGAGGGAGAGGTGACGGACCGCCGCAGCCGTCGTCGCCTTGCCGACCGCGAGCGCATCGTCGAGGTTGAGCGACGCGCCCGGGAGCGTCTTGCGCGCGAGCTCCTGCTTGTCGTGCGAGCTGTTGGCGGCGCGTGGGGGAGGTCAACTCGCCGGCTCGTGCGGGCGCGGTCGAGAGAGAGAGGGGACGTACTCGGCGAGGGTCCACGCCGCGAGTCCAATCTCGGTGATGCACAGGGCCGTGGTGAGCACGAAGGCGGTGATCCTGCAGAGCGAGAGGCGGGGACGGGGGGAGAGGTCAAGGAGGAGGCGAGGTCAATGTCGCGCGCTCGCGGCCGAGTCGAGAGATGCGCGTGCGTGCACTCACCGAGGCCAGCGAAGGTACATGGCGGGCTTTCGACGGAGCGGGTGCGTGCAAAGGGGAGGAGGAGCAAGCAAGAGCGGCGCTCTCTCAATGTTGGGGCAAAGCTCGCTGCCTTTGCCTCGCCCGCCTGGGAAAAAAGCGCCACAGCTGCACACGACCCGCGCGCTTTCTCGAGGTGCTCCGCGGTGGGTCGGTGCGGGCGGTGCGGAGGGCCAAGCGCGAGTCGGGCAGATCGCCGAATTGAGAGCTGCCGAGGCGGCCCGGGCGCTCGCCGTTGCACGAGGTGTCGCTCGAGCCTCGCCCTTTCGAAGCTTTCGCGAAGCGGCGCACTGCCCATTCTTTTGTGCGAGCTCTCGACCCGACTCAAACCTGCTGGCAGAGAGCTTGGCGAAGCGGCCGGGCAAAAGGGGAAACTTGCCCGAGCTCTCGGACCTTCTCAAGTTCTCTCGTGTGCGCGCGAGGGGAGAGGGGGCTGCAACGATGCCGAGTTTGACCTGATGCGATACCGGACTACAGTGACGAGTGCACAACAGGACCGTGTGATGAGAGAAAGAGGGAACGACGAAATAGGGCGAGGGAAAGGTGAAAGGGCGAAGAAGAGAGGGGAGGGCTGCGGCAGCTCAGGCGCGCGACCACTGGTGGTCGTGGTCGACGTGCTGCGTGTGGCCCTTCTCGGCCGTCGTCGTGCTGTTGAGCACGGCCGAGTCGTTCTCGCCGAGCGAGCGCTCGCGCTCCGACATGGCCGCGCCGTGGTGCGCGCCGTCGTGGTGGTGGTGGTGGTGCGCCGTCGCGAGCGTGCCCGACTGGTCGACGCCGTACTTGTGCGTCTTGCGCGCCGCGATCGAGACGAGGATGCCCGTGATGATGGTCGACAGCCAGGCGATCCAGCCGACGATCAAGTACGAAATGATCGGGGTCTGCTTGCGGTACCGCAGGTCCTCGCCGGTCGACGCGACGAGCGTCTGGATGATGGAGGCCGGGATGCCCGGTGCCGTGATGACGCCCGAGCGCGTCGCCGTGATGACGGTGGCCGGGATGAGGGCCGCGAGGAGGAGGAACGCGACCGTGCCGAACAGGGCCTCCTTGACCCGGATCGTCTTGAGCGTCTCGGGCTTGCGCGGGTGGAACACGGTGTACAGGAGGAGGATGCCGCACAAGATCGACGACAGGCCCTGCACGAAGAAGGAGGGAGCGAGTTAGCGCTGCACGGCGCGAGGCCCGAGCGACGAGGACGAGGGGACGCACTGCCGCCGCCGTGACGGTGCCGCCGACCGCGAACGCGTCCATCAGGTCGAGCTTGGCACCAGGGAGGACCTTTGCCGCCTTGTGCTTCTTCTCGTACCCGTACGCGAGGGACCAACTCGCTGTTTTGCCGCGTTCAAAGCCTCGAGGTCAGTTCGCCGGCTTCCTCTCCCTCGGCGAGGGCCACAGACAGGGGAAAAGTGAGGCGTACAGAGGCCGACCTCGACGCCGACGAGGGCTTGGGTCAAGAGGAACATGAAGATGCTGTTTGCGCGCGCGCGACGAGGGAGGCGGGTTAGCGGGCCATCGTTCGAGCTGGCGCAAGGTCGCCGGTGCGCGCGGTCTTGAGAGAGCGTGTGCACGCACCGAGGAGCACGCAAGTACATGGCGGGCGCGCTTTGATAGGGGGTGGTGGCGGAGACGAGGAGGAGGGAAGGAGGAGAGGTGGGGGAGCGAGAGGGAAGGAAGGAGGAGAGAGTGAGGAGGCCCAAGGAGGATCGGTGCGGAGGCAAGTCGGGTCGCACGAGGGGGCCCTTGGCGCCCTTTGCACCGCAAGCTCGCCACGCCACCCTTTTCGCCTCGAGTCGCGCGCACGACGGCGGCGCGCAATCTGCAGGGGCCCACGCGCGCGCCCACTTGAGCAGCAACCGAGATCGAGCGAGGCTGGACCCGCGGACTTTTCCGTCACTTGACCTCCCACAAGCTCTCGGTCAAGCCTCGGGTGCCTGACCGAGGTTGCTCTCGCCTTTCGCTCTCTGAAAGCAAGCCGGACCGGCCGCGCGGGCCATTGTACACGCTCATTCGCCCCGGTAGAGTGCTCCTCGCGTCGCACACGAGAGAGAAAGATGAGCGTGTTACAGAGGAGACGGCGCCGCCGTCGCCGTCGCCGCCGCCGCCGCCGGAAGGTCCGCCGGTGCTGCCGCCTGCCGCTGCTGCGCCCGCGCCTGCTGCGCCTGTTGCACCTCGCCGAGCGTGACGACCCGGGGCGCGAGCGGCTCCTTGTCGACGTCGGCGTACCCGACCCGGGCCTGCGACGAGCGGTCGACGACCTCGGTCGTGCAGGGGAGCTTGGCCGCCGCGAGCTTCATGACTGTGGCGTCGGCGGCGTCGGGGTGGTCAGGTGAGTCTTGTGTGCGTGCATGCTTGCGAGAGAATAGGAGGGAGGTAGGACGCACCGGCGTGAGCGATTTCTGGCCGCAAGTTGGGCCCGCCAATCTCGAGGATGACGCGCCCCATCTTTGCCCTGTGTGACCCGCCGGCGAGGTCAGCTCGCGTCCCGCACGGTGTAGAGGGAGAGATGTGAGCGCACCGGCACGCCCAGAACTCGAACGTCCCCTTGCCCTTGCCCATGCGCGTCTCGTTGCCCTGCGAGCACGAGCCGAGAGGGAGGGTTCAGTTTGGCGCGCTTGATACGAGGGGAACGGGGTTGCAGGCTCACCTTGATGCAGACGGGGATGTCGGGGAACACGCGCAGGTACCTGTCGGTCGAGGCGCGAGGTCAGTCGCAGGTTGAGGAAGAGGAGGAGGAGGGGACGGACACTTTGCTGCCCCTGACGGGCTTGAGGCCGCGCTTGAGTGCGGCCTCTGCGACCTCGAGGTGCTTGGCGCTGAGGCGCACGGCCTCGTTGACGCGCAAGCCGTAGTCGCCCCACTCGAGGGTCGAGCCTTTGGTGCTGCCGCCGAGGGCGAGCGGGACGCGGCCCTTGTGGGCCTTGCGGTACTTTGTGCGGCGGGGGACGAGCGACTTGTGGCGGACCTGGAGGGTGTGGGCGGGGTGGAACACGCCGGTGCTGGTGCTGGTGCTGGCGAGGGGCGATGAGGACGAGGGCGAGGGAGCGATGCTCAGGCGCGAGAGGGACGACAGGAGCGAGTTGGCGCGGAAGAAGGACATGGTAGGCGGGCGTGCTCTGTGTGTGGGTGGCGTGTGTGCTCTGACCTGCCTGCAGGGGGAGCGGTAGCGAGGGCGAGGGCGAGCGGCAACACCGAGTTCGTCGCACCTCTCCTCCTCCTCGTCGCGCCCCAAGTCCCTCCTCGTCCACTCGGCCCCTCGTCATGTGCTGACTTGGGCCACCACCACCACCACCACCGACAACCGCATCTATGGCAGCAGCAGAACCCGCACCCGCTCCTGCGGCGAGCCGCCCCGCATGGAAGGACGTCAGCTACGGCAGCGTGAGCCTCCCTTCTCGCCGCTCCTCTGCCCGACCACCACACAGTAGACTGACTCGCTCACCTTCACAGGCAGCCGGTGAGCTCTCGCGCCGTCCTCAGCCCCCAACGACCCGCACCCTGACCCCTCGTCCTCGCCCGCGCAGGCATCGTCAGCAAGCTGTTCGAGCACCCGCTCGACCTGACCAAGGTCCGCCTCCAGAGCCAGCCCCTCGACCGTGCAGCCCGCTACTCTGGCCCGTGGGACTGCATCGTCCAGACGTACCGCAACGAGGGCGTAAAGGCCTTCTGGCGGGTCCGTCCCTCGTCCCTCCCCCACTTGCTCTCGCTTCGGCAGCCCGTCGAACCTCGACCTGACCCTCGCACTCTCTCTGCGCGCACCCGACACAGGGCGTCTCGATGCCCGTCGCAGGCGCCATGGCCGAGAACGCGACCCTGTTCGTCGTGTACAATCAGACCCAGGCCCTCCTGCAGCACCTGTACCCGCCCTCGCACCCGTCGACCCCGTCCAACCCGGCCCCGCTCTCGATCTGGCAGACGGCCACCGCCGCAGCCGTCGCCGGCGCCGCCGTCTCGTTCGTCCTCACGCCCGTCGAGCTCGTAAAGTGCAAGATGCAGGTCTCCAACATCGCCGCCGAGGGCTTTGCCGCCTCGCGCGCCGCACACGCCGTCGCCGGCGCCGCGCACGCCCCTGCGACGCGCGCCATCCCCTCGTCGTTCGTGCGCCCGACGCCCGCACCGATGCCGGGCGCCATCTCGGTCACGCGCTCGATCCTGCGCGAGTACGGCGTGCGCGGCCTGTGGCTCGGCCAGACGGGCACCCTCATCCGCGAGACGGGCGGCGACGCGGCGTGGTTCACGACGTTTGAGCTCGTCTCGCGGTGGTTCATCGAGCGGCGCGTCGCGCGCGGCGAGGTGTCGCCCAAGGACGGCGGGCGCGTCACAAAGGGCGACTTGAGCGCGTTCGAGCTCATGACGGCAGGTGCGGGCGCCGGCATCATGTACAACGTCGTCCTGTTCCCGGCCGACTGCATCAAGTCGACGATCCAGACCGAGGACGAGTTGAGGGGCAAAGGCGAGGTCAAGGGCCCGAGGAGGGGGTTCGTCCAGGTCGGGCGCGACATCTACTCGGCGAGGGGCATCCGGGGCTTGTACAACGGGTGCGGCATTACGGCGCTCCGGGCCGCACCGAGCTCGGCTCTCATCTTCTACATGTGCGTCGTCCCCCTTCCTCGCGCCGGCGAGGGCGTCTCTCCCTCCTCCCCCCTCTCCCCCTCCCGCGCGTCTACTGACCCTCTGTTTCTCTCGCGTACAGCTACAGCCGCCTCGAAGCCGCATTCGGCTAGAGCGCCCTCTTCCTTTCCCCCCACGTCGTCGCGCACGCGCCTCTCTCCAACTCTCGCCTCGACCCGACTCGCCGCAGCTAGACCTGGTCGTCTATCGCAGCTAGAAACACGCTCTCGTATCGCACTATACCCCCTATCTCTCGAGTCGTCCCGCAATGCAGCACAGTGCCTCGGGCCGTCGAGGACGAGAGAGAACGAGAGCGCGTTTCGTCGTCCACCCTCCCTCGTTTGCTCGCTCACGCCTCGAGCAGGCTCTGCCAGTACGCCCTCTCGGCGCTCGCCGCCTCGTCCCCCATAGCCTCCATGACCTTGTCCCCCTCGACCTCGTCGCTCCACCACCTCGCGTCCCTCTCCCTCACCCGCCTCTCGCCCTCGCTCCCCTTCTCGCCCGCCCCCCCACCGACGCCCCTCGCCGCACCGAGTCCAAGCGCGCGCCACAGCGCCCAGAACTGGGCCCGCTCGGCGCCCTCGAGCCCCGCCGCGGGCGCGCTCGCGTCGAGCCGGACCCGGACGCGCGAGAGCGCAAAGAGCGCCCGCCGCAGGGCGAGGACCGTGCGCGTGTCGGTGCGGGGTTCGGTCGAGGCCGGCGCGCGGACGAGCGCGAGGGCGGGTTCGGCGGAGGAGGAGGAGGGAGAGGGAGAGGGAGCGGAGGTCGACACGGCGAGCGAGAGGCCCGAGCGGCAGGCCCCCGTCGCCTCGAGCGCGAGCGCGTGCGCCTGCGCGAGGTGCGCTGCCGCCTGCTGCGTCGCGTCTGCTGGTACGGCGGCCGACGGGGTCGCACGCGAGAGGAGCTCGTAGGCGACGAGGTGGACCGACGACTGGGCGACGAGGTTGGCCGACAGGAGCGAGGGGAGGTGCGCGGCGGGGAGGTCGCGCGGCGGCGAGAGGCGGTTCGAGAGGAGGGCTCGGGCCGACTCGTACGCCGCGAGCGCGGTCGAGAGGGTCGAGAGGAGGGTCGAGAGCGATGGTGAGGGAGAGGAGGAGGGCGACGGAGAGAGGGGGAGCGACTCGACGAGGTGGTCGGCGCCGAGCGACAGGAGGTCGACCTTGCGCGGGTGAGCGCGCGCGAGCTCGTCGAGGACCGGCGTCGCGTCGGTGGGCGACAGCGTCGTGAGCATCGACGCCCTCGCGAACGCGAGCTCAAAGTCGAGCTCGGCCGCGTCGCCCTGGACGGCCGCGCGCAGCTCGGTCGCGCGCTCAAAGGCCGCGAGCGCAGAGCTGCGCAGCTCGGCCTGCGTCGCGTCGTCCGTGTGGGCCCAGTCGTGCAGGGCGAGGTCGAACCGGAGCGACTCGAGGAGCGTGTCGATGACGAGCTGAGGCGTGACGATGGTCGACTCCATGGCGCGCACCGACGTCTCGGCGCCGCCGCCTGGACCGCTCGACGGCACCTCGTCGATCGCCTCGTCCTCGTCCTCGTCGTTCCCGCTCGCTGCCGCACCCGGCCCGCCCGCACCGAAGAAGCGCGCCATCTCGTCCCGCTGCAGCCGCTCGACCTCGACAAAGAGCCGCTTGGCCTCGCTCGCCGCCTCGACTGCGCGCTCGCGCTCGCCCTCGACGGCCGTGACGGCGTCGTCGAGCGCGTCAAACAGGGCGACGTCGGCCTGGGCGAGGTTGAACAGGGCGTCGATGCGAGCCGTCGCCGAGCTGTCGCCGTCGCCGTCGCCCGGCTGTCGCTGCCGCTGCTGCTGCTGCTGCAGGTCGAGGACGGCGAGCGCGTCTCGGTAGCCACTGCGGGCCTTGTCGAGCGCGGCGAGGCACTCGGCGGGCCCGAGGTGCTCGGTCGCGAGCGTCTGGAGGACCCGCGCGCCGTTGTACCGCGAGTCAAAGTCGAGCGGGTTGGCGAGGGCGGCGAGGGCGTAGCACACGCAGGCGTTGTTGCAGTGGCGAGTCGCCTTTGGCCCGGCCTGGTACCGCTCGCCCTGCTCCTCCTGCCGGGTGCCCTCGTCGAACCAGTCGTCGGCGGTCCAGGACGAGGGGGCCGAGGTGCGCGCCGAGTCGAGCGAGGCAAAGTCGATGTGGACCTGCTTGCCCTTGCCCTTCTTGGGCAGCTTGAGCGGAGCCATGGCGCGGTGGTGTGCGTGGTGGGAGGGAAGCGGGTCCGCGGAACTGAGTCCTTCTCGACAGGCGCTCTCTCGCTCCCACGACGGGATCGACCGCCGGACTGCAGTTGTGACCTCTTCGTACCGCAAGGAACGCGGGCGGACGATTTACCGGCATGCGCGAGAGCCGATCATGCCGTCACTCGTCGGCGGCTGCTGTTCCTCCTCCTCCCTCCTCTACACAGTCTCTCTTCATTCGGTGCGGCCCTCGAAGCCATGCTGTCCGCCCGCGCAACCCAGCTCACCACTGCCCGCCGCCTCCTCTCCTCCTCGTTCGCTCCCCGCTCCTCCGCCGCCGCCTCGACCCTCGTCGTCACCGTCCCCGCTCGTCGCCCTCGCCCCGCCCAACTCGCGCACACTCGCACCTTGCGCTTGACAGCATTTACCATGGCCCCCAACGACCCGTACACCGCAAAGGCCGAGAAGGGCGACTCGGAGACTCCCGCCTCGCAGAAGTGCGTCATCCTCCTCGTCCTCCTCCGCGCAACCTCCTTCCCGCATCGTGGGCGTACTGACACACATGCACGCCCCGCCAGGTTTGAGGAGCTGCGCTCGATCGTCAAGGAGTGCAAGTTCGGGCTGCTCGTGTCGCGCTCCAAGGACGGCCACCTGCACTCGCGCGCCATGTCGCCCGCGTCGCACCAGGGGCTCGTCTTCTCGTTCATCGCCAACGAGGACTCGGGCAAGTTCGACGAGCTCGAGAACGACGAGCACGTCAACATCTCGTTCTCCGACAGCGGCTCGACCGACTGGGCGTCGGTCGCCGGCAAGGCGCGCGTCACGAAGGACGAGAAGACGTGCGTCGCGCTCCTTTCTCTTGATACCAGCTCCCTGTCGACTCGGAGCAGGTGTCTCGCGAAATAGGAGTACGCCATTGACACCTTCGTCCCCGCGCGCGCAGGATCAAGGAGCTCTGGAACCCGATGATCAAGTCGGTGCGTCGCGCTCTCTCCTCGATGTCTCGCTGCCCGTCGCCGGTACTGACTCTCGCTCGTCTCGCAGTGGTTCGGCGACCTGAAGGACGGCGTCCGCACGGGCGAGCCGGGCGACCCTCGCATCGCCGTCATCCAGGTCATCCCCGACGAGGTGAGCCTCCCCTCTCTCACTCTCTTCTCCGCAGCCGTCTTCTGTTCGAGCGATCACTGACCCTCGTCCACTCCCTCGCAGATCCGCTACGTGCGCCCGCGCTTCCTCAGCCGTTCCTCGCGCCGACCCGCACTGACCCCGTCTCTCGCTCCTGCAGTGGATCAAGACCCGCACGTCGCTCGGCCAGACCGTCGAGGTGCTCAAGGGCGCCATCACGGGCGAGACGGCCGCGCCGGGCAACCTCCGCACCATCTCGAGCGCCGAGGTGCGTCCCGACTCTCCCTCCCTCTCTGTCCGTCCTTCCTCCCGGCGCGAGCTCACTCTCCCTCCTCGTCGTCGGTCGCCCACAGCTCGAGCTCGCCAGGCAAGTCGAGGGCTCCAAGGCTTGAGTGGGCTACACTCCCGCTGCTGTCGACCTCGCGCCCTCGACAGCCCGACTGACTCGCGCCCTCTCTCTCTCTCTCTCGCACCCAGGCGCGACCAGGCGTAGACTTTGTGTTGCACAGTCCCTTGTTGAGCAGTGTGTCGAAATTTCCACAAACGCAGTTTTTCCTTCTGTGTGCGCGCTCGAACGAGAGAAGCGAGCGAGAGAGCGAAAGACTCGAAAGAGGTCAGTGCGCCGTCGCTCGAACTACTCGCGCAGGCAGCGCGACGTGGCGCCATCGACCCGTCCGCGTCGAACTAGAGAGAAGAGCTAGAGCGCGAGCATGCCTGCGAGCCGAGCGCTCGAGCGAGGTCGACAATGGCGCGAGGCGGGGCAACTTGAGAAGGTCAGCGAATCTACCATTTCGAGGGGTGGGCGCGGTGCAGAGTCGAGGCACGTCTGGCGAGAGACGGCCTGACGAAGCTAGCTGCCGCTGACGTGCGGCAAGTCGAGCCCAGCACTCGCCGAGGTGCTGCCGTGAGCGCTCGAGCCCGTCAGCTGCTGCCGGCGTGCCGCTGACCGTGCCGAGGAGCGATCGCTTCCCCGTTCGAGCAAGTGCGCACCCCACCGGCTGCGGCGATTTGCTTGCGCCTTCGCACGTCTGCTCGGACGAGTTGAGTCGCCCGACTCGCGCGCTCTCCCACCTCCCTCTCTCTCTCTCACCCGCGCTCGCACACACACCGGCGCTCCACCATGTCGGCCTCGCTCGCTCGCCGCGTCTTCAAGCCCATGCCTGCTCAAGCCGTCATCCGCCGCACGAGCTGCCCCGTCTCGCGGTTCCTCCCCGCCGGCGCACTCGAGGCGGGCCCGTCGAGCGTCTCGGCACGCACGGTCAACGCCGTCGCGCATCTCACGGTCGGGGCAGCACTCGCCGCATCCGCTGTGCGTCCCACCTCTCTCTGTGCCGGGCGCGTCAGCGGGGGGAAACTGAGCCAGCTGACCCTCTCTGCTCTCCCCCCACTCGGCGCCCCCAGTTCACCGTCCTCACCCACCCGGACTCGCTCTTCTTCGACCACCCGCCTCGGTCGGCCATCTCGTGGACGCCCGAGCGACACCTCGCGAGCCGCGAGCTCCACTCGGCGGCGTCGCAGCACCGGCCCTCGACCTCGACCCGTGCTCCGACCGTCTCGGCCGCCTCGCCCGCACCCTCTATCGTCGCCGCACCGTCGACGTCGTCGTTGGCTCGCCCGGGCATCGCAGCGAGCGTCGCAGGCGCAGACTGGCACTGGGAGCTGAGGCTCGCCGGCGTCCTCGGGCGGTCGCTCTCGGGCCCGTGAGCCTGTCTTTCTCTCTCCCTCCTTCGCGATACCTTCCCTCTCTCGTCCCCTCTGTCGATAGTGCCCTCTTTCTTCGTCCCGCCCTTGTCGTACATCCGTAGCATCTCTCTCTCGCCTTTGCAACCTCGTTTCCCGTTCGTCCTCCTCCCGCTTGAGAAGGTCGACTTGAGGGACAGGAGACGCAGCGGCGCCGGTGTACTCGTCGTGGGGACACCCTTGAGCGCGCTCGAAGAGTCGCAAGTACCGGCGGCAGCGCCCGGCCGACTCGTGAGCGCTATCGCTCGCCGCGAGCGACTCGACCGCTTTTCGGCGGAGCTGGTTCTGCCCGCCTCCCTGGCTATCCTGCTCTCTCTCTCTTGCTCGCTCCCGAGCTCAAGGCTACACGCTCCTCTCTCAGTGCTTCCGATCGTCGACGCGCCGAGCCGCACGACACGCTCCACCTCGCCTCGCCGTCATGCCTGTCCCGACCCAACTGCACTCGCTCCGCATCACGCCGCTCGTCCACGACCCCAAGGAGACCAAGGTCGACTTTGGAGCGACCGTCGAGGGTGTCGACCTGAACGACGTCGACCCCGAGACGTTTGCCGTCCTGCGCGACGCCGTCCTCAAATACCGCCTCCTCGTCTTCAAGGGCCAGGCGAAGCTCCACCCGGCCAACCAGCTCGCCTTCGTGCAACGATTCTCGCCTGGGTCGACTAACTTTAGCCACGGTCTTGACCCGGACTACCTCAAGCGCCGAGGGGTGCGTCGAACCTTCTTCTCCTCCTCGCCCTTCCTCCCACCTCCCTTTCCGGACCCGCGACCTTTGTCCTCGAGCCTGCACGTCCTGTCTGACTCTCTCGACCGACGCGCAGAACAGCGGCGCGACGATCCCGGGCGTGCCGCAGTGCCAGATCCTCGGCTTTGGCCAGGTGCCGCCCGGCCACCACGGCCTGAAGGAGGACGTGTTCATCGCTCGCCAGGACCACCGCAAGATGCACAAGACGCCGCTCAGTGACGAGGAGCTCGAGCAAGGGTACACCCGGATGATGCAGCTCCGTGAGCCCTTCCTCGAGCCCCGCACGAGCCCCTTCCGCAGCGCAGCACTGACTCTCTTTTCCCTCGCACGCGCGCTCGCAGACTTTGACGGCGCGCTGTACGGCATTCCGCCGCCTTTCGTCGGCTCGCTGCTTGCGGTGCACACGCCCAAGGGCAACGACCTCACGCTCACGTTCGACAACGAGAACGGCCGCGGCGAGAAGCGGATCGCTCCCGGCTCGACTGCGTGTGCGTGCTCTCTCCCTCTCTTCTTCTCGGCTCTCTCGAGCCGAGCACAAGACTCTCCTGACCCGTCGACATGCGACAGACTTCAACGCGGCGCAAGCTTGGCGGCTTCTGACGGACGAGCAGCGCGAGACGGCTCGGCACTCGACCGTGACCTATGCGCCTCACGCCTTGTGAGCATATCTTTCCTCTCGCGCAATCCTCTCAGACTCTCGGGCGACGACTGACAGGCGCACGTCGATACAGCTCCTGGATCGCCTCGACCAAGTTCACGAGCGACGGCTCGTCGATCGTCACCGAGGGCAAAGAGGTCCCGCTCGACGAGCTGCCGCCTTGGGAGGCGAGCAAGCTCAAGACGATGCCGATGGTGTGGTACTCGCCGCTCGACGGCACGCCGTCGCTCATGATCCACGGCCAGTGCGCCATGCGCGTCCACGTCAAGCGCTCGGCCGACGACGAGGTCAAGGTCCTGGACGACCTCGGCGAGGTTCGCGCGTTCCTGCAGGCGTGCGTCCAGCTCTCTGTCTCTTCTCTCTCTGTGACACCGGAGCAGGCGCAGAACGAGCCGCGCCGGCGCCCCGAGTCGAGGAAGGCGCCGACGGGCGGCCCGACGACAAGCCCGCCGTTCCTCGACCTGACCGAGCCGCCCGACCCACGCAGGTACCAGCTCCCGATCCTCCGACCCGAGTACGTCTACGCGCACAACCACCAGGAGGGCGACCTCGCCGTGTGGTACAACCAAGGGATGTGGCACTCGATCACCGAGTTCCCCGAGCGGTGCGGCAGGAGGATCATGCACCAGGTCAACCTTGGGCACAACGTCGACCCGGACCTGGTCCCGCTCGATGCGGGCGTCGTGCGGCAGCTGTGACGAGCGAGGTGTGCAACTCGAGCGACCGGTGTTGGCAGCGAGTGCGACGCGAGTCGCCCTGAGCGAGGAGGGCCGAAAGCGGGTCGGGGCGTGCGAGGGATGCGAGAGGCCAGCTTGCAGCGCATGCCGAGACGCGTCTCGCGAGCCATCGCAGCGTGCGAGAGGGCTCGAGGTGCGAGAGAGCGAGGAAGGGGGAGGGGAGGGAGAGGCGCAGCTCGGGGCAAGCGGCAAGCTTGTGTGCCGGGTGCAGAGGTGCAGCTGCTAGAGCTTGCGCCCTCTCTGCAGCGCCCGGGCGGATGAGCGTTGGAGCACGGTGAGGAGAGAGGTTCGTCGTCGTCGCCGCCTCTTCATCACAACAACCAGCCCGGCTCTAGCTCGCACGCCTGCTGTGCCGCTTCTGTTCCACACAAGCCCTGTCAGCACACCGACTCGCCCGTCCAGCCCGTCGCGCCAGAGCCCGCCGAGCTCGCCAGAACCACCTTCCCCTCCCCCACCACCAACCCCCGTCTCGTCCGCAACCCTGGATCAATTCGTCGCACCGGCCAAGGTCCAGATCTTGCTCGTCCCCGTCCACCCGATCAAGCGCAGCAAGTTCGACCGCCATGTCGAGCTGTTGAAGCGCTTCGCCAGCGTCCCTCTCGCCGACGTGCCTCCCGACCGGCGAGGCGAACGAGGTGCGTTCCCGGCTCTCTTGCGGTCTGTCAGGTGCGGCGGGCCTGGCAGAGAGTGCGAGACGGAGCGGGCCGGCGCCTCGCAGGCAGCTCGGCAGCGTCGTCGTCCGTTCATCGTTGCACCGGTTACTCGAACAGCGATGAGGAGCTGGGCGGCCTCAGCACAGCGGCAGAGCCACGAGAAATCACGCCTGACCCTCTTGCACGGTCGTACAGCGGTCTTCTCGTCGAGCCCGACAACACCGGGCAACCTCCTGCTCAACTACCTCACTCCGACCACCTGGGCGCCGCAACATCCGCTCTCGTTCCTGTCCGAGCTCCAAGTGCATCGCCGCATCCAGGGCATCATCGGCATCCTCGACGCGACCGAGTACCGCGGCAAGTCGCTCGATACCGCCCTCGCGTCGTTCCAGGCGTCGCTCAAGTCGCTCCCCAAGACGTTCGCGACCAAGGTGTACGGCTTCGACCCGAGCGAGGACCAGCTCGACGAGGCGCGCAAGCTCAAGGAGAACGAGGGCCTCATCCTCGTGCCGCATCTCGGCGATGTCAGCTTCTTCCTCAAGACGGTCCTCGCCGACTTTGCCGGCGACGTCCTGTTCGACTTTTCCAACATGGTGCGTCCCACCGTCCCCCTTTTGAGCCCTCCCGAGACAGTGACTGACTCTCGACTCTCGCAGGCGGCCCAACTCGAGTCGCGTACGTCGATCCCGACCCCGCAGGAGACGCCCGGCGCCACCGCTCCCTTTTCCTTCGCGCCGACCAAGCGCACCGCCCAGTCGACGATCTCGACCTACTCGGCGCCCGCCGCACGTCGTCCTGAAGCACCCACGCCCGCCAAGCCGCCACCGCCCGTCGACCTCGCCTCGCTCGGCCTCGCTGCGCCTCCGCAGTCGCGCACCGCGACGGGCCCGCTCGGCGGCAGCACGTCGGGCAACCGCGACGGCTTCCTGTACGGCCAGAGCATCCAGACGCACATGGCGACGCAGGCCGGTGCGGCGTCGAGCCCGCCGCCGGGCGCGCAGCTCGTCGACGCGAGGGCGAGGAAACGGGTCGCCGGGCGCGAGAAGAAGCTCATGGGCGACATGTGGCTCCTGTCGGGTCGGCTGAACGAGGCCATCAACTCGTGCGTCACCCTCTCACTCTTCTCCTTCCAAGAGCGAGAGCCCTGATCCTCGTGCACGTGCAGGTACAACGACGCCGTCGCGCTCACCAAGGCGTGGCCCGACCAGGTGTGGCAGGCGAGCGCTCTCGAGGGCCTCGTCGTCGCTCTCGTCATCCAGGCGACCCAGCCCAAGGGCTCTCAAGGCAGTGTGCGTCGCCTCTTGCTCTCTCTCCACCGAGGCGGCCCGACCTGATGGCCTCCTCCCACAGTTGCCGCCCTCGCTCGTCCCGCCGAGGAGCGACTCGCCCGTCGGCTCCTCACATCATCCCGACATCTCGACCTTCCTGTCGGCTATCCCCGACCGCCTGTCGCAGGCCATCTCGCTGTACGAGAAGATGCTCCTCCCGCTCGACCGACCAGCCGATGCACCTCCGCCAGATCCCGACCGCGCCCATCCCCTCGTCTACGTCGAGGCGTGTCTGCGCTGCGCCCACTTCTACCTCGCCGTCTCGGAGGCGCACGGCAACGTTCCTCGGGCGCTCGACCGCCTCGTCGCCCCCTCTACCTCCTCGACTACCTCCTCGCCTCCTCCTACCGGCGCAGCGCAAGCGCGTACCGCCCGCCTCACGTCCCTCTCGCCCTCCAACACCGTCCCTCGCTCGACCATCGCCCAGTGGATCAGCGCCGCCTACTCGCCGCACCTCGCGCTCCTCGCCCTCCCGGTCCGCCTACGCCTCACGGCCGAGATCGCGAGCCTGTTCGGCCGCATCGGCTACCGCCGCAAGGAGGCGTTCGTCCTGCGCGAGCTCGCCGCCCTGTGCGCCGAGGGCGTCGCTGGGCGCAGCATCGAGGTGTTTGCGGCGGCGGGAGCAGGCGGGCCGTCGCCCATCCCGGAGGAGCCGAGCGACTCGCCTCGCGCCAACGGCGGCGCAGGAGGGAGCACGGCGTCGGGAGCGGCGGCTCGAGCGCGCGCGTTCGACCGCGGCGGGAGCATCGTGCGCACGACGAGCGATCCGGCCGGCAACGACTCGATCGTGCGCATCGTCGAGAAGGTGTGCGAGGCGTTCGGGATCGAGGTCGCGCCGCGGTTGTCGAGCGAGGACGTGCAGGCCGAGCGCAAGAAGAGCATCGTGCAGGGGCGGACGCTCGAGATCCTCGAGAGCGAGGTCGGCGCGTTCGGCTGGCCGGGCCTGCAGCTCGGCGTGCTCAAGGACGCGATCGGCATTGCCGAGGCTCTTCCCGGTGCGCCTCACCTTCCTCTCTCTCTCTCTCTTCTCTCGAGATGCGCAGGTGCCTAACCCATCACCCGCCGTGCGCGCAGAGTACCAGGCGGCGATCCGGTTCACGGTGACGGGCCTGCGCTCCCTGTCCGACACGATGCCGCCGCACGAGCAGTACGAGCTCGCGCAGAACATTCCGCGAGTGTTTGCCGCCGCAACGAGGCGAGGCGCGTCGTTCGAGCTCGAGTACTGGGGCCCGTCGCAGCTCGTCATGAGCCTCGAGGTCGTCAAGTGCGTCCTCCCTTCCTGCCGCCCTCTTCTGCCTTTCTCGCGAGTGATACTGACGGCGCTCTCTGCAGGCTGTCGTCGAACCGCGTCCCGCACGAGCACGCCCTCAAGGACCTCGAGCTCGACTCGACCACGGCGGCCGGCCCGCGCAACCCGTTCCTGTACGACCCGCGCCGCAAGGTCCAGGCGGCCAAGACGAAGCCGTCCGTCGTCCAGAACGAGACGACCGAGGTCTACGTTACGCTCCAGAACCCGTTCCTGTTCGAGCTCGAGATCCAGAACATCGAGCTCAGGTGAGCCTCCCCTTTCCTTCCGCCCCTCGTCTCGCCTTTGTCGTCCCCGTCAAGCCCCGGCCTCGACGACGCGCAAGACTGACACCCCTCCCTCCTGCAGCACCTCGGGCGTCCCGTTCGCGTGCGACCCGCTGTCGACCGTCATCCCGCCCGGCTCCTTCCACACCGTCCGCCTCACGGGCACGCCCCGAGAACCCGGCACGCTCGTCATCCGCGGGTGCCACATTCGGCTCGCCGGCTGCGTCAGCCGCGAGTTCGTCCTGCCCGTGTGGGACGCCGAGGAGGAGGAGAAGCAGCGCAAGACGGCCCTCCTCGACACGTCGCGCGAGCGCATCAAGGTGACCGGCCTCGACGCCGTTCCTGACTCGACGCCTTCAGCTACGGCCGTCCCGAGCGACGAGCTACGCGACGGCGACCTCAAGTTTCTCGAGTGCGCCGTCGTGCCCGAGATGCCGCTCCTGTGGATGAGGTCGACGTCTCTCACGCACGGCGCGCTCATGCTCTACGACGGCGAGATGTGCGTCCCTCTTCTCCTTCGCATCTCTCTCTCTGGCCCTGACCTAAGTCGCCGCCGCAGCTCGACCATCCGGATCGGCGTCGAGAACACGTCGTCCTCGCCGATCGACTTTGTCAAGGTCACGTTCGCCGACTCGCTCAGCGCCGCAGCACAAGCCTACCTCACCGACAACGAGCTGGCCCCGACCGAGGCGTACGATCTCGAGGGCGAGAGCGTCCACCGACCCGTCTTCCGCTGGGACGGCTCGCCGCAGACGGCCATCGCGCCCGGCGCGTCGCACATCTTCGAGATCCAGTGCCGCGGCAAGATTGGCTGGTCCGTCGACTCTCTCTCTGTGTCGCCCCAGGTCGCACGTCCCTAACCTCGTCACCTCGTCTCGCAGTGGGTTCGGCTCGATCCAGCTCGACTACGGGTTCCTCGACCGTGACGTCGTCAAGTCGAGCAAGACGTTCTTCACGCGCCAGCTCTTCTGCGACGTCTTCATGACCGTGCACCGCGCCGTCGTCGCCAACACGCTCGAGCTGTCGCGCCTCAAGGCCCTTCCTGACGAAAGCGCGACGCACGGGCGCTCGGCGAGCGTCGTCAGCCTCGGGCAGCGCGGCGCCGCGCTCGACAAGCGCCTCGAGGACAGCCTGCGCGAGATCGACGACGGCGAGCACTGCCTCGTCGCCGTCGACGTCATGAACGTGTACGGCAAGCCTTTCGAGGTCAAGCTCGAGCGGCAAGAAGAGCGTGAGCCCGACCTCTCCTCCCTCCTGCCTCGTCGACACGCGCCTGAAACGTCTACTGACGTCTCTTACTGCGCGCAGAGAGCGACTTCTACCAAGTTCGGCAGCGGATCGAGCCGGGAGCGACTCTGCGGTGCGCCCCCTTCTCCCTTTCTCTCTCTCTCTCCTTCGTCAAAGGGATCCTGTCCTGACGTCGCGTCCTGCAGCATGCTCGTCCGCCTTGACCGTCTCGCCCTCACGTCCGAGCAGCTCGACCAGCCGATCCCGGCGCTGTCGGAGCGGCAGTTTGTCGTCGCCAAGGTCAAGCGCTCGCCCGAGGAGGCGCGCCTCGAGCGCGAGCTGTTCTGGTACCGCGAGGAGCTGCTGCGTCGCGTCAAGCTGTCCTGGAACGAGGTGCGCCGCCTTGCTTCTCTCTCTCTCTCTCTCAAGTCGTCGCGGCCCCGAGCCTGACCGCTCGCTTTCCTCTTGCAGGTCGGCAGCCTGCGCTCGGGCGAGGTCAGCCTGCGCCAGCTCTACCTCGACAAGGCGATGCTTGACATACTGCGAGGCGACGCCGTCGAGGTCGAGCTCTTCCTCGAGGAGAACCCGGCGTCCGAGCCCGGCGCGTTCGAGCTGCGAGGACGAGGGTCGCGCCTCGCTTACTCGGCCGTCGCCGACGACTTTATCGACGTCTGCGCCAAGGTCACGAACCACTCTCGTGCGTCCTCGACGTCTCTCTATCTCTCTCGAGGCGAGTGAGGCCGCGCACTGACCCTCTCGCCCGCCCCGCCCTCTCTCTTTCCCTCTCGCAGCTTCGCCTCTCGAGCTCACGCTCCGCCTCGACCTGCGACCGCCCGAGTCGTCGCGAGCAACGTCTGCCGCCCTCGTCCACCTCGCTCGCTACGTCGTCATCGAGGGCGTCTCGCCCGTCTCGCTCGCGCGCCTCGAGCCCGGCGCGACCTGCGAGGCCCGCATCCCGGTCTGCCTCCTCGCACAGGGCCGGTACGAGCTCGGGTGCGTCGTCGAGGAGGCGCGGCAGAAGGGTGGGCGGCGACGAGCGTGGGGCGCGAGGGAGCCGCTCGTAGTCGACGTCGAGCGATGACGGGCTGCAACTCGACGGACGACGAGCATCTCTCTGGGCAACTTGAGAGGAGACAGCGTGTTACAGCGCTGAGAGTCTACATATGCGGGCCCTACCGGCGCAAGGTGGCCAAGTGGGCGGCCAAGTCGGCCTGGGGACGGGCGGTTTGAGAAGGTCAATTTGCGATACTCGAGGCGAGGACCTGAACGAGCGCACGTCGAGCTCAGGGTGCGAGCCACCGAGGATCTGCGCGCAAGAGGGATGTCAGTGCTGCGTCTGCGAAGCGAGAGCTGCGGCACGAAAGGGTAGGCGCACCTTGCGGTTGGCGACGCCGAGTGCTCGGAGCGCCTCGACGGCGTCGAACGTGATCGCGGCGCGAACGCCCGACTCGTAGAGCGAGTCACGCTTGCGAGAGGCCTCGATACAGAACTTGAAGGCGATCGGAACGGCCCGGCCCGAGCCGATCTTGGTGAAGTCGATGTCGAGGGCGAGCGAGCCGGCGTAGTCGGAGAGGTAGATGCGGGAGCACTGCCACTTGCGGGCGTATCTGCGGATGTGTCGATATCAGGGACCTGAAGGTGGCGGAAAGGAGGCACGAGCGTGCAGGAGAAGCTGCGGCAAAAGTCTGTACGCGCGGCGGTCGTTTTGCTCGCTGAGCGCGCGAGGTTGGGCTTTGAGATCTTGCGGCCAGTCCTCACGGCGAACGAGGTTGTAGCGCTGTGTGGAAGGAGATGGGTCTCAGTCTGACTGCTCGGGCGAGCGCGACGAGGAAGAGCGCACGGACCTTCATCTCGATGATGACGAGCGCCTTCTGCGGCTTGAGCAGCCGCTCGTTCTTGGCGTTCTTCTGCGTGCTGACGAGCGCAAAGACATGATCAAGCCTGAGGCCTGAAGGAGGATGCAAGTCAGCTCGCCGCCTGTCGACGGCGCAGGAGGAACAAGGACGCACACGATCGCGATGTTGAGCCGGCCTCCAGGACCACGTCCTCTGCAACGACCTCGCTGAGGAGGACGATCTCGAAGTGCTGGCGCAGGTGCTCGGCGAGAAAGTGTTGCAGGACGGCGAGGGCCGGGTTGAGGACGTTCGAGACGAAGGCATTGCTGCGGGAAGGACAGACAGGTACGCGAGGGAGGTCAGGCCAAGGGACACTCGATTGGGAGGACAAAGGAAAGGGCTGCACGAGGCGTCGGCCTCGTTGTCGAGAATGCGGCGGCTCTGCGTCAGAGGAGGAGAGTCGAGCTTGCGGGCGGCGTGGACAAAGTGGACCTCGTCCGACAGAGCTCGCGCCGACGGCCATTCGCGCCCGACCAGCTTGGGCTGCACGTAGTACTCCTTGTTATAGCGGCTCTGCGCGAGCTGCTTCGACAGGCGGGCCGTGCTGGCGGTGTGCGACACGTCACAGCGCAGACGGGGCTGCAGGAGGACCGAGAGGGTGGTGCCGATCGCGAAGCCCGGCTTGTTGCGAAGAAAACCTCGAAGCTCGCTAAGCGCGATCCCGCTCTTGACCGACTGGAGAGAGGGAGCCAACGAAACGATTTGGAGATTTCTCGAGAGAAGAGGAGGAGCGCACCTCGTGATACTCGACTGCTGATCGTGCTGGTCGTTGCACAGCTCGACGGTGTCCAGGCGAGTATAGTACGACAGCGCGCACTTGCCCTCTGGCTCGCGGAAAGAGCGAGGAGAGGGCGCTGACGAGTGGGGACGAACGCCGACCGACGCTCAGGCCGCTCGCGGTACCGTTGCGGGACGCACTCGTGCTGGGTCGTACGCTCGCCAGGCGGTTGTCTGCGTCGGACATGCTCAGGACGAGACTCGATAGAGCGAGAAAGTGAGAAAAGGCGCGACGACGAGCTCGACAAGTTCGGCTCCCGCGGACGACGGGGGAGAAAGCGCGGCGTTCGTCCGCCTCAGACGCGCACGCCGGTCCGTCGGGGTCGGGCAGGACTCTCTGTCAATCGGTGGACAAGCCGACGCGAAGCATGCAGCGATCCGCCGGTGCAGACGAGGACGCGCCTTTCTCTCCTCCACTTCGGAAGGCCGCCGGCTGTGGACAACGACGACGAACAGCTGGAGCTTGCGCAGCCACTCGTCCTGTTGAGCCGCTACTCGAACTTCGATCGTAAACGCGTGCGCGTCCGGGGCAAACGATCGTTACGCGCGTTGCCTCTCGGCGCTCCACCCGCACGGCCCTCCTCGGCGTGCTGCCTCTCGCTCGCGCCCCGCTCTGGCTCGCACGAGCGTCGCTTTCCACGCTGCTGCTGCTTCTCTCTCTCCCTGTTCACCAGATGGCCTCGGCAAACCCCTCCGCCGACGACTACGTGGGTTTCTACCTCGACCGGCCGACCGAGAAGCAGCTCGACGAGCTCGAAGCGCTGCGAGCGCACGCCCTCGACCACCCGCTGGAGCCGGGCAACTCGCTCAGCTGGCAAGGGCCGAACCTGCACCCCGAGTCGCTCCCTCCTGCGGACTACCCTCGCCCGACGACGCCGCTCCCTTCGCCGCACGAGCCTCGCCCGCTCCTCGCCGCCCTTCTCGCCCACGACTCGCCGGCCCAGTCAGGTCGCGGCTGGTCGCTCCGCCTCGTCGATGGCCTGCAGACGGGCGCCGACCAGTGGTCGCAAGTTTGGCGCTGCGAGGCGGTCGACGGGCAAGGGCGCGAGGTCGGGCGAGTCGTCCTCAAGCTCTACCACCAGGCCCTCTTTCGTTTTCCCGACGGCGACGAGTGGCCAGATGTCGAGCAAGAAGTCTTCTTCTGGTGGCCGGCGCGTCACGCCGAGGCGTGCGAGTCGAGAGCGTACCGGTGCGTCGCGCCGCTTTCTCTCCTTCGGCAGGATCCGCATCCTGACGCTTTGCCTCTCGCCGCAGCGACCTCTCGGCGTATCAAGGGCGAGACGTTCCTTTCTGCTACGGGTTCTACATGTTCCGCCTCCCCGACGGCAACGACGTCGTCGGCGTCGTCCTCGAAGACCTCGTCGACAAGGTCGTTCCCTTCGCCAAGCTCGTCGAGGACCCGACCACCGCGCAACGCGGCACGTACGAGCAAGTCGCCGAGCTCGTGAGCTTTCCATCGTCGTCGTGTGCGGCGCGGTCGCTCACTCGCCTTGGTTCTCGCTCGCAGGCCTACTCCGCTTTCGAGCTTCACCGCCGAGTCACCGAGTGCGGGATCCTGCACGTCGCCAAATACGCCGAGGACCTGCACCAGCTCAAGGGAAGCTGGTCATGCATCATCGCGACGGGCTTTGGCCACCCCCTCTTCCTCGACCGAGCGCGCGAGGTCCATCGTCGCACCCTTGAGCGCGAGCGTGCGCAGGGTCCGCTCGAGCCGTGGGCCGAAATATTCTGCGCCCTGAGCAACAGTCAGGTTGGCGTCAGGAGCACGGTCGAGGAGCTCTTCCGTGCGATGGGGCACGACTTTCGGCGGTGGCGTGACGAGGAGCGAGCGCAGGAGCGGCTCGCCTTTCTCGAGGACCGCGTCTTGTAGAGGCCCTGGCGCTCTTAGCACTGTACACGAGCCCAGCACAATACTCGAGCGAGTGCGTCTGAGAGGACTAGAGAGAGAGAGCGAGAGCAGCGACGGCGAGCGCTTCAGCGAGAAGCCGAGGCTCGAGCGCGAGCAAGCCGCGACCGGCGCGACGACGACGAGAAACAGGGAACGAGAGAAAGTGTCTGTATCATTGTCCGACGACGACTGGAGGAGCCCTGCCCCTCGCTCTATGCCCGGTGGCTGACGACCTGGACCCGCTCGACCGGGCTCGCTCCGACCGGCGACCCACCGCTCCCGCCGCCCTCGCCGCCCTCGAGGTCCGTCGGGCTCATCGCGCCGCCCTCGGCGCCCACAAGCGCCGTCCTGCTCGAGCTCCCTCGCTCAGTGAGCGCGATCCCGCGCTGCGCGTGCGCCTGCTGGTGGTGGTACTGCTCGTCGCTCTCTGCGCGACTGAGCGCGACGGGCAGGAGCGTCGGCGAGCGCGCGCCGCCTCCGTTGCTCGAGCTCATGCTGAGGCGACCGAGCGCCGCCGTGCCCGCGTTGGCGAGCGCGTCGCGCCCGTCGGTCGCCGACGAGAGGAGCCAGCTCGCCTTGGGCACAACGCCGGCCGCGGTCGTGCCGCCGTCGGTCCTCGACGCGCCGCTGCCGCCGACGTCGGTAAAGTCGAGGTCGACGAAGGTGGGCAGGTCGAGTGCGGCGGGAGGAGGCGGCGGCGGGCGGCGAGCGTGACGCTGCTGCTGCTGCTGCTGCTGGTACGCGAGCGCGCGCCGGGGCGACCGGGGCGAGCGCGGCGGGTCGCGCAAGTAGCCGTCGCCGCCTGCGACGCTGCCCCTGCTGCTCGCGTGCGAGCGCGCCGAGTCGTGCGACGTGCGTGAGGGCGGCAGCGGTGGAAGGTCGACGAGTGGGGCGGTCGGCGACGGCGGCGAGAGGACGAGCTCGACGCTCGACGAGGCGGCAGGGTGGATGTCGGTCTCGTTGACGATGGGGATGGGCGGAGCGAGGGCAGGGCGCTCAGTCGTCGCCGACTCGGGCTCGTCGTCGTCGTCGTCGTCGTCGTGCGCCTCGATCCCGGTCGCCGACGACGCTCGGACCGCGACCGACAGCGGCTGGGACGGCGCTCGGCCCGGCACGCGCATGGGTAGCATGCCGCGCGGCTGAGGGACCGACGAGCCGACGCCGAGTGAGCGCCACTTGCGGCGGCTGCGCTCGCACAGGATGCCGATGACGCCGCCCGACAGGTCGAGCTTGGCGGCGAGCCGGCGGTACTCGGTGCGAACGACCCTGCGCGACGTCGAGGAGGCGGGTCAGTGAGCTGAATGTAGAGGGAGAGAGAGAGAGCGAGGGGACGCACCAGGTCTGGGCACTGCGAGCGCCCGGGCCCGAGCCGACGACCTCCTCGCCGTACACGCCCGTCTCGAAGTAGCCCCTGTCGCCGAGCCCGTCGTCCTGCGCGCCGCGCCAGTCGTCGTCACTGCCGCTCCCATCGCTCGCGCTGTCGCGCCGCGCCGCCTTGCCCCTCTGCACCGCCGACGACGCGCGCTCCTCGTCCCACTCGTCGTCGTCGCCCGCGCCCGCCGCGCCCTCGCCACCCGCCGCGAGCCGCTCGCCGAGTCGCGCAAACTCGCCCCGCTCGACGTCGTCGACGAACGCGGCGAGGAACCGGGCCCAACCTGCGGGGCCGTCGCCGGGGAAGAGGACGACCTTGTCGTCGATCTCGCGCCCGAACGCGATCACCTGGCCGGGCTGGCCGTACGTGCGCGCCTTGGCGGCGGGAGCGCCGGGTGCGGCGTGCGACGCCGAGGCCGAGGACGAGGGCGAGGTGGTGGTGCCGGCGGCGGGAGGACCAGGAGGAGGGGGAGGGTCGAGGTCGACGCCGATGTAGTTGCCGCATCGGTCGGTGAGGAGCGGGAGCCACCCGGGGTGCGAGTAGCGCTTGCGGACCCAGCCGTCCGGGAACGAGCCCATGCCGGGCACGTCGCACCCCTTGCCGTCCTTTCCTCCCCCGACGCCGCGCCCGCCAATCTCCTCCTCGTCGGCGACGTACGGGTGCGCGCGGCCGCCCCTCCTGCGCCGCCCGTCCTGCTGTGCCGCGCTCGCGCCAAACGCGTCGCCTCCGAGCCCGGCGCCCTGGAGCCCGCCGGCGTCCTCGAGCGTGCGCCAGAAGCGCCACTCCTGCTCGACCTGGTCGAGCGGCATCCACCACAGGCCGTACACGAGGCCGAGGCCGCCGACGCGTGCGCCGCCCGCCGCGCCGCCGCCGCTCGACGCGGCAGACAGGAGCTCTTGGCCGTCGTGCTCGAGGTACGAGTCGACGACGGCGCGCGGGAGCTCGTAGGGCGCGAGGGCGGCGCGCAGGCTCGACAGGGCCGGGTCGACGTGCGACGAGAGTGGGGACGAGAGCGTGTCGGCGAGCGAGGGCGACTGCTCGGCGAGGAGGGCGCGCAGGCGGGCGAAAGTGGCGTGCAGGGGAGGGGAGCGCGACGAGCCGCCGCTCGGGGTCGAGGCCGACGACGAGGGGCGCGAGAAAGACGGGAGGGGAGGGTACGACGACTCGGCCGAGTAGCCGTTGCTCGGCGTCGAGCGGTGCGTCGGGCACTGCTGCTGAGGCGGGTAGGCCGGTGCGCGCGAGGACGCCGACGACGACGACGAGCCGACAAAGGCGCCGTCGGACGCTGGCGGACCCGACAGGCTGTTGCGCGACTGGGTCGCCATACCGCCGCCGCCGAGGTCGCCTCCTCCGAGCGCAACATCGTCGTACGCGCCCTCGTCGCCGTGTGCGCCCGCGCCGTACGGGCTCGAGGGCGGGAAGGTAGACGACGACGAGGCGGCGGCGGACGAGGAGGAGGACGAGGGGAACGGGTGCGGCGTGCGCTGCTGCTGGCGCTTTTTGGTGGCCGAGGACCCGCCAAAGAGGAAGTCGAGCATGCTGGGTGCTGGCGCGCGAGAGGAGGAGGCGGTCGCGGCTCTGGCTGCGAGAGCGAAGTGGGCGGAACGAGGGCGAGGTCAGTACTCGTCGCGAGGGGCCGAGGACAGGCCATGCATGTCCCAAGAGCTCATCTGCACGCTCTGCACTGCTCACGGCGGCCGCGCACGGGCTCGCCGCCGTCCCTCGTCCCGCAAACACCGCCCGTCCTCATCAGGCTCGTCACCCACTCGTTCGCTCGCCCACCGCCGCCCCGCAGCCGACACCTGGGCAGCCACGTGCGATAGAGAGACGGTCGACTCACTGTGCTGGGCAAGTCGTGCGTGTCGAGGGCGACGTGTCGACGAAAGCGGGGACGAGGACCCGGGGGGGCCGAGGAACGCGCGGGACGAGGGTTGGCGGGCTGCTGCTGCTGCTGTAGGGTGGTGCGGGTGCGGGTCGCTGGCGACACAGCACAGAAGAGCTCAGTCGCTGTCGGTAAGCGAAGAGAGACGCTCAAGCCGAGAAGCGAGCCGGCGCCTGGGCTTCCGCCGACGAGGGTCGCCAGAACAACGACGGGCTCGAGCCCTCGTTCAATTGCACGCTCCTCCTCCTCCTCTTCTCACCGTCCCCTCCCTCTCCCCGACCGTTTCCCCCGTCTCGAGCTCCCCGCTGCGCCGGCCGGTCGCCCAACCCTCGCCGTCCCCGCGCCGAGCGCCCCGAGCAGCGGCTCGACGAGCTGCAGCTCGATGCTGACCGTGCTCTTTGTCCGCGACTGGTACACGAGGTCCTCGTCCTGTGTATGGCGGAAGCGCGGCGATCCTGGGTCAGTCCTCGAGCGAAGGAGAAAGAGGAAGAGAGAGAGAGGGAGAGCGGACGCACCTCATCGAGCGGCGTCACCTCGTCCGACACCGTCTTGCTTCCCGTGCGCACCTGCATGCGCACGACGCCCTCACCCTCGTCCTCGCCGTCGGTCCCACCGCCATCGCGAGAAGCGGGCGCAGGCGGCTCGCCGCCCGGAACGGCGTCGCGGATGGCGAGCGCGAGCGAGAGCGCGAGAGGGATGGCGGCGCCCATGGCGTTGACCGTGAGGGAGGTGCACCTGCAATAGAAGAAGGAGTCAGTGCGGCTCTTCGTCAAGGTCCACGCTCGGCGCGAGAAGGAACTCGCGCCAAGCGAGAGGCGCAAGGAGGACGAGCGACGCACCCTCGCTCGACGAACGCCCCGACGCCCATCTTGAGGTACCCGGCAAATCCGAGTCCCTGCGCCCCCTGCCCCTTGGCCCTGCGCACCCACAGCTCCTCGCGCTCGACGCGGTCGCCGAGGTCCTTGGACCGGCCGCCGACCTTTGCGCCGGCGAGGGTCGCGGCGGGGCGCACGCGGGCGCGCTTGCCCGTCGCGAGGGAGAGAGAGGGGTGGGTGGCGGCGAGGGCAGAGTCGGTGCGGGCGGCGGAGCGGGTCGGGTGGCCGGTCGAGAGGCGGCGGAGGGTGCCGGGGACGAGGGTGCGCTTGGGCGGTTTGGGCGGGACGGCGGGTGGGGAAGGGGCGGGCGCAGGTCGAGACAGCGAGTCGTCGGGCGTCTCGGGCACGACGGACTGGGCGGCGTTCGAGGGTGGAGCGGCGAGGGAAGGGGAGGGTGCAGGCGGGGAGCGGGCGACGCGAGGGCGCTTGGCGGGGCGGGCGGCTGAGCTCGAGGGCTGAGAGGACGTGGCTTGTGAGGACTGCGAGGCAGTCAGGGCGCGCTTTGGAGCCATGCGGGGCGAGCTGCTGCGACGTGGACAAGCGAGAGAAGCGAGAGGGCCAAGGTCCGCCTCGCACCTCGCCCCTCGACAGGCGCGACTAGCTCAAGCTCACTGCTGAACCTCACGTCGAGTCTCCTGCGACGCAAGCCCGACCCGTCGTCCTCGCGCTCTGCGGGTGTCGCCGTCCTCCGCCAGGAGCACAGCCTTCTCGCCTCATCCACCTCTCGACCTCGCGTCTCGCCACCTGGCCGTGCACCGTCCGCCTTGTTCTCTTTGACCGCACGAGTGCGTTCGAGCCAGCCCTCTCGTCTCTCGGTAACGACCAGTGGTGGGTGACCTCGTCCTCGAAGCTCTCCAGAGCTGATGAGGCGCGAGTGCGAGGCGACCCGGGTCTCGAGCGGGCAAGGAGCACTCGAGAAAGTCCCCTGACACTCCCACCTACCCACAGGTACCCCTACTCGACTCGCCGCACCCGCCGCCTCGAGCACCATGTCGGCAGCCCTCCTCCCTCGCGGCTGCACCTGCCTCGCGCGCCTCCCCTCCCTCTCCCGCGCCTCCTTCTCCACCTCGACCCCGTCCCTCGCCCCTCCCACCTCTCGCCCCGCTCCTCGGCCCCCTCGCGCCCGCCCCGGGCCCGACCCCTCGCGCGTCGCCTCGTCCTCCGAGCCCTGGCAGCCGCACAACCCGTCGCGCGCCCCACAGCCCCTCCCCTCGCGCCTCAGCCCGCAAAAGCGGTTCGCCCAGGACCGCGAGCGCGAGCGCCTCAAGAGCGCCAACCTCGACAAACCGCGGTGGCGCGCCGACCCGCGCGCGGCTGACCGGCTCGCGAGGAGCGCCGCGAGCGTCGCGCTCGATGTGGGCGAGATTGGCGCGAGCTTGCCGCAGCAGCGGGAGCGCAGCAGGAGGTTCAGGGCGCGCGAGGAGGAGGCGGAGGGCGGCGATGGCGGCGGGTCGTCGAGGGGACAGCGGGCGGGCGCACCTCGTCGAGGAGGAGGAGGAGGAGGTGGTGCAGGCGGCGCCGCAGCCGCACCCGAGCGCATGGTGCCCGGCCGCGTCAACCGCAGCCTGCAGCGCAACCGCGACGAGGTGCGCGTGTCGAACGCGCCGGCGCCTGCACCGCCGCCGCGGCACCAACCGTCCAAGCGCGCAAAGAGCAAGCCCAAGCAGCTCAAAAAGGTCGTGCTCCCGACCACGTTGCGGCTCGACAACCTCGTCAACATCCTCAAGGAGCGGCTGTGTGCGTCCCACCGCTCTTACATTCGTCGTGACTCGTCTCGAGAAGCGCGCACTGACCCCTCCTCGTCCGCCCTGCAGCTACAGTGCAGCGCGCCGCCGAGGGCATGGGCCTCACCGACACTCGACCCGATCGTCGTACGTCTCCCTCTCGCCTTTCTGTCTTGGGCGCGCCGTCGCCGAGACGGTCCCGCTCACCGAGATGCCGCCGCAACAGTCCTCACCTCGGAGGACGCGTCCCTCCTCGCCCTCGAGCTTGGCTTCGACCCCGAGATCAACGACGACGCCGCGTTCGACCTGTTCCCGCTCCCGTTGTCGCCCCCCGAGCTCCTGTCGCCGCGCCCGCCCATCACGGGCATCTTTGGCCACGTCGACCACGGCAAGACGTCGCTCCTCGACGCGCTGCGGTCCACCTCGGTCGCGGCGGGCGAGGCCGGCGGCATCACGCAGCACATTGGCGCGTTCGAGGTCGGCGTCGCGAGCATGGTCGCCAACCTGCGCGCGCGCGCCGACAAGAACAACAACAAGAAGCCGTCGTCCCCGGCCTCGTCGCCCAAGAAGGACGTCGTCGCCGCGCTCAAGGAGGGCGAGCCGACCATCACGTTCCTCGACACGCCGGGCCACGCCGCGTTCACGGCCATGCGCTCTCGCGGCGCCGGCGTCACCGACGTCGTCGTGCTCGTCGTCGCCGCCGACGACGGCGTCAAGCCCCAGACCGAGGAGGTGATTGGCCTGATCCGCTCGGCGTCGGACGAGCTCGGCGTCGTCGTCGCCCTGACCAAGTGCGACAAGCCGGGCGTCGACACGACAAAGGTCAAGCACGAGCTCATGGCGGCCGGCGTCGAGGTCGAGGACTTTGGCGGCGACGTGCCGTGCGTCGAGGTGAGCAGCGTGACGGGCCAAGGGCTCGCAGAGCTCGTCGAGACGATCTCGGCCATCGCCGAGGTGCGCGAGCTCAAGGCCGAGCGGGCGGGCCGGGTCGAGGGGAGGGTCATCGAGTCGAGGGTCGAGAAGGGCCGAGGGTGCGTCGCGCTTCGTCCTCTCTCTCTCCCAGCCGCTCTCGGCTGCTGCCCGTAGCAGTGCGGCAGCCTCGTCACGAGGTGCGAGAAGCTCACCCGTACCTTGTTCCCCTCCCCCGCAGAAACGTCGCGACCGTCCTCGTCCTGCGCGGCTGCCTGCGCAACACGGCGTCGCTCGTCGCGGGCACGACATGGGCTCGTGTCCGCACCCTCATCCCGCCGTCGGGCAAGGCCGTCGTGTCGGTCTACCCGGGCCAGCCCGTCGAGGTGACCGGGTGGAAGGACCTGCCCGCCGCGGGCGACCTCGTCCTCGAAGCCGCGACCGAGGACGAGGCCAAGCGCGCCATCGCCAACCGGCTGCGGCGCGTCGAGCAGGAGAAGCTGTGGAGCGACGTCGAGGTCATCAACGAGAAGCAGCGGCGCGAGGCCGAGATCCTCGCGATCCGCAAGGACGAGGAGGACAAGGCCAAGGCCAAGGGCCTGCGCGGCAACGCCGTCCTGCACGCCGGCGACGCCGCCGTCGAGGAGCTCGTCGGCGCGTCCGACGGCCCAAAGGAGCTCCTCCTCGTCATCAAGGCCGACGTGAGCGGCACGGTCGAGGCGGTCGTCGGCGCGCTCGAGGGCATCGGCAACGCCGAGGCCAAGGTCAAGATCCTCAGCTCGGCCGTCGGGCCCGTCACGCAGGGCGACGTCGACATGGCGCGAGCAGTCGGTGGTGCGTCCCTCTCACTCTCTCTTGATCCCTCGTCTTCTGGTCGTCCGAGCTCCTGACGCTCGAGCCTCTCTCTCTCGCGCAGCCACGATTGTCGGCTTCAACGTCAAGGCGCCCGGGTCCGTCATGAAGGACGCCGCCAAGGTGCCCAACCCGGTCCCGGTCCACACGTCGCCCATCATCTACCGCCTCGTCGACACGGTCCGCCAGGCGACGGCCGACCTCCTGCCCAAGTCGATCGAGACGCGCGTGCACGGCGAGGCGACCGTCCAGATGGTGTTCGACATCTCGGTGAAGGGCCGCAAGGAGCCAAAGCGCATCGCCGGCAGCAAGGTGTCGAACGGCGTGTTCCAGAAGGCGAGGAAGGCGCGCGTCGTGCGCAAGGGCGAGGTTCTCCACACCGGTGCGTCCCCCTCTCTCTCTCCTTTCGCGTCTCTTGCCTCGACGAGAACGAGACCTGACCTCGCCCGTCGGTCTCTGCGTGCGCAGGTGTCGTCTCGACGCTCAAGCAGGTCAAGAAGGACGTGCTCGAGATCCCCAAGGGCGTCGAGTGCGGCATCGCGCTCGACGACTTTGACGCGTGGGAGGTCGACGACCTCATCCAGTCGGTCGAGGAGGTCGAGGTCGCGAGGACGCTGTAGCTGGAGCGAGGGCGAGGACGAGGCGAGCAGGTCGTGCAGCGCGACACCCATCCCCTCTCGGCGCCGCAAGGTTCTCTCGCTCGCTTTCTCAGCTTCTCCTCTCTCTTCTCGAGCTGCGACTCGGCTTCTGTCGCTCACTGCTCGCTCGGCCGCACCTTCCGCTCGTCGATCGTCCCTCGGCTCGACTCGGCCGAGCATCTTTCTCTGAGTCTAATCATCGTGCGCCCCTCTTTCTCTCTCTCCTTCCTCACCTCGACCCTCTCCTGACGTTCGCCAAGCACGCCTGCAGGACAGCTCGACGTTCGCGACAGAATCCCAAGTCGCCGCACGCCCTCGTCCTCGACTTCCCTCGCCCGCTTGCTCCTTCTCGTTCGACATGCCCTCGTCCCTCGTCCAGATCCGCGGCCGCCCCCTCTTTGTCGAGGTGGCAGGCCGCGGTCCGCCCCTGATCGCCCTACACGGCTTGGGTGGGTCGACCAACCTGTTCCCGCTCGCCGACGACCTCTCGTCGCGGTTCACGGTCGTGCGCTTCGACTTTGAGGGCGCCGGGCAGAGCCCGCTTGATGGCGAGACGACGAGGATGGACGTCGAGGGCTTGGTCGAGGACGTGGTGGCGGTGCTGGACTATGCGGCGCCGGGCGAGGACGAGGCGGTCCTGTTCGGGCACTCTCTCGGCGCGACGTGCGTCCTCCTCCCTTCCTCTCCCTCCCTCCCTCCCTCAGCTCGCCCATCACTGACACCCCTCACCGTCCCACAGCGTCGCCCTCCACTTGGCCGCCACCCACCCGAACCGCGTCTCGCGCCTCGTCCTGTCGTGCCCGGGCCTCGCGCGCGCCGGCAATCCCGAGGCGGTCAAGATGTCGCTCGCGCTCGCTGCGACGGCGAGGAGCAAGGGCACGTTCGAGATGGCCGACTTTACAGGTGCGTCGAGCGGGCTCGCCTCTCGTCGTGCGAGAGGAGGAGGAGGAGGAGGAGAAAAGGGGGAGGCTCGAGCGCGCCCTCTCTGCCCCTCACTGACTCGTCTCTCTCCCCCCCCCCCCTCTCTCTCTCTCGTCAACCAGCCAAGAAGAACCTCCGCCCCTCCCCGACCCGCCCCGAGCTCGCCCTCGTCCGCACGGCGATGCAGCAATCGTCTCGCGAGGGGTACGCCCTCGCGTGCGAGATGCTCGCGCGCACGCCCGAGCCCGACTGGCGCCAAGTCGTCGCGCCCGTGCTGCTTGTTGCCGGGCGCGAGGACCGGATCAGCAGCGTCGAGGCGGCAGAGACGATCAGGGGTGCGTGCGCGCGCAAGCGCTCTCGTTCTCGCTCTCTCTCTCTCCCCTTTCGCTCTTGCGGACTCGCGGCAAGCGCTCACTGACACCTCTCGACTCGGTCGGCACGCAGGGTGCCTCACTGCAAGCAAGGGCGCCACCGTCGTCGCCGTCGACGCAGGGCACCAACCGGCGGTCGAGTGCCCCGATGTCGTCCTCGCGCTCCTCGAGGACTTTTTGGCGTAGCTCCTTTTTGTCCCGAGTGCACTGCAGAGCATCTCTCAACACACGCGCGCGCGCAACATATCGAGAGACGGGGCCGAAAGCGCTCGTCGCACGTCGTGAAGCTACTGACCCACGCGCTGCGCGACGAACCGCTCAAACTCGTCCTTGTACGCCGGGTCCCACCTGCTGAGCGCCGTCCTCCGCTCAAGCACGTCCCCAGCGCTCCACTCGAACCGCGCATAGTCGAGCTCGGAGCTCGTCTCGTTGTCCGGGCACACGATGTAGAACTCGTTGGGCGCCGACTCGAGGCGCGAGAAGAGCTCGGCGGCGCATTGCGCGGCGGACCAGGCGCCCGGGGGCTTGTGCGCCGTGTTGTCGACGGCGAGCGGGTCGCCGCCTGTCGAGAGCTTGGTGTGGACCCAGCCGGGCACGAGGAGCTTGACGTCGATCTTGGTCGACGCGGCGCGCAGGTCGTGGGCGAGCACCTCGGCAAAGGCTTTGACGGCGGCTTTGGACGCGTTGTAGGCACCGCCGGACCCGGGCGGGTTGGTCATGCCCTGCTTGGAGCCGGTGATGACGACGAGGGCGGGCGAGTCCTGCGTGACGAGGGCTCGAGCGGTCAGTGGTCACTCGACGAGGGCGACCCGGGCGCGCTCGACAGGCTGCCGTCGTGCTCGACGAGCTGCCGTGCGTCGCAGTGCCGAGAGAGGAGAGAGAAAGCGAGAGACGCACCTGGGCGACCATGCGCTCGACAAAGGCGGCCGAGCCGGCCGTGACGCCGCCGAGGTTGACGTTGAAGATGCGGTTCCAGTCTTTGAGCATGTCGCTGCCGTACGTCTTGGTCTTGCCGGCGACGCCAGCGTTGAGGTGGAGGAAGTCGACGCGGCCATGTTGGGCGAAGACGGCGTCGGCGGCGTCGACGAGCTGGTTGGGGTCCGAGACGTCGACGAGGCGGGTGGTGAAGCGGGTTTCGGGGATGTGCTCGGCGACGAGGAGGTCGTGGGCGAGGTCGAGGGCGTGCTGGTTGTTGTCGAGGAGGACGGTGTGGAGGTCGAGGCGGGCGAGGCTGTGGAGGGCGACGTGGAACCCGATGCCGCCGGCTCCTGCGCCCGTGATGACGGCGACGTTGCCCCGTGCGAGTGCAGGGTGAGGCATGCGTGCTGGTGCGCGCAGGAGGGAGGGCCCCACCTCTGAGCAGCACCTCCGTCGATCTCTCGCTCGACCCTTGCACCCGTCACCGACCTCGCACTGGCCAGTCGAGCTGCCACGCCGCCCTCGACATGCCTCCAGACCGCCACTACTCGCCCCAGCTCGTCCCCGCTCTCGACCACGACCCGCTCGGCTCGCCCTCGTCCTCATCGCATGCCCGCAACCCTCCCAACTCGCTCGGTCGCGGCAGGGTCCGTCCTACCTCTCGCTCCACTCCGACACACCCACTGACCCACCTCCTACCCGCTCGCAGGCCTGTCGGCCGTGCAGGAAGCGCAAAGTCAAGTGAGCCCGCACCTCCTCCTCGTCCTCCAGTGGCAGTGCACCCGGCTCACCTTGCTCCCTCGCCGCAGATGTGCGCACCGCCTTCCTGCACTCTCGGAATCTCCCAACGACTGACCCTCGACTTCGCAGGCGACGGCGTCCAGCCCTTGTGCGGGCCGTGCACCAACGCCGCGGCTCGAGCAGGACAGCAAGTCCCTCTCCTCCCTCCCTCGAGCCTAGCCCCCTCACCATGCACCCAAGCTGACCCGTTCGCACACCCACAGAGACATGTCCAGCATGCGGTGCGACTTTGACACCGAGGAGGAGCGCCGCAAACCTGTCGGCGGCGGCAAGGTCGCAGCTCTCGAGGCCAAGATCGGTGCGCACCCTCTCTCTGTCTCTCTCTCTCTCCCGCACGGTCTCAGCTGACAGTCCGGGGCACGCGCAGCTGCTCTCGAACGCCGACTCGTCGAGGTGACGGGGCACAGCTCGGCGTCGCCGGCCTTGGGCGCCTCCAACTCGCGGCCGGCGAGCGCGACCACGGCGGGTGCCGCGCCTCATCAGCATCACCAGCACCAGCACCAGCAGCACCACGCCCACGACCCGACGTTCCAGTACAACGCGCCGCCGTACGGCGTCGCGACCAACGGCGCGCAGCCGAGCCTGCCGCACTTTGACGCGTTCGCCGCCGCCTCGATCCAGCAGCAGCAGCAGCAACCACCTGTCGCATCGACGTCGGCCCTGCCCGAGTACAGCTTCCCGCCTGGACCGCCAACGTACCCGTCGCAGCCGTCCGTGTCGTCGTACGGCCAGTTCTCGGCCCCGTTCGACCCGTTCGCGCCGAGCGTCGCCGGCCCGTCGCCGTCCACCGCCGGTCCGGGTCACGCGCCCCAGTCGTTCGCCAACGCCTACTGGCACCCTGCGCCCGCTCCCGCCTCGGTCCCGGGCAACCCTCGCCTGCCGTCGCCGCACCTCCTCGAGCGCCTCCTGTACATCTTCTTCGACACGGCGCACGAGGCCGTCGACCTCGTCAGCCGGCGCCGCTTCATGGACGCGTTCGCGCTCGGCCCGGCGCACCGCGACTACCCGGCGCAGAGCCTGCTGCACGCCATGGTGGCCACCGCGACCGACCTCGCCGGCGACGAGGTGTGGGACGGCGAGGAGCGGTACTGGGGCGCTCAAGGCCCCGCAGAGTACCACGCCGACTTTGCCGACGTCTTGATCCCGCTCGGGTTCCGCACCGAGCGCAACATCCTCCAGGTCGCCCAGGCCGCCGTCCTCTTTGCGTGCTTCAACCTGTATCACGGCCGGTCCGTCCCTTTCCTCCCTCTCCCTCCTTCTTTCTCGCGAGCCCGACAACTGACGCCCCCTCTCGTGCAGGTTCTCGAGCGCCTACATCGACACGTCGGTCGCCGTGCGCATCTGCATCTCGCTCGGGCTCAACCACGAGTCGTACTCGCCGCGCGACCTCCCGCTGTCGTCGTTCCTGTCGCACCGCACGTTCCTCACGCCGCCGCGCGACGAGGAGGAAATGATGGAGCGCGCCACGACCTGGTGGTTCGCCCTCACGGTCGAGACGTTCAGCGCCGCCGCGACTGGGTGGGCGTGCTGCATCGACGAGCGCGACATCACGACCTTGATCCCGGCGGCTTCTCCCTGTGGCGTGCGTCCGGCTCTCTCTCTTTCTCTCTCTCTCGCTCGTGCGCGCAGAGGACTGACCTCGACATGCGCCCCGCAGGACGACCCGACGGCGCGCGACGCGCTGTACCTCCACAGCCCGTCCTTCTTCTCGCTCAACCCGCCGCACCTCGTTCGCCTCGTCCAGATCAACCTCAAGGTCACCGTCCTCATGAACCGTGTGTGCACGTTCGTCCACCGTGCGTCGCTTGTTGTTCCTCTTTGTCTTTCTCCTCTCCCGCCTCGGGCCGACGAGGAGCACTAAGTTGACGCCTAAGGCGTACAGGCACGACCGCGCTCGCCAACGCGACGCCGGACCGCAGCGCGCTCGGCCCGAGCGACTTTCCCAAGATCCGGGCTTCGTGCGTCGACTCGTCCACCTCCTCTCGCACCCCCGCACCCAGCGCACGGACCTGACCTCTCTCTCTCCTCCCTACCCTCACCTCAACCCTTCACTTCCTCCTCTCCCCTCGCTCCTCGCGTCCCACAGGCCCGCCTTCACCAAGCTCGAGTCGGCGCTCGAGAACTTTGGGCGCAAGGCGCCGGCCCAACTCGTGACGCTCCTCGAGCCCGAGGCGTTCCTGTGCCCGTCGCTCGTCGCGACGAGCGTCATCCTCCTCCACGAGCGCTTCTCGACGAGCGACGACGGCGACCCGAGCATGGTCAAGTGTGCAGAGGCGTGCCGCAACATTTTTCAGAACATGCAGGTGCTCAACAGTGCGTCGCGGCCTGGTTTCGCCCGCTCTCTTTCCTCGTCTCTCTCGACCCTCGTGTCGACGAGCAGAGGTTGACCTTGTAGAAGAACCGGCCGCTGAGTCCTCGCACCCCCTCTCGCAGGCGCCTCGTTCCACCCTCGCCAGATCCCGCCGTTCCTCACTTTTTGCTGGGGTGTCGCCGGGCGCACCCTCATCCGCGAGCTCGCCATCAAGCACCTGCGCGGCGTGTTTGACGGCGACGACGTGGCGCAGCTGCGCTCGTGCGTGCGGTCCATCTGCGCCCGCCTCGAGCAGACGAGGACACCTCTCGGTCGTGCGTCCCCCTCTCTCCCTCTCCCTCCTCCTCTCTATCTCGAGGGACAAGAGCCGACGAGCCTTGCACCCTCCCACACCTGCAGCCAACATGGCCGCCGCGCTCCTCGTCATGCTCGACCACCCGGACATCTGCCTCCCGAGCGCCGACGCCGCCGCGCGCAACCCGTCCGGCGTGACGAGCATCGCGCGCCTCACGAGCCTCCTCGACGCCCAGAACGGGCACGCCGCCGGCGGCGGCGGCGGTGGCGGCGGCGGTGGGGCGAGGAACGCGGTCGTCGCCGACACGGTCTCGAAGGGCGCTCAGGGCGGCGGCGCGGGCGCGGTTGTTGGCATGGTGCTGCCGCCTGGAGCGGGGGTGCCGGGAGGGTAGAACGTCTTGCCGAGATAACTAGAGCTTGCAAAGAAGTGAGGGATCCCGGACGAGGGCGACGCGAGCGAGAGATGAAGCCGGCGTGCGAGCCAGTCACGGACGAGGAAGGGAGGACGAGGAGAGGGAGGAGAGCGAGTCGGCCTCGTCGGCTCTCGCACCCACCTCGACACGCCCACGAACAGCCATGCAGCGGACAGCCGTGTCGCTCCTTGCCCGCTCTGCGCGCCCCGCCGTGCGCCCCGTCGCCCTCGCCCGCCCCGTCGCCCGCCTCGCCTCGACGTCGGCCGCCCACGACCCGCACGCTGGCCCCGCCGAGCACTACCCGCCAGAGGGTGCGTCCCGTGCCCACTCCCTACAAGCACCTTGGCAGCTAACCCAGCAAGCACGCCCACCAACAACAGGCTTCAACGCCCCCTTCTGGCGCCGTCTCTCGCTCGCCGCGCTCGCCGTCGCCATCTACCTCCGCGCCGCACCGGACGACCTCGCCGACCAGGTCGAGCACCTCGCCGAGCAAAAGCTGCCCTGGATGACGCGCTACATCGAGCACAACCTGAGCCCGGACGCCGACAAGTTCAAGCAGCGCAACGACCGGCACCTCGAGTTGGCCAAGCAGGCCGCAGACGACAAGCTGCTGTTCCAGGAGGCTGAGCGGCCGAGGGTCAGGAGGATGCGGTACCTCGGGTGCGTCCCCCCCTGCTCTCTCTCTCTGTCGGGCTGGTTCAGGATGCTCACCCTCTCCGCGTGCCGTGCAGCACCTTTGACCAGGCCTCGCCCAACGGCATCGAGGTCGGGTCGCAGGCCGACCTCTCGGGCCTCGTCATCAAGGCCGAGAAGGACGACTTTGCCGCCTAAGCGCGGTGTGTTGTCTAGACGGAGGAGCAAGGGCGGACGAGGAGGGGCGCCGGGTCGTGCAACCGGCGAGATTGGGCTCTCTCTTTCGTTTCTCATGCGCGATCGAGTCGAGAGGAGAAGGACAACAAGAGGGGCTACATTGCGACGCGCGAGAGAAGAGAGAGAGATAGAGAGAAAGGAAAGGAGCCTGCTCACTTGAGCAGCGGCTTTACGAGGCGGTCGTCGCTGAGTTCGCGCGCACTGAGGCGCTTGACCTCGGCCTGGTACGCCGTCTGCTCGGCGTCGTCTCTGCGCGTCGAGCGGAGCGTGCCGGTCAGAACGAGGCCCTGCGGCTCGAGAGAGAGGAGGACGCACGCTTTGGGCTTCTTGCTCGAAGGGTTGGCGGCGTCGGCGGCGGCGGGCAGCGGTCGCTTGCCGCGGTTCTTTCTGCGGACGTCGTCGAGCCCGTGTGAGTGTGTGCGCGCTCGTGAGAGAGAAAGGGAGGAAACGGCGCGAGGACGCACATGCGCTCGTCGAGGGCCTTTTTGCTGAGGAGAGGAGAGTCAGCACGGCGGGAGAGGGAGGGGAGGGACTGGCGGGTCAGCGCACAGGTTTCGATGGGGGCGGTCGAGGGTGTCGGTAATGCTGCGAGTGAGGATCAAGTGCGGCCGCAAGTGGGGGAAGGAGGAGGAGGGGGAGGGACGCACCGAGCAATGGCCGCCTCGCGGTCCTGCTTCTCCTGCTCCTCCGGACTGAGCTGCTTCTTGAACTTGGACAGGAACGAGCCGTCGCTGTGGCCGGTGGGAGACGAGGTCAGCTTTCTGCGAGGTTCCCGACCCGATGCGCGGGGAGGACGAGTGCAGGTCGCTGCGACGAGGCTGCTCGGGGGGGCGGTAAGACGCACTTTTTGAAGAGGTTCTGGGGCTTTGGCGGCGGGGCAGAGCCCTTCTTGGGTGCGACGACGGGCTGAGGGGTGCGGCGAGAGGTCGACGACGAGGCGGGCGAGAGGGAGCGGTCGGGCGCGGCGGTCGGGGCCATGGGCTAGGGTGGTGAAGTGCAGGTACTGTAGCAGCAGCTGTCGCGCTGGAGCGGTGCGGCCGAGAAGGAGCTGCTGCGGGCCGGACCCCATCGCCTTCCGCGGAGGTCGTCCCTCTCCTCCTCCTCCTCCTCCTCCCACCTCTCCCCCTCAACCTCGTGCGCCCCTGCCAGCCAGCTCGCAATGTTCTCCCGCGTGCTCACCTCGACCCCGGCACACCTCGCACGCAGAACCTTCTCCTCTACCGCACGCAACATGGGGTGAGCCGCTCGCGTCCTCTTTCATCGTCACCTCGAGCCCTGCGAGCGTCGTACTCGCCCACGGCGGCTCGGGCGCATGTCAACTGCGCTTGAGCATGCTTGGGACTGGCACGGAGCTCCTCGCCGACCAGTACGCCCCGCTGACCTCTCCCTCGTCCCCTCGCAGCGTCACTGTTGAGACCATTTCGGCCGGAGACGGCAAGAACGTGCGTCCAGCTCTCTCCGTACTCTACGTGCACGGGCACTGACGCTCTATGCGGCGCTCTGCAGTTCCCCAAGAAGGGCGACAACGTCACCGTGAGTTGACGGCTTCCGACCCTCGACTCTCCTTCCTCTCGTACAGACCTCCTTCCCGTCGCCCACGTCCTAACGCATTCTCTTTGCGGTTTTCTGATCGACTACACGGGCCGGCTGGAGAGCACTGGCGCCAAGTTCGACTCGTCGGTCGACCGCGGCACGCCGTGAGTCGTCGCTTCGTTCCGTCTTGACCTCTAGCGCCCCTCGCCTGACCTTTCTCCACGTCCACAGCTTCCAGACCGCCATCGGCGTCGGCCGTGTCATCAAGGGTGCGTCCTCACCCTTCCTGTGCCGTCGAGCGGGACGTCGAGCTGGACGCCGAGCTGACCCTCCCCCACCTGCGCAGGCTGGGACGAGGGCGTCCCGCAGCTCTCGCTCGGCCAGAAGGCCAAGCTCATCTGCACGCCCGACTACGCGTACGGCGAGCGTGGCTTCCCTCCCGTCATCCCGGCCAACTCGACCCTCGTCTTCGGCCCGTCCTTCTTTCCTCCTCCTCTTCTTCTTCCACCGCGACTGACCTTTTCGCCGCCCTGCAGAGGTCGAGCTCCTCAAGATCAACTAAGCGGTGCCACGTCGCCGAGCTGTAAAGGCCGACTGTCAAGGGCCGCAGCTGCGTTATCTGAAAACGAGAAGTTGTCCAGTCCGAGCCGGCGAGGTCGTCGAGAGCTGCGAGAGATTCTCCTGCTCGTGCGCGTCGAGAGCATAGAGCTTTGCAGCTCCAGTGACTGTCGAGCAAGGCTGTTGCCGAGGGAGAGTGGACGCGTGGACCTCGGGCTCGAGAGCGAAGACCGACGACGGCGAGGTCGCCTGCGCTTCGCCTCTCGACCTCTCTTGCTCGTTCCGACTCGAGTACAGCAGAGATGGACAGCCTCGCATCCGCCACGAGCTGGAGTTACGCCCACCCGGTGCAGGCAGCGCTGTGCGTCGCCCCCCGTCCCCTCCTCATCGGCCGCACCGCCTCTCACCTACTGACGACTCGCCATCTCATGCAGAGCCTCGCTCGTCCTCGCCGGCCTCGGCACCTTCCTCTACACCCTCGTCGTCACCCTCGTCCGCCCGCACACGACCTCGCTCCGCAACCTTCCCGGTCCCGGTCGCGGCTCGTTCTGGTACGGCCAGATTCCAGCAATCCTCCGCGACCCGCCCGGCGTGCCGCACTGCGAGTGGCATGAGCAGTACGGCGGCGCCGTCAAGTACCCGGGCTTCTTTGGCGTGCGTCGGCCGTTCCGCTCCTCTCCTCCTCCTTGCGTCCGCCCCCACATCCTCCGCCAGTCGCTCGACCTTGTGCTCGAGGTCGCAGATCGGCGGTAGCCGGAGTGCCGGCAGCACAGGACGCTGCAGTCGACCGCGCACCGCTCACATGTTACCCCCCTCGTCGCAGACGACCCGCCTCCTCCTGTTCGACCCGGCCGCCCTCACGCACGTCCTCGTCACGCGCTCGTACGAGTACCCCAAGCCCGACGAGGTCCGCGGCGACCTCGCCATGATCCTCGGCAAGGGCATCCTGTTCGCCGAGGGCGACGACCACCGGCGCCAGCGCCGCATCATGGCGCCCTCGTTCGGTCCGGCCCACCTGCGCGAGCTCGTGCCCGTCTTCTTCGAGCACTCGCACCACCTGCGCGACGCGCTCAAGACGGCCATCGAGGCGCGCGAGGTCGACGAGACGGCGTGGCGCGACGAGAAGCAGCGCGGCGAGTGGGAGAAGGACCACCCCGAGGGCGAGGTCGTGTTCGACATTGCCAAGTGGCTCGGGAGGGTCACGCTCGACATCATCGGCGACGGTGCGTCCCCAGACCTTTCTCTGCGCCCTTTGCGGAGGAGACTACTGACTCGCCGTCGCACCCACCCGCAGCCGGCTTCGGCTACAACTTCGAGGCGATCTCGCAGAGCGGCAACTCGCTCGGCCGCGCCTTCGGGACCATGTTCTCGCCGCGCGCCGGCGCAAAGCGGCCCACCGCCGGCCAGATGCTGCGCCAGCAGTGGATCGGGCGCCTGATCCGCGCGCTCCCCGTCCTGCGCATGGCCGACTGGGTCCCGAACGAGCGCGTGCGCAAGGTGCGCGAGGGGTTCAGGGTCGTCCAGACCGAGAGCGAGAAGATCATCCAGGCCAAGATGGGCGGCGACGTGGTCGAGAAGGACGGGCTCGAGAGCACGAGGGGGAGCAAGGACTTGATTGCGCTGCTGCGTGCGTCCCTCTTTCTCTCTCTCCCTCTCCCAGACTCGTTGCACTTACTCTCTCGATCGTCGCACGCTCGCAGTCAAGTCGGTCGAGAGCGAGGGCAAGTCGAGCATGACGACCGAGGAGCTGCGCGGTCAACTCACGGTCCGTCTCTCGCGCCTCGTCTCTCGTGGCCCCTCTCGAGCGCCTCGCTCACTCTCCTCGTCACGCACCGCAGACGTTCCTCCTCGCCGGGCACGAGACGACCTCGACCGCGCTCGGCTGGGCCCTGTTCCGCCTCGCGACCGACACCAAGATCCAGGACAAGCTGCGCCGCGAGGTGCGCGAGGGCCGGGCCAAGGCCGCCCAGGACGGCCGCGACGAGCTCGACCACCGCGACCTCGACGCCTTGCCGTACCTCGACGCCGTCACGGTGCGTCCTCGTCCCCCTCCCTCGGCTGTCGCCCTCTCAGCCGTTCGCCCCCCGTCCTGACGTCCACTCTCCCACCAGCGCGAGCTCCTCCGCCTCGAGTCGCCCGTCACGGCCACGATCCGCCACGCGTCGCGCGACGACCTCATCCCGCTGTCGACGCCCGTCCCGTCGTCGACCGAGCCGGGCAAGATGCTGTCCCACGTCGCCGTCAAGAAGGGCCAGGTCATCTTTGTGCCGATCACGGCCGTCAACAAGTCTAAGCGCGTGTTCGGAGACGACGCCGACGCGTTCAGGCCCGAGCGGTGGATCGAGAGCGACGAGGGGACGGGCAAGAAGATCGAGGGCAACGTCGGCGTCGCGAGCTCGATCTTGACGTTCCTCGCCGGCCCGAGGAGCTGCATCGGGTACAAGGTGCGCCCTCTGCTCTCTCTCTCTCTCTCTCTCTCTCTCTCTCTCTCTCTCTCTCTTTCTCTCTCTCGATGCACGGAGCGATGCACGGAGCAGGACCTGACGCTCGAGCGCGCCACGCAGTTCGCCCTCCTCGAGTTCAAGGCCATCCTCTCGGTCCTCGTCGACGAGTTCGAGTTCGACCTGCGCGACCGCGAGACGGTCGTCGAGCGTCGCAGCGTCATCGTCACGCGCCCGATCCTGGTTGGAGAGGAGGAGCACGGCAACAAGATGCCGCTCCGGATCCGCATCGCCAGGCGCGACGACGACGAGCTCGAGTGAGGAGGGCGGGCGTGGGTCGACTCTGCTGTAGCGATGCTCTGTCTTCGTTGTACTACTACGCTTTATCTGTCGCACGCACGAGCTCGGTGAGAGGGTGGAGAACAACGAGCCGCGCGAGGAGACAAAGGGAGCAGAGTCGGCTCTCTCTCCGTGTTCGTCTCATGTCGCGCCCGGCGGCTCTTGCTTCCGCGATGTCAACTGCGCGATGGACAGCATCACCGCCATCATTGCCGCGAGCTGGCAGCACCCCTTCACGACCGCAGGGTGAGCCCTCTGTCCTCATCAGCTCCTCGTCCCCCCACGAGCTCTCCTGACTTCCCATTCCCTCGCAGGCTCGCCGTCATCCTCGCTCTCGTGAGCGTACCTGTCTACCTCGCCGCCTGCTGCTTCGTGCGGCCCCTCGTCTCGAGCCTGCGCGACCTCCCCGGCCCGACGAGCGACCACCTCGTCTTTGGCAACCTCGCGCGCATCTTTGGCGGCGCACCGGGCGAGGCGCACATTGCGTGGCAGAAGGAGCACGGCGACGCCGTCAAGTTCAGGGCCTTCTTCGGTGTGCGTCCCCTCTTTTCTCTCCTCCTCCTCCTCCTCGTCGCGAAGGCAGAGCTGACCCGTCTCGCCCGCCTGCAGAAAGAGCGCCTCCTCCTGTTCGACCCGGCAGCGCTCAATCATGTGCTCGTCACGCACGCGTACGAGTACCCGCGTCCCGAGGAGGCGCGCTCGGCGCTCGCTATGATCTTGGGCAAGGGCATCCTCTTTGTCGACGGTGCGTCCGCTCGTCGAGTTTTCCCCTCGGGCCTCGTCTCGCTCACGAGACCTTGTCTGATTGGCGCGGCATTTGTAACGCACAGGTGACGACCACCGCCGGCACCGCCGCGTCATGAACCCGGCTTTCGCGCCGGCCCACATGCGCAACCTCGTCCCCGTCTTCTTCAAGCACGCCAACCACCTCCGCGACATCCTCGCCGAGCTCGTGCGCACGAGCGTGAGCGACCGCTCGGCGTGGAAGGACGAGGCGCAGCGGCAGAAGTACGAGAAGAGCCGGGAGGAGGAGGAAGACGAGGAGACGGTGCAGGACGTCATGGAGTGGATGAACCGGGTCACGCTCGACATCATCGGCGAGGGTGCGTCCTGCTTCCCTTTTTCCTGGAGCTGTACCGCCCTTCCTCGAAAAGTGACTGACTCGAGCCGTTCTTGTCGCTCGCAGCCGGCTTCGGCTACGAGTTCAACTCGCTCTCGCTGCAGCACAACGCATTTGGGCGCGTCTTCTCGTCCATGTTCTCGCCTCGCGCCTCGGCCATCAAGCCTGGTCCTCGCGCCGTCCTCGTGCAGCGCTTCATCGCCGGCGTCATGCGCCACGTGCCGCTCATGTCGCTCGCCGACTGGATCCCGAACGCGAGCATGCGCCAGTTCCGCGACGCGTTCAGGTTCGTCGAGACGGAGAGCATGAAGATCCTCCAGGCCAAGAAGGGCGAGGTCGAGAAGGACGGGCTCGACTCGGTGGCGGGCAAGAAGGACCTCATCGCGCTTCTTCGTGCGTCGGCCTCTCTTTCCCCCGTACTCTTTCCTGCCCTTCGACCTGACCATCTTCTTCCTTCGCGCTCGCAGTCAAGTCGGTGCAGAGCGAGGGCAAGGCGAGCATGAACGACCAGGAGCTGCGCGGCCAACTCACGGTGCGTCTCTCTCTCTCGCTCGCTCTCGTCGTTCTGCGCGGTCACTCACGCGCCCACCGTCCTCGCAGACTATGCTCATCGCCGGCCACGAGACGACGAGTACCGCCCTCACCTGGACCCTGTGGATGCTCGCCAAGGCGCCCGAGGTGCAGGCCAAGCTCCGCCGCGAGGTCCGCAAGGCGCGCGCCGAGAGCTCGAGCGAGGGTCTCGACGACCTCGACAGCCGTGTGCTCGACTCGTTGCCGTACCTAGACGCCGTCACGGTGCGTCTCGTGCCCCCCCTTTCCTCTCTGCCTCGCACACCTTCCTGACGAGCTGCCCTCTTGCCGCAGCGCGAGTGCATCCGCCTCGAGCCTCCCGTCACCTCGACGATCCGCCAAGCCGCCCACGACGACTTTATCCCGCTCTCGAAGCCGATTCCGTCGCGCTGGGACCCTCGCCGCACCATCTCGTCCATCCCGGTCAAGAAGGGCCAGTTCATCTTTGTCCCGATCCGCGCCGTCGGCCTCTCGAGGGACGTCTTTGGCGACGATGCCCACGAGTTTCGCCCCGAGCGGTGGGTCGAGAGCGACGAGGGGACGGGCAGGAAGATCGAGGGCGGCGTCGGGCTCACGGGCAACAACCTGTCGTTCCTCGCCGGGCCCATGGGCTGCATCGGGTACAAGGTGCGCCTCCCTCTCTCTCTCTCTACACGGCGAGCACGACCAACGCAGCTGCACCTCGTCGCACAGTTCGCCATCCTCGAGTTCAAGGCCATCCTCGCCGTCCTGATCGACGCGTTCGACTTTGGCCTGCGCGACGAGGACATGCGGGTCGAGGGCCGCGCCGTCATGATCACGCGGCCGCTCATCGTCGGCGAGGAGAACCGCGGGAACCGCTTGCCACTGCGCATCCGGGTGGCGCCGAGGAGGGAGGAGGACGAGTAGAGCCGTGTCTGCAACGCTCGAGCCCTGTATCTGCGACTCTCTCTCTCTCTCTCTTTCAGTCTCTATCGATGAGTGCCCTCTCGATCGTGCGACAGTGATAAAGCGAGGTTGCAGGCGGTACAGACAGAAGAGGACAAGAAAAGGCGAGGAGGGGGTCCAAGCGGCACAGAGGGCACAACGAGCGTACGACGACGAGAGGGAGAGGGGGTGCGTGCGAGAGAGACAACGAGGGGTGCGCAAAGCGAGAGAGAGAGTGGTACAGAGTGAGGCGAGAGAGGCGCTGTCACGTCTTGCGCTAGAGGTGGCCCGACGAGCGACCGGTCGGGTCCGACTGGCGAGGCTCGCGGCGCTTGCCGCGCCCGTGGTAGCCCTTGCCCTTGGGCAGGCTAACGACGGGACCAGCCCTGTCGTCGCCGCCGGGCGTGACCGTGCCGTCCGAGCTGCCGCTGTTGATGCTCGCCGTGCGGAAAGTCGGGACGCCGCTGTTGGCCGTCACGACCGAGTTGCGGGCGACGGCCTGCGGCGAGAAGGCCGACGTGGACCTGCCCGACGTGCGCACGGGCTTGGGCGTCGGCGGCTCGACCTGGACGATGGGCGCCGAGGGCGGCAGCTGGAAGGTCGCGTGCAGCTCGGGGTGCGAGCCGACCTTGGCCGACAACGCCGGCGGGACGTTGCCGATGCTCGAAAGCACGCGCGACGGGCCCTCGAGCGTCGGCGCCGAGTAGTCGTGCTCGGAGCCCGACTGCGACGAGCTCCGGCGGCGCACCATGGGCGGGCGGTACGCCTCGCTCGAGCCGGACGCCGACCGCGAGTCGGTCGGCCTGAGCGACGTGCGCGTCGCCGCGTGGCCGCCCGAGATCGAGGCACTCCTCGTGCCCGAGTATGCCGCAGCGCTGCTCGAGGCGTGACGAGGCTCGGGCGCGAGCGACGACGCGACGCTCGGCCGGCGCCAGCCGCCTGGCGGCGGGAACGACGCCATGGCCGACTTGCGCCTGCCCTGCTCGACGTACGTCTGCGCCGTGACGGTCGCGTCGCTGAGCGTCGGGCGGTGCTTGCGGCGGCGGCGGTCGAGCTGCTCGGCGCGGCTCGGGCGGCGGCGGCCGCTCGTCGACGCCGCGAGCGCCGCGAGGTGCACGTCGGGCCCCTCCTCGCTCAGGGCCTGCTCCTCGGCCGAGTCCATCTCAAGGACGGCGCCGTAGCTCGTCGTGCGACTCGACGGGGCGCTGTCGGTCGCTCTGCTGCCGAGCGCGACGGGCTCGTGCGCCTCGACGACCTGCTGGCCCGCGAGCTGGAGGAGCATCGCCGAGTCGACGAACGCGATCTGGCCCTCGGGCGTGATGAGGATGCTCGAGCGGCGCTGCGCCTGGAGCCCGCCGTAGGACGTCGAAGGGCCGAGTGAGGCGGCGAAGCCCGAGATCGGGTACGCGAACGGCTGCGGGCCGGGTTGGACCGGCGCGCCGAACGGCTCCGAGGCGGCCGACGTCGACGCCTGCGCCGACAAGTAGGGCGAGAAGGGCTGAGGGAGGAAAGGGCCGGGCTGGCTGGACGACGGCGCGAGCTGGTACTGCGGAACCTGGTGCGCGAGGTGCGCCTGCTTGGCGAACGCCTCGTCGCGCGCCTGCGCCTGCTGCAGCTGCTCCATGATCGAGCGCTGGTACTGCTGCTGCTGCGCGGCGGCGATGGCGGCGCGCGTCGCGGGCGTCGGCCCGATGCTCGGCACGCTCGCGTCGGGCGTCGACGACGACGGCACGGGCGCCGTGACGACCCTGCGCGTGCTGCCCTCGACCTGGCGCGACGAGCCGCTCATGACGCTGTCGGACGGCGTCGGGGCCGAGACGACGCGGCGCTGCTGAGCGAGGACCTGGCGGCCCGCCGGCGTGTAGCGAGCGTTGCCCGGGAGGGGGAGCGGCAGGGTGCGCTGGCTCGCGTGGAACTCGATCTCGCTGTCGGGGATGGGCTGCGAGGAACGAGAGTCAGGGAGATTGAACGCGGATAGGGAAGCGAGGGCGAGGCGCGAGGGACGGACCTCGAAGCCGTGCTCGTCGTTCTCGACCGTGAAGCGGAACGCGTCCGAGCCACTGCAAGTGACGCGAGAGTCAGGGACATCCTCGAGAGCAGACCGAGAGGCGAGAGGTAGACGCACGACGGGTTGCGCGAGTAGGGCAGGAGCGACGTGCCGTGCAGCGACGGGATGGGCTTGAGGCCGTGCGCCGCCATCGCGGTCTTCGCGTCGACGGTGAGGTCGCCGTTGAGGTTCTTGCCCGAGCGCAAGATCGAGGAGAAGAGGTGCGCGACGCCCGACGAGTCGTGGCGAGACGGGCGCTGCTGAGCGCTGAAGGCGGCGGCGGCCGGGTTGAGCGAGGCCGACATCGTCCTCGACCTGCGCGGGGTCGACTCGACGGGTGCGTGACGCGTACGAGCCGTACGGCCAGGCGAGGCCTCGACGGGGAACGACGACATGGCGGCCGTGGACGCACGAGGAGGACCGGCCTTGACCTGGCTGGTCGAGCTCGACAGGGACGAATCCGGGCCGACGTTGAGCGCCGCCACACTCTCCGTCACGCTCAAGATCTCGAAGTTGGAGGCGACGCTGCTGTCGGACATGCGCGGGTGGTACACGACCGAGCCGCCGCTCGAGAAGATGATCGAGTTGTCGCCGGCGGACGAGCGCGAGCGGTCGGCGTCGTCCTCGACGAGAGCAGGGGCCGACGGGTCCTTGATGCACCTTGAAGCAGTTGCTGCGACGTTCGAGCGTCCGTGAGAAACGCCTGACGGGCTTTTCGAGTCGGTGCGAGTCCGGCTCGGCGTGGTCGGGGCAGATGCAGGCCCAACGCTCTGGTGCGACGACTCGGGCGAGGCCATCGGCGGCGAGGCAGGAGCCATGAAGGTAGTACAGGAGGCGAGGAAGGTAGACGACGAGGAAACCTGGGCGTGGGGCGAAAGACGAGGGTCAGTGCCATTCTCGAGGCGAGGCCTGGGGCCCTCAGCGGCGGCTGAAGGTACGCCCGCGCCCTCAGATGAGAAGGACGCTCGCGAAGAGAGGATCTGGTGCGTACCTTGAGGCTGGGCGGACAGGCAAAGCGCGGTGGCGGACCGAGAGCGCCAGCGAGGTGTTCCACTCGAGCGAGTCGTGCTGGCGCGAGCCCGTTTGGGTGCTGCTGTACGACCGCGAGCGCCCTCTTGAGGTGGCACTGAGCAAGCTCTGCCGGTCGTCGAGCTCCTCTGGCGACAACGAGAAGGACGAGCGGGGCGGGAGGAGGGAAAGAGGCGTTCGCGCCGCCGACCGCAAGGCCGCAGACCCAGCTCGAGCGACAAGACTCGGTCTGCGCCCGCTGTAGCCTGTGCAGCGAGCCCGAGTCGCCGCGCTGCCTGCCCTGCGAGCTGCTGCCACGCTCCTCGCCGGACCATCTTAACACGCGTCGCTCGCTCGAGCTGAGCGCCGGCGCACGGCTCGCGGGAAGAGCTCGCTCCGCTTTGGCCGCACAGAGAGACTGCTAGAACGAGCGTGCATCTCCTCGTACAGCCCACAGGAGGACGAGCTCATCGTGACGGAGGAGGAGAGCCACCCCGCTTCGGCGACAGCTCTCGCTCTCTCGTCGTCGCCGAACGTCGGTCTGTCCGCGGCTTGCGGCTGAGTTGCTGCCGGTGCACGCGCCCTGCGCACGTTTCAGCCTCTCGGCCAGCTCTCCGCCGCCGGAAGCCGTTCTTGCCCTCGCTCATCATGCGCCAGCGCGCTCGCCTCGCCGTGGAGCGCCTCTCTGCTCAGCTTGCACTCGAGCTCTGTGCACTCGGCCGCTAGGACTCGCTGCCTGCTCTCTCGATGGGCCTCGAGCACTTCCAGGCAGTGTGCCCGTCGGTGAGCTCTTTGCAGGATGCCCAGGTCCGTCTCCTCTCCCCTCTCCCCCACCCTGCCTGCGCAGCACTGACTCTACTCGACACCCACAGGTCTGGTGTGTCGCCAAAGCGTGAGTTAGACCCTCGCGATCGAGTACCGCTGCGCGAACTGACCATCTCCTCCTCGTCTCCCTCCCTCTCGACCGCCCTCGCAGCGGCACTTGCTGCGGCGTCTGCCCCAACACCCTCGCGTCGTTGGGCACTCGTGTCGGCTTGACGTGTGCGTCCCGTCTCCCTATTGTCAGTCCTCGTCTCCTCGGCGCAGCTGAACCTCCTCGTCTCCCGCAGTCACGGTCTTCTTCGCGACCCTGGTCGTCGTCATCGACGGCGCCGAAGCGCCCTTCATCTTCATGACGACGTGTCTGCAAGCGGTGGCCTACCTCGTGACGGTCTTGCAGGCCGGTTTGACTGGCGACGGCATTTCTCGTTGTGCGCCGCTCGTTCCTCCTTTTTGTCCCTCTTGCGCGCCGAGCTCACTCGCTCGCACCCGCGCAGTTCACGCCTACTACGCCCTCGTGTGCTCGATGGGCTTCCTGTCGCCGCTCGCCGCTGCGTCCGTCACCGCGGCGCATTTTCATTACGGCGGCGCGCACCAGACGGGTTCTCGCCTGCTCGCCTTTCGGACCGACCTCTCGTGCGTGGCCTGCCCCTTGATCACGCCTCCCACTGTCCGACGAGGCCTGAATGACTTACCCGTGCCTCACAGACGTCACCGCGCACCGGCCGCCGAGTCGGACGATGGACCCGCTCGACAATCTCGCACGTACCGGTCGCTCGGCTCGCCCTTCTTCCACAGCTCGTCGCGCCGTCCTCTACGGTCGACCGACCCGTTCCGCCATCACGAGGGCACGAGCACCGAGGCGTCGCCGATCGTGCGGCCCGTCGATCCAGAGCCGGGTCTCGAGGCTCGTCAACGAGGACGGAGGCCCGTGCGTCGCTCCTCGTTTCGCTCTCTCTCCGACAGCAGCATATTGATACGTCCTTATCGTCGCCAGGAACCTGTCCTTGACGAGGAAGCGGCCCTCGAGTCGCCAAAGCTGCTGCCGGCCACGCCGCTCGCCCTCCTGTCCCGCCAGTCGCCGACTCTCGGCTCTCCCCTCGTCTCGACCTCTCGACCATCGCCAGCCGGACGCCATCCCGTCCCTCATGATCTCGACGATGCCGACCCGACCCTCACCGCCCTCCCACCCCTCGAGCTCTCGCCGGCAGCTCTTCCTCCCCCGACTCGCCTGCGCCGGCGACTCAAGAAGCGTCAGCCGCCCGAGCGACCTCGCTCGCCGTCCACAAGCTCCGTCTACTCGCCGGAGCAGCTGCGCAAGATCGAGAAGAAGACGCAGGACGGAAAGTGGCGGCGGTGGGGCATGATCGTGGCCAACGGGGCGCTCTTCCTCCTGTGGCTAGCCGTCTTCTGTACGTCCCTGTCGCTCTCTTTCCCCTCTTTCGTCCAGCCTCGTCGACGATCTCTGACCTCGAGCCTCACGCAGTGCTCGTCCACGGCGTCATCGGCGGCTTCAAGTTCATCCAGACGACGTGCACGGACCCGAACGCGACTGAGCTTCTCACGACCGCCTCGATCGCCCTTCTCTGCTTCTCGGTCGTCGTCTTTGCCGTGTGCGCGCTCAAGTGCGTCCACGAACCGTCCTCGTCCTTCTCCTTGAGGATGAACCTCGCTGACCTCGTTCTCGTCCCGCAGCTTCTACTCGCACATCCTGCGCTTTCAGTGAGCCCCGCTCCCCTTCCTCCCTCTCGAGTCGTTTCCTTGCAGCGGCACAAGTACTGACTGAGCCTGAGCAGCATTCGGCGCGTCCTCGACTACTCGCGAGGTCCCAGCTTCTGGTCGCAGCTTGCCGTCCCGGCCGTCTTCTCGAGCATCGTCTTCTCGCTCTGGTGCGTCTGCCTCTTTCTCTCGTCCCTCCTTGCCTCCTCGAGTGCCCCCTTCACTGACTCGGACTCTCCCACCCGAACAGGCTCGCGCTCCTCTGGACCTCGTACGACCTGGCCGCTCAGCCGAGCTCGTCGCTCCTCGCCGAGACGGTGAGCATCTTCTCCTCTCGCGCTCGTCACGAGCACGCACTGACACATCGACCTTGCAGGAGCAATCGACCACTTTCGCGACCGTATTGTCGATCGCGCTCGTCGTCAAGCCCGTTAGCGACCTCGTGTGGGTCCTCCCTGCGCAGCCACCTCGCCGGTCGACGGCCTCGCACTGACCTCTGTCCATCTCTCGTCGCCCCATCCGCAGAAAAGCCTTGTTCAAGCTCGACCGCCGGAAGAAGCGCCTCGCCAAGAGCAAGCTTCGACAACGATCTTCCCTTCCCGACCCTCCTCCTTCCCCCGCATCCTCCTCTCACTCGCACACCATTCTTGACGACAAAGAGGTCGACGATCCTCGAGCCCGAGCGTCACGTTCCCGCGGTCACTCGGCGCTTCGGCCGCCCGACGAGCGGCACCACCTCGTCGACTCGCGCCGTTCGCCCGCCCGGTCCTCCCAGTCGTCGAGCGGCGACTTTTCTCGCACCTCGTCGCAGGCCGCCCGCCTCGAGTCGGCTTCCTCGCGCACCACGAACGACGAGGGCGAGGGCGACACGTCGAGGAGGAGGAAGCGGCTCAGCTTGAGGGAGAAGAGCTCGAGGCCTGTTGTCGAGCGGAGGAGTTGAGGGAGGATCGACTCTAGACGGACAAGGGTACACGCTGAGGTGCAATAGATCGCTCCCTTTCCTTGCGCTTCGCCTCGTCGAGGTCTGCGAGTTTGAGAAGGTCCCTCGAGTTGGCTCGGAAAATCACTTTCCACTCTCCTGTGTCCCCATTCGTCTCTCTCGCTCGAGTACTATTTCGTGCGCAGAGCTTAGAGCCGCACAAGCTGCGTGTGCTCGACGCTCGACGGAATTTGTCTTCCGCGCATGGCGGTTCGAGATCGACGCTGAGTGAGCCGGCCGGGTGGCCGAACGGCGCGTCCTCGGAATGATGCGGTCTTCTCTCTCCCTCCCTCGCCTCACTCGCTCTCGCTGTACATCTCGTCCCTCGTCGACCACCATGACCGCCACCAAGACCGCCCTGTTCGCGCCCATCCGCGTCGGCTCGATGGAGCTCGAGCACCGCAATGTCCTCGCGCCCCTCACCCGGTTCCGCGCCGACGACGAGCACGTCCACCACGACGTGGCGGCCGAGTACTACGCCCAGCGTGGCTCGTTCCCGGGCACGATGCTCATCACCGAGGCCACCTTCATCGACCCCAAGGCCGGCACGTACGACAACGCGCCGGGCATCTACTCTCGCGCGCAGGTCGACGGCTGGCGCAAGGTGGTCGACGCCGTGCACGCCAAGGGCTCCAAGATCGTCATGCAGCTGTGGGCTCTCGGGCGCGCGGCCGACCCCAAGGCGCTCAAGCGCGAGACGGGCGAGGAGGTCCAGTCGGCGAGCGACATCCCGTTCGAGGGCGGCGCCAAGCCTCGACCGCTCACCAAGGACGAGATCAAGGTGCGCTCGATGCGCTCTCTCTCTCTCTTTCATCGTCCCGAGGAGCGCGCGGTGACGACGAGCTGACCGTGTCCCTCGCGCCGCGCAGGAGTACGTCGGCTTCTACGCTCGCGCCGCCAAGATGTTCATCGAGGAGGCAGGCGGAGACGCTTGCGAGATCCACAACGCCAACGGTCCGTACACGCTCGCCCATCCAGCCAGAAGAACGCACCTAACGTCCTTTTCTCGCGCGCAGGCTACCTTCCCGACCAGTTCCTCCAGACCAACTCGAACCAGCGCACCGACGAGTACGGCGGCTCGGTCGAGAACCGCGCTCGCTTCTCGCTCGAGATCCTCAAGGCCGTCACCGACGCCGTCGGCGCCGAGCGCGTCGGCATCCGCCTGTCGCCCTACTCGACGTTCCAGGGCATGAAGATGCCGCTCAAGGACATCCACGAGACGTTCTCGTACCTCGTCAAGCAGATCGCCGAGCGCCACTCGGACCTGGCCTACATCCACGCCGTCGAGAGCCGCATCGCCGGCAACGCCGACGTCCCCGAGGACAAAGCCGAGACGCTCGACTTCCTCGTGAGCTCCTCCCCCCCTCTTCCTCCGCCTCTCTCCTCTTCCACAGAGCGCATCACTGACGCTTTCTCTCTCTCGTGTTGCAGCAAGACCTGTGGGCTCCTCGGCCGTTCATCGTCGCTGGCGGCTTCGACCCCGAATCCGCTCGCGCCGCCGCCGACTCGAGGGAGAACACGCTCGTCGCGTGGGGAAGGCTTTGGATTTCCTCGCCCGACCTCCCTCGCCGTGTGCGCGACGGCATCCCCCTCACGCCGTACAACCGCGACACGTTCTACCTCAAGGGCCCGACGCAGACTAAGGGCTACACCGACTACCCGACCGCCGACGAGACGGCGCCGGCCAAGATCTAGACGCACGATAGAGCAATGTAGAGCATGTTGCAAACAAAGAATGATCTAGTCCCTCGTCCGCCGTCCTCAAGTGTCTGTCTCCCTCACGCGCACGGTCCTCCGCTCGAGAGTTGCTCCTTCTCCCCCCTCACTCGCGCCGCCGCTCGACCGCGCTCGTCCTCCTGTTCCTTTGTCCGCTCACCAAGTGCCGGTCGAGCACCTCGGGCGCGAGGTCGAGCATGACGGGGATGTCGCCCTCGCGCTCGTCGTCGTCGTCGAGGCGGATCGGAATCGTGCCGACCTCGACGGGCTTGCGCGGCTTGACGGGGCCGGTGTACCTGACGGCGGGGCGCTCCATGCCGTGTAGGCCCGACTTGGGGAGCGAGACGAGGCGCGGCGTGCTCGTCGAGGGCTGCGAGTCGTCGAGGAGGTCAATACGGGGTCGTCGTCGTCGAATTGTCCTCGTAAGAACGAGAGCTCGACGCACGTTTGACTCATACCGACGAGAGCCGCCCGACGATGCTTGAGGGTGCTGCAGGCCGTCGAGAAAGGGTGAGCGAGGGCGAGAGGACGGCGAGCAGGAAAGAGCGGACGGACCTCCTCGTTCCTCGGTTCCCCCTCCTTTCGACGCCGCGTGCCTCGTCCCGCGAGCGCCGTCGTCGACGAGTGATGCGTCTTCTCGTCAGGTGGCGGCGGGAGCGGCTTGTCGAGCACGCGAGCGGGAGTTGTGCGTTTGCCCGGTTCGAAGGGAGAGGTCTGCGGGCGCGAGCAAGGTCAGGTCAAGACGGGAACGACGAGTGAGACGGACGAGACGCACGTTTAACGGCCGCTGGGTGCTCCTGTGGCTGTCAGGCATGATCTAGTGTCGAGAGCAGATGAGAGAACGAAGCTGCGGTGGCGAGCGAGGCGAAACAAGCTTTGAGCGGGCGCCGGACCGCAGTCGACGCCCTCCGCGGCGACCGGTGAGCACGAAAGACGCGGTGGAGCGGACCGGGAGCGGCGCAAGACGAACGGTGCGCCCCGCAGCCGCGGAGAGTCCGTCGCCAGCGGGCGGTGAGGAGCCTCGCGCGCGCACTTGTCCAGCTTCCTCCTCGCCTGTGCCCCTGCGCCGAGAAGCAGAAGCTGTGCATCGACATCGTGCAGTTCGCCCGCACGTCTCAGGCTCCTCGTCGAGAGCCACGCTGCCCCGGCGGAGGAGCTGAGCGGCCGAGCGCACGAGACGCCGGCGTCGGGCGAGTGAGCCGCGGGCGAGCAGCAGAAGCTCGCAGCTGGTGCAGCTCTCTACTGTCGACGCAGCGCTCGTCGCGGCACGAGGGTCCAGCATGGCGCGAGGGCGAGCTCGAGATGACGAGGAGGCGAGGCGACGCTCGAAGCCAGAAGCCCAGCTCCGGTCGCTGCGCTGCCCTCGCCGAGCTCTGCTGAGCGTGCAGGCGAGCCTCTGCACTCGCCGCCTCGCCCTCGCAGACCCGGTTACTCGCCGCCCTCTCTTCCGCGCCTCGCTTCGTCGCCCCCACCTTCGGCTCGGCTCCAGCTCTCCGCCGTCCTTCGCCTCGCCCTCCTTCTACACCGCTACACGCCTCAGTCGCATGCCGCCTTCGTCCAAGTTCATCCTCGCCGTGTCCGGCCTCGGCAATGCGACCGGCACCGGCGCCGCCGTCGCCCGTCTCTTCTCCCAGCAACTCGGGTACCGCATCGCCCTCATCAGCCGCCCGCGCAAGGACGTCGACAACCTGCGCGACGAGATCGACAAGGCCGGCGGCACGGTCGAAGTGTTTGGCGTCGACGCGTACGACTATGGGTCGATGACGCGCGTCTTTGAGCGGGTTCAACAGACTTGGCCCGACGGTCGGCTCAAGTGCGCCGTGTGGAACACTGCGCAATGGTTCGTCGAGTCGTCTGCTCTCTCAGTACGGCACGAGGAACGAGCCGGCCGGCGAGGGCGGCGAGCAAGGCGTCGAGGAGGGACGGGAGAGGACGTCCGAGCAGAGGGACTGACTCTTTCGCGCCTTCCTGCAGGTCCAACATCCCGTTCATGGACATCACCGAGCACGACATCAACCTGTCGGTCACGACCAACATCGTCGCCGCGACCGCTTTCTCGCAGGCGGCTGTGCGCGCCCTGACCGCCGACGGCAGCGACGAGGACAAGGGCGGCTCGATCATCATGACGGGCGCCACGTCGGCGTGGAGGGGCAGCAAGGCGTTTGGCGCGTTCGCGGCGGGCAAGCACGGGCTGCGCGCACTGAGCCAGGTGCGTCCCTCTCTCGCTCTCGGGGTCGTCGATTGCGCACGAGCCTGTTCCGGAGCCCTGACTTCCTCGCGCCCGCTCTCCTCTCCCTGCAGTCGATCGCTCGCGAGTACGGTCCTGAGGGTGTGCACGTCGCGTTCGTTCTACGTCCTGCCTTCGATTTCACCTCGTCGTCCCTCGCACTCCTCCTCGCGAAAACGGTCTCGCTCACTGACCCGCCTGTCTCTCCCGCCCTCAGGTCGTCGACGGCACGATTCTCACCACGCGCACCGAGAAGAATTTTGGCAACCGTCCTGGCAAGGAGCCCAACTGGATGCGCGACGAGAAGCAGCGCCTCTCGCCCGAGTCGATCGCCAAGTGCTACCTGTACCTGCACGAGCAAGGGCCGGACGCATGGACGCTCGAGATGGACCTCAGGCCGGCAAAGGAGCACTTCTGAGTCGGGCAGGCGAGCGGGAAGGGCTGTACAAGATAGTTTGCACTGCGATTCGTTTCCTCGTCCTCCCCCGGCTCGAGCTACACAACGACGCTCTCGCAAGGGATCGCGTTCTTGAGAGTCTGCAGCACGACGCAATAGCGCTCGGTGAGCTTGAGGAGGAGGTCGATCTGCGCGCAACGAGGTCGGTGAGTTCGACTCGGCGAAAAAGGAGACGAGGACCGGGCGAGCGCACCTTCTCTCGCGGCGTGTCGGGGCAGTCGAGGTCGAACTTGAGGCGGATAGCGAGGAAGCCGACCGGGACCGACTTGTCGACGCCGAGCGTGCCGCTGTAGCTCGTCGTGAGAGTCAGCTGCGAGACGGACAGAGCGAGTCGAGGAGGAGGAGGAAGGACGGACCGGAAGTCGAGGTCTCCCTCGGCCGTGATCGCGCCCTTCTTGACCGGGATGTCGAGGGACGTCGCGACGGCCTTGAGCGTCACGCCGGTGCAGGCGACCAAGGACTCGAGGAGCATGTCGCCTGAGCAGCTGTCGTCGGCGGCGGGTGCGGAGGAGGGTCAGTCGCGCGGCCTCGCTCAACAGAGGTAGGACGAAGGTGGACGCACAGCTGCTCTGCGTCCTGTCCGCCGGCCATGGCGTGCAGGCCCGCCTTCTTGAGCGCCTTGCCGACCGACAGAGAGCACGCGACGCCGTCGCCCTCCTCGAGCGTCGACGTCGACGAGAGCGTGACGAGAGCCGCCGCCGGGTTGTCGCTGTACTGCTGCTTGAGCGGAGCCTGCTGAGCTTGAAGCGCGGCCTTGTCCATCGCTGAGAGCGTGAGATGGAGCTGCCGGCGAGCCTTGGAGGCGCGGGGCGGTGCTCCGCAAAGTGCCGCTCCGACGAGGTCCGCGAGCCAGCTTCTCACTCTCTCGAGCGCTCTGGAGGGCTGCACGAGGCGGTGACGGGCGGGGTTGCGATTGCGAGAGCTACGGACAAGCGTGGAAGGGGAGAGGGGTTAAGCCGAGGGCGAGGAGACAGGCTACGCACGAGGCGAGCATTTTGGACGAGGAGAGAGGAGGGCGGGAGGGCAGGAAGAAGGACGAGCCGTGCAGACACGGCAGGCTAAGAGGAATCTATGGACGGAGGAAGGGGAAGGAGGGCGAGCGGGGAAAGGGCGTTGCGAAATGACCACAGGGGAAAAGGGGAGAGACGACTTCTTTGGACAAGGGAAGGGGCGGCGCTCGAGCCCATCTAGTAAGAGGGGGCCTGCGACGTCGGCGTGGCGTAGCCGCTGCCGCCGTTGTGGTAGCCTTGCGGCGACGGCGCGCCGTAGCCGTGCGACTGCTGGTGGACGTGGCCGTTCGGGTAACCGAGCGGCGCGAGGCCCTTGCGCTCGCGCTCGGCGGCGAGGAGCTTGTCGATCGTGACGAGGTGCTTCGAGTGCGACGTCGAGTACTTGCGCAGGTTGGTGAGCTGGACCGTCGTCTCGGCGAACAGGGCGTCGCGCTGCTTGCCCTTGGCCGTACCGAGGCACTCTGCGCGCAGGGGACGACAGAGAGGGTCAGTCACGCTCGTGACGCCGGCGACGACGTAGAGAGGCTGAGAGAGAGAGAGGGAGACGCACTCTGCATGACGTAGTTGGCGTAGGGGTGAACGAGCATGGCCTTGATGACGCTCGTGCCGTCCGGCGTCGGCGCGAGCACCTCGTCGAGCAGGCGCGCACGCTCGTCCTCGCCGCCGTACACGATGCACTTCTCGACGACGTTCGAGGCGAACTTTTGCTGGGCGAGTGGTAACAGCTGGCCGAACACCTTGGCAATCACGAGCGAGCGGTCGGCCGGGTCGCCCTTCTCGAGGACCCACTGGACAACGTACTGCGGGGGAACAGGACATAGTCAGGCCTGTGTCCAAAGACTCGAGTAGAGAGAGAGAGAAAGAGAGAGCGACTCACGTTGCCGTACTGGTCCTGCATGAGGTTCTGCGTGTACTGGTGGAGCTCGTCGAGGAGGCCTCGAGTCTGCTGCGGCGGGCAGTTCTCGAAGATGCGCTGCAGGACACGGCAGCCGTACGGGTGCGTCGCGAGGAGGTGGACCTGGCCGACGACCGCGTCCGTGATGAAGTGGAGGTGCTCGGGCGGGACGCGCTCGAGCGCTCGCTGCAGTCGGGGCGGCGACGAGTCAGGGACCGGCGCCGACGAGACGTCAAGAGAGAGAGAGAGAAAGAGGGGCGCACCTGGATGACGTGGTTGCTCTGGGCGTCGCGGGCGCACCGGATGACCTGCCCGTCGAGCTCGCGCACGAGGCGGATCTGCTGGTCGACGAGGACGTACTCGAGCGCCTTCTGGACGACACGGCAGCCGTACATCTGGAGCGACAGCTGGAGCACGTGGCCCTCGAGGATCTTGGCGAGCGCCGTCTTCTGCACCTGCGAGCCCTGCTCGAAGAACTTCTGGATCACGTCTGCGGGAGGGAGGGACGATCAGGTCAGGGCGCGCCGTCGACAACAGAGGCGATAGAGAGACGAGGACGCACAGTTGGCAAAGACGTCGGTCGAGAGCTGGAGCATGTTGGGCAGGATCTCGTGGAAGACGAGGTCCTTCTCGTCGGCCGTCGCGTTCTCGAGCTTGGTCTGGATGTGGCGCGAGCCGAGCTGGTCGCCGCTGAACTCGACGATGTGGCCCTTGATGTCCTGCAGGAAGGAGAGAGAGACAGCGAGTCAATGTCGGCTGCTCGAGGCAGGAGAAGGAGGCCAAGGAGGAAAAGGGACGGACCGACAGCTCCCAGCTCCTGTTGCGGTTCGACCGGAAGTCCTCGAGCAACGGGCTCCTCAAGCTGCGCATGTCGGGCCCGTACCCTTGGCCCTGGCCGTGTCCGTGCTGCGGGACGGGTCCGGGCGCGACGTACTCCATGCCGCGCACGCCGCGACCGAGGATGATCTGGTGCTGCTGCCCGAGCTGCGGGCCGCCGCCACCGCCGTATGCGCCGGGAGGCGGTGCGCCGCCAGGACCGCCGGGGCCGTACGGGCCGGCGGCGGCGGCGGCGGCCGCAGCGGCGTCGAGGTGCGACGAGCCGTACACGCCGTTGGCGCCGTGCTGCTGCTGCGGCGGCGGCGGCGCGTACGGCGGCATGCCCGGCACGCCCTGCGCGCCGTACGAGAACGAGCCCTGGCGCGACGGCGGGCCCGAGGGCGACTGGGCAAAGTCGGGCGGGAGCGCGAACGGCGGCATCGGGAGGCCCCACGGCGCGAGCGAGCCGCGACGACTGCCCGGGCCGTCCGAGGCGTCGTTCGGGTAGAAGGCGGGCGCGCCGAAAGTGGGCATGGGCGGGAGCGGCGGCGGCGGCGCGGCGTAGAGCTCCTGGTGCGCGTTGTACGGCGAGCCCGGCGGGAGGTAGTACGGCGCGGCGCCGTACGGGAGCGAGTTCTGGCGCTGCGATGGGCCGTCACGAGGGCCGCCGAGACCGTTGGGCATGGTCGGCGAGAACGGCTCGGGCGAGAAAGGCGGGTGCTGCGCGCCCATGCCGCCGCCGGCGCCGCCGTTCGCCGCCGCGCCTGCGCCCGCGCCGCCGCTGTTGAGCGCCATGCCGCGCATGCCGAGCGTGAGCTCACCGTCGGCAGCATTGGCGGCGGCGGCCTGGCCGAAGCTCAGCATCGGGTCGCCGCCGGGCCGGCCGCTGCGCTGAGCGGTCGGGTACCCTGCTCCGCCCATCGGCGGCGGCGAGATGCCGTGCGAGAAGTAGGGGTTGCCGAGGGGAGGAGGCGAAGGGTCGGGCGGCTGGTACGGGAACAGGTACGGGTTGAAGCCGGGCGACGGCGACAGGTCCGAGCCGAGGCCGGGCGCAGGCGAGGTGCCCGCCGTCGAGTGCAGGTTGAGCGACGGGGGACGACCGTTGGACGAGCTCGAGTTGGCCGGCGACGGGTCGTGCGAGTCGCCGCTGGACGAGTGGGCGAGCGAGGACGTCGGCGCGAGGTAGTTCGAGCGAGACGGCGCGCGCAGCGCGTCGCCGAGGGTTGCTGGCGAGGACGGGCGCAGGTCGACCGACGGGCTGTTCGACATGAGGCTTGATCGGGCGTAGTCCTGCGCGAGAGAGAGGGAGAAGGAAAGGCGAGGGAAGGGGAAGAGAGTGGGGGAGGGACGAGACGGACGGACGGACGCCGCGGTCAGCGCGGAATGTCCGGCGAGTCCGCGCTAGGAGAGCGGGCGCTGGCCGAAAGCGTCGTGGGCCCGCTCCCACGCGAGCCGCAGCAGGCCGTCTCGCGACGAGGGCCCGCAGCAGACTCGTCCTCGAGGGGGAGGTGGAAGGAAAGGAGAGAATGCGGGACGTACCCCGCTCAGTCGTGCAAGGCCCTTTGCCGCCGTCGCACCGGTCGCGTCGCGCACGCGCGACTCGTCGCTCGACGCCGTCGACTTGGTGAACTCGGCGGGCCAGTCGTTGGCGACCCTCGAGTCGTCGAGGCCGTCGACGCTCGCCGCCGTCGCGTGCTGCCGCCGCGTGGGCTCCTTGGGCGCAAACTTGCCGAACCCGAACACCTCGGCCCCGATGACGAGGCTGCCGCCGGGCGTGCGCTGGCCGTCGCCGTTGGGCGTGGTCGCGCCGACGACGTCGCGGAAGACCGAGCCGAGGCGGCGGCTGCTCTCGATGGCGGGCACGCTGCGCAGGCCGGTCGGGAGGTTGCCGAACGCGGGCGGCGGCAACGAGCCGAGCGAGAGGGAGCTCTTGGACGAGAGCGGGTCGAACGACGAACGGCGAGGGAGGCCGAGTCGCGGCGGGATGGCGGCGGCGCGAGGGAGCGTGGCGCCGTTGATGTTGTCCATGATGAAAGAAGATGTCCGAGTGTCTGCAATGTCGAGAAGGAGTGGTCAGGCGGGCTCGGCGGGATCTAGTGAGCCCTCTCGCGACGCCGACGAGCAGGGTGACGACTGCGGAGAGACGGGACGAGACTCACATGTACGTGTATGTGCGAGAAGTTCGAGAGAAGATGAGGTGTGCTTTGTACGAGGCGCAAAGGCCGAGGACTAGGGCGGCGAGGTGGGCGAAGGACGAGGACGAGGAGGAGGGGAGGGGAGAGATGAGGTCAGTCTGGGCGGTTGATCTGAGTGGAAGGGTGGACAGGCTGGACGCACCTATTCACAGGCGCAGGAAGCTGAGTCTGGCGGCCGCAGAGACGAGGTCGGGATGATGTCGGCAGTCGGAAAGAGGCCGACCGAGGACGAGGAGGACCGGCGGTGCTCGAGGCGGACGGGCCGTCTTGGGCTCGTGCGGGATGGCGGAGACCGTCTAGTGGTCTGGGTTGCGGACCTGGGCGGCTCGTCGGACCGGTGGTCGATGCTGGGCGGTGCTGGCTGCTCGAGCGAGGTGAAGATGGAGGAACCGGCGACGGCGAGACCTCGGGCGGCTCGGCTGTCGAAGGGGGCGGCTGGCGAAGGGGTGGATACGGCTCGACAGGCGGACGCTGGAGTTCCGGTGGCCGTTGAGCGCGAGTGTGCGGCTGGCGGAAGCTCGCTCGGCGGTGAAGGTCGTCGAGGTCGACGGCGGACGCGGCGAGTGCGGGTGGACGTGCGGGGCAGGGCCGGCGTCGAGCTGAACAGGACAAGCCACGCAGATCGAGGACCTGCAGCTCAGGCGGAGTGAGCGTCGAGCGGGCGAGACGTCGTCAGAACTTGGACGCTCTCCTCGCTGCCGCGGAACCGAGTCTCGCTAGTTCCCTGCCGGCGCTCTCGTCTGCAGCCGTACGCATGGGTACCTCTCAAGAGCCCCGGTCAGGCTACGCAGGCTGCTCGACCCGAGCGCGAGGCAACAGTGCTCGGTGAAATAAGGCCGTCTCACGCGATCAAGCATGGAAAGCTCGTCTGTTCGCAACCCGCGCTCGTCGTCTACTGCTCCTGCACACTCGCCACCGCCTCCGCAGCGCGCCGAGCCGCCTCTCCCGCCGGCCCGTCGAGCGCCGCCGCCGCCGCCTCGAGCGGTACCTGCACGAGTTCCTTGAGCGCCTCGACTCCGCCGCGCGACGAGCCCGCCGTGCCGCCGAGGACGACGGCGTGCAGCAGAGAGGCGGCGTTGGCGAGCATCTCGGGGCGGAGGAGCGCCTGTGAGGGCGTGGGCTGCTGGATGAGGGTGGGCGCGAGCGAGAGCCAGCGCGCAAGCATGGCTGCGGCGGTCGGTGGCGCGTCGTCGGGAGCGGGTGCGGGTGCTGGAGGTGGTGGAGGAGCAGAGAGGGTGGCGATGGAGGCTGAGGCGGCGGCGGCGTCGAGCGGGTTGGGCTCGGGTGCGGATGCGGGAGGGGCGGCACGCGACGGCGGATGCAGGAGAGATGCGAGGACGAGAGAGGCTGTCGTCGCGTAGAGCGTCAGTACTGCGCCCGAGAAGGCGAAGATAGGAGAGAGAGAGGGAGGACGCACCGCCTTTGCTGCCGCTCCCGGCGACCAACGTCAACCCGACCACGCCCTCGTTGACCAGGATCGGGAACTTCTCGCTCCCTCGCACGAGCTCGCCCATCGCGTCGCTCACGTCCCGCCTGACGAGCTGCTCCCTCCCCTGCACGACCGCCGCTGCGAGCCCGCCGTCCTCGTGCAACGTGGCGCACGACGGGAGCGAGAAGAGCGTGCGCGCGAGGTTGACGAGGACGCGGGTGCCCTCGGCGCGCAGGCGCAGCTCGTCGGTGCGCGAGATGAGGGCGAGGAGAGTGTCGAGAGGGGTGGTGGAGGAAGTGTCGGAAGAAGGAGGAGGGAGGCCGAGGACGGCGAGCGCGTTCGAGACTGCGGGCTCAGGGTCAGAGCGTGCGCAGAGACAGGAGGAGAGGTCCATCGCGACGCACTGTTGCCCGTGACGAGGTGCTTGAGCAACCCAATGACGGCGCCTTGCAGCGGCTGGACCATGTCGAGCTCTCGTCGCAGGAGCTCGGCCGTCGGCGAGATGACGCCCGCCTTGCCCAGGATGTCGCGGTTGGCGGCTGTGTCCGATGACTCGACGTTCTGGTCAGTTCCTGACGCTCTTAGGGTCACGAGAGGCCGACAGAGGGAGCGCTCGACGCACCCGGGATCGCCAAGTGCCGCAGGAGGCTCACGACGCCGAACAGGATCTGGGTCGTCTCGCCCGGTCGGCCCGTGCGGCCGATCGCGCCGCTGACACGCTCGGCGACGGTGCGGGCGAGCGGCTCGGCGAGGGCGTAGTCGTGCACGAGCGAGAGCGTGTGCTCGTCTGCGACGCGACGTCCAGCAGTCAGGCGACGCGCTCGGGAACGAGCGAGACGAGGGACGAGGGAAGAGCCAGGGACGCACCTTTGCGACCGAGACCGGCGAGCACGTGCGCCGCCGCGATGAGCATGTCCTCCCGCCCCTCGCCCTGCGCCTCCTCGAGCCACCGCACGAGCATCTCGACGAGCCAGCTCCTGCCCTGCCCTTCTCCCTGCCCGGTCCCGCTCCTCGTCTCGCTCCACAGGCGCTCCATGACCTCGTCATTGTTGGGCGCCTCGACGACGGCGCGCACGACGGCGGCCTTGACGGCCGCGAACGCCTTGTCGGCCCGTGCGGGGTCGTCCGAGGCCGCGAGGGCCCAGTGTGCGGGGGCGCTGGCGCGCGCGATGAAGGTGAGGAGCTGGTGTAGGAGGGTGCGGTCGGGGTAGGGGAGCGAGGGCGACGAGGTCGAGAAGGCGAGGGCGGACGCGGCGGACGGGAGGTCCTGCGCGAGCGACTCGAGGAGGGACGAGGCGATCGTGAGGAGCTCGATGTCGGTGTCGAGGTAGTCGGTCGCGTCGTCGGTCGAGACGTGTGAGGGAAGGGTGGATGACGCGGAAGGGGAGGAGACGGCGAGGACGATGGAAGCGAGGGAGAGGACGCCGGAAGGAGGAAAGTCGGTCTTGCCTGCGGGTTTCCTCGACGTCAGTCACTCGGGCACGTGCAGAAGGGACAGACGAGGAGAATAGAGAGGGAAAGGAGGGACGCACTCTCGCCGAGCACATCCTCGAGCACGTTGGCCGTCCACCCGGCCGCCATCTGCCCGATCTGGAGCCGCTCCTCGCGCTCATCGGCGTTATCGCCCTCGCCGACCTCGTGCGCCCAGCAGCCGACGGTGTAGACGGGCGAGGTCGACTTGCCGGCCGTCGTGCGCGCGTCGAGAAGGGCGAGGAGCGGGACGAGGATCTCGCGTCGAGAGAGGTGGCGGCGCATCGGGTCTGCGTGCGGCAGTGGTCTTCAACAACACGCTTCGCTCCGCGAGGTGTGGCACAGCGGAGAGGGAAGGACGGGCGGGACGCACCAAACTTGAGCGAGGCGTTGAGAAACGCGCCCGTCGTCGCCCGGACAAACTTGAGCTCGTCGATCGACAGGGGCCGCTGCCCGCCCTCGGGCACCTCCTCGCCCTCATGCAGGACCTCGAGCGTGCGGCCGAGCAGTCGGGCGAGCGAGAGCGGGATGTCGGCGTCGAGGACGAGTTGGCGATTCGGGTCTGTGGGGGAGTGCGCGAGTGCGGGTCAGTTGCCTCGCCGAGCGCTGAAGATATAGTGAAGTGGGACGCACCGTGCTCGAAGCAGAGGTTGCCCACCACGCGCGCGAGCTCCGTCTGTGCCGAGAGCAGCTCGGCACCGCCCCCTTGCGCGAGCACCGCCTGCGCGAGAAGCCCTGCGACAGCGCTCACGAGTCCCGCCTGCCCTGCCGCCGTCCTCAAAGCCTCTTTTTGCGGCGACGTGGTCAGTTCCTGGGTGCTGCACAAGCGAGAGAGGAGAGGGAGAGGACGCACCGCTCCGCAGGCTATCGGCGAGGGTCTTGCCCGACCGTGCGACGCCGCTCCAAACCGCCGAGTCGAGGCTGGTCGATGATGCACCGTCGTAGAGCGCGATGAGCTGCTGAACGGCGGCCTGCAAGGGTGGTGGGAGACCTGTCGACGCGGCGAGGCGTGAGCAGAGATGAGGGAGTAGGCGAGAGAGGGAGGGGCTGCGCGGTGGACGCACTCGGCTCCTCGGACAGAACAGCCATGCTCGATGCTGTCGTGCTCAGTCGGCGGTGGCAGGAGCGACCGGTGGAGAGGGAGAGGCGACGAGACGAAGTGGACCTCTCGCTCGGCGGTGAAGCGGACCCGGCGAAGGGTGCGACCGCTCTCCCAGCTCCATTGGCTCGTCAGACAGCCTCATTGCACAACATGCGACTCCAATACAGCCCCTCGTCGTCGCCCCAAGTCCCGCCCGCCGACCCCGAGGCCGCCTCACAGCTTGCTCGCCCGCTCCTTCTCGGCCTTGCGCTCCCTCCACCGCCGCCTGAACTCGTCCCACCGTGGATCCCGGAGCGCACGCTTGACGAGAAGGTCGTATGGGCGTTGGTCGCTCGCGTACAGGGGAAATTCGGGCTCGCGCGCGCTGCGGGGGGAAGAAGGAGGAACGGTCAGTCAGGGTCGAGCGAGCGCTCGGTTCGAGGGACGGCGACGCAAGGGCCACAGGCGTCGAGAGGAGAGAAGAGAGACAGAACGCACTAGGCAAGCATGGCGACGTGGATGAGGATCTCGGCCGTGAGCCCCGTAACCGCCTGCGGGCTCGTCTCGAACGAGTGAAAGCGGTGCCGCCGGCCGTCGAACCACGGGTAGTCCTCGAACGTGTAGTACGGCGCCGCGCCGCTCGTGACGACGGCGGGATGAGGTCGGTGGAAGACGGGGTGGGTCGGCGACGAGGTGAGGAAGCCCTCAAGCGGGAACGAAAAGACGCCGGCGACCTCGGACGGGTTGATTTCGGGCTGCGCGCAGGGTCCAGAGCGTCAGTCGTGGCTCGAGATTCGATCGATGAGGAGAAGCGGGCGCACCTTGAGCGTGTAGTCGAGGAGGAGGCAGACGACGGGCGTGACGAGCATCATCGAGCGCGCGAGGAACGGCGGGAGCGCGGTGAGATACCGTATCCGGGTTGTGTCTATCGGCAGACCGATCTCCTCGAAAGCTGTGCGAGACCCGACATGTCAGGTGCGGCGGCGAGGGGTGAAAGCGGGCGCAGACGGACCTTCTCGTCGGGCGGTCGCCTCGAGGTTGATGTCTGCGGGCCGAGTGAGGTCAACGACGCTCCACGTGAGGAGAGAGCGAAGCGTACGCACCTGTATCGTCCATCTTGCCGCCGGGAAGCGCAACTGCGCGCAGGGTGGAACCGTCAACATGGCGCGAGACAGCTCGCGAGTCGAGGGCTGAGCGGACCTTGTCCTGGCTGCGGAGACGCGAGAGGTCAATGCCAGCTTGTATGTCGAGCCGAGGAGGGGGAAGAGGGACGCACATATGTCCGGAGAGTCTCGCTGCGAGTCGAGAGGATCACGTTGAGGTTGTCGCCGGACCTGCAGGAGGAGGGGAACGACCGGTGAGCTCGCTCTCGCCACGCAACTCCTCACGCCGGTCTGCCAATCGTCGAGAGAGCTGCAGGAGAGACTCGCCTCGAGCCGAACAAGCACACGAGGACGGCTGCGCGACCCTCGGGGAACGGGTCTTTGTGGGGCCGGGCGAGAAGGCCGGGTCGAGGGGAGAGGGAGGAGAGGAGGTGCGAGGGCGGGTCAGCTGCTGTACGGGGGGGCTCAGACGGGACACGGGAGGTGCTCACAAGGGTCTGGCGGCGGCTTGTAGCGTGCGAGGCGGTTGATGGCATCGACCGACTTGGCCGACAGCGGCTCGACCGAGCCCTGAAGGGCGACGTCGACTTGGGCGAGCTCGCCGTCGTGGTAGTGGCCGAATGCATCGACAGAAGAGTCGTCGTACGGGTCCTTGTCGGCCTTCATGGCGAGTGAGCGGTGTGTGACGAGGGGTAACCTTCGAGGAGATGAGGTTGCTCTCCTCCGTCGACCATGTCGGGCCCGCCAAAGCTCTCGTTCGGGCTCAACAAGAACGCCCTCCCCCGACAAGCACCCAAGAAGCCTCCACCGCCCTCTCGAGCCCGCCCCGTCTTTGGCGGCGACGACGACGACGATGCTCCTCCTCCCGCTCCGCTCGACACCTCGCGTGCCAAGAACCGCCCCGCCGTGTCGACTGCGACCCTGTCCCGCCAGCAAAAGGCAAAGCAGCAGGCCGAGCTCGCCCTCGACAGCTCCGTCTTTGAATACGACGAGGTGTACGACAACATGAAGGCCGCCGAGAAGTCGGCTCAGGCCCTGCGCAAGGACGAGGGCGCAGACCGCAAGGTGCGCCTCGACTCTCTCTCTCCTCTCGAGACTCTCCTGCGCCCGCGCTGACCCACCCCCTCCCTCTTCGCAGCCCAAGTACGTCTCCAAGTTGATGGAGACGGCCGAGCTGCGCAAGCAGGACCGGCTGCGCGCCGAGGACAAGATGATCCAGCGCGAGCGAGAGCGCGAGGGCGACGAGTTTGCCGACAAGGAGGCGTTCGTCACCGAGGCGTACAAGCTCCAGCAGGCAGAGCTCCGAGTCGCCGAGGAGGAGGAGAAGAAGCGCGAGGGTGCGTCCCCTCTCCCCTAGTCTCGCTTCCGCTTTGCCCTCTTGCGCCGACCATACTGACTCGAGATCTCCCTGCAGAGGCCGAGAAGAAGAAGCGCGGCGGCATGACGACCTTCTTCAAGAGCTACCTCGACACGACCGAGGCCGCCCACGCCGCCGCTGTCGCCGCCGCCGCCTCGGCGCCCAAGGTCCCGCTCGGCCCCGCGCGACCGACCGACGACGAGCGGCAGAAGACGGACGTCCAGGTCGCGGCCGAGCACGAGGCCAAGACGGGCCGCCGCGTCGAGCTCAACGAGGACGGCGAGATCATCGACCGGCGCCAGCTCATGTCGGGCGGCCTCAACGTCGTCGCCAAGCCCAAGCCGTCGTCGTCTGGCGGCGAGAGCACGGCCGGCGGGTTCGCCGTCCCGATCTCGGCGCGCGCGCAGCCCAAGCCGGCCGGCGGCGACGGTCCGGGCGGCGCCGAGTCGCTCCTGCACCCGGGCGTGTCGGCCGCCGAGCGCAAGCGGCAGGCGCGCGAGCGGCAGAGTCGCATGGTCGAGCAGCAGATGCTCGAGCTCGAGCAGCGGCGCAAGCGCGAGGCCGAGGAGCAGCTCGAGCACAAGGTGCAGAAGGTGGCCAAGCGCAACGACGACGACAAGGTGGCGGCGCTCAAGCGGGCGGCCGAGGAGCGCAGGAAGAAGCGTCTCGAGGAAGCGCAGAAGGCGTCGCAGTAGTCCCCCTCTCTCTCTCCTTGTTGTCGGGCCCCGCCTCCTTCTGTTGCAACATTCGCCGCACGTGCCTTTTTGCGACTCGGCGCGAGACGGACGGCGAGCGAGCCTCTCTGCTTCCACAGCGCCGCCGGCACTCGCTGGCTGCGTCTACACGCTCAGCATGCCTCGCACGGCCGTGCTTACCGTCGGCTCGACCCGGTTCGACCCCCTCGTCGCCGCCGCCCTCTCCGCCTCATCACTCTCGGCGCTCTCCTCGCTCGGCGTCACCCGGCTTCTCGCGCAAGTGGGCAACAGCGCGCTCCCTCACGGCTGGCAGGAGGGGGCGAGTCTCAAGGCGGGCGGGCTCGCGGTCGAGGTGGTGCGCTTCCTGGGAGATCTCGAGGACAAGGTGGGGGAGGCGGACCTCGTCGTCAGCCACGCAGGTGCGCTCTCGTGCACTCTCTCTCCTCTACAGCATGCCCTGACGGTGGCCTCATACAGGCGCCGGCTCGATCCTGTCCTTCCTGCGCCCCCTCCCCTCCTCGTCCTCCTCGACCTCACCCTCTCCCTCCTCTCGCCCGCACCGCCGCCTCGTCCTCGTGCCCAACTCGAACCTCATGGACTCGCACCAGGCCGACCTCGCCGACGAGATGGAGAGCAAGGGCTGGGCCGTCGTGTGCCGCGAACCGAGGTGCGTCCCCCTCTCTCCCCCTTTTCCGCCTGTCCGACGGAACCCTCGCTGACCCTGTGCACCCTGCTCGCAGCGGCCTCGCACACACGCTCGAGGAGCTCGCCGAGGAGCTGCAGCAAGGGCGGTCGGCGCAGCACAGCTTCCCCGAGCTCGACACGGGCAAGGTCCAGCGCATCATCGACGAGACGCTCGGTTTCGTCTGAGCGCACAGCCGAACAGATTTCTAGACCGGTCCGTCTCGCTCAGTTTCCTCTTCTGTTCTCTCGGGACGCGTCACTGACAAGACACACCCGCAGAGCCAGCGCACCGACCGCACTCCCCCTCACGCCGTTCACGATCTCTTCAAGCTGCACACGGCCTACCAACGTCCTCTCGCCGTGCCGTCCACCCTCGGCCGACCTCGAACTGTCGCCGACGGCCGACTTGGCTCGCACGGCGTGTACGCCGCGGGCTCGCCGTCGCGCGCGGACCGTGAGGAAGGGTGCCGATGGATCCAGCCAAGCTGCACCCGCGCTTGCTCGTATTACTTCAGCGAGGGACCGCGTGCAATGAGTCTACTTTCCCTCACTCTGTCGAGCTGTGCGAGAGGAAAGCACCCTTGAGCAAAGTCCGCGGAGAGAAGCTCCTGCCCCGTCGCGGCGCGGCGCGGTTCGCCATCAACTCGCCTCGCTCGTCGTCCGAGCATGCCGCCGCGCAAGAGGGCACCTGCAGCCCCAGCACGGCCACTTCCTCGCCCCAACACCGCGCACCCGTGCGCCTCGCAGCTCGAGGCCGCCCTCTCGACGCTCCCCGCTCGACCTCACGCGGCGTCGTACCACGCCTTCCTCACCTCGCCGTACTACCCTGCGCCGCCCTCGCCCTCGCCTACCAAGAAGCGCAAGAAGGCTGAGCCGACGCTCCCGCCTGCGGTTGACAGCGCGCTCGATGCCGCCGTCGTTCAGCAGAAGCTCCTCGCGTGGTTTGACGGTGTGCGCGCGACGAGGGGCATGCCGTGGAGGAAGGACGTGGACCCGGCGACTATGGACGAGGAGGAGCGCACGCAGCGAGGGTACGAGGTGCGTCGCGGCAGTCCCCTCTGCCTCGCTCCCCTTTCCTCACGAGCGACGTCGACTGACTGAGGACCTCCCTCGTCGCAGGTCTGGGTCTCCGAGATCATGCTCCAGCAAACTCGCGTCGACACGGTCATCCCGTACTGGCTCAAGTGGATGGCCAAGTTCCCGACCGTCAAGGCGCTCGCCGAGGCCGACATCGAGGAGGTCAACGGCGTTTGGCAAGGGCTCGGCTACTACAGTCGCGCTAAACGGCTGTACGGCTCTCTCTCTGTGGTTCGTCGACGTCGACCCGCCGCAGAGCCTAACTCGCTCGGACCCCCCTGCAGCCTCGACGGCGCCCGCACGGTCATGGACTCGCACGACGGCGTCCTCCCCTCGACCGCCGACGGCCTCCTGTCGATCGACGGCATCGGCCCGTACTCGGCGGGCGCCATCTCGTCGATCGCGTTCGGGCAAAGGAGCGCGACCGTCGACGGCAACGTCATCCGCGTCCTGAGCCGGCTCACGGCCTTGCACGCCCCCGACAAGGCCAAGAGCACGGCCAACTTCATCTGGGCGCTCGCCGACGTGCTCGTGCCGCCGCAGCCGAAGCGGCGCAAGAAGAAGGCGCGTGACAGCGACGGCGAGGGCGGCGAGGTAGGGGGAGAGGGCAAGTGCGGCGTCGGTGGCAAGAACAAGCCGGGCGCCTGGAACCAGGCGCTCATGGAGCTCGGCGCGACGGTGTGCACGCCCAAGGCGCCCAAGTGCGACGAGTGCCCGTTGAGCGACGAGTGCCTCGCCTACGCCGAGGTGCGCACCCACCCTCCTTCGTCCTCTCCCCCTCTCTGCCCGACTCGAGCTGACTTGCCTCCGCGCACGCAGGCCCGCTACGTCGCGCATCAACCAAAAACCTCATCGTCATCAAGCCCGGCTCCCGCGCCCGACATCGAGGACCTGTGCGACCTGTGCGCGCCCCTGCCGTACGAGTCGACCGCCGAGGCCCGTGCGCACGGCGTCGAGGTGTTCCCCATGGCCAAGGAGAAGGTCAAGAAGCGCGACGAGGACTCGGTCGTGTGCGTTGTCGAATGGGTCGCGAGCGAGGGCGACAAGGGCGACGAGGAGAGGAAGGTGCTGCTCGTCAAACGGCCAGAGAAGGGTGAGCTCGACTCTCTCTTTTTGTCTCTCTCTTTTGTGACGCCTCTCGCTCTCTGTCTGACGCACTCTCGTCGACAGGTCTGCTCGCCGGCCTCAACGAGTTCCCCGCCATCGACCTCGCGCCCGACTCGCCTCTCCCCTCCCCAAAAGCCCGCACCAAGCTCCTCAACTCGCTCCTCGCCACCCTCCTCGACCTCCCTCCGTCCACCCTCTCTCCCTCGACCGACTCGCCCCCCTCCTCCCCCTCAACCACGTCGACCTCGACGCCGCGCATCCTCTCGCGCACGGCCCTCCCGCCCGTCACCCAGATCTACTCGCACCTCGTCCGCACCCACCACGCCGAGCGCCTCGTCCTGTGCTCCTCGTCGCCTCCCGCTCTGCGCCCCGCCCTCTCGGCCAAGGAGGCGGCCCGCGCCGCCAAGAAGGCCGGCGCCGACGACGACGCGCTCGTGCAGTCGCTCGCCGGGCGCGCAAAGTGGGTCGACGCGGCCGAGGTGCCGACGGCCAACATTGGTGGCGCGGTCGCCAAGGTGTGGGGCGAGCGGCTCGCTGTCGTCGGCGGGCGGGCGGCGGGCGGCGTCGAGGGGAAGAAGAAGGCGGCAGCGGGCGGCAAGGGGAAGGGCAAGGGCAAGGCCGAGGGCAAGGCGGACAAGGGGCAGGGGAGCCTCATGGGCTTCTTTGCCAAGAAGGAGCCGGCGCCGAAGCCGTCGAGGGACAAGGCGGCGCTCGTCGGCGGGCAGGAGCGGGCGAGCGAGGCGGAGCGGGACGCGAGCGACGACGACGGCGAGGTCATCGTCGTCGAGGAGGCGACGAGCGGCGGCAGGACGTCGGTCGAGGAGAAGAAGGTGTACAAGAAGCGGCGGATAGCGCCCGCTTCGGACGAGGAGGACGACAAGGCGGGCTCGTAGAGAAAGCTCTCCCGCACGGGCCCTTTTTCTTCGCCGTCTCTCCTGCAAGTCGTGCCTTCCCTCTCTCTCTTCTCGTAAGCTCACTCGGATGGCGAGAGTGCGTGCGAAAGCGATGTAGAGATACAACACGAGTACAGAAGGCGACGACCACGGCGAGCAAAGGAGGAATGGTCGGACGAGGGCTAGTCGTCTCGCTCGTCGCGGAATCGAGGGTTCTGCAAGGGACGACGTGTCAGACGGCTCTCTTTCTTCATGACGCCCGAATGAGACGGGACCGGCGACGGGCTCGAGGCCGGTCGCGTCCCAGCAGGGCGAAAGACGAAAGAGAGCGGGGCGCACCTCGTCCGGGACGCGCTCTCCTGTCGGCACGTCGCGGTTGGCGCCGCTCTCGCCGTACGTCTCGTCGACCTCGCGCTGTCGCTGCGCCTCGATCTCCTCGCGGTTCTTGAGGTGGCCCCACCCGCCTCGGCCCGCTGCGGTCGTTCGTCCAGCGTCAGCTACATCCTCATCATCAATTCTCGCTCGTCGTCGGGCGGCGAAGCCAGAAAGAGAGAAGAGAGAGCGTGACGGACCGTCCCAGTCCTCGCGGTACTCGTCGCGGACCTGCCCACCCGACTTGCCGCGGCCGTACTGGCGGTTCTCGAGGTAGCCCGGGTCGAGGTCGGCGCGGATGATGCGCTCGTCGAGCTTGGTGCCCGACACGTACCGCAACGAGGCGACGGCGTGCTCGTGCAGGAAGAACCTGGGTGCGGGCAGGAGTGGGTCAGCTGGGGCTCGGCGCACGGAAGGGACGGCCGGCGAGGAGGAGCCCTCGCCGCGGCGTCCCGCAGGACGAGCGGCGGCCGACTCACTCGACGAAGCAGAAGCCGCAGGGCGTCTTGAGGTTGCGGTCGAGGCCCATGATGATACGCTTGATCTCGCCGACCTTGGAGAACAGCTCGTAGATCTGCTCCTCGGTGGTGAAGAAGCTGCGGGCGGGGTGCGGGGGCTCAGCTACTAAGCGGCGAGGCCTAAAGAGAGGGCGAGGCGCACCTCAGGTTGCCGACGTAGACGGTCGACGAGATGGCGAGGTTGGCGTGCTGCACCTGGAGGGGGAGAGGCGAGCGAGAGTCGCGGTACGAGCTGTAGGACGACGACGACGTGACGACGGTGGTGGCCATGGTGCTCAGAGCCCTCGCAAGCCTCGCTCGGGGCGGTCGCGTCGAGTGCGAGTGCGGTCGAGCTGATGAAAGCCGCCGCCGACCTCGACCAGGAGGAGGAGAGCAACGCCGCTCCCTCTACTACGAGCCACGACCTCGCCAGCTGTACGCTGTAGCTCGAGGGTGCTCCTCCGCCACGCCCCGCACCAGCTGCGCGGCTCAGTGCTTTCGCCCAGCGCCTCGCCGACCTCGACAACTTCCTCATCTCCAACTGCCTCGAGCTCAACGAGGCAACGCTCGGGCAGCGTGTACTTCGCACAGTGCGAGCTGCACGGATCGATCCAGCTTCTCGACCAGCCACAGCACAGCTCGACGACGTAGCTCTGCGCGGCCGCCTCCTCGCTCGACGCTTGCAGGCTTCCAGCTCGTCGCACAGCTGGCGGCGCCCGGAACCGGCATACTGCGCTCCAGTGGCGGGTCAAGGAGACGTCTCTTTGTCCCCTCGAGCACCGCTGCGACGGCACGAGCTGCTTCCCGCTTGTGGCGAGGTGACCGTGCACGCTCTCGCTGCTGCGCACGAGACCGGCGCACCCTTGTGTGCTCCGGCGCGACTCGCTCTTTCGCTCGAGCGGCTCTGCAGCCTACTGCTCGCCGCACTTGCGCGCTGTGGTCACGGTCCCTCGACCGTGGCACGAGCTGCAGCAGCGACAGAGACTGTTCGGCCGTCACTGCTGCGGTCCCGGCCTTCCTCGTCGTTCCTGCTTGGTCGGCGCCACAACGTCGACTGGACTGAGACGCTCTGTCGACGAGGCGGCGGCAGCCACAGCTCTGGAGAGCGTGCACCGGGCGACGCTCGTCCCTCGGACGTGTTCTCGTACGAGAGCGCGGCGTCGTCGCCCGCGTCCAGTCTGTGCTCCTGCGGCCCGGCGTATCTTGCAGCCGTCGACCGAGGTCAGGAACACGGCAATGCCCGCGACGCCTGGCCCTCAGGCTCTGCGCTCGACCGCTCTCTCTCGCTCGCCGCGATTTTCGGAATTCGGCTTGCTCGCCAGCGCTCATCCTCGCGGCCGTTTGCGCACGTCAATGCATTGCAAGACTCTGGAGAGCCCCTCTGAGCCCTTGCGAGCTGGTCTCGAGAGTGAGGCGGTGCAAGCTGTCAGCGTGTCGACGTCTACGGTCCACCGCGAGCCTTCGCTCGGCTCGTCTCCCTCCTCCACCACACTCTCTGCCCGACCTGCACGACCCCCATGTCCGGCCTCGACAACTCGACTGCGTCCCTCGGCGACGCGCAGCTTCCGCCCCAGCTCCAGCAGCGCCTCGAGGAGGAGGTCGCCCGGTTCCAACACAGGTCCGTCCCGCGTCGTCCTTCTCGCTCGCCTGGGGCGCGGCTGTGCCCTCGGGGCATGGCGTGCTGCCTCTAGAGGCTGAGCTGGAAGAGCGACGTGCGCACGAGCTCATCCTCCCACTCGCACTCCCCTCCCCTCCTCCCCGCTCGGCAACAGCACCTCGGTCGACGACGACCTCGCCCAGACGACGGCCCGCCACGACGCCCTCCTCAAGGACAAGGTCGCTGCCGTGCACGCCCAGAACGAGCATGTTCGTCCCTCGTCCCTTTCACGCCCCCATCGCGCCGCCCTCTCCTCCTCGCCCCACACGACGAGCCGCGAGCCGAGCCGCCTGACGTCCTCGCCTCCCCACCTCCCTCCCTCGCTTCGAACGCGTCGTGCAGGCCAAGGACGTCGCGCAGCAACACGGTCCCTCCGACCCGCCCAACGACGCGCTCCAGGGCAAGGCGCACACGCACGGCGAGAACGACCCGGTCGCGGCCCTCCAGGAGGGCGTCGACAGCAAGTGAGTGAGCTTGGCCGTGCGCCTTCCTTCTGCTCGACCTCCTCCCCATCGAGGGACGACGAGCTGATAGACGACGACGGTGCCCACAGGCGAAGCGCCGTCGCCGCGCAACGGGCAGAGCTGTCGGACCTCGAGGAGCGGCTGAGGCGGGCGGACGAGGTTGAGCAGCGGTTGCGGGCGGCGCTCGGCGAGAAGGCGTGAGTGAGGCTTGTGTGCGTCCTGGAGGAACGAGGGGCGAGGCGCGCTCTCTGTACATAGTCCGCAACCGCAGGCTCTTTGTGTTTCTCTCGTTCTCGCCTCGTAGAGCTGTCGTTTCTCGCGCTCTCGAGAGTGACAGCGAGAGGACAAACAGAGAGTGTATAGAGGCTGAATTACGTCTCGCGCTAGACCGGTAGAGGAGACTGATCGACCGGCGGTGCAGGGAGCGCGGGCGACTCGGGTACGGCAGACGCGGCGGAGGCGGCGGCGGCGGACGAGAACTGGAGCTGATTGGGCTCGGGTTGGGCGAGACCGGGCGACATCAGGGCAGGTTCTGCGGGCGGGATGACGGCGGGCAGGCCCTGGACGCCCTCGCGGTTGCGGAAGAGCGTGATCTCCTGCTGCCTGCGAGGCGAGGCAAGAAGAGGCGCGAGCGTCAGTGCGGGCGTCGAGTGGGACCGATGACGAGAGAGGCACAGGGGGGACGCACTTGAAGTAGCGCCGGTTCTCCTCGTCGATGAGGACCAGGTTGAGGTAGTACCGCGTCGAGAACTTCTTGTTGACGTCGCGGAATGTCGGCGTGAGCTCGAACCCACCGAGGAACAGCCGGATCGGGATCGTCTCGCCTGCGAGGAGAGGATGAGAGAGAGAGAGAGAGAGGTCAGGCGGGATGGCGAGAGAGGAGAGAGGCCGAGAGGACGACGGCGGACGGACCTCGCACGGGCGCGCCGTCCATGATCTCGAACTTGGTGATCGTCTCGCTCTCGTTGTACTGGTTCGGCGCTGCGTAACGAGGCACAAAGTCAGTGCCCCCCCTCGAGAGTTCTACGGCGGAGCATGCGCAGGGGCTTGCTCGTGCTCCGCAGAGACGGAAGAGGACGAGGACAGCCGACGCACCTGCTCCCGTCGTTTCTCGCCGGATGATGCTCAGCTCCATGTGCTTGATCTTGATCCGCACGAGGAGGAAGTAGATCTTGCCGACAATGACGTCCTTGAGGTGGTACCTGCGCGCACAGGGCGAGAGAGTGTGAGTCGCTGCACGACAAACCTCCAGGGGCGGCCAGCTGGCACGCAAGGCTCGCGCTTGGCCATCCCGAGCGAGGGGGCAACGGCGACTCACTTGGCCTTGTTGTACTCGAACTCGATGTGCAGGCAGTCCTCGATGCCGACCTCCATCTTAATCGAGTTTGTAATGTCGGGCGGCATGCGGTACGAGTGGACCCACAGCTCCTTCTCCTTGACGATGTCGGCCATTCGTCGCGAGACCGTGACGCGAATGAAGTAGCTGTGGTGCAGGGAGGCGAGAGGGCGAGTCAGTCGGCCGTCTCGCTCGAGCATGTTCAGGACCTGGGGCGAGCGGGACTCGCGCCTGCACCGGGCCCAAACGAGGACGAGGACGAGTGGGACGCACCGCAGCTTGACGTTGATGCCGTGATAGCTCTCGTACTGCTTCTCGACGTTCTTGAACTCAAAGTCGAACGCCTGCGCCGTCCGCATCTCGCCGGGCGTCGCCAGCTCTTGCACGAGCGAGAGGAACTCGTAGTGGTTGCCGCGGTCGTAGAAGAGCTCTGTGGGTGCGAGAGAGTCAGTCTGGCTGCTTCATGCGCAAAAGCGGGGTTGTGATCCCGCTCGGCGGAGGAGAGAGGCCCGGGAGAGAGGGAGAGAAGGACGCACCGATGCTGCCGACAAACTCGACCTTGACGCCGTCGTGCTTGATGCCCTTGCCGTCCTTGACCCTCACGATAGCCTGCAGGACAGTGCGCGTTCTCGCTCGAGGTCAGGGTGCCGTCGCTGCGCGCTCCCCCCACTTGGGCGAGGTGGGCGGGGTACGGCGTCGCGACAACGAGAGAGAGGGAACGCACCTGTCCCCGCACACTCTCGCCATCCAAGAAGACCGGGCAACGCTCCCTCCCGGCGAGCGCGTCTGCTTTGGCGCCCTTGCCGCCGTGGTCGCCCTTGACCTCGACCGACTGGCGCTCGTCCTCGCCGGCGAGGCGCACGTCGACCTCGACTGGGTGGCCAAAGTTGAAGAAGGATGCCATCGTGGCACCTTGTGGGCGGTGGCGCGGCGTCGGACAGCGGGTGAAGGCTGGCTCGAGCGGGGGTGACGATGAGGGGAGATGAGGAGGCGGCTGGGGTTGTGAAGGCGAGGAGCGGGGTGGGCGAGCGACGGCGAGGGTCGGTGGTAGCTCTGCTGCAAATCTCTGGTGTCCAGAGCGGCAGTGCGCGAGGATGAGGTCGAGCAAGAGGTGGTGCTCCTCGTCGCGAACGGCGGCCGACCTGCGTGGCTTCATCGTCGCTCGTCCTCGCGTGAAATGACAAGCGGCGTCCCGTTCATGCCTCCTCTAAGCTCAACCGCGCGCCCTGGCCCCGTCCGTATGTGTCCCGGTCGCAGCTTCCTCTCGTCTGTGCGGCTCACGCTGTTTCTCGGTGCGACGTTGGGCTCTCGCCGCGCGTTCACGGTCCTTCGTCATCTCTCGAGGGCGACAGCGAAAGGAGAGTGACGGCCGAGGACGAGCGAAAGAGGGAGGGCATTACAGGGAACTGAGCGACGAGGAAGGAGCAGTGGTCGTACAAACAGGGGCGCGAGGGACCGAGGGCGTCGTCTACATCATACCTGCGCACACTCGACGGGGTCAGCGAGACGGCGAGGAGGAGAGGGCGAGCGAGAGAGAGCGAGGGAAAAGAGGACGGACCGGCGTTCAAGAGGTTGTTCGCAAGAATCTGCTCTTGCACAGCAGCGAGCACGGTACGGATCTGAGTCGTGTCTGCAGGGGACCCAGAGTCAGTCCAGGCCTTGTGAGAGTGAGAGGAAGAACAGGGGGAGAGGGAAGAGAGGAAGAGACCGCACGCACCTGTTGCGCAGGTGAGGTGGAGGATAAGGGCCCGGCGCTTGTTCTCGTACAGGCTCGAGAAGTGCTGCGACAGCCACAGCGTCGTCGCCTCGTAGCTGTTCGAGCCCGTGTACTCGGGGACGTAGTCGCTCAGTCGGTACAGCTCGAGCTTCTGGCGGAACAGGTCGATCTGCGAGCGGGCGAGCGCGCGGCGGCTGAGTCAATGCCTGCGACGTGGAGGGGAGGGTACGACGAGGGGAACGTTCGAGGAGGGAGGGGCACGAGGAAGAGAACGAGGAAGAGGAAGAGTGAGGCGCACCTTGTTGAGGAAGAGGATCGTGCTCGCGTTGGCGAACCACTTCGAGTTCGAGATCGACTGCCACAGCGTCGTCGCCTCGGCTATGCGCGACACGGACTCGTCCTCGTACAGCATCTGGTTATACTCGCTGATCGCGAGGACGAAAAGGAGGACCTCGACGTCGCTGAAACAGTGGACCCTGCTCGACGAGGTTGTGAGCTCGAGACGTCGACGACGGCGAGCGACGACGGACGACGAGTGACATAAGGACGCACCACTTCTTGCGCTCCGAGCGCTGACCGCCGACGTCGCACATGCGGTACGTGGTGCCGTGCACGTTCAACGACACCTCCGAGATGCCCGTCGACTTGACGCGCGAACGCAAGATGTCCTGGTCGGACGGGATGTAGCCAGGCGAGGCTAGTCGAGCGATGTTGTTGAAGTAGCTGCAGGTCGAGACGAGTCAGAGATTGGCGACGAGGACAGGAGGAAGAGGGCGCACTAGGGTGCCGAGCTGCGCGCGAGAGAGACGAGGTCAGTGCGTCCGGGCGTAGGAGAGACGAGTGAGGGGACGCACTCGTTCAGCTGAAACTCGTGCGCCATGTCGACGGCCTCCTTGGCTCCGTCAAAGTCCCACAGCGCCGACAGCGCCCTGGCCACGTCCGGCAAGAGCTCGCCCGTCTGCGCCGCGAGCTCCGGCTCGTCGCCGAACGACATGACGAGCTCGATATCGGCGTTGAGCGCAGGCGGGACGTCGATGCCGAGCATGTCGAACGCGTCGACGACGACCTGCATCGAGCGAAGCGAGTTGTCGTAAATCACGTCCCGGAAGTCGAGGCGCTCCTGGTCCGTAAACGGCTTGCCGTAGGCAAGCGAGAATTGCTGCGCGCGTCGGTGGGAGTCAGTGGAAGGGCTCTCGTGAGATGGAGAAGGCGGGCGCACCTTCATGATCGTGCTCTTGCCCGACTCGCCGGCGCCGAGGAAGAGGAGCTTGATCTCTCGCCGCTGGTTCTCGCGGTCCTGCGCGAGCGTCTTCTCGATGGCGGCACTGCAGAGAGGAGGAAAGATGGGTCAGTCGATCGTCCAACCGAGGTTGCGAGCGTGCAGCTCTCGGTCGAGAGTCGAAGGGGGAGAGGACGCACTTGCGAGCCTCTGCTTCGTGGTCGACGGGCGTGGATCCTGCGCAGCCCATCTTGTGGATCGTTGGGAGGCGTTCGAGAGCACAGGGCGAGGTGCAGGAGCGAGGGGGAGCAGGAAAGGCGAGCGAGGGGCCCGGCGAGCAGAGCGACGTTCGACAGGGCGGCGGATGCGCAGGCGAAGCAGCGTCGCGAGCGGGGACAGGCTCCTGAAGGCACCCTCGTCGCCGAAGCGTCTCGGGCACGCGCTCGCCATTGTCCAGGAGGTGCGCGCGCTCCAGTGATGCGCGCCTCGAGCGGCGGCGGCGGCACCCCTCAACTTGAGCAGCCGTCCGGCCGCACCCGGGCCGAGCCCTTCTCATCTGCAGATCGCGCGGCACGCCCCCGCCCCGCGGTAGGTCCTTCGAGGAGAGGGAGAGGAGGGAGGGAGAGGTGAGCTGATGACGGTTGTGGTCGGCGGCGGCGCGGTGGGTGCGGGAGAGGGACGGAAGCTGTAGCGGGAGAGCTAGACGCCGAGCTGCGCTGGTCGGGTGAGGCTCAGGAGCAGTGTCGAGGGCGGAGTGGACGCGAGGAGGCGTCAACTGCGCTCACGCTCCTCCTCCTCTCTCTGCACCGCTGCTTGCGTCCGACGGTGCTAGCCGTGGCGGCTGCAGGAGCCTCGGCTCGCTCTGCGCTGCGCTGCCGAGCCTCGCATGCTCGAGCCGACCCACCGCTCCTCGTCTCCTTGTCTCGCGCAGGCGCCGCCCACAAGTCGCAGATCGTGGAATTGCGCAGGCTCGAGCCCTCGGTAACGGCGAACGTTGGTCCCCCGTAATCGTGCTGCGCTTGGCCTCCTGTCTCTCGTCAGTCCGGTGGCGCCGTTCGCCTCCTCGTCCGCTCGCCGAGCCTCGACTTCCTCCCGCTCTCGCCTCGCTACCTCGACTTGTGCTTCTGCTTTCGTCTCCCGCACGGAGCATGGCGTTCCAAACAGAGCGACCCTACGTCGACGAGCCGGTGACGGAGCAGGACCTAAGGTACGTCGCGTCGTTCTCCTCTCCTCCTCCTCAGCTCCGCCGAGCCCTCCCCTTTCTTCCCTCCTCGAGCCGGTCTTCTCTACCTCTTACCCAAATCGTCCTGACTCTCTTCCTCTGCCTCGCAGGGTCGCGACCATCGCGTTCGCCTGGTGCCTCGGGTTCGGCTGTTGGGTGACGGCGGCGGCTTGGGCTCAAACGCACAAACTGTCCGTCTACACGGTCCTCATCTGGACCGAGTGGCTCGTGTGCCTCCTATTCGCCATCCTGTGCTGGCTTTACATGATCGAGGTCATCCCACACTCGTTTACCTTCTTCTTCACGTCCGTCCTCCTCCCTTTTCTCCTTCCTCCTTCCTCTTCTCGCGACTGACGACTGCCCACCTTACAGCATTCTCACTCTATGGGCTCTCCAAGTTCAGTGCCTCCTCCAGATCATCGTCAACCGCTTAAACCGTGAGTCGTCGGCGTCTCGACCTTTCCCGAGTGGACGCTCATTTGCCTCTCTTCACAGTCCTCGTCTCGGATCGGCGGCACCAGAACTACCTCAAGTACGGCATCGCTGCGCTCATTACGGCGATCAACATCTCGGTCTACTGGTGCGTCGAGACGACGAGCGGGACCCTCTCTCAACTGGAGAAGGCCGACCTGACCTTTCCTTCTTTTCCCCTTCAAATCCTTCCCTCTGCCCTCCTTTCTTCTCCCTCCTCGTCATCCCCTCTCGTCCCCCATCTCGACCCTCCTCGCGCCCTCCTCGCGCAGCATCTGGATCCCGGCGCGCCTCCAGGTCTCGGACAGGTACATCGCCGTGAACAAGATCTGGGACCGGTTCGTCTCGCTCACAGCCTATCTCTGCGTGCCGGCCTGACTCGTACTCTCCCTCAAAGCTGCGAGAAGGTCGTCTACCTCATCGTCGACGCGTTCCTCAACTGGCACTTTGTTCGGGTCGTCAAGGCGCGCCTCGTCCAGAACGGGCTCGACCGCTACCGCCCTTTACTGCGCATGAACCAGCGCCTCATCATCCTCTCCATCTCGATGGATGTCCTCATCATCGGCATGATGTCTCTGCCCAATACCTTCGTCTGTACGTCCCTTTCTCGCCTCTCGAGCGTTCCTGAGCGCCCTTGGACGGCTCTCGACGGCCTCGAACACCTTCGGAACGATCCCTGACCCCTCTTGTACGAGCCAGACATGAGTGTGCATCCCGTCGGCTACCTAGTCAAGCTCCTGATCGAGCTGAGCCTCGCGAGCCTCATCGTCGACATCTCGTCCGCCAAGCCTCAACGCAAAGGCGACCTGGCTGGCGCGTTCGAGGGCCTCAAGATTGCCGTCTCGACGCACACGACGACGACGGCTGTGCGCGTCGACGACGAGGAGGGCGGCGAGTACGCCCCGGCGATCCGGACAACCCGCACGCCGGCCCGCCCGGACCTCCAGCAGCGCCTCGACAAGATGCGCCGTGAGCGCCGCGAGCGCAAGGAGGCGAGGGCTCGAGGCGAGGTCCCGGACGACGTCTTTATCGAGATGGGCACGAGGGATCCGTCGCGGCGAGGGTCGGATCCGTCGCTCGACGGCGAGGGCGACGAGAAGGGCGACCTTGCCGACAACTGGCAGGCGAGCATCCACCACCTCCCGTCGCAGAGGTCGACGCCGTCGGGCCACGAGCAGCACGGCGTCCGGTTCGTCGTCTCGGACGACTCGCTCGAGAAGGTGTAGCTTTGGACTCTGCAGTCGAGCATCCTTCCCTTTCTCTCACGCTCCTCTTTCTCGTCTCGACGATCGAGTGGCACGCTGTCGCGCCCTGCACCGTGAGACGCTGCTCCCGGGAGAGCGAGAGAGGCGCCGCATGTCGTCGCACGTTCCCCTCGCTCACTGCCGCCTGGTCGGCGCTCGCGGCGGCTCGTCGTCGACCTCGGCCGAGGGGTTGTCTTACCGTGAGATTGGGCCAGACGGCAAGAGCGGGGCCAAACTTTGCTGGGCGCTGCTGTGACAGGCGCGGTCGATCTTGTCGTCCCGGCCCGGTTTGCCTCACCCGCTCGCTCGCCTCGGCCCCTCACTCGACGCCTTTTCCTGGGTCCGCGTCGACGCCTGCACCTCGCTGCAAGAGCCATGCCGTACCTCGACGTGCCCAACATCAACCTGTGCGTCCCTCGCCGCCCGTGCCGAGCTCCCGCCGTCGCATCCGTGCCCCACACTCCGACCAGCAGTCGTCGTCGACCCACGCACACGGTGCACGCGCTGATCAACGTGATGGACCCGCAGGCGCACCTACTACACGATCAACCCGCGCTACGAGGACCTCGGCATGAGCATCAAATCGCCTGCGCCCGAGAGCGACGACGCCATTGATCCGGCCAAACCCACCCTCGTCTTCAACCACGCCGGCACGTCCTCGTCCAACTCGTTCATGCATCAAGTGCGCACCACGCTCTCTTCCCCTGTCGAACTCTCTGTGACCAAGTCGAGCTGACCGTGCGGCGTGCAGTTCCGGGATCCTCGACTGCGCGAGGCTTTGAACCTCGTCTCGTTCGACTCGCGCTACTACGGGCGCACTGGAGGCGACCCACTCGATCACTTCCAGACCCTCGAGGTGCGCACCCTGTCCGCCACCTTCACGAGGAGCAGCTGGCGCGGGCGTGAGCTGACACCTCCCCCTCTCGTGCAGGAGCGAGCAGACGAGTTCATCGCCATGGTGGACGCCCTGCTCGGTGATCGACCATTCTCCTACTTCGGCGAGTCGTTCGTCGGGTCGCACGTCGGCGCCTACCTCGCTGCCAAGCGACCACAGCAGGTCCGTCGTCCTCTCTCTCTCTCCCGCCGCGGCTGTCCTCTCCGAGGCCGGGCTTACGCTCGCTTTCGTGCGCAGGTCAAGGCCATGGTCCTCGTCTCGCCGTCTTTTGTCACCGAGTGCGTCCCCCTCTTTTCCCTGCGCGACGTGCCACGACGAGTCTCGGCTGACCCGCTTTGACCCGTCGACAGCCCGCCTCTCGTTTACGAGACGCTCAACGCCGAGTGGCGACCAGCGTGCATGGCTAACAAGGACGGCAACGGTGATCGGAGCGGGAGGATCCCCGACGAGGCGATGGCGGTCGTCGGTGCGTCGCTGCTGCCCCTTCCTCTCCTCGCCGGTCGCCAGGAAGCTGACCCTTTGGATCCCGCAGGCGACTACTTCTTCAGCGGCGCGACGCACATGAAGGAGCGACAAGACGCCTTCCTCGAGCAGTACCAGGAAATCAGTGCGTCCCTCTCTTGCCATCTCGCCCCTCGTCCTCGAGCCGACCCGTGTCCTCCTCGTGCAGACGGCGACGGGCAGGACATGTTCCGCGTCGACCAGCTCCTCTTTTGGTTCCGGCGCGAGGCACCATCACCCGACGTGTTCGCGGCGGTGCGGTGCCCGGTCCTGCTCCTCGGCGGCTCGCTCGACCGGACGGTGAGCTCTGAAGGGTCGCTCGAGGATTGGCGAGACCGGTTCGTCAGCGGTGCGTCCCCCCCCCCCTCTCTCTCTTTCACTCTCGTGTACAACATCTGACGCCCCTCTCGCACAGTGCCTGACGAGGACAAGGTGCTGAAGACGATCGAGGGCGGCGCACATCTGCTCGCGACGACCGACTCAAGCCTCGTTAGCCGGTTCGCGCTCACCTTCCTCCAGCGTTGTGCGTCTCTCAGTTCTTCATTCCTCCTCCTGCAGCGTCGAGCACCTCCCCTGACCCGATTTCTCCTGCAGACAAGCTCGCCTGAGCGCTCGCCCTTTCCCCTCTTTCTCGACCTCCCTTCACACGTCGCCTCGTCGCCCTCATAGCATGTCCGCATCTTCACGACCTGTATCGTCATCAACACATCCCTCGCCGCGCGCCCGCCAAGGCGCTTCGCCACGTGCTGCTCGAGCCCTGCCAATGCAACCCTTCCTCGACGGCATCGTCTCGCGCGGCGCACCGAGACGGGGCGAGCCGAGAGAGCGACAGGCTATCAGGCGATTCTTTCTTCTGCGCGTAAGCCTGCGAGAGAGGCGTGCTCTGCTTGACTATGGCTGGAAAGCGGCCGGCCGTCGACCACGTACGGAGCAGGTCGAGGTGCACGGACCGACGCGAGCGTGTGCGCTTCTCGCCCGTGGAGCCCGACGATGACGAGTCGACTTCATTTCGCTAGTGCTGTGCCTCTCGCATCTCGCAGCCAGAAAAGCAGAGACCTTGGCCGGCGAGGAAGGGGGGCGGCGGCCTCGCGCTCCTCACGCAGCCTTTCGCACCGCTCGAGGGCTTTCGCTTGGCGTGCACCACCGACCTGCACCGAGCCGCTCGCCTCTACCATGTCCCCTCCGCCCGTTGGCGCCGCCGCCACGAACGCCGGCTCCACCTCTGCAGGTCCGTTCCAGCCTCCCTGCCCCTCGTCGCGCCTCTGCAGAGACAGGACTGACTCAGGGTACCTCTGCAGCTACCACCGAGGACAGCCTCAAGGCGTACAAGCTGCTCGAAGCGCTTCGCAAAGGTGCGAGCCCCCCTCAGCATCATCTCTCATCGGCCCGCACGCTGATCTTTCCCTCTCCCCTCCCCTCGTTGTACTGCAGGTGACGCCGGCCAGATCGTGCCTCTCCTTCAAGAATCCGCGACTGCGCCCAAGGCCGAGAGCGTGAGCGAGACGGGCGTGCTCAGCGGAGCAACGTCGCCGGGCACTGCGACCCCGCTCCACCTGGCTGTCCGAGTCGCCAAGTGTGCGTCCTGCCCGTCTTCATCCGCCGCGGCGAGCCGTCTAGACTGACTTGCTCCTTCCTCGCAGACCCGACCGTCGAGCTCGTCCTCAAGCACCAGCCGCGCACCCTCAACTCGCAGGACGGCAGAGGCCAGACGCCGCTCCACCTTGCAGCCGCACTCGACCGCCGCGACGTCCTCACCCTCCTCCTCGAGCAAGACGAGGCCGACGACACGTCCCGGGACCAGTCGGGCAAGACCTGTCTCGAGGTGGCTGCGACGGCCGAGGCCGCCGGCATCATCTCCTGTGCGTCCGGCTCTTTCCCTCGACCTGCGTGCGAGGTGCGGCCCTAACCCCGTCCCTCATGTCCTGCAGCGTCGCGCAACAAGTGGAACGAGATCTTCCTCGCCCACCTCGCGGCATACGTCGCGTCGCCGACCTCGGACTCGGCCTCGGCTTCGGCTTCGAACCGCGCATCCGCCCTCATCTCGTCCTCGCCTCGGCTTTCGACCTCGTCCCAGCTCCCGCCTACGCCCGGTCAAGCTTCTTCTGGTCCGCCTACCACCGTCTCTGCCGCGTCGGGCCACGTCTCGAACGGCGCCGCCGAGCGGCTGTACCACTTCATCTGCAAGCCGCGCGCCACAAGCTGCGACTTTTCCCTGCGTGACCCGTCGACGGGCACCACGATCCTCCACGAGGCCGTCCGCCGCAAGGACCTCGGCCTCATCAAGCTCGTCCTCGCTCGCGGCGGCGACGTCCTCGCGCGCGACCGCCGAGGCAAGATGCCGATCGACCTCGCCAAGGACGAGCGCATCCGGTCCGTCCTGCGCCAGAAGCTCAACTCGGAGGGCGTCGCGCTGCAGGCCGGGGCGGCGGGAGGAGCGGCGGCCGAGGTGCCGCAGGGTCCGCCGCCGGCCCTCAAGGGCTACCTGAGCAAGTGGGCGAGCGTCGCCAAGGGCGGCTACAAGCCTCGATGGGTCGTGCTCGAGAACGGTGCGTCTTGTCGTCCTCCTCTCTCTCGTCGTCGAGCGCGCCTGCGCCTCCTCCTCCCGGGTCCGTCACTGACCCGAACGCCCCTTTCGCAGGCGTCCTGTCGTACTACCGCCACCAGGAGGACGAGGGTCGCGCATCTCGCGGCTCGATCAGCATGTCGGTCGCCAAGCTTGACCCACCGGGCAGCGACAAGCTCAAGTTCACCATCAGCAACAAGCTCGGCGGCAAATCGGCGCCGGCCTTCTACCTCAAGGGCAACCGTGCGTCCCTCTCTCCTTCATGCGCCTCACCAAGGCGCCGACGCCTGACACCTTTGCCTCACACAGATCCTGTCGAGGTCATGCGCTGGTGCGACGCGCTGCGACAGAGCATCGAGCTCGCGACGGGCGACAGCAACGGCCTCACCCGGTCGACGACGGCCAACTCGCTGCAGGCGCCGGCCGCTTCCTCGGACGGCGGCCGTCGTCCTTCGTCGACCACGACGCTCGCCGACGGCCTCGGCTCGCCCGCCGAGTCGGACCGCGCCAACTCGATCGACGAGGACAACGACACGGTCGCCGATGACGACGACGTCGTGCCGCACGCCGACGACTTCCACCTCATGGAGCAGAGCACCAAGACGCAGATCGAGCTCGCGCAGAAGCTCGTCGCCTCGCTCGGCTCGTCGTCGGGCGGCTCGAGCGACGCGCAGGACGCGCTCCGGCGGTCGCTCGTCTCGCTCGACCAGCTCTTCGACGATTACGTCGGCGTCGTCAACGAGCGCGAGCGGTACTTTGCCCGGCGGTACGACAAGGAGGTGCACGCCAAGCGCATGTGGGAGGAGAGCATGAAGGAGGTCGCGGCGCAGCACGCCGCCATCGAGGTCGAGCTCCACAAGGCGTCGCGCGAGAACACTCGCCGCAAGCGCGCGCTGCAGGAAGTGCGCGCCAACCTCGGCGCCGTGTCGCCCGGCCTGTCGCCCCGCCAGTCGATCGTCGGCGAGGACGAGCGACCCGACCTGCGCACGCTCCCCTCGAACGGCAACGCGCCGCTTCCGTCGCCGCTCCGCAGCCCGACCATCGTCGTCCCGCCATCCCTGTCGCGCACGTCCTCGGCGACCGACACGCCGACGCGCAAAGCGCCCGTGTCGCTCTCGCCGACCCGGATGCGCTCGCGTGCGGCCACGATGCAGCCGCTCGCGCCCGCAGAGCTCGAGCAGATCGTCCAGGACGCGCTCGTCAACGAGGAGGGCGTCGAGTCGAGCGACTCGGACACGGACGACGAGTTCTTCGAGGCCGTCGAGGCCGGCAACCTGCCGATCGCGGGCGAGGACGGCGACGAGGGCCAGTCGGGCGGCGGCGGCGCCGCGCGCGAGCCCAAGCGGGCCGCACCGGCGCAGGAGCTCATCGACAAGGTCGACATGGTACCGTACAAGGGCTACGAGCAGTTGCGCGACAAGCTCCCCATCACGAACGACGATCGTCCGCCCATGTCGCTGTGGTCGATCCTCAAGTCGAACATCGGCAAGGACCTCACCAAGATCTCGTTCCCCGTCAGCTTCAACGAGCCCGTGTCGATGCTCGAGCGCATGGCCGAGGACATGGAGTTCAGCGACTGTCGTACGTCCCTCTCGTTTCCCTCGCTCGCACCTCCCCCTCTCGCCCCCTCGCCGCACCTCGTCAGTCACTGACTGACCGTCTCTCCCCACAGTCGATGCTGCTGCCGCCGAGCGCGATTCGACCAAGCGCATCGCCTTCGTCGCCGCGTTCGCCATGTCCAACTACTCGTCGACCGTCGGGCGCATCGCCAAGCCGTTCAACCCGCTCCTCGGCGAGACGTTCGAGTACGTCGACGTGCGCAAGAAGTACCGCTACCAGTCGGAGCAGGTGTCGGTGCGTCCGCTTTCTCTCTTCTCGACGAGGCTCGAGCGGCGAGAGCGAGAACTCACTCCCCCTGCTCCTGCAGCATCACCCGCCCATGTCGGCATGCTTCGGCCAGTCGCCGAGCTGGGACTACTTCGGCACGGTCGATGCCAAGTCGCGTTTCGGCGGCAAGAGCTTCGAGATCCGGCCGACCGGCGTCGCCCACTGCGTCCTGCGCATCCCGGACGAGTGGGCCGACCCGAGTTGCCCGCCCAACAAGCAGCTGCCCGGCATGCGCGACGAGCACTACTCTTGGGTCAAGGTGCGCCCTCGCTCGCTCTCTCTCTCTCTTTCGACAAGGCGCCGCACTGACCCTCTCGCCGCCTCGGCAGGTCACGACGTCCGTCTCGAACTTCATCTTCGGCTCGCCGATCATCGACCACTACGGCGACATGGTCATCACCAACCACCGCACGGGCGAGACGTGCACGCTCACGTTCAAGCCTCGCGGCTGGCGCGGCGGCAACGTCGGCGAGATCAAGGGCGACGTCAAGGACAAGAGCGGCCGCAAGCACTGGGACATCGCCGGCACGTGGACGTCGCAGCTCGTCGCTCGTCGTGCAGGAGCCGGCAAGGGCGACCTTGCGCCCGACGCGACGCTGCCGACCGACGGCAAGGGCGACGTCGCGCCCGAGTACATCCGCCTGTGGAAGAACTCGACCAAGCCTCCCGGCCTGCCGTTCAACCTGTGCGTGTCGCCTCTCTCTCTCTCTCCTCGTCGTCGCACGTGTTCGAGCCGGCACTGACATCGTTCGGCCGCACCTGCAGCACGCCGTACGCCATCACGCTCAACGACATCAACCCGGACCTCAAGCCGTGGCTGCCGCCGACCGACTGCCGCTTGCGCCCCGACCAGCACGCGTTCGAGTCGGGCAAGTTTGACCGCGCCAACGAGCTCAAGGCCGAGCTTGAAGAGCACCAACGTGCGACGCGCCGAGCTCGCGAGCGCGGCGAGGTCCCGCCGCACACGCCGAGGTGGTTCTCGCGCTCGACCGACGCCGACACGGGCGAGGTGTACTGGCAGCCGGCCAAGACGGAGGACGACAAGCTCGAGTACTGGGAGGAGCGCCTGCGCGTCGGCAAGGCCAAGCTCGAGGGCCAGGACGCAGAGTGGCAGGGCGTCGTCCCGATCTGTACGTCCCGGCTCCCCTCTTCCGCACCTCTCTTTCTCTCTTTCCGAGCGAGCGACAACTGACTCTTGCTGTTCTCGCAGTCGGCGACATCCACGTCTGAGCCTGGCCCCTCCTCTCGCACACTGTCCCCTTCTCACCCACGTCCCCCATCTTCTCCTTCTCGCATCTCTCCACTCGCGTAGTCTCAGTCCATCGAGTCGCTGTAACTACTAGCCTGCATCTTCCTCTGTACCGCTCGAGAGCGAGACCTCGAGAGCAATCGTGAGGCTACGACTCGACCCTTCTCGCCCTCCTCTCCTTCCACTCGCGCAAGTCGCGCTCGACCTCTTGCTCGAGCTCGCGCTCCTCTCTCTCGACTCGCTCCCGCTCCGCCTCGCGCTCCTCGCTCGTCTCCTCGAACCGACCCTGCGCCCTCGCCTGCTCGACCGGGTTCGCCGGCGTGCTGATGACGCCCGTGCGCTGCAGCCGCTCAAAGAGCGTGTAGAGGCGCTCGGCCTCGCGCTCCTTGTCCTCCTCGCTCATCGGCGGCTCATCGTCGTCGTCGGCGGCAGCGGCGCTCGAGGGCGAGTCGAACGCGCCCGTGATCGGGTTGATGCGCGGGCCCTTCTGGCCGCCGTCGTCCTCGTGCGGCGGCGGCGGGATGAGCTCGCCTCGGCTCTGGAGGAAGCCCGACGCGTTGCCGTACCCGATTGTGCGCGAGAGCTGCTCGGGCGAGCGGTCGCACAGGTTGTAGAGGAACTCGCCGACGCCGAATGACGTGTTGGGGAGGAGGATCGACGACAGGAGGCGCACGAGGTGGCCGGCGAGGCTCGGGTGGCGGTCGATGGGCGTGGAACGGTCTCTGTACGCGTGGCACACGTCCTTATCAGTGCGACTCATTCGAAACGAGAGCGCCCCGAAGGAAGAGAAATGACGCGACGCACAGGTCTGGCGGGAAGAGGACGTTGCGGAACACGAACTGGGCCTCGCCGAGCATGCTCAACTTGCGCAGAAGGAGCATGACGGGCCCGAGGATCTCGTCGACCTTGGCCGCCTCGCCCTCGCCGCTCGGGATCCATTCGTCTGGCCCGCACGGCGGCACGAGCGTCCTCGGCTCGTCGCGGTCGCGCGCCGAGTACGCCTTGGGGCTCGGCGGCGCGCGGTCGGCCGGGAAATAGGCCTCGCAGACGCCGTGGAGGAGCTCGACGAGGCGCTCGCCGAGCGAGCCGATGCCGCCGCCGCGCAGGACCGTGCCGTCGTCGGGCGAGATGCGCGACGGAACGTACTGAAGCCACGAGGTCGACCACCCAGAGAGCTCCTCGAGCTCGACGGGGAAGTTGAGGAGCGTGTTGAGCGCGGCGCGGACGACAGGTGACGGGTCCTTGATCGGCTGAGGCGACGTCGCGCTCGAGGACGAGGAGGCGGGCGAGGAAGAGGTGACGGCAGGAGGAAGGCTGACGGCGAGGATGAGGTACGGGCGGAAGAGCGGGAGGAAAAGCTGCGCCGCCGTGAGGCTGAGCGAGTCGGACGAGCCGCCCTCGGTCGCCGCCGCCTTGGACGGCTCAGCCGGCGCCGCGCTTGACGAACCCGCGGGCTGCGTGCCCAGCTCCTTCGATGCGCCGAGAGACGGGCTGCCCACGGGTGACGACGCGCCCGGCGTCGACGTAGAACCCTTGACGGCGTCGACGACCTTTTGCGCGAGCGAGCGCGGGCTCTTGGCGCCCGGCGCGCTCGCCGCCGCCGCCGCCGCCGCCGAGCCGGCGTCAGACGCATCGTCGGCCGCGCCGAGGTCGGGCGAGCTCGAGTTGGACGCGCCGCTCTTCTCCCTCGGGCGCCGGAAGCGCTTCTTGCCCGACGCGGCGGCGCCTGCGCTCGCGCCCGCGCTCGGCGAGGGCTTGTCGAACCCTTCGGGGACGACGGGTGGAGCGCGCGAGTACTGGAGCATGAGGTTGTACGCGAGCTTGAGGTGCTCGCGGAGGATGTCGTCGAGGGAAGGGGTGCCGGCGGTGAGGGAAGGGCGGTGCGACTCGGAGTGGTAGATGGCGAGGTAGCGCTCGGCGAACTGCACGACATGAAGCCAGTCAGAGACAGTCGCAGAGCGTGACCCGAGAGAGAGAAAAGGGGGCGCACCTGCTGCATGACGAGGACGCACTCTCCTTCGAGCGCCAACTCGCCGACGAGCTCGCTCGGCCGGCTCGTCAACAGGAACAGGAGCCTGCCGGCGAGGAACCCAGCGCCCTTGCACCCGAGGAGCCGCACGAGGCCGCGCAAGGCCGCATGCTGGTCGGTCTCGGCGAGGAGGACGTCGGGAAAGACCTCGCGCGCCGACGGGTGGAGCGTGAGCGTGTTGGCGAGGCAGCGCAGCGCTTCTTGCTCTGGCGGCGAGAGCGGGTCCTCCTCGAGCGACGACAGGGCGCGAGCGGCCTTGGCGGCAGGGTCGTCGTCGTCGTCCTGCTCGTCGTCTCGAGTGCTGGACGGCGTCGGCGCCGAGTCGCCCTCGCCGGCCGGCGGCAGGTCGGCGGCGCGTGCGAGGCCGCCGAGGCGCACGAGTGCCGCGAGGCCGTCTGTTCGAGCGAGCTCTTCTGTGCCGGCCGGGCTGCGGCCGACGAGCTTGAGGAGGGTGCACAGGTGGAGGAGGTGGGGTGGAGGAGCGGCGTGGTCGAGGGCGAACGATGCGGCGGGGAGGATGGCCGACACGAGCTTGCGGCGTTGCTCGGGCGAAGGGTCGAAGCCTTGCGACAGGGCTGTGGGCGAGGAGAGGTGAGCCGGGGGTTCGGCGAGTCGACGAGGAGGCGGGGGGTGCGAGCAGAGTGGAGAGAGCTCTGCGAGCCGGTGGCGCACCTTGGACGAGTTGTGCGACAGCACTGGACCCTTGTGCGCTGCCGAGCTGGTCTGGCGAGAGCTTGAGAGCGGCGTCGAGGCTCGGGGGTGATGAGGCGGTGCCGCCTTGGTGGTTGAGGCGCGCCATGAGGGCTTGCAGCTGCGCGGGCGACAGTTGCGCGGCCATGCTGGGCTCTGTACGAGTCTGTCGAGTGGTCGTGCGAGGCGACAAGAGCGAGACGAGCTGGTCGAAGGAGACAACCTTCGCTCGGTTCGCCTCGTCGAACCTCGCGCTTCGCCTTTGTCGTCGCCACAAGCCGCGCTTCTTGCAGCAAGCGCAGGGCCGTGTTCGTAGTCTCGCCGCAAAGGAACGTCATACGAAGCGCGTTCCGAAGGCAGCAGACTGCCCTGCTCCTCCTGCTTCAAAGCTGCTCTCGAGCTCTCTCGCCTCTCGCCGCACGTCGAAGTCCAGCTTCTTGTCGCTCCTCGTTGCACCCATCCTCGCTACGCGCCCGTCCCATTCGGCAAGCCCTTGAGCTGCCCCTTGGGCGTCGTCATCGTCCCGCTCGAGCGCTTCTTGCTCGGCGAGGTCGGCTGGGCGGCTGCTGCTGCTGCTGCTGAGGCGGCGGCGGCAAGTGCGGCGGCGGCGACGGTGCGCAAGGCGAGCGCATATGCTCTGTGTGAGGGCGAGAAGAGTAAGGCTCGCGTTCGGCGACACGCGCACAGGCGAGAGAAGAAGGGAGAGGGCGCAGGACGTACCGCAGCAGGCGCTCGACGGACGACTCGAGCGCGTCCTCGACGGCGAGCACGAGTACGCCGCGCTTCGGGTTCCACAGGACGCCCGGCGGGAGGTCGGACAGGTCGGGGAGCGCGCCGGGCGGGAGCGGGAGGCGGAAACAGAGGTGGAGGGTCGTCTGTCGCGAGGAGAGATGGGAGGGTCAGGCTCGACTCTGTGCAGGTCGCCGACAAGGCTCGAGAGAGGGGAGAGAGAGAGGGACGCACCCGTATCCGGCCCTGCATGTCGACGGCGCACTGCAACGCTGCGTCCCTCGCGACGAACCGCTCGGCCTCGGGCAGGCGCACGAGTGCGGCGCTGTGCACGAGGAGGAATGGGCGAGGCGTGGACGTCGAGTCCTTGCCGAGGAAGTGGGCTGGAGGAGGTGTCGACGGGGCGGTCGAGAGGCGGTAAGGGATGCGGCGCGCCGAGAGCTGGCGCTCGAGGTCGAAGAGGGCGACGCGGTGGCTGCACATCGGCCAGCCTACATCATCAGCTTTGCCCGCACGATAACGTGCGGCAGAAGAGAAAGAGTGAAAGGCTGGACGCACACGCACTGGCCCCACAGGCCGAGCACCGTCTCGCCCCTGACCTCGTACCCCAAGTTGGTGCCCCTCGCGACAGCCGCACCGTCCGCTCCTCCTCGCCCTCCCTCTGCCCCTCCCTCATCTCCTCGCTCTCCCGGACTCGCACCCGCACTCGCGCTCGACGCCTCGTGAACCCGCCCGAGCCACCCGACCTCGCCCACCTCGAGGAACGCGTTCATGCCGTCGCTCGCCTCGCGCGCCCGCACGAGCGCCGCGCGCAGGCCCTCGTCAAAGAGGACGAACGCGACGAACCACTGCTCCCTCGCCGTCGTCGGCGCCGGGCCTGCACCCGCCGTGGCCGTGCTCGCGCCGGCGCTCGAGCCCGTCGCGCCTGGGTCCGAGCCCGGCAAGACGAGCGGCACAAAGAGGAGCGCGCTGCGCCCGCTCTGGAGCGCCGGGTTGGGGCCGAGCTTGGCGAGCTCGCGTGCGGGGAGAGGGAGGCGACGGGTTGTCGGGCCGGCGAGCGGCAGCGCGAGGAGGGAGAGGAGCGTGTCGAGGTCGTCGAGGATGGTCTGCGGGCAGGTTGAGCCGTCTTAGTGGACGCTATCGAGACAGGCGCAGAGACTGAGAGAGAGGCAGGACGCACAGAGGCCCTGATGCGCGCGACGACGTCCCCAACCGTGCGCATCCACCCCTCGTCGCGCTCGCGCTCGCCCTGCCCTGCCGCCGCCGCCGCCCCAGGCCCAGCCGGACCAGGCAGCGCCGCGAACCGCTCGCGGTCGATGCGCTCGCTCGCCGCCCTGAGGCGCTGCGCCCTCGCGCCGCCGCCCTCGGCGCCCGCCTCGTCGGCCGTCGCGCTCGCGCCTGCGCCTGCGCTCGAGCTGGATGTCGACAGCGACGACGGCGACGAGGCGGCGCGCAGCTCGAAGCGGCCGGTGCGCGGGTCGATGTGCGCCGCGAGGGCTTGGCGAGGTTGGGCGGCGGCGGTGGCGGCGGCGGAGGAGGGCAGGAGCGGGATGCGCACGTGCGGCACGCGCAGCGCTCGCTCGTCGTCCTGCTCCTCGCCTTGCTCCTCCTCGTCGTCGTCGTCCTCGCTCCCGCCATCGGCGAACACGACCCTCGCGCCCGTCTCGCCCGCCTCGCGCACCACCTCGCCGAGCCGCCGCACCGTCTCGCGCGCGTGCCGAGCCGTGACGCGCCGCAGGAGGGGCTCGATGTCGAGGTCGGCGGGGAGCGAGAGGTCGAGGTCGAGGGCGAGAGAAGGAGGGAGGGCGGGGTCGAGTGAGGGAGAGGAGGGGAGGAGGGACGGCGGCGGCAGCCAGGTGACGGACAGCGCGGCGGGGACGCTTGCCGCAGGCGACGACGCTGACTCGACGTCGGCTAGCGCCGAGGTCGACGTGGACGAGGCGGATGACGACGATGCGGCAGCGAGCGCAGCCTGCAGCGCGTCCTCGCGCGCCTGCGCGACGCTCACGGGCGCCGCGGCGCTCGCGCTCGGGCCTGGTGGCCCTGGTGATGCCGTCGCCGCCGGTGCGCGGACCGAAAAGACGAGCGTGCCGCCCGGGCCGGGCCGTGGTGCGCCGCCGGCAGTGGTCGAGGGTGGTGGGCGCTGCTGCTGCTGAGGCGGCATCTCGGGGCGGTACCTGCGCGTGCACCGACGGTCTTATCAGTTACCTTCTCGCGCATACGCGAGGCGGAAAGAGAGGCGAACAGAGCTCGACGCACGTCCAGTACCCGACGCGGACCTCGTCCCGCTCAGCGCTCACCTCGACGCTCAGGTGCCCGCTCCAGCTCGTCGCCGCGAGGCGCGCCGCCGAGGCTGCGACGGCCTCGAGCTGGTACGACAGGGCGAGGCGCTCTGCGGGCGGCGGGCGCGCGAGGGTCAGTCCGGGTGCGGCGGGAGGGGCGCGAGCGGGGAGAGGCAGGCGACGACCGGCGGCACGCGAGGGAGAGGAAGGAGAGATGGAGAGAGCGGGAGACGCACGCAAGAAGGTGTACGCCCGGTCCAACGGCCGGTCCCTCCTCCGCTTGCGCACCGCCTCCCTGCGCTCCTCCTCGTGCGCCCGCCTCGCCTTGTCGCCCTCGTCGCCCTCGCCCTCGCCCTCCTGCGCGCTCGTCGCGTCGTGCGCTGCACCGATGCCGCCGTTGATCGACGGCTTGGGCCCGCCGGCTGGCGGTGGTGGAGGTGCGGCGGCGGCGTCGGCGAGGGCGAGCGCTGGGTCTGCGCCGGCGGTCGCGGGTGCGGGTGCGGGTGCGGGTGCGAGTGGAGGAGGAAGGGCAGGTCGTCGCAGGAGCTCGCGGTTGCACATGTCGACGAGGTGGTCCTTGAGCGGGCCGGTCGGGCTCGGGTTCCAGGCTGTTGACGAGGAAAGAGAGTCAGGGCGCGAGTCTGGGGGAGCCTCGGGGCGAGGAAGAGAGACGGGACGCACTGCCTCGGGCGTCTCGGACAGAGAAGAGAAACTTGACGCGGAGGAGGAACCACTCTGCGCCCTCGAGCTGGGCGTCCGGGTCGTCGTCGTCCGGGTCGTCGGCGGGGCCGCCGTACGTCAAGGCGGCCTCCCACAGGCCCGGGACGGTAAAGACGACGCGGCCGTCTGCGACTCGCCACGGGACGCGGCGCATGGCGAGCGGGACGTGGTCGAGGCGCATGACGAGGCGCCAGCGCAGGACGGCGTCGACGTCGTGGAGCGTGCCGACGACCTCGGCGTCGGTCATGGGCCCGCTCGCGGTGAAGGGCTGCGAGAGGGCGAGGGGCAAGGACGGGTAGGTGCCGGACGAGAGGACGGTGAGGGCCGACTCGAGGTCGTAGTTGCGCAGGCGGGCGGCGGCGAGTTGGGTCGCGGCGTGCTCGAGCGAGTGTACGGCCGAGTCGACGGCGTGGTTCTGGCGCGAGAGGAAGCCGACGAGGTTCATGGCCTTGTGGATGGGTTTGGCCTCTGTGGACCAGCGGGTGAGGACGAGGAGCTTTACGAGTTGGCGGCGCGTGTTGAGGACATAGTCGACGAGGGCGCGTTTGCGCAGCTGGTCCGAGTGGGAGGGGAGGGTCTCGACCAAAGTGGCGAGGTCCGAGTAGGCCTGGGCGACGACGCGATCGACCAAGTAGCCGAGCGGGACGAGGTCTTGGAGGACGGTCGGCAGCTCCTGCTCGAGGTCGGGCTGGTGGCCTTGACCGGGTGGGGGTGCGGCCATGGTGGGCGGGGCTGGCAGGTGGTGAAGCCGGCTCCCTCGGCGGCTGGCTGGGCGAGGGAGGGCGAGTGGGCGGAGGTCAGGCCGGGTCGACGAGGGGGAGGAGGGGGAGCAGGACGGCCTCGCTCTCGTCCCTCACCACTCGCAGCCCTGCAGAGGCCAAGCACACGCTCAGCTGCATCACAACCACCCACACCACTACCCCGCCATGCCCACCGGGTCGTGCCAGCGGTGCCGCCAGCCCTTGTCCTTCCCCGCCTCGTCCTCATCACCGGGTGCGCCCTCGACGACCCGCAGCCAGCCAGGAGCGCACGAGTCGATCGCAGCACTCTCGCCCTCGACCTACGACCTCCTCTCGGCATCCGACCGCTTCCCGCCAGCCTCGTCTCCCCACCCTCCTCCCTCGTCGGCACCGCCTCCTCCTCGCACCCCTCACTCTCGCACCAGGGTCCCGCCGAGCCTCGAACCCCTGTACGGCGTCGCCACCAGGCACCCTGTGCAGCGCGCCAACCCGCTCCACCCGCAACCCCAACGCCTCGCCGTCCCCTCGTCGTCCACCTCCGCCTCGACCAGCGCACCTCCTCCTCCGCTCCCGCGCGGTCTCGGCCCGGCAGAGTCGTTCGTCGTCCTCACCGACTCGGTCCTGCGCCCGTCCAACCCGCTCAACGTCCCGTCGTCGCACTCGGCCGCCTCGCACGCCGGCGGCCCGACCGCCACCTCCTCGTCAACCTCGACCTCAACCACCGGCGCCTCGCTCCTCCTCACGCCGCACCTGTCCCAGCTCTCGCACCTCTACTCGCTCCTGTCGGCCACCTCGTCGGTCGACCACCCGCTGTGCACCGAGTGCGTCGAGGTCCTCCTCGCCCTCCTCGCCGCCCACCTCGACGACCTCAAGAAGGAGCGCGACCGCCTCGTCGGCTTCGACAAGGACGTCCAGCGTCGCCGGGACGACGCCGTCAAGCAGGCGGGCGGCAAGGACATCGACCTGCGGGACCAGCTCGAGCGCGACATCGCCAAGGTGCGTTGGCTCGCTCTCTCTGCCTTGGCAGTCAGGCTGCGCCGCTCTCTCGAGGCGTCAGCCGGCCGTCTGCGGCGAAGCGGCACAACGCTCATACTCTCGCTCTACAGCTACGCAAGGCCGAGTCGCACGCCATCGCCGAGCTCAAGGCGGTCGAGCAGCGCAAGGCCGACCTCGCGCACGAGCGCGCCCAGCTCGACGCCGAGGAGTCCCAGCTCGCGCAGGACGAGGCCGAGTGCGTCCATGTTTCTCCCCTCTCGAGCGAGGCCGGGCACCGAATCCTGATCCTCCCTCATTCCTCCCCTGCCGCCCCCGCACGTCCCTCTCGCGCAACCTCCCTCTTTCGCCCTCGCATCCGCCCTCAGCTTCTGGCGCGCCCACTCGCAGTACGTCGTAGAGCGCGACGCCCTGCACGACCGCGCGAGCGCGCTCGAGACGCGGCTCGCGACGGGCACGAGGGAGCTCGACAAGCTGCAGCGCACCAACGTCTACAGTGCGTCGTGCCGTTTTCTCTGTCTCTTGCCTGCGCGAGTCGTGCGCGGAAAGGGGACTGACCAGAGCTCGCGCTGCGCTCGCAGACGACGCGTTCTGCATCGGCCAGGAGGCTGGGTTCGGCACGATCAACGGCTTGCGGCTCGGGCGTCTTCCTGGCATCTCGGTGCGTCCCTTGTCCTTTCCCTCCTTCTACTCTCCTCCCTCGGTCTCACTGACACCCCTCCCGTCGCCGCCGCACAGGTCGAGTGGCCCGAGATCAACGCCGCGTGGGGCCACACGCTCCTCCTCCTGTACACGATGGCGCGCAAGTTTGGCCACCCGGACTTTGACGGCTACCGCCTCGTGCCGTGCGGGAGCTTCTCGTGCATCGAGCGGCTCGGCGAGAAGGGCGAGGTGGTGCAGGTGCTCGAGCTGTGCGTCGCCCTCTTTCCCTTCCTTCCTCCCTCTCTCATGCCCTCCTTCCCCTCGCCTCTCCCGGCCTTCCCCATCCTCGCCGGGCACTCACTGACTCGCCCTGTGCCGCACCCGTCACGCGCAGGTACGGCTCGGGCGACTTTGCCGTGACGCGCCTGCTCCAGAACCGCCGGTTCGACCACGCCATGGTCGCCTTCCTCGAGTGCCTGCGCCAGCTCAGCGACTGGGTCTGCGCGAGGGACCGCCGGGTCCGCCTGCCGCATGCGTGAGTCGGGCCTGTGTCTCTTTGCCTCGTTCGTCGCGTCCGGCGCTGGCTCGAGCGAGTCGGGCGGCGGGCTCGGCGATACGTAAAACGCCAGTTGGCCTGACCTTCTGGACTCGCCCGCAGCGTCGTAAAGGACCGCATCGGCGACGTGTCGATCAAGCTCCAGTTCGGCAGCGACGAGGCATGGACGAGGGCTTTGCGGCATGTGCGTCGTGACCGTTCCTCTCGTCCTCCCCCTGCCCGAGCGCCGTTCCGACACGAGTTGCGCGATCTCGCACCACTTGTCGCCGGATGCAGGCGACGCTGATGTCGGGCTGACGATCTCGTCGCGCGCACTCGCAGGTCCTCCTCGATCTCAAGATCCTGCTCGGTCGGGCGTCCCTCTGAGCCCTCGCCCACCGTTCCTCCCTCCCTCTTGTTTCCTCTGCATCCTTGTTGTCGTACTCGAGCCCCTCGCTGCCCTGGCCTCTCGCTCGAGAGGCTCTCGCTTCGCTTCTCGTTTCTCGCCTTCTCAAGCTCTCAAGTCGCCTCCGCGCTCGTCCTTCCCACCCGGTCCCCTCGGCTCGATCTCGAGCTCTCGACTCGACTCCTCTCCGCCTCTCGGTACGGGCGCTGCTCCTGTCCGTGCGCCGGATCGTCCGCGGACACTCGGCGTGCTCGAGCCCGACTTTGCGCCCGTCTCCCTGTCGCGCTCTCTTTCTGCTTCGCTGTGCCACTCGCTCGCCGAGCATGCTGTCCCTCGTGGTCAAGGTGCGCCCTCGTCCTCTCTCTCTCTCGTTCAGCAGCGCAGAGCACGACCTGACCCTCTCGCCGCCCGCACAGATCGCCAACTTGGTCCTCCTCGCCCTCTTTGCCTTCACGCTCGGGTGCGCCCTCTCTCTCTCCCTCTACTCGTCTCTCGAGCCGCAGCACTGACCCACTCGAGCGCGCGCAGCTCGTCCCTCTCGACCCTGTCCTTCTCAACCCTGCTCCAGGGCAGCATCGCATCCCTCGTCAGCGCCCTCTCGTGCTGGGTCGCCCTCGTCGCCGCTGCGTGGTCGGCACTCGTCGCCTTTATGCCGTCGATCCAGTGGAGGGGGCTGCCGTGGCTCGTACTCGTGCGTCCGCCTTTCGCGCTTTCACCGTCTCGCTCATCTCGAGCGCGCGCTGATTGGCTCCTGGGGCTGGATTGCAGGGCGCAGCGATCAGCTGTGCGGCCTTCTGGCTGTGGAACTCGGCGAGCGGCAACGCCCAAGCTGTCTGGTGCGTCCCCGCTCCTGCCTCCTTCCCCTCGCACGGTCTCCGAGTCGACGACTGACCGCTTTTGCCCGCACGCAGCTCGAGCATCTCGTTCCTCGCCGACCTGTGCGGCTCGGCCATCACGCGCTGGGTCTTCATGGGCGTGCGTCCCTCTCCCTCTCTGTCTCTCTCTTGGGAAGAAAGAGCAGCACTGACGCCGCCCCGACCGCGCAGCTCTTCATCGTCAGCGTCGTCCTCCAGCTCCTCGTGTGGCGCTACACGGCCAATCAGCTCGGTGGCGGCGACGGCACCAAGCTCATGTCGCTCGGTGCGACGCGCGGCGCGTCGAGGTCGTCGAGCGGCGGAAGGAGGCCGACGACGAGCCTCGCGGCGAGGTGGCGGTCGTGGCGGCGCAAGGACGGCGCGGCGCAGGCCGACGACGACAGCGACGAGGAGCACGAGCTGGGGAACGGGCGTGCGGGGCGTGGAGCGTGGAGCGAGGGGAGCGAGTCGGCGAGCGAGGACGGGCGGGAGGGGAGGAAGGGGCGCGCGAGCTATGCGCCCGTCGGGCGGGTCGAGGCTGTTGAGAGCGAGAGCGACGAGGAGCGTCTGCCCGTGCAGCGTAGCAGGAAGTAGCGCGAACTGCAAGTGCGAGCGAGCGTGCACGGACCGTTTGCGAGCGAGAGAGCTTTTCCCCGCTTTCGTCCCTCGCTCGCCTCTTTCCCTCCTCCTCCTCACTTCGTCTCGCCACGACCTCTCGCCATGTACGCCCACTCACGCTCTTTCGCGTCTCGCGCACCCCACTGACCCTGCCGCCGTGCCGCACAGGTCGTCCGAGTCGCCCGAGTCCAAGTCGTCCTTCTCGCCCAAGGGCTCCAACCTGCCTTGCCTCCCCGAGGGCGGCCACCACCCTCGCGTCGTCCCGACGGGCAACATCGACGTCCGTCCCCTCTCTCTCTCGCTGCCTGTCTCGCGTGCCCGCTGACCCTCCCTGCGCCGCACCCCTCGCCACAGCCCGCCGCCTTCGGGCCCTCGGCCTTCACCGAGCCGACGCCGCCCCCGACGCACGCCAAGTCGCCCCTCTCGCAGGAGCCACACGTCCCGCAGCACGACGACGGCGCCGGTGGGCTCGGGCAGGCGGCGCCGCACACGTTCATGCACCTCTCGCACGGCACAAAGGAGGAGGAGGACGAGGTCGAGAGGCTCAGGTGCGCCGGCTCGATTTCGCTCGCGTTCGCTCTCGCCCCCCATGGGGACGGGAACTGACTTTGCGATTATTGCGCCGCTTCGCAGGAGGGTCATGGCCGAGGGCGACTGAGCGCTCGTCGAGCGCGACGGGCAGGTGAGACGAGGTCGAGGAGGGAGCAGGAGCGCTTGAGCAGCTTGTGCAGGGTCTCTCGGTCGTAGCTTGGTGCGCAACGAGCAGTCTGTGCCGAATCACTCTGACGCTGCGGCTGTGTGAGACGAGAGAAGCGACGCTCGAGGACGAGCGCGACCTTCTCAAGCTCGCTCGCATCCCTTTCTCCTCGCTTTCCTCGCGCTCTCGCCTCCATCCGCACATGGCAAAAGCTTGTTGGGAAAGGAGAGGTGACAGCATAGCAGAGCAAAAATAAAAAGGTAGCCTAACATCCTGCCAACTCGCGGTGCCCACCGGGAAGAAGCTGGACTCTGCGGAAGGGGGGTTTTCGTCGCAGAGTCCCCTGGTGGAGGGGGCGTTTCATATGTTCACACCGCTACCTTACAGCGGACTATGTCACCGCAATGAAGCGAGAGGGATAGTAGTTGAGAGCCACTCGATTAGAAATCAGACTACCAAAGACAAGGAAAGGTCTACTTTGATAACGCACGCCGTACGCACTATTTTTGAGGGCAACTCGCCGGGTTATGGCTCACCTCTCGCTCCTGCTTGCGAGACGTGCCACGTCCGTGAGCAGGGCTGTTCAGGAGCGTACTTCCTGGCCCTGGCGAGAGGCGAGAGGCGATAATAGCAGCTGTCTAAGGGGAAGAGCGGGACCTTCTCAACCTCGCGCGCACCTCTCGAGCTCCTCGTCCTCGTCGCGCTCTCGCTCTCGCCTCGCAGCGCACGACGCTCAGATAACATGCAATGCAGTCTAGCTGAGCCCTCTAGTACCTCGGGAGCCGGATCCGCCCGCCGCCTGCGACCCACTCGCCGAGCTCCTTGGTGACAGGCAGCTGGCACGCGAGCCTGTGTGCGACGCCCCTCGTCGAATCAGCGAGGGCCGCAACAGAGTCATCAAGCCCGCACGCCGCCCCGCTCATCGAGCCGGCGCGCGAGCAACACGCTCGTCGCGCTCGCCGAAAGAGAGAGAGAGAGCGAGGGACGCACCTCGAGTCGTCGTCGGCCCCGAGCGCAAACTCGAGCTGCTCGTCCTCCTCGTCCTTCATGTCGGGCTGGGGCGCCGACTCGGCGAGGTGGACGTGGCACGTCGCGCACTCGCAGTGGCCGCCGCACGTGGCGAGGATCGAGGGCAGGTCGTGCCGACGGGCGGTTTCCTGCGCGAGCGAGGGGGTGGGGGCGGGCACGAGGTGGGTCAGGGTGGGCGAGAGAGGAGATTGACGGGCCTCGAAGAGGAGAGAGAGAGAGGGAGGAAGGGAGAGCAGGGACGCACCATGACACTCTCGCCCTCGTACCCCGCCACCGAGATCTCCTCGCCCTCGAACGTCCGAAACACGAGCTCGACCCTGTCCCCGAGCTCGCTCCTCGGCTCGTCCGTCTTGCGGCCAGCGACGGCGGCGCCCTCGGGGCGCGCGGCGTAGGCGGCGCGGACGGCAAAGGGCGACAGGCCGAGGCGGCCGCGCCAGCGAGCGTACCAGGGCTCGGATGCCGAGGAGGAAGACGAGGGCGCGAGGGCGAGGTCGATGAGCTTGGGGGCGTCGTCGGCGCGGAGGAGGCCGTACCTGCGCGCGAGGTGGAGGAGGAAAAGGGTCAGATTCTCGTCAGGGCACGGCTCGCTCGCTCGCTTGCTCGAGGACAAGAGAGAACGGGCGACATACCAGTCGCACCCGCCACCCTCGCGGTACACGAGCGCATTGGCGGCCCACTTGTGCCCGCCGACGTGCGCGACCCTCGCGACCCGGACGCCGTCGTCGCCCTCGCGCAGCTCTCCTCCCTCGACGGCGTTCGCTCCCCCTCGCCGCCGGCGCTGCAGCTCGCGCACGAGGGCGGCGTACAAGGGCTCGCCGAGGTCGCCGCAGCGGCAGTCGCGCGTCGTGTGGGTGCACACGAAGATGTGGGTGCGGGGCGAGGGCGAGGACGAGGATGCGGTTGGAGGTGCGGACGTGGATGCGGCGGACGAGACGGGGAAGGAGGGTGCGGGAGGGAGGGCGAGGTACTGGGCCTCGAAGGCGTCGAGGGTCGAGAGCGAGAGCGAGGGAAAGTCGAGGAAGTCGGGGTAGAGCGTCGCCGAATACGACCTGTGGAGAGCGAGTGTCAGTCGACGCGTTCGTCTTTGGAAACACCTCACGCAGGCTCGTAGCGGCAGGAGTGGCCGTCACGGTGACCTGCGAGGGGACGAGGGCGAGCGAGCCGACTGACTCTTCGGGAGCGCCCTCTGGCGGCGGCGGCACGTCAAACTTGCCGCGACTCGGGTCCCACGGCTGGTCGACGGGGCCTTTGCCGGCGTCCGAGACGGCGAATCCGAGTTTAGAGAGCTTGGGGTGGTGTGCCCAGCGTTGAGCGAGGGTGCGATACAGGGTCGAGGTCGAGTCGAGGTGCGAGGGCCACGAGGCGGTCGGATGCGGGGTGTGGAGGACGAGGTGGCGGGGCATGTCGGGTGCCGTTCCGACGATGGGTGGCACGGTGGCTGGTGCTGGTGCCGAGGTGGACGAGGGGCGAGAGTAGGAGGAGGGGGACGAGGGCGAGGCGAGGATCGAGGGGCGCAGGCGGGGTGCCCGGTGTGCGAGGGTGCGCGGTGCTCTTGCGACGAGCATGACGGGCAGCAGTGCGCTCGCTCGAGTGGACGGCGAGAGAGGGAGAGGACGAGAAGGGAGCCGACCTCGTCCTCCTCGGTCAACCTCGAACCTCACCTCGAGCCACTGTGCCGGCTGGCTCGGCGAGGGCATCGACAGCCTCTACAGCCTCGCTCGAGGCGCAGCAGCACCTCGACCCACCGCCCGCAACCCTCGCCGTCGAGCCAGCACCGCCTCGCACCCTCATCACCTCGACGCCGTCTCTCCTCCTCTCTCACCCTCTCGCGCCCAGGCCGGCACCGCACGAGCACCAACAGCACCCGCACAGCATGGCCCACCCACGCCCGACCGCCCGCCGTCCCCGTCCCCCTCGCGCTCAACCCCCTCGCGGCCCCCCACTTGCCCTCGTCCTCGTCGCCCACCTCGCGTCGACCCTCCCGCTGTGGTTCAACTCGGCCGCGACCGACCTCGTCGTCCCGCTCTACTCGTACCAGCCGACCCACGCCCTCCGACCCACCCTCGCCTTCTACGCCGCGTGCGCACTCGCCTTTGCCGCACTCGTCGCCGTGCGCAGGACCCGCCCTCGCCTCGCCTGGCGCGAGGCGTGGCTCGTCATCGGCGCCTACAAGGTCGTCACCGAGGGCCTGGTCAGGTCGCGCGGCGGCAGGCTCGTCACGCGCGAGGGGTCGCTCGACGAGGGCCTCGTCGCCGCGAGGATCGCGCTCGAGCTGGTCCCGACCGTCGCAACCTGGGCCTGGCTCGTCGGGTCGTCGTCCTGTGCCGAGGTGCGCTCCCTCTCCTCCCTCCCAGGAGCAAGCGGCAACTGACACGGCTGCCCCTGCAGCGCAAGATCTTCCTCTCGTCCTCGTTCCTCCCCCTCGCCTACCTCGTCTCGCTCGCACCGCCCGTCACCACCTTCCTCCGCTCCATCCTCCCCATCCTTCCCGAGTGCTACATTGTGCGCTCCCGTCTCTCCCCTCTCGAGCCCCTTCCTCGTCCCTAACGCCCACCATCGCCGTCCACAGCTCCAACCTCACGGCCTCGCCCTGTGCGCCCTCGCCCTCCTCGCCCCGCGCACATTCCTCCCATCCGCCCGCCAGCCTCGCGCACGCCCTCATGCGCCCCCGCGCCCGTCGGCCCTCGACCGCCTCGCGCCGCACCCGCTCGCGCGCCTCGCTCTCCTCGCCCTGGTCGCCCTCGCGGCGCACCGCGTCGCGCAGAGCTCGGCGCACTGCCCGACGTCGCCGGCGCACGCGCTGCCGCAGGGCGTGCTCGCCGCGAGGAAGAGCGTCACTGGGTGGATCACGGTCGGCGAGCACACGATGGCGCTGCCTGAGGGAGCGAGCGCGGGTGCGGGTGCGGGAGGAGGAGCAGGGCCCGACACGACGTTCCGGTACCTGAGGGCGGACCACTCGCTCCTCGGTGGGCTGTGGGTCGGTCCGAGCAGGGACGAGCTGCGCCGGGTGCGCAGGCGCGACGGGCGCGGCGGCGAGCCGGACGAGCGCGAGGTCGTCAGGCGCGCCGAGAGCATCTACGTGCGTCGAACGTTGCGCTTGTCAGTTCCTGTCATGGTGTTTCCAAGACATGAAACTGACTCGTTACGCCGCTTGGGCGCAGTCGACGTTCATCCTGCAGGAGCTCGTCCGCCTCGTGCCGGCGCCGGTCGACCTTCCTCGCCAGTCACCCGAGCAAGGCCTCATCATGTGCGTCCCTCATCCCCCTCCTCCTCTCTCGCCCTCGCCCGACACTGACAAAGAGCGCGCCCACTCCCACAGCGGCCTCGGCGCCGGCCTCTCTGCGCGCGCCCTCGCGCAGCACGGCGTCAACCTGACGCTCGTCGAGCTCGACCCGGCCGTGTACGAGTTTGCGCGCGACTACTTTGGCGTCGCCGAGGACGTCGAGGCGGGAGAGGTCGTGCTCGAGGACGCGGTCACGTGGGTCGAGCGGCAGGAGGGCGACAAGGTGCGCTTGCGGTTCTCTTTCTCTCTCTCGTGGGCTCTGCGCCAGGAGGACGTGAGCTGACACTCCCTCTGTGATGCAGCTGTTCGACTACATCATCCACGACGTCGTGCGTCCCTCTCGCCGTCCCTCTCGAGCCCTCATTGACCCAGCCTCTCGCGGACAGTTCACCGGCGGCGCCGTCCCCGCGCACCTCTTCCTCCTCCCCTTCCTCTCGCGCCTCTCGACCCTCCTCCACCCCTCGGGCGTCCTCGCGCTCAACTTTGCCGGCTCGCTCGGCGCGAGCCCGGCCTCGCGCTCGATCCTCGGCACGGTCCTGCACACCTTCACCTCGACCGGCGGGCACTGCCGCGCGATCGAGGACGTTCCGCGCACGCACGACGACGAGCCCGCCGCTGCCGCCGACGACCGAGACGAGATCCGCAACGTCGTCGTCTTTTGCTCGCGGTCGTGGTTCGTCCCGATCGAGTTTCGCGCCGTCGAGCGCGCCGACTTGCTCGAGTGGCCGAGCCCGGGGATCCGGCGCAGCGTGTTTCGCGACTTTGAGGGGCACGAGGTCGACTTGGCGCCGTTCAGGGTGGCGGTCGACGGCGAGGAGGGGAAGGAGGGAGGGATCTTGTGGGATGCGGGGGACGCGAGGAGGGTCGAGGGGGAGCAGCTGGGCGAGGTGAGGCGGCATTGGGAGGCGATGCGAGGGGTGCTGCCGGAAGAGGTGTGGGCGAGGTGGTAGCGGCGGGCGCAGCTTGGCTTGGTGCAATGTCGAGGAGCAGCTTGAACGATCCGCTTCTCGAGCGAGGCGAGGAGGAGAGCGAGGTGGGCTCGCGTGCGACGGGGCTGCGCCGCGGCTCGGTATGGAGCAGGATAGCTGAGAGAGCAACTCGCAGGCTGCACAGCTCGCCCGAGAGCAAGCGGGGAGAGCGACTCGAGTTGAGGAACTTCGCCATCCGGCGCTCGCTGCTCCGGCTCGCCTCTCGACCACTCTCCCCACTAGAGCTTCGTGACCGGCCCGACTAGACCATGACGACCCTTCCTCAGCTGTATCGCGCGACCCTGCGCCAGTTTGTCACCAACGTGAGTCTCTCTCGCCCGCTCTCCTCCTCATCGCCTGCACACCCGGCTCACCCTCCCTCCCGCCTCTCTCCCGCCCCGCCTGCACCCTACCCACCCACGAACCAGTCCATCCACTCTCGCACCGGCCGCTCCCCTTCCATTCCGGCCCACCTGCGCGCCCTGTTTGAGAGCGGCCGCGCGATCGAGGCGGGCGGCGACCAGGCGCGCAAGTTCGAGAAGGACGTCGAGAACCTCGTCGTGTTCCTGCGCGCGAGGAGGATCCACAAGGTGCGTCGGCGTGCCTCTCCCTCTCGGCTCCCTCGGCTGCCCCGCCGCTGGTCCCGGGTTTGTTGACGTGCCTGTTTGCTGACCACCACCCTGTCCCTGTCGCGCAGGAGCTCGTCGACCGCTACAACCCGACCCACGACATGACGGTCGCCGAGCGCAACGAGAAGACGGCCAACCGGGTCGGGCTCCAGGGCCCGACAGAGTACGACGCGGCCGACCCGCAGCCGCTGCCGGACGGCCAGCAGGTGTACCGCGAGGACGGGCAGGGCATGGACGACGCGCAGGCGCAGGGCAAGGGCAGCCTCAAGACCATGTTCGCGCCCGAGGGGCACTGAACGGGCTCGAGCGAGCGAGGGCGAGGGAGGGCTGTACCGAGACTTGTATTTTCACGCATCGACATCTCTCTCGTTCGCTCGGCGAGCACGCAGAGGAAGGACAGAGTGCATTGCGAGGGGAGGGGAAGAGTACAACGACAGAGAGAGGCAGGCGGGAGAGCGGGAAGGGCTCAGTCCGAGTCAGTCGGCTCGTCCCAAGGCGTTTCCTCGACGACGAGCCCGACGCGGCGAGAGCTGCCGGCGTAGCCCCGGTCGCCGGGCCTGAGGACGCCTCGGTGTGTGACTGTGCGCAGAGGAGAAGTCAGGACCGGGCAAGGGAAAGAGGGAGGGAGAGAGAGAGAGGGACGCACCGCCCGGAATGACCTTGCTCGCGGTGAGCGACAGCTCGCGCTCGTCCGTCGGGCTCTGCTGCGTCCCACCGCCGAGCACCGAGCTCTGGCTCGCGCCGTAGCTCTGCTCCTGGCTGCTCCTCCTGCGCCCGAACGGCGCGCCGCCGCTCGGACCGCTCGCCGCGTCGCCCGAGAAGTGGCGCAGCTGCGTCCCGGGCACTCGCCGCTGCCGCTTGCTGGCGTCGCGCTCAATCTCGAGCAGCTTGCAGACCTTGTCGTGCTCGGCGTTGAGGCGCTCGAGCTGCTTGAGCGAGTTGGCGGCGTCGACTCGGTACTGAGTGGCCGACAGGAACGGGTTGATCATCTGCGCACGCACAGGCCGCCGTCAGTCACGGCGGCACTAAGGGAGGAGAAGAAGAGTGGCGCTCACGTGGCTGAGGATGTCGGTCATCGAGAAAGGCGGGTCGTCGCACGGCGTGAGGACGAGAGTGAGGGGCAGGGTCGGCGTGATCTGCATGACGAGCTGCGGCCGCACAGGGCGTCAGGCTCCCGCTCGGGCTCGCGCAAACGAAGTAGATCGTGTTAGACGCACCTCGATGCCCCCGCGAGGCTCCTCGCCCTCGATGTAGCCGCTCACGGCGAGTCCTCCTGCGCTCCAGCACTCGCGCACCCTCGCCGGCATAACCTCGGGCTTGACGGCGGCGCTCGGGACCTGTAGACGAGGACCTGGGTCAGTCTTGAGCTAGTGAGGGACCAGGAGAGAGTCGAGCGCACCTGCTGGAAGAGGTCGTCGACCTCGCGACCGCACAGGCGAGCCTCCCACCAGACGTCGATCGGGCCCTGCTTCTTGCGGCGCTTGGTCGCCGGTGCGGCGGTCGAGGTCTTCTGGGTGCCGAGAGCGCCGACCCACTTGATGTCGCCGAGGTGGAGCGGGTCGGGAGAATCAGAGCGAGACGAGGGCGGGCGACGCTCGACGTGGGCGAGGCAGAAGAACGGGTGGTCGAGGTCGGTAGTGCCATCGGCTTGAAGGACTTGGTGGAGGTCGTGCAGACGCTCAAGGTCGAGCTGGCTGCCCATGTCGAGCTGTGGCGGCAGCAACACGAGGAGCCGCGTAAGGTGGCCGAGGGCTGCTCTCCACCACGCTCGCCCTCGCTCTCTGAATGTGCTGGCGAGGGGCTCGGTGTGCTCCAGAGCCGCTTTGACGAGCCACCGCCACTCGGCAAGCTGGAGCAGGCGGTGCCCGTCGCGCTCTCTCGCCTTCCATTCCTCATCAGCTCCTCGTCACGTTCGAGGGTTCTCCACCTCTCGGAAGACCTCGGCGGACTCTACTTCTCGCCGAACGGACCGAGCAGGAGTAGCTCGAGACTTGAGCCCGTACGAAAGCCCCTGTTTGCGTGCCCGCACCGGTGTCGCCGAGTCGCTCCTGTCGCGCCCTCCGCGGTGGCTCCGGTCGCCGCTCAAGTTGCCTCAGCTCTCGCCTTTCCTCCTCCTTCCTGCTCCTAGTCACTCGACACCCGCTGTCCAGCCTCTATCATGTCGCTCGCGAACGAGCCCGAGCAGAAGCTCGTCCAAGAGCTCGAGGGGAAGCGTGCGCTCGGCCCCCTCTTTCCTCCTCTCGTCGAGCTCGACTCACTGCCGCTGCCGTCAACAGTGAAGCACGTCGCTGACTCGGTCGCCGCCATTCGCCGCAAGTCCTCTGAGCAGCGCCGCAACATGACCTTGGGCGACATCCTCAACGAGTGCGTCGCCAAGAAGGAAAAGGTGGCCGACGACTTCCGTGAGTGGGCCTCTTTCTCTCTTGCCTGCACGAGTCCTCTCATTGACGAGCTTCGCGCATCGGGCAGTCGACGCTGTCCTCTCTCTGCAGCTCTACGAGCACCCCAACGGCAAAAACGTCAACCAGGTCGACGTCGTCAAGATGCTGACCGGCGCCGAGCCAGCTCTCCGCGACAACCGCTTCCGCACCGCGCTCAACGCCCTCATCTCGTTCTTGAAGGAGTGGGAGAAGCTCGACGCGTCCGAGGCCGCCTTCAAGAAGCTGCACGAGTTCGACCAGCTCGAGGCCATCCACAAGCAGCTCGTACGTCGCTCGTCTCTCCTCTCATCGTACCTCGGAATCGGGGGCCAACATTGACAAGCCTCGTCGCAGTTGGGCCAGCTCATCGAGGCGCACGGTCCTGCTGCTGCCCTTTCCGTCCGTGCGTCCCCCTCTTTCTGCCTCGCTCACGATACCGCACTGACCTCGCGCCCTCTCGCCTTTCCCTCTCGCTCGCAGTCGAGGTCAGTACGTCCTTCCCACTTTTCTGCGCTCGCCGACTCGCGCACTGACACCCTCTCTCGCAGATTGCGAAGAGATCGAGCGACTTTACGCCGGCACCGCCGGCGAGCGCGAGTTCGTGGACGCGATGCGTGCCAGCATCGACGGCTCCGCTACGGCCGAGAAGCAGGCTCCGAGACTGCAGAAGGCGTACAGTGCGTCGCTTTCTCCCGCTCAGCCCCTCCCCGAGTCGACCTGACCCCCCTTTGCGCTGCGCGCTCGCAGAGGCCGAGCCTGCGGGCTCGGAGCAGCGCGACCGCCTCAAGAACGGTTGGCGCATAGCTCAAGGGCTCGAGGGGCTGTACCTGGACACGAGCACGGCAAGGCCCTACGCTGTGCTCCGCGAGCGCATCCAGCCTTACGTTCGTTCTCTTCTCTCTCCTTTTCGCGAGCGTCCACTGACTCTTTCTCGGCGACGTGCAGCGCAGGTACCTCATGAAGAACCACAAGGACGTCCTGAAGGAGAGCCGGGTCAAGATGGTGAGCCGCATGGGCGGCAACGACACGTCCTCGAGCACGGCGCCGATCCAGGAAGCGAGCATGGGCCACCTGTCGCTCCGCCAGCGCCACATCTACTTTGGCCGTCACAGGCGCGACGGACACTGGTAGTACGAGGGCGAGGGCGAGCACTTTGGCGGCGCGAGGAGCCGAGACGGCCGCAAAGAACGCGAGTTGAGAAGGTTGCGCATCGTCTCGAAAGCTCGCAAGCTTTCTCGAGCCTTTTGAGAGCTCTGAGCGCCGAGAGCGCTTTCGTGAGAGCGGGGCGAGAAGCGCGAGCTCGAGAGCCCTCGCCGACAACGAAGCTCCTCTCGCCGCACGGGCCGCTTTCTCGACGGCTCTCCCGACCAGCAGCAGGCGACGCTCGCGAGGCGACACGCTCCATCGCAACATACACGCAAGCTACGGACCGACACGCTCAAGAAGCTCGTGCGCCGGCGCGCTACAGCCGCTTGCGCTTCTCCTCCTCGCGGATGACCTCCTCAGGGTCACGCACGCGCTTGCCGGCCGACGACGACGACGACGGGCCGGGCTTGTCCGGCAGGCTCGAGCCAGTGCCGCCGAGGCGAGAGAGGAGCGAGGGACCGGGACGAGGGATGGGCGAGGCCTGTGCGCGGGCGGAAAGTCAGTCGAGGTTGTCGAGCAGGCAGAGAGGGACAGGGACGCACCAGGCTGCCGCCACGACCGTCACCGTTCCACCTCGACCCGCCACCCCTCAGGTCGTCCTCCCGCTCGCCCCTACGCGGCGACAAGCTCCTCTCGCGCCTCGCACCACCGCGGTCCGCCTCGTCGAGGTACATGCCCTCGCTCGCCCTCCCCCTGCGCGACTTGCCGCCCCTCGCCCGCCGCTTCTTGGGCGAGTCGACGTCGTCAAACGGCGCCCTGCGCCCGTCGCCGAGGGGCATCATAGGCCCGGCCGAGCGAATGAGCGACGAGTCGGGCCCGGCGGCGTCCGCCTCGGGGTCGCGGAACCGGCCGCGAAGGGCCGACGACGACTTGTCGAGGATGTTGCCCATCGGGAAGCGCAGGGGAGGGAGGCGGCCGGGCGAGGGCGAGCGCTGCCCACCGCCGCCGCCGCGCCGGCGGAGGTGAGGGGGAGGGGAGCGGCTGCGCATGCGCATGAGCGGCGGCGACGGCGAGTGGCCGCGACCCGTCGCAGGCGGCGGCGAGTAGTCTCGACCGCGGCTCATGGATGGCGGCGGCGAGTAATCGCGGCGGCGAGCGGGCGGCGACGGGCTGCGGTGCCGGGGCGGTGGCGAAGGGCTGCGACGACGCGGCGCCGGCGACATGCTGCGGCGCCTGCTCGACGTCTCGCGCTCGGGCGAGCGAGAGCGACGCGGCGCGCCCCTCCCTCCTGCGCCTCTCGCGCCGTACGCGCTCGCACGACGCTCCTTCTCCCTCGCCTCGGCCTCGTCTTCGAGCCTCTTGCGCTCGCGCTCCCTGCCGAGCACGACGTCGGCCTCCTCGGCGCGCATCCTCCTGCGCTCGTCGTCCTCGGCGTCGCGCTTGATCTGCTCGCGCCTCGCCGCGTCGCGCGCCTCGTCCCGCTCCTTGGCCTCGCGCTCCTCGCGCTCGAGCTTCTCGCGCGCGATGCGCGCCCGGTCGCCCCACCCGCCGCCGGCCGCACCGACAGGCATCGAGTTGGCGCCTACGAGGACGGCGGCAGGCGCAGCAGCACCATCTCCTCCTCGTCCGCCGCGCCCACGACGGCCGCCGCGTGGTGCAAAGCGGTCGGCCGAGCCGCCCGCCGCGTCGACCGAGCCGAACGAGGGCGCAAAGCGGTCGCTCGAGACGCTCGGCGCGACGTCGAGCGCCGACAAAGAGGGCGGCGGCCCTCCCGTGGCGGCGAGGCGCGCGAGACGCTGCTGCTCGAGCTTCTCGGCCTGGCTCAGGCCCGAGCTGGCGCTCACGGCGCCGAGCGACTGCTGGCGGCCGTTACCGCGCTCGGGTCCGGGCGACGCCGACTCGGACGGCGCAGGAAGGCGCGCCGACGCGTGTGGGTCGAGCGAGGCGTCGCGGTCGGTGGCGGGCGAGTAGAGGGTGCGGCGGGTGGTCGGCGGCGACAGGGCGGAGCCGGGCTCGGCGACAGGGCTGGCGAGGGTTGCCGAGGCGGACGAGGAAGGGTAGCGGTTGAGGGAGGGCGTCGAGGCGGCGGCGGCGGCGATGTGAGGCGGGCGGTCGCTGCGGCGAGAGGCTTCGAGGTCAGTCCCGCTCTCGAGAGGACGACAGAGATGGAAGGAGGGAGAGAGGGGACGCACCGGCCTGCACGAGGACCCGAGGGAACAGCGAACCTCGGCTCGCTCGCGTCGACAGCGCTCGCAGCAGCCGGCGCCGGCGACGCCGCCCACCGGTCGTCGAGGCCCGCCGACGCACCCGGCGTGCCCTGCTCCGCCGCACCGCCGACCCGAGGGCCCCTCGGCGTCCCGACCGGGATCTGGTTCGCCGCGAACCCGTCGCCGCCGACCGAGCGCCTGCCGCTGCGGCCACCGCGCCGACGCGCCGGTGCCGTGGGCGCGACGATCTGGTCCTGCGGCGGGAGCGCATGACGTTCTGGGTGGGTGGAGAAGGAGGAGGACGGGTAGAGTGAGCGGCGGTGTCCCGCTTGGGCGGGAACGACGAGCCGTCGTCGACGACCGAGGGCGAGCGCGCGCGTTGTTGCGCGCACGCGCAGGACGACGCGCTCATGCAGAGCGCGACATCGTTCGGCGCGGTGCGCGCCCGGCCGACCATGGCGAGCTGCGCGGCGCGAGCGCGGCGCGCGGTCGTCGACGACGACGAGGACGAGGGGAGGTGGGAAGAGGGAGCTCACGCTGTTCGAGCGAGGCGCGAGGGCCGGTCGGCGGCACAGGCGCAGAGGGCGATGCGGCGGCGAGATCTGGGAGGCGAAAGGAGGAGGAGGGTTGGAGGGAGAGGCGCGAGTAAGTGGCCGTCGTGGGGGAGGAGGGGGTGCTGCTCGACGACGCCGGCGCGTACTGCGCGCAGCGCGCTCGTCACGAGCTCGGCGCGCATGGCGACCTTGACACGCTCGACGCTCGACGGGCAGCGCACGACGCGTGCACCCTCGGCGCGACGACGAGCGCCGGACCTCGCCTTGGAGCCGACGCTCGCGCAGCGCAGGAGGACAGCCCTCGAGCTCGACGCGTCGGCACGCTAGGCGTGCGCCTCGACGAAGGCGTGGACCGCACGACGCCGCGGTAGAAGGAGAAGCTTACCCTGGGCCGCGGTCGAGGTGCGACGAGCCGGGTACATCGAGCTGCCGCCGCGAGGCCCGGTCGGCGGCGCGAACGAGGCTGCGAGAGAGGAGCCTGCGTCAGGAGGACGTCACTCGCAGAGAGACTGGAGGGAGAGAGAGACGCACACGTTGACGAGGCGGCGGCTTCAGGGTCGGCAAACTTGAGGCGGTCCGGGTGGACAAAGACGCGCGGCTTGGGCGCAACGGGCGCCGACGGCGCCGACGCGTCGTGCGACCGAACGTCCTGCATCTGCGTCTCCTGCTGCGGCTGCTGCTGAGGCACGGGCTCGAGCGCAACGAGTGCAGGGGCCTGCTCCGGGGCGAGCACGGGCGCAGCGGGAGCAGGAACGGCTGCGACCGGGGCTTGCTCGGCCGGCGCGGCCACGACGGGAGCGACATGTGCGACGACGGGTTCGGGCTGAGCGGGCACGGCGGGCTCGGTCGGGATGTCCCACGCGCTCGTGTTGAGGACCGTGTTGCGGTAGTAGACGTTGCCGGTCGATTTCGAGACGCGCGAGACCCAGCCCTGCGGGAGCTTGTTGCCGAGTGCGTCGAGCGACTCGTCGTGGGGCTTTTTGGGCTGGACGGGCGGGGTCGAGGCTGCGGTTTGCGCGGCGGACGCGGGTGCGAGCTGGTGGGCCGAGACGGTCGCGGCGTGTGCGGGGCCTGCGGCGGTGGTGGTGGTCGCGCCCGGTGCGGTAGCGTTGAGCGAGGTCATGGTGGTTGAGGGTGGTGCGGCTGAGCCCTGGTGGGCGGTCGAGGTCGAGGCGGCCGAGTCGGGGTCGACTTGGTCGAGAGACGAGGCGAGGTGGGCGGGGGCGGGTTGCAGGACGAGGTCGTCCTCGCCAAAGTCGAGTTCGTCGTCCTGGTGCATGGCCTGGGCAGTCGGTAGCCCGGCTCGGGTGCAGCAGGCGGCGTGGAGCAGAGTGAGGAGGAGGAGGAGGACGAGGACGAGTGCCGTCTCATCTGCTCCAGCCTCTCGCCCGCGACGTCGCCCAGGGCCAGCTTGAGCACCGACAGCGCTACAGGGCTCGAAACCAGCCACGCAGTACACCGCCCCTTCGACCCACACGCGTCGCCGACCTCGACCTCACTCGCCTGCTCTCCCACCTCGACCGCTCCCCACCACCCGGCCCTCGACCAGTGCACCATCGAGCGCAGCCTGGACCCTACCGCCAACATGCTTCCCACATCGCGCGGCGCCCGCAACGGCCAAGGCGCTGGCTCAAGGTTCGTCCTCCCCCCTCCTCTCCAACCCTATCCCGACCGCGCTTTCCTGGCCTCGCTCGCACATCGTCGGCCGTCAGTCGACGCGAGCAGCAGTAACTTACCCTCTCTCGTCTCTCCACGCGCAGCGGTAACGGCTTCCCGAGGCTGAGCGGCGGCGGCATGAAGACCTGGCTCCGAAGGTTGAGGAGCTTCCCCCAACTCGTGCGTCCCGCCCCTCTTTCTCGCTCGCAGAAACATGCGGTCGAGACTTTGAGCAGACGACGGCGGCTCGAGGGCGACGAGCCGTGGCAGGTCGCGACCGCCGAGACTGACCTCCCCCACCCGTTCCTCGTCAACAGGACTTTGAGCTCGCCATCTGGCAAATGTGCTACCTCTGTATCGCGCCGAGACGAGTGTGAGCCTTGCTCAGGTCGATCGCGCTCCGCGTGCGCCAGCACTGACTCGTTCCTCGCGCCTGCAGGTACCGCAACGTCTACTACCACAAGCGTGCGCGAGCCCGTCCCTACTCTTCCACCCGACGCCCGACCTGACTCGCCGAGTCGCTCGCAGAGACGAAGAACACGTGGGCACGAGACGACCCGGCCATGCTCCTCCTCATCTCGCTCTCCCTCATCGGTGCGTCCCTGTCCTCCTTCTCGTCCTTCCCCTTTTTGCCCTCCTCGACGCCCGAGCCAACCCTCTCCTTGCCCGCTCGCAGTTGCCGGTACCCTGTGGTCCATCCTGTACGCGCATCACGGCGCCGTCGCGACGCTCAAGACCGTGTGCTCGTTCGTCTTCCTCCACTTCTTCGCCGTCGGGCTCGTCATCTCGACGTCCCTGTGGTGCGTCCTGCTTCCTCTCTCTATCTCTCTCCTTCGCCCTAAACGACGAGTATTGACCTCGAGCGCGTCACAGGGCAATGGCGAACCGGTTCTTGACGCACACGAGCAACCTGCACGCGACGGACCAGAAGGTCGAGTGGTGCGTCCGCCTCGAGCCAGTCTTCCTCTGCAGCCGCTCGAGTATACCTCGAGCTGCTGAGAGGTAGACGCGACGTTTCTGTGGGTCACGCTCACACCGAACCCGTCCGCAGGCCGTACGCGTTCGACATCCACGCCAACTCGTTCTTCCCGCTCTTCCTCCAGCTCTACGTCGCCCAGCTCCTCCTCGCACCCGTCGTCACGAGGTCCAACTGGGTGTGCCTCTGGGTCGGCAACACGCTGTACCTCTCGGCGGTGCGTCCCCTCTCTCTCGTCCCTGCTCACGGACCCCTTCTTGTGAGCACGCGCACTGACTCGCCCTTTTGCGCCCTCGCAGTTCACGCAGTACGCCTACGTCACGTGTACGTCCTCTGCTGCCCCTCCCTCGTCGACGAGCACGGACTGACCTCGACGGCGCCACGCAGACCTCGGGTACAACGCCCTTCCCTTCCTCATCCGCTCCGAGCTCCTCCTCTTCCCCGTCGCCATCTTTGCCGCCTTCTACATCGTCTCGCTCCTCGGCTTCAACATCTCGCACGTCGTCCTCGAGGCCTTGTTCGGCAGGTAGTTCTTCAGGCGGGCAGTGCAGGCGGGCGGGCCTGAGCAATTCGACTCGGTCGTGCTTCTCCTTCGGCGCCCTCGACCCGAAAGGGGGCCGCTCTCAAGGCCCGCGCTGTTCCTCGCGCTTTCGTCGCATGGTCGCTCAGCTTTCGGCGAGCTGGCCCAGGTGTCCGACGGCCTGTCCGAGATCCAGGGTCGGTCGGTCCGGGGGCCCGCTCTTTCGTCCTCGTCTCGCTTCTTTTCTTTCGTTCGGCCTCTTCCCTCACCCCTCTTCTCCCTCGCTTGAGCGCTCGCCGGACGCGAGCCCGCTGAGGTGAGCGTGTCCGAGCCCGACCTGCTGCTGGGCGTGGCCTCTCTCGCACCGCTCCTTCGTCTCCCTCTCTCGCTTTCTCTGCTTCGCTACCCGCACCCGCTACACCATGTCGAACGACTCTGCCCTGTTCGAGCCCATCACGGTCGGCGACATGCGCCTGTCGCACCGCATCGTCATGGCGCCCTTGACCCGGTTCCGCGCCTCGGACGACCACGTCCACCAGGAGGTCGCCGCCGAGTACTACTCGCAGCGCGCCTCGACGCCGGGCACGCTCCTCATCACCGAGGCGACCTTTATCGACCCCAAGGCGTCCGGGTACGCCAATGTGCCGGGCATCTGGACCGACGAGCAGGTCAAGGGGTGGAAGCGCGTCGTCGACGCCGTCCACGCAAAGGGCTGCAAGATCTTCCTCCAGCTTTGGGCGCTCGGGAGGGCCGCCGACGCCGACAACCTGCGCAAGGAGACGGGCGAGGACGTCCAGTCGGCGAGCGACGTCGCGTTCGAGGGCGGCGCCAAGCCTCGACCGCTCACCAAGGACGAGATCAAGGTGCGTCCGACGCTCTCTCTCTCTCTCTCTCTCTCTCTTGATCGTCTCGAGGAGAGCGCGGTGACGACGAGCTCACCGTGTTCCTCGCGCCGCGCAGGAGTACGTTGGCTTCTACGCACGAGCCGCCAAGAAATTCGTCGAGCAGGCAGGAGGTGACGGCGTCGAGTGCCATAACGCAAACGGTCCGTACTGCTCTCTCTCTGTCGCACCCCCAACCCCGAGTCGTTGCCGCACCTCTCGCCGAGTCGCGCCGCCAACCTGTCGCCGCTCTCGGCCGCCGAGCTGACTCTGCTTCTCCCGTGCGACAGGCTACCTCCTCGACCAGTTCCTCCAGACCGTGTCGAACAAGCGCACCGACGAGTACGGCGGCTCGGTCGAGAACCGCGCCCGGTTCCCGCTCGAGGTCCTCGACGCCGTGTGCGCCGCCGTCGGACCCTCTCGCGTCGGCGTGCGCCTCTCGCCGTACTCGCCGTGGCAGGGCATGGGCATGCCGCAGGCCGACGTCGAGGAGACGTTCTCGTACTACGTCCGCCAGGCGCGCGAGCGCCACTCGGACCTCGCGTACCTGCACTGCGTGACGGCGCGCATGGCCGGCATCCTCGACGTCGAGGGCGTCAAGGCCGAGCAGTCGCTCGACTTTATCGTGCGTCCACCTCCCTCTGTCTCTTTCTTGCAGCGCCGCAGCGACCTGACGACGTGTTCCTGCAGCGCGACCTGTGGGCTCCTCGACCTTTCATCGTCGCCGGCGGCTTCGACACCGAGTCTGCGCGTGTCGCCGCCGACTCGAGGGAGGCCACGTGTGTGGCCGTTGGCCGCTGGTACATCTCCAACCCGGACCTGCCCCGGCGAGTGCGCGAGCGCATCCCGCTCACGCCGTACGACCGCGAGCTGTTCTACCAGAACGGGCCCGACAAGGTTCATGGATACATCGACTATCCCTTTGCACCCTGAGCCAGTCTGTGACAGCGTGCGGGCGAGGTCTGAGCGGTGCAATGGACGCAGTTTCGACGACCTTTGAGCGCTCGAGCCTCTTGCCTTGCTGCTCTCGGTGTTCCTCTCAGCGGGAGTCGCAGAGAGACGACCAGTGGCGAGATCCGGAGCAGTACGATAGAGAGAGCGGCTCACGGGGAGCGACCGCTGCTCACAACGGGAGCTTGTCGACGGTCGGGCTCAACTTGAGAAGGTCGACTCTGCTCGACGTTGACGAGGCTTCCTCGGCTGTGCAGAGGCTAGGCAGCGCGCACAGCTCGTCAAGTACTCTCGATCTTGCTCCTCGCCCCGGTAGCTGGCGCAAGAAGGAAGCCTCGCTCGAGCAGAGCGTCCTCGGCGGTCGACGATTCGCTTCCAGCTGCGTGCTCTCGCTCGACCCGGACGAACAGAGCGTGCGCCTCTCGAGGACGATCCACGACATGCACAGGACGAACTGACAAGCGTTGCAAAGAAAGGCCAGGGATGTGGAACCGAGTACGACGAGGGAGGACGACGGACAAAGAGGGCGAACGAGGAAGGGCGAGGGCGGGGGTAGACACGCCGTCGAAAGGTTCAGGAGTTGGCGTCTGTCAAGTAGAGAGTCAGAAGCCGACTCGACGAGCCCGGAAGAGGACGAAGGGAACGAGAGGACGCACACTGGCGCTTTGCGACCAGCCTCAGCACCTCAACCATCGTCGGCGCAGCGCCGTCGATCTCGCCCGTCTCGACCCTCTCCATCATCTGCTTCCACTCCTGGCTGCCCTCGACCTCGTCCCACCGCTCGATGATCCAGCGAATCACCACCTTGCGCCATTCGACGTCGTCGCGCGCGAGCTCCGAGAAGAGCTCTCCTGGCGCCGAGCTGGCCGTGAGTGCTGTGTCGTACAGGAAGCGCAGTGCCAGCCACTGCAGCAGCTCGAGACCGAGGATGCCCGCGAGGTGGTAGGTCGACTGTGGCGAGGCGGGAGCGGGCAGGTTGGCGTCCTTCTGACAGGCGGCGAGGAGCGAGGCGGCGCGGGCCTCGCCCGGCTCGGCCGCCGTGGCAAAGGACGACGACAGGGGCGCGAACTGGATGAAACCCGTCGACAGGTAGAGGAGAATGGCGCGGTAGGTCGTGTAGGCGGCCCCCTCAATCGTGAACTGCTTGTACGGGAACTCGGCGTCTTCGAGCGGGTCGTGCGGCGCTGGCGGCACTTGGCCGAGCTTGCCCCGGAAGATGAGGGCGTCGGTCTCAAGGTCCGAGTCCTCGCTGAGCTGCTTGGCGATGGGCGCCTTGTACAGGAGGCGGCGGCTTGCGGCGGCCTGCTCGACAGTCGAGCTGCGAGTGCGAGCTCGCTTGACGCCGATCGTGACGGTCTCGGCGTGGCCCGTGTGCAGGAGGTCGCGGAAGTAGGTCGACGAGGTCGCGAGGAGGTGCTCGGTCGTCCACAGCTCGGCGTCAGGGCGGCCGTCGAGGGCGGGGAAGAAGAGGCGGACATGAGGCGGAAGCGCCGTCGTGTTGAGCTCTGCGGCGTCGACGGGGCGAGGGAGTCAGTTGACGCTGGAAGTGTGTGATAAGGAGAGATTGGACGCACCCGACAGGAGGGGAGCGATGTGGGCAGACGTCGTGCTCGAGAACAGCCCGACGCGGTGGACCTTGTACGTGAGGCGGTACTGGCGGTGACGAGCAGGATCGTACGCGCTCTCTGACGCCATCTTTGCCGTCCCGAGCGTACCGGGCTCGATGTCGAGGCGGTGGCCGACGGAGACACGCTGCCCGTTGGGCTCTCGCGCCGGGAGATGTGCGGCCGAATACGACATGGTTTGAATCGGGCGGAACACGCCGTTGTGTCCCCAATCGAGCTTGATCATGGCGGCAGCCCAACCGAGCGCACCCACGGCCAGTTCACTGTGGCCGACGAGGATCGAGCTGGTCGTGCCGTGCCGCCAGGCGTGCAGGTACCAGCGGCCTGGCAGCGGCACCCCATGGAGCTCGATGATGGCGTAGAGCTTCGGGTCTTACAGCTTGAGGTCGAGGTCGACGACGATGCGCACGTCGTAGCCGGCGTCGACAGTCGCCGAGTGCTTGGAGGGAGCGACAGGTGCGGCCGGCGCGACGGGCGCGACGGCGTTCTTGGCGGGCGCAGGAGGAGCCATGATGACGACCGAGTACTCGATGAAGACCTCGATGAAGGCGTAGGCTGCGAGCGAGGGAGAGGCGAGAGGGGGAGGGGAGGAGGAGGAGAGTCAGGTTCGGCCGGCCGCGCTCGCTCGAGAGAGGGCGAGGGACGCACCTGAAGCAGATGAACAGGCGCCCAGTACCACGTACGTCGAGTACCGCGAGTCGTCGAGAGCGAGTGAGCAGAGAGTGAAGCGTCGGGAGGAGAGAGACGAACGGGGCCCGAGGCTCGACACGACCGGAGCGTCCGCGGACTCGAGGACCGGCGGTGCGTGCAGCCGGCGTTCTGTGGCCGACGCTGAGCTCGACGATCGAGAGCGAGCCTCTCTCGAGCCGGGCGAACGAGCTCTCGCCGGAAGAGAGGGTCAGTGCACCTGGTCCTCGTCCTCATGTCCTCCTCGCGCGACGATCGGCTACGCCCCTCGCCTCGCCCTGTACATCTTGAGCGCCGCCTCTACCGCCTCCCTGACCGGCCCAAGCGCACTCTCGACCCTCCTTCCGACCTCGTCGCCGTCCTGCGCCCTCGCGTCCTCGACGGCGCGCGCGACGCGCTCGGCGCTCTTGGCGAGGTAGCCCGCGAAGCGCTCGGCGCGTGCGAGACGCTCCTTGTGGTCGGCGGGCGAGAGAGGGGTCGAGGTGCGGGGCGGGAGGAAGGACGAGTAGAAGTGGCGCAGGTACTCGAACGTGGTCGTGCTGAGGGACGAGACGGTCGTGACGTGCTGCCGAGGGAGGCCTGCATGCTCGAGATGTCAGTAGAGGCGCCATATACCCCTCGAGGCGCCGAGAGGGAAGTAGGGACGAGAGCGAGAGAGAGAGAGAGAGGACGCACCACCGCCGCTGCTCGCCCCGCCGCCGGCCGTCTTGCGCGTGCGCTCGACCTGCTGCGAGATCGAGTTGGTCATGTCGCGCATGCCGTCTCGCACAGCTGCGGCGTCGACCTCGAACTGCAACAGGGTCGAGCTCGTCAGGATCGTTCGTGCGCCAAGCAGAGTGGCACAGCGAGCGCGACGAGCCACTGGAGGCTCGTCACGCGCGCAGTCGCGTCGCTGCCAGGCGCCCGAGAAAGAGAGAGAGAGACGAGGGACGCACCTCTGCCAGCCTCCCCTCCCACTCGTCCCGGACCCCCTCCATCGTATCCCTAACCCTCTCATTCCTGCGGTAGATCTCCTCCAAGCCCTCGATCTCGTCGCCCTCGCCCTCCTTGCCCGCCCCTGCACCGCCTGCGCCAGCCGACGACAGGGCGTCGCTGCGGTCGGCGAGCGTGAGCGCGATGCGGTCGCCGTTGGTCGTCGGCGCCGAGAGGTCCGAGAGCTCGATCTCGTTGTAGTAGCGCCGGTCCTGCGCAAGGAGGGGGGAGGCGAGAGGGAGTCAGGGCCTGTCGATAGAGAGAGGAAGGAGGCCGAGGAGGGAGAGCGGAAGAGCCCGAGGGCGCAAAGTGCGAGACGAGGGGGTAGGAAGCGAGAGAGGAAGTAGGGACGCACGCCGGCATGCCCAGGATCGAGGAACCCTCGCTCTCGATCTGCCGCAGAACCCCTGCGAGTGCGCACACCCGAGCGCGTCAGAGCTTCGCTCAAGCGGGCATTCAACACTCGCGCAGCCCGTCCGAGAACGAGCCGCACGAGGTAGGCGCTCGGAGGGCGAAGCCGACGAGACAGACGAGGTGGACGCACAGAGCTTGGTTGAGGAGACGCTCCGAGTGCTCGTTGAAGCGCCGCATGAGCGGCAGGCTCGCTCGCTGCCCGCCGGGCTTCATCGTAAAGTCGCGAGGAAGGTTCGGGATCTGAGAGGACGGGACGAGAGAAGCGAGTCAGTCACTGAGGACGCAGGCAGGGCGAAAGAGGGAGGGACGCACCTCGTGCTGGTCCTCCTCGGTCGCGGCGAGGTCGAGCAGGCGATAGATTTCGTGATCGGGCACGTTCTGAGGCTCGACATCTGCGGGGCGAGGCACACAGTGAGCTCGCCGCCCTCTCTCCAACTCGAGACGACGAGATGAGGCGAGAAGGGTGCGCACCGTCGTCCTCCTGACCGAGGTAGCGGTCAAAGATGGCGTCGTCCTTGATGGCGTCGACGGCGGCCCGGTTCGTCGTCCGGTTGCGGTTGAACAGCTTGGACTGGAAGTAGCGCGTCCAGAAAGCGGCCTCGTCGAGCTGTGTCGGTGCAATCGAGCGTCAGGTGGGCTCGGGAGAGAGGCGAGAGCGAGGTGAGGAAGGTCGAGGACGCACAGGATCGGGCACGTTGTCGTTGTAGGCGCGCAGGACGACGGGGAACTCTTCAAAGATCTCGCGGATGAGGGCCGGCGTGATCTTGACCGTCACCTCGCCGTTCTGGCCCGTGACCGTCTTGGGGTCGACCATCTCGCCGCTCTTGCCCTTGACGAGGCCCTGCTCGGCGGCGACGGCCTCGAGGAGGTCCTCCCGGCCGTCCCAGAACTCGGCCTCGGAGATGATGGACGTCAGGACGAGCTCGCGGTGGAGCGCGAGCAGGTTCGGGTTGGCCTGGAGGACGAGCTTGCGCAGGCGGTTGGTCGTCGCGGCCGCCGTCGTCGTCGTCGCGCTCGCCGCCGGTCCTCCTTTTGCCCCTGCAGGGCCGGGCGTCCCAGGCCCGGATGATGTCGCAGGCGAATCGATGGCGCGCTCCTTGCCCTTGCCCTTGTCGCCGCCGTTCGCCGTCGCATTGGCGCCGGCTGCTCCCGCCTGGGCCTGGGCTTGCGCCTGGGCCGCCTCGAGCTCGCGGTTGCGGGCGACGGCGGCCGAGAGGTCGTCCTTGAAGCGGTCGCGGTCGGCGAGTGCGGTGGTGGGCGAGGTAAAGGTGAAGTTGTGCGAGTCGTCGTGGGCGGGAGGGACGGGGAGGAACTGGACCTTGAGCATGACGCGTGCGCCGCCAGGCTTGGACGCGAAGAGGGCTGTGCGTACATGGCTCGTGTCAGGGTGCTCGCGTGCGGGTCAGAGAGAGAGGGAGGAGCGGACCGGTCATGCGCGAGGTGGGGAGAGAGAGCGAGGCGGTGGATGCGCCCTGGGCGGTCCAGCGGAGCGCATCTTGGACGAGAACGAGCGTGCCCGGCTGCTTCTTGTAGGTGGTCTGGGCCGTGAGCAAGGCCTGCGAGGTCGACGCCATGGCGGACGGGAGGAGGAGTCTGGAGGAGGAGGAGGAGGAGGAGGAGGAGGTGCGACGACGGTTCCCGCTCGTCTCCCTCTCTGTCCAGGCAGCGCTGCAGTCGACGGTGTACCTTGGGCGACCGCCGTGCATGCCCCGGCCTCTGTCGTCCTACTTTACGTCGTCCCCGTCGTCCTCGGCCGCCCACTCGCGCACCCGCTCTCACAGCAACGTCGACGGCCTGCTCCCCTCGCACGCCCCGCCGCCCGACTCGAGCGTGCACCAGGTCCAAGACTCGTGGGTCGTGCCCGTGTCCAGCCGCGCACCGAGCTGGGACCTCGAGCGCAACTCGTGGTCGCCCGTCTCGTCATCGTCCCACACCCTGCTCCACCTCGGACCCACCCCTTCGAGGTCCCTCTCACTCGGACGTGCTCCAGGCCTGTCGCCCGCAACCGCAGCCGCGTCGCGCAGCTACCGCCAAGCCGGCCTCATCGAGCAAGGCCTCCCCGCCGCCGCCGCTCCTCCTCCTCCTCCTCCTCTCTCGTCCTCGTCCTCGTCCACCTCGCCCCCGACAAAGCCCCAGTGGCCTCCCCAGCAACCCCTCACCCCGACCTCGCACCACCTCCCGTCCCACCGCCAGACTCGCTCGGTCGGTCGCGCGGCCCCGCCCCCACCGCCTCCCCCTCCCCTCGCCTCGTCGTCCCACGTTCGCGTCCCTTCCACCTCGCGCCACTCCCACACCACCATGCTCGGCCACCACGACCCTCACCAGCACGCCCGGCCTCGCGCCAACAGCAACTCGCGCCCGCCCATGGCCTACTCGCCCTTGGCCGGCGGCTCGAGCGCGCCCGCCGCCGCGACCGCGAGCCCGTACGGCTCGCTCGGCGCGGGCTTCCCTGCCCAGCAGCAGCACTACGGCGGCGGCGGTGGCGCAGGGCTCATGGACGGCGCGTCGCCCATGCGCCGCGGCATCTCGTACGACGGGCCCGCGAGCGCCGGCTCGTCCCGCCCGGCGAGCCTCCTGCCCGGCGCCTACGCCCCCTCCTCGAGCGCGTCGTCCCAGTCGATGCTCCCCGTCGGCACGGGCCTCCCGGGTGCAGCGCGCGACCTGTACTCGCCCATGACGGGCGTCCAGCTCGGCAGCGCCGCCGGCTCGTCGACCTCGGGCTCGCTCATGTCGGGCGTCGCGTCGTCGACGAGCCCGATGGCGCCCTCGCCGCGCCCGTACTCGCCGTCGCACTACGCCGCGTCGCACCTCGGCGCGGCGGGCTACCCGGCCTCGGCGCCGCCCGCCCAGCGCTCGCCGCTCCTCCCCCCGTCCCACCCGGGCGGCGGCGGCGGCGGCGCGCCCTCGGCGTCGAGCTTCTACCCGCAGCACATCGCCCAGTCGTACGGGGCCCAGTCGCCCTCGGCGAGCGGCATCCACCCGCCCCTGCCGCCGCCCTCTGCACCTCCCGTCGTCGCCGCCGGCGCCGGCGGCAAGCTCGGCGGCGGGCCTGCACAACCTCCTCCTCCTGCGACCCACACGTACCCGCACCACTCGCACACGCTCCACCACCAGCCGTCGCTGTCGGCGCACCTGCACCACCAGCACCAGCCGCTGCACGCGCACGCCCAGGCCCACGCCCACCCGCACCACGGCCACTCGGCGTCGTACTCGCCCGGGTCGTCGAGCGCGTACGCCCAGCTCGGCTCGGCCCCGTCGAGCAGCACCGACCTGCGCAACCTGTCGCTCGGCGGCGGCGGCGGCGGCGGCCCGAGCGCGCAGTCGCCCGCGCAGGGCCCGCGCAGCCTGATGCCGACGCAGCGCAGGCGCAAGGGCCTCGTGCGCGTGCGCGAGGGCGACGAGATCGAGCGCGGTGGGACGACGAGGGGCGGGCAGCCGAGGGGGAGGAGGGCCGATCCGGCGGGAGGGTTCGTCAGCGTGCGTTCCCAGCTCTCTCCCTTTCTCTTCTCCTTCCTCGTCGCGCCGTGACTGACTCTTCCTTCTCGCGCATCACCCGCAGCCGCTCAAGGCGCTCACGACGGCGCTCCCGCAGACGTACCACCTCGTCAACCCGGCGTTCGTGTACGAGACGTCGCGCAACCCGAGGCGCGTCCTCACCAAGCCGAGCAAGCCCGCCGGCAACGAGGGCTTCGACAACGAGGACTCGGACTACATCCTCTACGTCAACGACGTGCTCGGGCCCGAGGACAAGGACCGGTGCGTCGACCGCTTCCTCTCTCTCTCGGCGCGCACGTGGCGAGGAGCGAGACTCACCCGATGCGGGCGATCCACAGGTACCTCATCCTCGACGTACTCGGGCAGGGCACGTTTGGCCAGGTCGTCAAGTGCCAGAACATGAAGACGCACGAGATTGTCGCCGTCAAGGTCGTCAAGAACAAGCCGGCCTACTTCCAGCAGAGCATGATGGAGGTCACGATCCTCGAGCTCGTGCGTCCCCCTTTTTCACTCCTCGTCCTCCCTGTCGCACGACCTCGCCCTGACGCTGTCGCGCCCGCCCGAGCAGGTCAACAACCAGTGGGACAAGGACGACGAGCACCACATGCTGCGGCTCAAGGACACGTTCATCCACCACTCGCACCTGTGCCTCGTGTTCGAGCTCTTGAGCAACAACCTGTACGAGCTCATCAAACAGAACTCGTTCCGGGGCCTGTCGACCTCGCTCGTGCGCGTCTTTACGGCCCAGCTCCTCGACGCCCTGTCGGTCCTCAACGAGGCCAAGATCATCCACTGCGACCTCAAGCCCGAGAACATCCTCCTCAAGTCGCTCCAGTCGCCGACGATCAAGGTCATCGACTTTGGCTCGGCGTGCCACGAAAAGCAGACCGTGTACACCTACATCCAGTCGCGCTTCTACCGCTCGCCCGAGGTCATCCTGTCGCTCCCGTACTCGAGCATGATCGACATGTGGTCCCTCGGGTGCATCTGCGTCGAGCTGTTCCTCGGCCTGCCCTTGTTCCCGGGTACGAGCGAGTTCAACCAGATCACGCGCATCGTCGAGATGCTCGGGTGCGTCCTCCTCTCACCCTCTCTCCCTTCCCGACCTCGACAGTCCTCGTCCTGACACTACCTTGTCCCATCCTGCAGCATGCCGCCCGACCACATGCTCGACAAGGGCAAGCAGACGTCGCACTTCTTCGAGACCGTGTCGGACGAGTACGGCCGCCGGCGGTACCGCCTCAAGTCGCTCGAGCGCTACGCGAGCGAGTACAAGGCCAACGAGCAGCCGAGCAAGAAGTACTTCTCGGCGAGCACCCTGCCCGAGATCGTCAAGCAGTACCCGATCGTGCGCAAGGGCCTCAAGGAGGCCGAGGTCGACAAGGGTGCGTCTCTCGCCTCTTCCTCTCTGCCCCTCTCTTCCTCTTCCTCGTTGAGCCTCGTACTGACCCGCACGAGCGCCCTTGCCTCCCTCGTCGACAGAGATGATCAACCGCCTCGCCTTCATCGACTTTGTCCAGGGCCTTCTCAACCTCGACCCCGAGCAGCGGTGGTCGCCTCAGCAGGCTCGCCTGCACCCGTTCGTCCTCGGCGAGCCGCTCCTCGCGCCATTCGTCCCGCCGCCTCGGCACCTCGTCACCAAGGGCGGCGCGCCCTCGCCGACCGATGTCGCGCAGGCCAAGCAGCAGCAGCAGCAGGCGGCCATGATGCGCGCTCAGCAGCAGCAGCAGCAGCAGCAGGCGTACGGCGCACCGATGCAGCAGCCGCAGACGCCGAGGCGGGCGCAGTACGGCCAGCCGATGCCGCCGCAGCTGCACACGCCGCAGCAGCCGCAGCAGTCGCCGTACGGCCAGGCGCAGGCGCCGAGGGGCCAGTACCAGCCGTTCGACCCGGCCGCCGCCGCCGCCGCCCAGCAGCAGCAGCAGCACCAGCAGCACCAGCAGGCGCTCGCTCAGCAGGCGGCGCAGCAGCCGTCGCTGTACGGCGCCGCCGCCGGCGGCTACGTCGCGAGCCTGCCTGCCGCGCACCACCACTACGCCGGCGGGCGACAGCGCTCGGGCACGGACGCGCCGCTGCCGCCGGCGCTGCAGCGCCTCGGGCAGGAGCTCAGCAGCGGCGCGCACGGCGCCGGCCAGTCGATCACGCCCGTCCTGCGGCGCGACGAGCAGTGGAAGATGTGGGAGTCGCAGTACGGCGCCGGCGCGGTGGCGGGCGGGACCGGCGGCGCCGGCGTCAACCGGCGCATCAGCGTGTCGAGCAAGCACCCGCACCTCAACCTCCTCCAGCAGCAGGCCGAGGACGGCCTCAACAGCTGGAACTCGCCCATGCGCGCTAACCCGCCACCGTCGGCGTCGTCCATGTACTATCACTCGCCGCCGCAGCCGTCGTCGAGCCAGTTCGTCGTCGTCGACCAGCCATACGGCGTCGACCCGATCCTCGCGCCGCCGCAGCAGGCGTACGGTGGCGCACCCGGCGCCGCGGCGAGGTACGGCCAGGCGCCGATGCCGCCGACGGGCGCGGCACCGCCGCCGTCTTGGTGAGCGGCGAGGGAGGGGACGGCGGCGGCATCACGGAGGAGCAGCTTCCCTTTTCCCTTCCTTCCCCTCGACCTTTTTCGCCTCGCCAGACACCCCTCGCCTCGCCGACCCTTCTCTCTGCATGCCTCTTTGTCCCCTCTCTCGACTCTACCCCTCTCTCTCTCCTATCCGCGAGCGCCGAGCGCCGCGACGACCTTCCTCCTCGTTGTCAGCATAGCCTCGCTTGTGCAAAGCCTCTCTGTGCGACTCTCTTTCCGCTCAGCTTCACGGCGAGTCTGTGGCGAGCACGACAGAGAGCAGCGTCGTATGGAGCCTCGAATGCGCGCCGTCTCGACGAGGGAGAGGAGGGAGAGGCTCGAGCGCTTTCTGCGAGCGAGCGAGTTTGGCGCGCTCGACGGCTCCATAGGCGCTCTTGAGCTGGACATGGGCTCGTCGTTCGTGTGCGTGTGCGCACGAGGGAGCAGGAGGCCGCGGCGGAAGTTCCGAGGAGCGGACTGTGCGCGCTGCGGGGCAAGCTCGCCAACGGCCGGGCGTTCCCCCCTCTCTCCTTCCGTCACCTCACTCACTCTCACCTCGCCGTCGCAGCAGCACGCACACGCGAGCTTGCCTGACTGCGCAGAACCACACGAGCACCCCCAGCCCTCACCCTCACCGAGCCCTCCTCGCCCGCTCCTCCCCCAGCTCCTCCCCCTCCCGCCCGCGCCGACCATGGCCACTTCGCCCTCGGTCCCCATCCGCAAGCTGTGCATCGGGTTTGGACTCGCCTACTTCGCTCTCCTCGTCCTCTTCCTCGGCCTGTACCGCGGCGCCCTCTCCGACCGCGACTTCGCGATCGCCAACTGCAAGGTCGCTGTCGCCCAGCGCGACGTGGCGCTCGCCCGCGTCGCCGACGTCCTCGGCAGCGCCGCTCAAGTCGACCGCGCGAGCATGGACTCGGAGCGCCTGCCCGTCGAGGGCGTCGCCAAGGAGACCAAGGTCGAGGGCCTGCCGTCGCTCCAGTCGGGCGTCCAGGTGGCGCAGCGCGTGTGGGCGTCCCTCGGCGGGTCGCACACGGACGACAAGTCGCAGGTCGTCGCCGAGATCGTCGAAGAGGCTGTTGGCTGGCGCGTCCCCTCGTCCCTCAAGGTGCGTCCCCAAACCCTCTTCCAGCCTCGTCCTTCTTCGAGGATCGGCGTCAGGCCACGTTCGTCCCCTGACGAGGTGCGGTGCTCCCGCAGAATGCGCTCCTCGCCGTCCGCAACACCTGCATGGTCGTCTTCGTCTGCCTCCTCCTCCAGCTCGTCCTCTTTTACCTCGGGTCTCGCCACGTTTCCAACCTGTCGCTGCAAGGTGCCGTCGACTTCAAAAAGTTCGCCGACAAGGTGACGATGTGGGGCGACGCAACTGCACTTCTCGGCATGGCGGTGGCCATCGTCACGGTTTACGTGTACGTGTCGAGGCGTTAGACGCCCACGCTCCCGTCGAGCCTGCTCGTTGCTGTCAGTAGTACCCCCTCTCGTGTCTCCCTCTCTGTCCCCTACATTTGCCATGCACAGCTCGTCGTCCCGTCGTCATCGTCTCGAGCGAGCGCGAGAGCTGCACTTTCTTCCTCGTCCGCTCTCTCTCGGTCGCGACGAGCAAGGTCCGAGCGACTTTGAGCGACCGCGGTCTGCCCTGCGCGCCCTCTCAGTCAGCGCGAGAGCTCGAGAGCGTCGAACAGCTACGAGGAGCTCGACCGAGCGCACAGAGAAGCGCCGCCGAGACGACTTTCGCTGAGGAGAAGGTCGAGTTTGCGAAGGTCGGCAGCTCTCGCTCCTCTTTCCTCGCTCGACATGCGCCGCGCAGCTGAGCTCTCGCTCGAGGGACAGCTGTGAGCACGCTCGCTGTGCCGCGCGAGCCGACCGAGCGCTGCCTCGTTCTCTCGCCCGCTCTCACACGCGTCCTCCCTCGAGCGCACGGACCCTCATCGCACAAACTCGCTCGACTCGTAAGCCCTCGTTGCACCCGCTCGCCCACCCTGTACATACAGACCTCCTCGCTCGCCGGACCATCTCGCGCCGCACGCCGCACGCCGCGCTCAGACCTTCTTGCCCTGCGCCGCGATCTCGAGGCCCTTGGACGCGTCGACTTTCTGTCTCCTCCCTGCGTACGACGACGGCGGGCTCGTCAGTTCGTCCCTTCACGTGGAAGGAGAGAGAGAGAGAGAGAAGAGAGAGAGAGGGAGCGCACCGTCCTGCCACCTCGCGAGCACCGTCCCGTCCGGGTAGCCAAAGTACGCCGCCTCGGCCATGCCGACGAAAAGGCCGACCTCGAGGACGCCCGTGAGCCTGCGTGTGCGTGTTCGTCGTCAGTGCGAGGGCCGGCAAGGACGAGAGAGGAGGGACGAGGACGCACATCTTGATGCGGTGCAGGAGCTCGGCCGGGTCGCGCATGTAGGATTCGGAGAAGACGGCGTCGATGACAAAGTTGCTGCAGGTCGATCGGCGTGTCAGAGAGAGGGAGAGGAGGCGCAGAGAAAGAGAGAGAGAGAGGAGGACGCACCCGTTGTCGGTCACGACCGGGCCGGCCTTCATCTTGCCCATGCGCAGCGCCGGGTTCTCGCAGCCCATCTTCTGCAAGTCTGCGACGATGAGGCTCGTCAGTCACGTGCGAGAGAGAAGGAGAAAGAGGAGCTGCTGCTGGCGACGCACTGACAAAGACCTTTGCCCACGCGAACGGGGCCACCTCGATCGGGACGCCCTGCTTCCACGCGTGACCGAGGATCTTTGAATCCTTGCGTGAGTCGGCGACGATGATAAAGTGCGTGGCGGCCTCGGCGAGGACCTTCTCTCTGAGCTGACACGCGCCGCCTCCCCTGCGAGGGAGAGAGCTCGAGTCAGCGAGACGAAGGAGGCCGAGAGGAGAGGGCAAGGGGCGTACTTGATCGCGTTGAGCTCGTCCTGTATCTCGAGAAGAAGAGTCAGTTCTGCCGCACTGAGAAAGAGAGACCAGAGAGAGAGCGAGACGCACGTCGACCTCGTCGGCGCCGTCAATCGTCACGTCGATGGTCGGGAACTGGTCGACGTCGCCGAGGTTGAGGCCCGCCTTGACGATGAGCTCCTTGGACTGGAAGCCCGTCGGGATGTACCTGTTGCGGAGGCGCGAGCGAGGGTGAGCGGACGGACGAGGAGGCAGGTCGACGAGGGGAAAGAGGGGGCGGCGCACCAGCGGTCACTGTTCGAGTTGTTGTGCGGCGGCTGGCACAGGCGCTCGACGACGTACGGGACGGTCGAGCCCGAGCTGCAGGAAGGGGCGAGGGGAGGAAGAGGTGAGCAAGTGGGGGAAGGAAGATGGGGGCGGATCCGAGTCAAGACGCGGCTCGAGAGGGAGGAGGGGAGCTCACCCGATGCCGATAACCTTGTGCTGGGGCTTGACGTGCTCGTCGACGGCGGCGTAGGCGGCGAGGCGCTTTGCCTTCTCCTCGGGCGTGAGGTCGTCGTGCGGCGTGATGCGGAGGCCGGTCGGGATGACGCCGGGGCCGATGCGCGATGCCTGCAGGCGCACGACAAGGTCGGTCAGTGACTTTGTGTGGGTCCCAGTTGGAGAACGAGGGTGCAGGGGCGACGGACCGAGGCGTGAGTGATGGTCGACAGCGGGTCGGGCCTGCCCGTCGCCGAGTGACTGGCGCGGCGGCTGTTGGTGCCGGACTGGGCTGCGCCAGCTGCCGCGTTCGAGCTGCCGGGCCCGGGTTTGGGCTCGAGCTTGGGGTTGCCCTCGAGGGGCGCGAGAGGCTGCATGCGGGATGAGGTCGAGGCGACGAGGTGCGAGACGGTGCGGCGGCTCGAGGCGGGCTGGTGGGCGCGGCGAGACAAGGTGCGCAGGGAGAAGAGCTGCAGCAGAATGGTGGTCGTCGAGCTGAGAGAGACGTGTGCGACGAGGCGGGAGCGAGCGACGGGGCGAGGCTGCGCGTCAAGCGCGAAGTTGAGAGCGAGCTGAGGTTGAAATGGGCGAGACTCAGGGGAGGCACCGACGGCGCGCGAGGCTGGGAGCTGCTCCACACACACCCACTCGCTCGCTCGCCGCTCTCGTCCTCGCCCACCAACCCGAGTGCTCGCCAGACCGACACGCGCAGCAGCCTCGCAGAGTACACCCACAGCGCGCCCCGATTCCCTCTCGACTCGCCCCCTTCCCTCGCCGCCTCGTTCCCCCTCGACCAGCCTCCTCCCTCGTCGAGGTCCACCGCAACCTCGCGCCCTCGTGCGCCCGCGAGGCCACGCGCCCACCTCACCATGGACGCCCCAGTCGTCCCGCGCTCGTCCAAGCAGGCAAAGATGCTCGGCGTCGCCCTCGACGACCTCGACCGCCCCACCACCACCTCCACCGCGACCTCATCCGCCAACCCGCTCGCGAGCAGCACCGCCTCGCGCAACGGCGCCTCGCCGGCCCCCGTCTCGAGGGACGGCAGCCGGCCGAGCACGAGCGACCGGCTAGACGCCGCCAGTCGAGGCTCGCTCGACACGGTCCCGTCGTGGGCCAACAACCCGGCGAGCGAGGTGCGCCCCCGTCCTCTTGCCTCTCTCCCTCTACCATCGACCGACTTACTGACCCCCCTGCCCCCCACACACGCAGTCGCAGAGCCGGCGCAAGGGCACCCTCATCCCGTCGTCGAGCAGCTCCCAGCCTCTTCGCGGCACCCGCAGCGCAAGCGTCCTCCGCGGCTACGGCGAGAAGGACCCGCCCGTCAAGGAGAAGAAGCGCGGCCTGTTTGGCGGCCTCCTCAAGCGTCGCGGCAGCAAGAGCGACATGCACAAGGACGGTCCGTCGATTCTCTCGTCCTCCCCTCTCGCCCGCGCCGTCGCTCACTCGCCTCCCCCACGCCCGCAGCCAGCTACTCGTCCGAGGCTGCCGCTTCCGTCAGCGAGTTCGGCCTCGGGCAGAGCCACGGCCCGCCGCCGCCGAGCGGCTTCGACGCGTCGACCCTCCCCGCCAAGCTCCAGGCCCGCGGCGACGCCACCGACACGGGCGCCAACCTCGCCACCGCGACCCAGCTGTACCCGAAACCGCCAAAGGTGCCCAAGAAGAGCCGCCGGCCGACGACGCCCATCTCGGCCCTCGTCGCCGGCGCGACCGGCGGCTCGTCGTCGCGTGGTCCGTCGACCCAGGGCCGCGACCGCGACCCGGCGCCGCTCCGCCAGGGCGCCGTCTACAGCACCGACGGCGAGATCGCGCTCGACACCAACTTTGACCACATGGAGGGCATCGTCGCCGGCGACCCGTCGTCGTCGTCGGCAGCGTCGACGGCCGCACTCGGCGGCGGCCCCGCTCGAGGGAGCCTCTCGAGCGGCACGGGCAGCGGCAGTGTCGGCTCGGCGGCCGAGGCGGGCTACGCGAGCAGCCGCAAGGCGTCGGACGGCCAGTCGATCGTCAACGGGCTCGGCGGCGGCGCAGGCGGCGCAGGCGGCACTCGCCGACCGTCACTCGGCCCGAGCGCGTTCAGTCACGGCGCCCACGCCGAGTCGCCGACGCGCCACCACCACAACGCGGCGTCGGCCAACAACTTCTGGGGCTCGGGCTCGTCGTCGACGGCCGGCGGCGGCGGCAGCAGCGGCAGCGGGCGGCCGATGAGCGCCGCTGGGCGCGCTCCGGGCGACGAGCACCGGCCGCCGACGGCGGGCAGCAAGGCGGCGAGCGTCATGGGCTTTGGCGTCGGCGCCGGCGCGCAGCAGCCCGTCTCGCCCGGCGGCGGCACGCTCGGGCCCGGCGGCGGGCTACGGCCCGGCCTTGGCTCGCGCCAGGGCAGCACGCGCAGCATCTCGACCATCACGGGCGGGCCGCCGCCGGGCACGGTGAGCGGCGTCCCGCGAGGGAGCGTGTTCGGTCTCGGCGGCGCGAGCGGCGGTGCGGGAGGAGGGGCGGGCAGCAGCGGGGCGTGGACCGCGCCCGACTCGTGGGCCGTCAAGGCCGAGGCGGGCGCGAGCCTCGACCACGACTCGAGCGACGACGACGAGGACGACGACGACGACGACCTCGAGACGGAGGAGAGCGAGGCCGGCGCAAGCCCCGGCATCGGCGCAGACGCGGGCGGCGTCCGGTCGATCGGCGAGAGTGTCGGCCCGGGTACGTCGACGAGGAACGGGCGGCCGGCGACGAGTGGGAGCAGGCCGGCGATGAGGGGTGGGCGGCCCGGGACGGCCGACGGCGAGGGCCGCAAAGCCAGTCAGAAGCCCGTGCGTCCTCGCTCTCTCTCTCTCTCTCTCTCTTTCCTCGTCAGGCGTCGTACTGATCCTGCTCGCCCACAGTTCATGGTCCGCATCTTCCGCGTCGACGGCACCTTCTCGACGCTCCCCGTCCCGCTCGGCGCAAGCGCGTCCGAGATGACGGCCATGCTCGCGCGCAAGTTCCAGATCAACCCCAAGACGATCTATGCGCTGTACCTGCGCGAGCGCGGGCTCGAGCGCCGCGTCGGCCCGAACGAGAAGCCCGTCCTCCTCCAGAAGCGCAAGTTCGAGCAGGCGGGCTACACCGACCTCGACAAGCTCGAGGAGCTCGGCCGCGAGGACAACTCGTACCTGTGCAAGCTCGTGTACAAGGCGCAGTACGCCCCGATGGCGTCGTCGATTGTGCGTCCTCGTCGTCCTCCTCTCGTTCCCCTTCCCTGTCCTCGCGAGACTGACCTGGGCCCTTCCTCCTCGTCCTCTCTCGCCAACTCGCAGGAGGAGGACTTTGCCGGCGAGAGCATGGAGTTTGTCGACCTATCGGCCCGAGGCGTCGCGACCATCCCGATCTTCCTGTACAAGCACGCGCACGAGATCCGCAGCCTCAACCTGTCCAAGAACCGGCCGTTCGACCTCCCGACCGACTTTATCCAGGGCTGCACCGCCCTGCGCGAGCTCGTCCTGAGCAACATGGGCATCAAGCGCCTCCCGCAGTCGTTGCGCGAGTGCTCGAGCCTGACTCGGCTCGACATCTCGAACAACAACATCGTCGAGCTCGAGCACATTGCCCTCAACGAGCTCGTCAACCTCGCGTCGCTCAAGTGCCACAACAACCGGCTGGCGACCGTGCCCGACTACTTTCGCGAGTTTCGCGCGCTCAAGTACCTCAACCTGTCCAACAACCGGTTCGACAAGGTGCCGCCCGTCGTGTCCGAGACCGAGCCCCTCGTCGAGCTCGACTTCTCGTTCAACACGGTCACGGTCGTCCCGCCCGAGATCGGCAAGCTCGAGAACCTCGAGCGCCTCAACCTCCTCGCCAACCTCATCACGACCCTCCCGCCGACCCTCGGGTCGCTCGTGTCCCTGCGCGAGCTCGACGTCCGCCGCAACGTCATCTCGGACTTTGCCGCGTTGACGTCGATCCCGTCGCTCGAGGTGCTGCGCTGCGAGCACAACCAGGCGTCGACCCTGGACGCGTCGTGGGCCAACCTGCGCATCCTCACGGCCAAGCACAACTCGCTCACGCGGTTCGCCCTCACGGGCACGAGCTCGACCCTCACGTCGCTCAACCTGTCGCACGGCAAGCTGTCGACGCTGTCGCCCGAGATGTTCAGCCACCTCGGCTCGGTCGAGACGCTCGTCCTCGACAGCAACACGTTGCGCGTCCTGCCCGACGCCATCGGCGCCCTGTCGAACCTCGTCACCCTGTCGGTCAAGAACAACCTCCTCGCCGCCCTGCCCGACAGCCTCGGCCGGCTGCAGCGCCTCCAGTCGCTCCAGGTGTCGGGCAACGACCTGCAGACGCTCCCGTCGACCCTGTGGCTCTGCGCCCAGCTCGCGTCCCTCAACGCGTCGTCCAACCTCATCAAGGACTTTCCCGACCCGCCGGCGCAGACGGCGCCGTCGACGCCGGCGCACGCCCTCGACGGGCCGACCGACGACCTCGACCTGCGCAAGCTGTCGGTCGTCACCAAGGCGACGACGTCGACGAGCGGGCGCATCGCCCCGCCGCTCGCCCTGTCGCTCCAGAAGCTGTACCTCGGCGACAACCAGCTCGGCGACGACATCTTTGCGCCCGTGTCGCTCATGACCGAGCTGCGGGTCCTCAACCTGTCGTTCAACGACATCTACGAGATCCCGACGTCGAGCCTGTTCAAGTGCCAGAGCCTCGAGGAGCTGTACTTGTCGGGCAACAAGCTCACGAGCCTCCCGCCGGACGACCTCGAGCGCCTCGTGAGCCTCAAGACGATCTACCTCAACGGCAACAAGCTCCAGACGCTCCCCGCCGAGCTCGGCAAGATCAAGAAGCTGTACGCGCTCGACGTCGGGTCCAACGTGCTCAAGTACAACATCGCCAATTGGCCCTACGACTGGAACTGGTGCGTCTCGCGCGTTCCCCTCCTTCGCCTCTTCCCTCTCCTCTTCCTCCTCCTCTCCCTCTCTCCCTCTCCCTTTGCCTCCCTCTTCCCATCTCTTCCTCCCTCTCGCCCCTTGCCCTCGCCGTCGTCGCGCTCGCGGACCCGTCCCTGACGACCTTCTCAACTCGCAGGAACTGGAACCTCGAGCTGCGGTACCTCAACCTGTCGGGCAACAAGCGCCTCGAGATCAAGCCGGGCCACCAGAACGACACGTCCAACCTGCCGCGCAACGCCAAGCGCCGCAACCTCGCCGACTTTAGCGCCCTCACGCGGCTGCACGTCCTCGGCCTCATGGACGTGACGCTCATGATCCCGTCGGTCCCGGACGAGAACGAGGACCGGCGCGTGCGCACGTCGCTGAGCGAGATCAACGACATGGGCTACGGCATCGCCGACACGCTCGGGCAGCGGTTCGACACGCTGTCGCTTGTCGACATCGTCATCCCGCGGTTCCGGTCCAAGGACGACGAGGCCATCTTTGGCCTGTTCGACGCCGTCAACAAGGGCCAGAACACGGGCGCCAAGCTCGTCAAGTACCTCCAGGACACGTTCTCGGCCGTCTTCACGCTCGAGCTGTCGCGCCTCAAGAGCGGCGAGGTGACGAGCGACGCCCTGCGCCGCGCCTTCCTCAACATCAACCGCGACTTTGGCAACCTCCTCCTGCCGTCGCTCGAGTCGCGCCGCAAGGGCTCCGAGATCAGCATCTCGGACCGCTCGGCGTCGTCGGTCAAGGCCGGCGCGGCCGGCATCATCGTCTACATCCGCCGCAAGCGCCTGTACGTCGCCAACGCCGGCAACGCGCTCGCCGTCATCGCCGGGCGAGGCGGCACGGCGCGCCTCATCGCGCAGCGGCACGAGCCGTTCGATGCCGGCGAGATCGCCCGCATCCGCACGGCCGAGGGCTGGATCTCGACGCGCGGGTACGTCAACGACGAGGTCGACATCGCGAGGTCGTTCGGCTTCTTCAACGTGCACCCGGCCATCAACGCGGCGCCGGCCGTCGACGAGATCGAGCTCACCGAGACGGACGAGTTCGTCATCATCGCCAACCGCGGCCTGTGGGACCACATGTCGTACCAGGCGGCCGTCGACGTCGCGCGCACCGAGCGAGGCGACCCGATGGCGGCTGCGGCCAAGCTGCGCGACCTGGCCATCTCGTACGGCTCGTCGAGCAACGTCATGGTCATGGTGCTCGCCGTCGGCGACCTGTTCAAGGCCAAGAAGGGCGGCCTGTACGCCAAGCACCGCGCCGCGCACGTCGAGGACGAGGGCTTCTACGGCGCACACAAGGCCCGTCGAGGTCGAGGCGGCGAGGAGGCGGCCGGCGAGCGGTACCTGAACCTGCTCGACCGCGAGGTCGCACCGCCGGTCGGCATGGTCGCGCTCGTCTTTACCGACATCCGCAACTCGACCGCGCTGTGGGAGTCGAACCCGGGCATGCAGACGGCGATCCGCATGCACAACCAGCTCCTGCGCCGCCAGCTGCGCGCCATCGGCGGCTACGAGGTCAAGACCGAGGGCGACGCGTTCATGGTCTCGTTCCCGACCGTCACGTCGGCGCTCCTGTGGTGTCTCACGGTCCAGCTCGAGCTCCTGCGCGAGGACTGGCCGCAGGAGATCCTCGACTCGGAGGAGGGCCGCGAGATCCTCGACTCGCGCGGCGAGACCCTGTACCGCGGCCTGTCGGTCCGCATGGGCATCCACTGGGGTGCGCCCGTGTGCGAGGCCGACCCGATCACGCGGCGCATGGACTACTTTGGCCCCATCGTCAACCGCGCCGCGAGGATCAGCGCCGTCGCCGAGGGCGGCCAGATCTCGGCGAGCCAGGACGTCGTCGAGATCATCCAGGACGTCGTCATGCAGCAGAAGCCCGGGCCCTCGAGCCTCGACTCGGACGACGGCGAGGACGACGACGAGAACGAGGACGAGTACCTCGACCCGCGCGACAAGCAGGACATTGCCGCCCTCAAGCGCCTCGGGTTCGGCATCACCGAGCTCGGCGAGCGCAAGCTCAAGGGTGCGTCCCTCTTCCTCCTCCTCCTACTCCTCCTCCTCCTCCTCTGCCTCATCGGAAGCCTCGACTGACCCCGTCTCGGCGCACAGGTCTCGAGTCGGCCGAGCTCATCTCGCTCCTGTGGCCCAAGGCGCTCAAGGAGCGCATCGTCCCGCCGGCGGGCGCCCTCGACGACTCGGCCGGCACCGCCATCGCCGGCAAGCGCAGCGAGGTCATCCAGGACGAGACGCCTCAGCTCCTCGACGTCAACACGATCAAGGGCCTCGGCAGGGTCGTGCAGCGGGTGCGCCCCTCTCTCTCTCTCTCTCTCTTTCTCGTTCTCGAACCTGTCGAGCGTGCGCCTGACTCTCGTCCTCCTCCTCCTCCTCGTGCAGCTCGAGGCGGTCTGCGGCGCCATCGTGCACGGCGTCGGCGACGAGGTCGCGCCGCACCTGCCCAACTCGTCGGCCCGGCCGTCGACGGCGCAGCAGCAGCAGCCGGTCACCGCCAAGCGCAAGACGCTCATCCACCCTACGACGCTCGCCTTCCCCGTGCGCGCCGACGCGACCGACGACGAGCTCGCGGCCCTGCTCGAGTCGTACGTCGTGCGGGTCGAGAACTGCCTGTCGACCTTGACGCTGCACCAGCTCGGCCCGTTCACCGAGGTCCTGAGCGCGCTCGGGCAGGCCGTGCGCCTCGACTCGCGCAGCGTCCTCATGGCGCTCACGCGGTTCTCGGCGGCGATGCAGGCGCAGCAGGCGCTGCAGCGCCCGCAGCACCCACGGTCGCCCGGCGGGCCCGTCCTCGGCCACCCGGCGTTCACCACGTCGACGACGGCGGGAGGCTCGAGCCCAGACACGCTCGGGTCGGGCGCCGTGACGCCGACGCCGCTGTCGAACCTTCCGCCGCCGGTCGGGGCGGTAGGGCCTCCTGGCGGCGGACTCGGGCTGCGCGGCGCAGGGCTGTGAGCCCGCCACCGTCCCTCTCTCCCTCTCTTTATCGCGTCCCTCTTTCCCTGTCTCTCTGTCTACCCCCTCCTGTTGAAAAGGGAGCGGCTCCGTCGTTGGGCCGCCCCGAGCGTTGGTCGTCGTCGTCGTCCGTCCTGTTGCACAACCTCGCCTTTCCTCTGGTCTCTCGTTTTCTTTGTCTCGCAGTACCAGTTCCTCGAGCCCTTGTAGGACCTATAGCCGTGCCCTGTATATCACCCTGTTCGCGCCAGGACTCGTGTCGAGCGTCGCGGCCGGGAGAAAAGAACAGGCGGCGCAAGCAAGCGCGGCAAGGCGACGCCGGTCCCGCCGCGGCCGCCGACGACGCGGCTCAACCTCTCGCCCCACTCGCTCGCCGGCACAGACCGCGCGTGCTTCTGCTCCTTGTACCCCGGCACACGACCTCCAGCACGACCCCGCCCCCGCTCCCCTCGCCGATGCCGTCCACCGCCGTCTCGCTCGGAGCCCTCGTGGCCGCCCTCGTCGCCGGCTGGTTCCTCTTCCTCCGCAACAAGGGCGACAGCAGCCCGGTTGCGCCTCTGCCCACCAACGGCTCGGCCGCCAAGCCGTCCGCCAACGGCGTTGTCGACACGGGCCGCGACTTTGTCGCGTCGCTCAAGCTCTCGGTGAGCCCCTCGCACTCGCTCCCCTTGCCCGACCACGCCTCGCGGGACCGCCGGTTGCAGCGCAGGACGGTCCTGGAGCTTGTGGGACCCGGTATAGGCGCGCGAGCGGTATCCGCCACGCCGCCGATGGTGCCGGCCCTCGCCTCCTCCGCCTCGCCGCTCGCGCGACCTGCAGCCACCCCCACCTCCCGATCGGCCTCACTGACGAGCTCCCTCTCCCTCCTCATGTCCACAGGGCAAGAAGATCGCCATCTTCTACGGCTCGCAGACCGGCACGGCCGAGGACTACGGCACCCGCATCGCCAAGGAGGCAAAGGCGCGCTTCGGCCTCTCGTCGCTCGTGTGCGACCCCGAGGAGTGCGTCGGCCTGTCCTCTCGTCCCTCTGTGTGTCCTGAAGGAGAGCAAAGACTAACCCGCCGACCGTTCCCGCAGCTACGACTTCGACAACTTGGACGCCGTCCCGGACGACTGCCTCGTCATCTTCTGCCTCGCCACGTACGGCGAGGGCGAGCCGACCGACAATGCCGTGCAGCTCATGGAGTTCCTCAAGGAGGACCCGCAGTTCAGCAACGGCGACAAGCTCGACAACCTGCGCTACGTCGTCTTCGGCCGTGCGTCCCTCTTTCCCTCTCTCTCTCTCTTTCTCTCTCTCTTGCGCTCGTTCAGGAGCTCACCCACTTTTCTCGCACCCTCGCAGTCGGCAACTCGACCTACGAGTACTTCAACGCCATGGCGCGCAACATCGACGACCGCCTGACGCAGCTCGGCGCCAAGCGCGTCGGTCCTCGCGGCGAGGGCGACGACGACAAGTCGATGGAGGAGGACTACCTCGCGTGGAAGGACGACATGTTCGCCGCCGTCCAGAGCGAGCTCGGCTGGGAGGAGGGCGCCGGCGGCGACGTCGCCGACTTCGAGGTCACGGAGCTCGACGAGGTCGACGACGCCAAGCTGTATCTCGGCGAGCTGTCGGCGCGCGCCCTCACCGGCACTCGCGGCGTGTTCGACGCCAAGAACCCGTACGCGGCGCCGCTCACCCAGGCCAAGGAGCTGTTCGAGGACGGCGACCGCAACTGCATCTTCGCCGAGTTCGACATCACCGACTCGGGCATCCGGTACCAGACGGGCGACCATGTCGGCGTGTGGCCCGTCAACCCCGAGGTCGAGGTTGAGCGCATGCTCTCGATCCTCGGCCTTCAGGACAAGCGCTCCAAGGCCATCGACGTCAAGTCGCTCGACCCGGCCCTCGCCAAGGTCCCGTTCCCGGTCCCGACCACCTACGAGACCATGTTCCGCAACTACCTCGACATCTCGGCCCCGGCCTCGCGCCAGTCGGTCGGCTCGTTCGCCAAGTACGCGCCGACGCCCGAGGCCAAGGCCATGCTCGAGAAGCTCGGCTCGGACAAGGCGTACTACCACGAGACGGCCGGCGCCAAGTGCCTGCGCCTGTCCGAGGTCCTCATGCTCGCCGCCGGCGACGCGCCGTCCGCGACGCCGACGCCCTGGTCCATCCCGGTCGACCGCATCATCGGCGCCATCCACCGCCTCCAGCCCCGGTACTACTCGATCTCGAGCTCGCCCAAGCTTCACCCGAACGCGATCCACGTCACGGCCGTCGTCCTCAAGTACGAGCCCGTCCCCGGCGCCAACAAGGTCTTCGGCGTCGGGACCAACTACCTCCTCAACCTCAAGCAGGCGGCCAACGGCACGCCGCCGTCGGCTCGCGAGGACGGCGCGCCCGTGTACGCGCTCGACGGCCCTCGTGGCAAGTACAAGAAGCACGACAAGCTCGCCGCGCCGATCCACGTCCGCCGGTCCAACTTCCGCCTCCCGACCTCGCCCAAGGTCCCGATCGTCATGGTCGGCCCCGGTACGGGCGTCGCGCCCTTCCGCGGCTTCATCCAGGACCGCGTCGCGCTCGCGCGCAAGGCGCGCGAGAAGGACGGGCCCGACGCGCTCAAGGACTGGGGCACGATCGACCTCTTTTACGGGTGCCGGCGCTCCACGTGGGACTTCTTGTACCGCGCCGAGTGGGACGAGTACGCCAAGGAGCTCGACGGCAAGTTCCGCCTGCACGTCGCCCTCAGTCGCGAGGAGGGCCAGCCCAAGGTGTACGTCCAGCAGCTCTTGCGCGAGGAGGGCGACCGCATCGGCCAAGCGCTCGTTCAGCAGAAGGGCTACGCCTACATCTGGTCCGTCTCCTTCTCCCTCTCTCTCGGTCTCTCTTTCTCTCGACGTCGCTCGTGCGCCTGCGTCGAGCCGGACTGACTCTCTCTTTTCCCTCTCGCAGCGGCGACGCCGGCAGCATGGCCAAGGCGGTCGAGCGTGAGCTCGCCACCATCCTCGGCAAGGCCAAGGGCGGCTCGGACGAGGACGGCGAGAAGGAGCTCAAGCTCCTCAAGGACCGCAACCGCCTCTTGCTCGACGTGCGTCCACTCTCTCTCTCTCCTTCTCGAGCACTTTTGGCGAGCAAGCACTGACTCTCGTCCCCCTTCCACCTTCTTCTCCTCGTCTACAGGTCTGGTCTTAGTTAGTGTCGGCCTCAGGGAGGGCAAGTGTCGAGAGAGGGCGACGAGAGAGGAGAAGGAGAACATGAATCAGGCGCATCCGCATCCAGCAGTAGATCCCCAGTTGTCGAATAGCTTCGCAGACTCTCGCTATTCAGTCACGTACACACATGCATGCGCTCTACGAGAGAAAGCGTCTCGTTGCTGTCGCGCCGCTCGTCGCTGCCGCTCGTCGCCGGCTGATCAACTGTTTCGCATTCCCTGCTCGCCGTGGCTGCTCTTGCTCTAGCGCGCTCTTGCAGTGCCGCTTCTCGCCGCAGACAGCGAGCTCGAGAACCGCGCATTGCAACGACAGAGCGCGAGAGAGCCGCTCTGACCAGGTCCGTGCGAGGCGAGGGACCGAGCGGCGACGCGCCACGCACCCTCGCCCTTGGAGCTCGCTCGGCGCTCTGCGCCAGTCGTGCAGTGACGGCAGCTCAAGCGCGCGTTCAGGGCGATCGACCCCAAGTGGAACCCGGCGCTCACGTTCGTCGTGTGCCAGAAGCGTCACCACGTGCGGTGCGTCCCTCTGTCCTCTCGCCGTCTCTCGTCGTCTCCCCCTGACTGACACGCCGAGCGCCGTCACAGCTTCTTTGCCGCCAACGCAGGCTACGGCGACCGCACGGACAACCTGCGTGCGTCCCTCTCTCCCTCTCTCTCTCGCGCGCGCGCTCTCGTTTGCGCTCGGCGAACCTCGAACTGACTCGTCGCGCCTCGTCAACAGCAGAGGCTCGTCAAGTACAAGCTGTCCTCGCTCAGCTCGCTACAGGTCCGCCCGGACTCGGCTTGCTGCCCTCCTTCGTCCCGCTCGCTTTCCTCGCGAGCAACGCCTCGTCGCTCCACTCGAGCTGCCCCTCGACGACCCACTTGTTCCGCTCGCTCGCGTCCTCGACCTCGTCCCACTCGTCTGCGCCCGCTGCCGCAGCTGCGCCACCCTCGGTCCTTCCTCGCTCGTCCCAACCCCACTCGCGCCTCCTCCCCTCGATCCCGACCTCCACCCACTTGCCCTCGCGCACGAGCCCTCTCCCGCTCGCCTTGCGCAAGAAGCTGCGGATCGTCGCTCGGCCCGAGTGCAGCCCGGCGACGATACAGACGCGTGCCGTCGGCGTCGGCGCGAGGAGCGCGAAGAGCGAGTCGAGGAGGGGAACGTGGCCGGCGGACGACCAGAGCGTGTCGGCGAGGATGATGCGGGTGAAGCGACGCTCAGGTTCGCGTGTCGAGGAGGGGGAGGCGAAGGAGGAGGAGGAGAGCAGGGCGGGATACGTGGCGGTGTCGCCCCACGAGTGACCTTGAGCGGAGAGGCTCGCTCGGATCGGGGCGTCGGCGGGCGAGGGAAAGGCGAGGTCGATGTTTGAGCGGAGGTTGGCGATCAAGGTCGGGTCGTTGTAGTCGGAGAGAACGACCTGGGTGCGAAAAGGCGATTGTGAGATGAGTTTAGGGTCGGGTCGACCGAGAGAAGTTGAGGATAGGTTCGGGGAGGAGGAAGAGCGACGCACCCTCTTCGCGCCCATCCGTGCCGCCATCAGCCCGCTGATACCGGCCCCTGCGCCCAGCTCGAGCACGTCCTCGCCCGCGACGTCGAGCTCGCCGAGAGCGAGCTTGTCGGCCAAGCGCAGCCCGCCGTCCCAGGCGTGGTGCGCGAACAGGCTGTTGACGGCTTGGGGCGGGAGGCGCACCGTGATGGGCGCAGTCGAGGTGGAGGCGGGAGGCGTGTAGGTGAAGAGCTGGTCGGGCTCGCCATGGGCGGGAACATGGTGGGCGAAGAGCGACGAGAGCGAGTCCGAGAAGAAGTCGAGGCCGGCGTCTGGCGAGGGGGAACGCGCTCGCCGGTGACTGGAGGCCATGTGGGGCGGAGCAGCCGTGCACTTGCGGTCGCGGTCGTGTCGAGAGAGCGAGAGCGCGGTGGGGAGGGGAGGTCGAAGGTGGGCCGAGGTCTGCACAACGCGAGGGGAGTCAGTCGGGGCACGTAGACTGAGGGACAGGCTGCCATACTTGGTGAAGGCCCGCTCACTGCCTCTACGAGTGTTGACGAGGGTGAGGAGCAAGTTAAAGATTGGCCGAGTGATGAACTCTAGAGACGCTCTCTCGAGACCGCGCAACTCTCTGTGCTGCTCGAGATGGGCCGAGTCGGTGGCTTCGAACTCTCTCTGTACGTTCATGGCCCGGCGTCCGCTTGGAGAGCCCCGAGGGAGCTCGCCGAGGGAGGTGGACGAAGCTGCTCCTCCTGTTCCTCCTCGATTGCGCCAGACTCGCCGTTTGCATGGCTCGCCGTGCTTCTGATCACTCTCGAGCGTGACGTGAGAGAGGAACGAGGTTGCGAGAAAGACTACAACGAAAAGCACGGCACTTGGGAACGATGAAAGCGCGACGACGACCTCCTCCTGCTCAAGCCCGACGACCTCCTCCTCAAGCCCGACGACGACGACGACGGGGTTCAGATGAACCACATGGTCTGCCCGAGGGGCATCTCGGTCTTGAACACGCGGTCGAGCTTGTCCTGGATGCCCTTGGGGCCGCGCTGGCGAGCCTTGGACGACCCGGACGAGACGGTCGACGCGTCGTCGTCGGTGACGAACGAGCGGGCCTTGGCGGCGACGATGTCGGCGTAGTAGGCAACCGGGACGAGCGAGACGGAGCGCGTGGCGCGGGCGAACGAGAAGCAGAGCGAGCTGCACGAGGGGAGGGGACGAGGTCAGGAACTGCAGGACGGCGTCGAGAAGAGAGGGACGCTGGACGTACTTGACGAGCTTCTGCAGCTGGTCGGACGTGTGCGCCGACTCGTCGAGGAGGACAATGTACCGGGTCGGCTTGGCCGTGCCCTTGAGGCCGCAGTGCGCCTGGCCGTACCAGTCGAACGCGTACGGGTGCGTCACGGTCGAGTCGACGACGAGGCCAGGAGCTGTCGACAAGAAGCGATGAGTCAGTGTGAGCTTCGCCGAACGCGAACGAGAACGAGAGAGTGGGGAGAGAGAGAGAGAGAGTGGAAGGGAGAGAGGGACTCACGCAGGTTGCCCGTGCGGTCGCCGTCGCCCGCGTTGGCGGCAAAGAAGCTGTGACGGCGCTCGGCGTTTCAGTCAGGAAGAGACGACGAGAGACGACGAGAGGACAAAGGGACGCACCGCACGTGGTGGCGCTTCTGGCACACGACGAACGTGAGCGCCGGGTTCCACTTGGGGTCGATCGCCCTGAACGCGCGCTTTGAGCTGCGTCACCTCCTCGTGCACGACCGGCGCGAACTGGCCTTCCGAGACGCCGTCCTGCGAAGCGTTGAGGCGTCAGGAGCGAGTCACGATAGGGGAAAGAGAGAGAGGGGAGGGAGAACGAGCGACGCACGCGGAAGAAGATGATCTTGGTCGGCTTGACGCCCTTGGCGTTGACGAGGTACTTCTTGACGAGCTGGACGCACATGTCCTCGAGGTCGGTGATGAACTCCTTGCGGCCCGCCTGCTCGCGCACCTGCGCCGCGTACTGCATGTCGGCCGAGTCGACGGCGCCGACGACGGCGGCAATCGAGGGCGCGACGTCGTCGCTGCCGGCGAGCGGGGTGCCGAAGCCGGTCGGGTGCGTGACGTCGGCGCCGAGGATGAGCGTCTTGCCCGCCGTGAAGCCGGGAAGGTCGCCCGGCGCGATGGTCGAGTTGACGCCGCCGAGCTTGGCGTTGAGCTTGAGGCAGACGTTGCCTGTGTGTCGGCGGATCAGTTGCTGCTCTGTCAAGCTAGTGCAAGGAGAGGGAGCGAGTAGGGAGGACAAGAAGGAGGCAGAGGAGGGGTTCAAGGAGGGGAGGTGAGCTCACCGCAGTACTGGTCGACGCCGCGCTCGTTGAACGCCTTCTTGACTGCGCAGGCGTGCAGGAAAGTCAGTAGGACGCCCAGATAGGCCGAGGGCGAGCCCGAGAGGTGAGGAGAGGACGCACTGAGGAGGACCTGGGTCGGGACGGCGACGGGCAGGTCGAACGCCGCCTTGCGCTTGATCTCGTCGTACTTCTTCGGGTCCTGTAGACGGGGGAGGAGGGGAGGAGAGTAGTCAGTGAAGGTGAGGAGGAACGAGAGCGGCAGGGCGAGGACGTGCGGCGAGCAGGCAGAAGACCATCTGCGGCGGGACGCCCTTGGGGTTCTTGGGCTGCGCGCGAGAGAGGACGTCCGACGATGTCAATACGTGTACGTCGAGGGGACGTCGAAGATGTAGAGAGAGTGGGGCGCACGTTGTTCATGATGATGGCGTTGCAGGCCTTCTTGAACGGCGAGACGAGGTCCTCGCGCCCGTCCCAGTACTGGAGCGTCTTGGGCGTGTCGTCCGTGATGCGCATGCCTGCGAGAGGACGAAAGAGAGGAGGCAAAACGGGCGAACGGGAGGGTCAGTGCGCCGGCTCGAGGAAGGGAGGACGGGTGCGAGGGAAAGAGGAACAGGCCGGGACGCACCGCGCAGCTTGGCCTGCTTCATCAGGAGGTCGAAGAACCACTTGATCTGGGCCTGCGGCGGCGCCTGGTTCGGCGGCGCGTAGACGACGATGCCCCAGTGCTGGAGCGCGGCGCCGGGAACGAGGAACTTGGACGCCGTGAGGTTCCACGCGCTGCGGGCGATGGCGAGGGAGAGGGTCAGGGCGGGCCCGACAGGTGACGAGGACCGAGGCGAGAGAGGACGGACCCGAACGCGACCGACGGCTTGGCCTTCTGCGACGAGGCGTGGTACATGACCTGGGGCGGCGGCAGGACGCGGCCCGTGAGCTTGAGCATCTGGGCGTCGACCTCGAGGCCCCACGCGGCGGCGCTCGACGTCGGGCCAAAGTCGGCGTCCTTGCGGATGGCCTCGATGGCGGCGCGGCGCTCGGCGGGCGGCTTGGCCGAGACGTTGATCATGTTGGCCGCCTGGTTGGCCGTGAGCTTGGTCGGCGGGATGACGGTGCCGTGCACGAGCTCGAGGCAGTCGATCGGGACGAACATGCCGCCGCGCAGCTCGACGCACTGGAGCGCCTTGTCGACGTTCTTCTTGTAGGTCTTGAGGAAGTAGTCGGCGACCGTCATCGTCGTCGACTGGACCGGCGTCTTCTCGCGCTCGGGCAGCGGCTCGCCCTTGGCGGCGAGCTGGGCCGCCTCCTTGGCCGTCGTCTTGGGCGCGCCCTTGGGGCCCTTCTTGGAGCGGTCGGCGATCGACACCTGGTGGCGGCCGGCGGGCTGGCCAAAGCCGACGATGGCAAAGATGTGGCGGTCGGCGCGGTGCGTGACGCGCACCTTGGCGCCCTTGAGCTTGCGCTTGAGCTGGTGCAGCTCGGCATCGGTGAACGGCGTCGCGACAGGAGGGCCGCCCGAGCCGCCGAACCCGCCGCCGCCCCTGCCGCCGCCACGACCGCCCCTCGCGCCGCCGCGACCACCGCGGCCGGCCGGACCCGACGACGAGCCGCGGCCGAGGATGGCGTTGGCGACCTCGAGGACCTTGCCCGTGACGATGTAGGGCGAGAAGGCCGTGTCGGCGTTGAGGACCATGCCGATCGCGGCCGGCCGGACCCGACGACGAGCCGCGGCCGAGGATGGCGTTGGCGACCTCGAGGACCTTGCCCGTGACGATGTAGGGCGAGAAGGCCGTGTCGGCGTTGAGGACCATGCCGATTGCGGTGGGGCGGACCGACCTGCTCGACGACGCAAAGAGAGAGTCAGTGACGCTGGGGATGGACGATGTCGCGCGCGAACGCGTGCGGATAGGGAGAGGGACGCGCTGGAACAGGCCGGCGAGGAGCTGCCCACCCTCGCCGAGGGGCGTGACCTGGAGCTTGCTGAGGAACTTGCGGCCGCCGGCGCCAGGGATAAAGTCGTCGCGGCGGAACATGCTGTGGCGCAGGAGGATGTCGAGGGCCATGATGGCGGTCGCGGCGAGGTCGCTCATGTTGGCCGCCTTCTGGTGCGCGCAGAACTGCTCGAGGATGCCGACCTAGATGACCTGGGCGAGCTGGAGCTTGACGTCGAACAGGCGCGGCGGGCGCTCGGCCGTCTCGGCCTCGAGCGAGACGCGGAAGACCTTGACGCCGTTGGCGAACGCGAGGTTGCCGAGGCAGAAGGCGTTCTTCTGGTTGTCGAACGCGGCGCTCTTGAGCTGCTGGCCGAGGCCGTCCGGGTTGGACGCGACGAGGGCGTCCCACACGGCGATAGACGTCTCGCGGTTGATGCCCGTGCCCGCCTTGGCCGGCCCGTCCTTGACGGCGACGATGTTGACGTCGTAGTGGGCGATCGAGGCTGACTTGCGGAACTCGATCTTGTACAGGTTGGCGTACAGCTCGATGCGACGGCCGAGCGTGCCGCCCTTGTCGGGGCGCTTGGCGAGGACTGCAGAGGGAGGACGAATTGTCAGGGCGAGCTCGTTCGACGTCTGTTCGAGTTGTGCGAAGCGCAGGCTAGGCTGCCGAGGGGGAGAGTCGCTCGTCGCTGTGACAGGTTGCAAGGGGCACGCATACCCCAGTGCGCTCGCTGTCGCCACCGACGGGCGAAGGGGGGGCGGCGTGTGGGGGAGGTGGGAGGAGAGGGGGAGGGGACGCACCGACACCAGACGCTCCGGGGTCGCCGAGGGAGGTGAGGGTGAGAGCGCGGAGCTCCTCGGTGAGGCTGTTGGCCGACATGCTGGCCCTGGTGCGCTGGCGGTCGAGCGAGGTCGAACGGGAGATGAAGGTCGGAAGGCGGGGAGGCTGAACCGGGGCGGTGGCGGCTTGGAGGCGCTGCTGGACGGGTGCGCCGAGGCGGCTGTCGGTGCTGGAGTGGGGCTCGGTCAAAGCCTGGCACTCTCGAGCGAGGCGACACGGAGGGAGGTAGAAGCGGGGAGAGCTCGTCGTCTTCGTCCGTCTCCTCAACACACCGAGCTCGTCATGGCCAGCCCGCTCGACGTGAAGCGCCTGCACGGCCTGTACCAGGTCATCGGCCATGTCGGCAGCGTCGAGCTCGACCACCCGCTCGTCTGCCTCGCCCAGGTCGAGCGTCGCCCGTCCTCGTCTCGCTCTGGTTCTCCCGACCCGCTCCACCTCGGCGACATCGAGTGGGTCGTAGCCCTCGGCACCCAGAAGACCTCAACCGCCGCACCGGCGACCAAGCGCCGCAAGAAGCAGGGCACTGTCGACGTCTGGTGGGAGGCTCGCCTGTGTGGTCGCGAGGTCGACGACCTCTTCCAGCAGGTGCGCACGACTTTCTCCTGGTCCCTCACTAGCTCGAGACTGACCCAGGTCCTCGTTCGCAGGTCCCAAGCGCCGCCGTCAAGCCCGAGGTCATGCCGGCGAGGGTGCGAGAGTGCTGGAGCGCAGGAGGACTCGCCGTGAGCGGCTACATCGAGGGCGAGGAGCCTCGCGGGGGCATCGAGGTGCGTCTAACACGATCTACTTCGTTTGCGCGAGCCCGAGCGGGAGCCTGACGCCCTGTGCGGCCGCAGCTCGTCATGCAGATCACGCCGACCCTGCCCCTCACTCTCGTCCTCACGCCGTGCGACGACCCGCCTTTCTCGATGACCGACATCCTCAGCCACGTGAGCGCCACTCTTCTTCTCCTCCCTTAGTGCCGCCGTGACTGACGGCGGCCTGTGCGTGCGCAGATGATCAACCCGTTCCTGTCGGCCACTCAGCACCGAGTCGACGCCGCCAACTCGCTCAAGCAGCTCGAGCGCCTCAACGCCGAGCACGACAAGGTCTGCAAGCTGCTCGAGATTGAGCGCGACGCCAGCAAGCGGCAGCGGCGCGTGCCCGGGACGCAGCTGCGCCACTTTTCGGGCGACTCGGCGAGCGGTCCAAGCGGCGGCGCGCCGTTCGGGCGCAGGAGGAGCAGCCAGGAGCAGAGCCAGGGGGCGAGCCAGGGGTCGGTGCTCGGCGGTGGGACGCCGCAGAGCCCGACCGAGGAGCGCGACCTGTCGCTCAGCCCGAGCAAGGTCATCCCGGGAGGTGCGTCCCCCTCTCTCTCCCTCTGCCGCGTTCCCTTGCCCAGCCCTGACCTCCCTTTTGCTCGCAGTGACACACCGAGGCGTCCTCAAGCCCGGCGACCCGGGCTACGCCGGTAGCTCGCGCCGGATCGGCCGCGTCGTCGAGGACACGCCCTGGGACGAGGAACCGCCGACCGACTCGGACTAGGGCGCCGTTCTCTCTCTCTCTGTCTCTCGGCCATGCTCTATCTGTTGTTGTGCCCTTACCGAGCCTCTCGACTGCAATTACCTTTCTGCGAGAGCGCCGCGAGAGAGCTCGACTGCGGAACGTGCGAGAGGCTCGAGATAGCTTGCCCGCCGCTCTACCACCCATCTCCTCGCTCCTCCTCGTCCTCGTCATCGTGCGCCGCCGAACCTGCCGCCAACGACGCCGTCTTGACGCCGGGCAGGACGCCGATGTGGTCCCACGACGCGAGCCCGGGCGACAGCGCCGCCGCGTAATCCACTGGCGCCTGCGCCTGCTCCTCCAATACATCGCCGTGCTCCTGCTCCTGCTCGTGCTCCGAGCCGCACGCGTACAGCTGCCCGTCCTCGCCCTCGTAGTAGCGCGCGCCGTCGTCGTCGTCGACGGGATCGTGCAGCGGCGAGAGGTACGCATCCTCCTGCGCCGGCTCGGTGGCGACGGCGTGCTCGCGACGTTTGGTGCGCCGAGAGACGCGCGACGACGCCTCGGTCGAGAGGGTCGAGGTGGACGGGTTCGAGCGGTGCCGAGACGGGCGGGACGACGAGCCGTGCGACGAAGAGGGGCCGTGCGAGTCGGCTCGGGGCGAGAGCGGGAGGGGGACGAGGTGGGCATGTGCGTCGTCGCGCTCGAGCGAGGGGTGGAAGGTGGACGAGGTCGCCCCGTCGCGATGGCGCCGCCGCCGAGAGCTGCCCTCCTGGCTGCCGCTGTCGGCGCTGCGGTGCGAGGTGCGACTCGTGCCCTCCCTGCGCGACCGCCGCACATGCTGCCCGAATATTGCCTCGTCGACGCCGTCTCCTTCCTCGCCGATGGCGAACAGGGCGGCGTCGCCCGTCTCGTGTCGGCGACTGCGCGAACCGCTCGACGCCGACGACGCGAGCGAGCGGTCGCTCTTGCTCCCTCGCCGAACACCCGTGTGGACGTCGAGGAAGGGCGACGCCGGCAGCTCGGCCGGCTCGGCAGAGGCGCCCGCCTCGAACTCGTCGACCGAGATGCCGAGCTCGCGTGCGCGGCGGCGCGCTTGGCGGCGCGCTCGGCGAGCCTGGCGGTCGTCGTCGCCCCCGCCAGAGATGGCGCTGTCGGACGCGGAAGACGGGGCGAGGGTGCCGGGAGGTGCGAGGGCGGGAACAGGGGAAGGAGGAGCGAGGGCGGCGCCGGTGGGCGGGGCTGGCGGCAGAGCGACGTCCTCGAGGCCGAGCGCAGCCGTGTCGACGATGTCGTCAGGGTCGAGTCGAGCGGCCGCCTCTCGCCGTTGGCCGTCGCCGTGCTGCGCGCCCGGCTCGTCGCGCTCGTCGTCCGAATCGTCGAGCCGAATCTCGCCGCCGCCGCCCCGCCACCAGCTCTTAAAAAGCGTCCACCTCGTCAGGCCCGAGCCCTCGTCTGCTCCGCCGCCCGAGATGTCCCCACCCCTGCCCCTCGCCGTGCGCCGCCTTGACGCGGCCGCCGAGAAGTCGCCGCCGCCGATGCCCTCGTGCAGGCTCAAGAGGTCGGCCTCGCGGCGTGCGTCGCGCGCCTCGTACTCCTGCCAAGTGCGAGGCAAGCCGGAGGAGGCGCTGGGCGAGACCGACGGGCGCGTTTGCGCGTACCAATCGCGCGCCGAGTCTGGGTTGAGGGACTCGGACGAGGGCGAGAGGGCGAGGCGGCGCGGGAAGCAGCAGCACAGGGGAGCGCACACTGCCCGGATGCGGTCTGCTCGCGAGAAGTTGTCCATGCCGAGTGGACGGTGGTGGCTGGCGAAGGTCGAGGTTGAGGGAGGTTGTGGGGTCGACGAGGAGGATGGGCCGACGAGCCGCGTTCGAGGCGGTGCTGCAGGCGCGTGCTGGTGCCGAAGAGATGCTGCTTGCGATTGCGGTCAAGCTTGCGCACGCTGTGCGAGTCGAGAGGTCGAGGGAGACGCGCAAGGCCAAGCCGGAAGCCGGCTTCCTCGTCGCTCGGGCTCACCTTTCTCGCACCGGGCTTTCGCTGCACAGGGTGCTCCAAGGAGAGAGATACTCAAGGACGCGGGCGAAGTACAACAAAGAGCTCGAGTTGCGTCGCAAAGTGACCAAAGCTGCTGCTCCTCCTTGTCCGAGTCGTCCGCCTGCGTCCTCGACAGCCGCGCGCACCCGCCGCGCACCTACTGCGGGAGGTGCTCCGTGACAAGGTGGTCCTGCAGCCCCTCCTTGGTCGACGTGACCGCGCCACACGGCTGCGCCTGCGACTCGGTGCCCGTCCTCCACTCGCACCGGAACTCGTCGACGGGGAGCATCGTGCTCTCGTTGGTGCTCGGGGCCGACGATGGCGGCATGGGCGCGTCGAGGGCGGCGGGAAGAGGGTGCACGAGGTCGCGGGCGCCGAGGCCGAGGGACGCGACGGGCACCTGCGACGGGAGCTGCGAAAAGGTGGCCGACGTGTTGATCGTGCTCGGCTCTTGCTCCTCACTGTCGTCGGCAACGCCGTCCACCTTGACGTCGTCGTCGTCGTCGTCGTCGCCCGAACCGACGCCGTCGAGCGGGAGGCCCTGCGCCAGGTCGGCCGCGTCCTTCTGCTCCTGGGCGAGTCGCGCGACGTGCTCGTCCCACTTGGCCGCCTTGTCGCGGATGCCGTGCTCCTGCGTGCGCTTGCTCTCCTCCTGGTAGTGGCGCAGCTGCTGCTTGACGCGGGCGTACTCGGTCTTGATCGTCTTGATCTGGCCGGCGTAGACGAGCTCCTTCTGCTTGAGCCCGGTGTCGAGCAGGCCGCGCAGCTTGGCCGCCTCGGCCTCGGCGACGCGAGCCTCGTTGGCTCGCTCGACAGCTGCGCCCGACGCGGCTTGGTACTGCGCCTGCATGTACGACAGGTCCGACTGGGTCGACTCGCGCGACGCGAGGAGCGACTTGTTGGTCTTGGTGAGCGCCTGGCAGTCGACCTTGAGCTTGGCGACCTCGGCAGCAAGAGGGCGGAGCGCGACGAGCTCGACCTCGTGCGCCGAGCTCTGCTGACGAAGACGTTCGACCTCCTGCTCGAGCTGCTCGCGAGTCTGCGGATTCGGTCGATGGTCTGCCGTCAGACGAGGCTCACGTACATCGAGAAGGAGGGAGGAGAGAGACAGAGAGGGACGCACCATGGTGGATGGCGCAGGAAGAGCTGGCGGTGGAGGACGAACCGGCGATGACATGGCGAGCGTTGGGACCGCCTCGACGGCCGGCGTCAGGCCCCTCGGGCGAGCGGCCGTGTGCGACAAAGAGCGCGCAAAGTCGACAGGGACTTTGCCGACGACGGCGCGCTTGAGCTGGAACGTGCTCTGGTGCGTGCGGAGGATGATGAAGTCGACCTTGTCGACGCCGTCGACCGTGACGTGCCGCAACTCGAACGCCCAGAACTCGCTGCGCATGAGCGGCGCCGTAGAAGAGGCTGCGCGGGGTGTGAAAAGCGTGAGAAAGGTCGCGCGAGAGATGGTGAACGGCTCGGACGTACTCGAGTAGGTTTTCGGGTCGCGCAGGAAGCGCTCGATCTCGACCTTGGTCCCGTCTTCCTCGACGATGTGCGGCGACATCTTGACGAGCGCGACGACCTCGTCGGCCTTGCCCGCGCCCGGCGCCGGCGAGCTGTTGCGCGAGATGAAGCCGCTCGACCCGCCGACGCCTCCGAGGGACGGGCTGACCGGCGCGGCGGTTGCCGCAGGGGCCGAGGGCGGTAGAGGGGATGGGGAACGGTGCGCGCCGGCGGGTGCGCCGACCGGGGAGGAAAGGCCCGTGGAGAAGACGACGGGAGAGGACGCGGCGGCAGGAGGAGGGGACGCGCGAGCTTGGCCGAAAGGATCTTGACTCTGGACGCGTGCGAGGGACGGCGAGGCGAGCGCGACGGGGCCTGCGCTTGTCGGCGGCGGCGGCGCGTGAACGTTGAGCGCGGGTGGACGAGCGCCGAATGGCGGCCCGTACGAGCTCGAGTAGCTGAACGCCTGCGGCGGGGCGATGCCGTACGGCGAGGGGATCTGGCCCGACAGGTTCGAGTACGGCGAGTGGGCGTGGGCGGCAGCCGGGTAGCTCTGGGGCTGGGGCGACGACTCGGTGCGCGCCTTCTTGTTCGCCTCGCTCGCGGCGTCCTCGAGGTCGCGCTTCGACGGCGGCGGCGGCGCAGCGACAGCGTGCGGGTGGCCGTACGGCGCAGGCAGGATGGGCCGGTAGCCGCTGCCCGGGAACCCTGGCGCCGAGCCGAAGCCGTAGCCGCCGGGGAGCGACGGCGCGCCGGTGTACCCGTAGCTCGACGACGACGACGCGCCGCTCTGCGGCTGCTGCTGCTGCTGCTGCTGCTGCTGACTCTGCTGATCCTGCTGCCCGCCGCTCCACGAGCCCGCTGCACCGTAGCCCGTGTAGCCGTGCGGCGCCGAGCCCTCGCCTGCGTCCTGCTGCGGAGCGACCGGCCCTGCGCCGACCGTCTCGCCCGCCGTCGGCAGCACCTGCTGGGTCGACACGGCGCCGCCCTCGTAGTCGAAGATCTCGTCGAAGAACTCGCACTGGCGCTCCTCGTCGTCGGCGCCGCCCTGGGTCGGCGCAAAGTGCTGCGCTCCATCGTCGACGACCTCGGGCGACGCAGGGCGCACACGCGCGTGAACGGCGACGCCGGGGCCCGCCTCGAGCTCGACGAGCGCGTCTGGCGCGCGTGCGAGCGGCCGCTTGACCGCCGGCGCGGTGACGAGTGGGCGCGAGTGCGACCACGAGCCCGACGTGCTCGAGCCCTGGATGGCGGACATCTCTGCCGAGCTCATCGGCAGCGAGACGTACGACGCGGCCGTTGCCGAGAGGACCTCGAGCTCGAAGGAGCTGAGCGGGCTCGTGACCTCGCCGTGGTCGGCCGAGACGAGCTCGAGGCGGGTCTTGGCGGGTCGTGGTCGCGGGCTCGCGTGACGCGGCGACGGGTTGCTCTGCTGGCGGCGGAACGGCGAGCGTCGAGGGGACGAGTCGGGGTCCTCGATCGGGTCGAGCTGAGACGAGCGGACGACGATGCTGTCCGCGAGCTGGAACGCCGAGACGGCCGGGATAGGGACGGGCCGAAGGTGCGCGACAGGCTCGGGCTCGTGCGACGAAGTGCGGTCGTGGTCGTTGTGCTGGAGCGGGTCGAAGATGGCGACGTCGTCGTCGCCGTCGTCGGACCGCCGGTCCTCGACGTCCAGATGGCTCGACGCGGGCGAGTGCATCGACGTCTGCGCCGTGCTGGCGAACGGCAGAATGAGCGACGGCGTCGAGTGATCGAGGAGGGGTGGGGCGGCCTGCGAGTCGGGAACGACCGAGGCCGTTGTCGACCCGGACGAGGCGGCGGGCTCGTCGTTGTCGTCGCGCCCGCCCGACTCGGGCTCGGGGTTTGCGGCTGCTGCCGACTCGGTCGAGTCGTGCTCCTCGGTGGCGCCGTTGTTGTCCAGCTCGTCCTCGTCGCCGCTCAGGACGAGGTCAAAGGCGACGCGCTTTTTCGACTGGACCGGCTGCGGCTCGACGAGGTCGACGAGGTTGGCGGTGGTGGCCTTGACCTTCTTCTTGAGTGGCTGCGACGACTGCGACGACGTGTCCGACTCGGGTGCGACCATCTTGCGCTTTGCCGCGCTGCGGACGGGCGGGTCGTCGGCCTTGAAGGCGGGCATGCGAGACGACTGCGTATCGCGAGTACATCAGTAAAGGGCACGAAAGGAGAGAGATGCGGGTGGGACGCACCGATGCCGTGCTGCTAGCGGGCTTCTTGCGCTGCGTCTTGACCGCCCTTGCCGCCCTCGCCGCCTTTTTGGCCTCCTGCCGCTCCTCCTTCTGATGCCGCTTCTCCGCCTTCATCTCAGCGCGCCCCACCTCCCTCCAGTGTTGGACGAGCTGCGCGTTGGCGTTCTCCTTGGGCTCCTGCAAGGCGGGCGACGAGCGAGGGTCAGTGCCACGCCGAGACGGTATGGACGCGACGAGGACGCAAGGCGCACCCAGGTCGGCTCCCACGGCTCGCCGTTCTCGTCGGTGCCCTTCCACGAGATGCGGTACTTGGTCGCAGTCGCGTCGAGCTGCTCGGGTGGACGTCGCCGAAGGAGAGTCAGTCTCTGCGGGCACGAGGTGAGGACTGGGAGAGCAGGGACGCACGATGGCGTCGGCCTCCCAGAAGCCCTGCGAGTCGACTTGGGCGCCGTCCTCGTCGTCGTCCTCGTTGGACGAAGCTTGCGAGAGCTCGCCCGAGTCGCCGCCGGCTTGCGTTGCCGGGTGCACGACGAGCGAGTCGTCCTGGTTGGCGGCACGGGCCGATCTGCAGAGCGCGCACACCGGTGGAGAAGGCAGGCGAACACGTCGTCAGTGACTGTGCGGCACGCAAGGACGAGGAGACGAAGACGCGTCCTCCTGCGGGCGGTCGCCGATCTTGTTTTGGCCGCCCGAGACGGACGACAGGGGGAGAGAGCGCGACTCACAGGCTTGGGCGGCACGGCATAGTGTACACAGCGCGCGCGTACTCCTGGCGGTCCTTGAACGGGGCGCGAACGAGGCGGACGGCAGATGAAGGCGATGAACAACGAGGAGCCGCCTCGGCGCTCGATGTGGACGCGTAGAGCGCGACAGGCGGCGCACAGAAGCTCGAAAGAGGTGCTGCTGTTGGCGGCGACGCGCAGATGCGGTGTCGTCGAGGGGTGGAGCGTCAAAGGCTGCTGGCCGCGGAGCGAGGAGGCGAGCGGGGGGGCGTTTCACTATTTCTGCACGAGGCCGGCTTCTCTCGGGTCGTGCAGCTCGGAACTCTGCGCAGACGTTGCAGCAAGAGGTAGAGGGAAACATGCGAGGAAAGGGACAACACGAAGGAGGCCGAGGGGAAAGTGCGAGGGGAGGGGAAGCTGGAGTGCGTGTCTATAGAGGGCGAGGGAGGGTGGGCGCAGAGCGTATGTACAAGGGAGGAGGAACGGCGAGGGGGAATGCGTGTCTGTCCGTGTCGAGGACGCCGCTCAGGGCGTGACCGACTTGCCGGCGACGGGCCTTCCAAGTTCATCGTCGAGCGTCGTGCTGCTCCGAGAGGTGGCGCCGCGCTCGAGCGAGTCGCCTCGGGGTCGCCGAGCGTCGAGGTCGTCGTCGTCAGGCCCGAACCCTGCAGGGCGAGGCGACGGCGGCTTCTCGCCGGGCGCCAAGGGCGCACTGGCCGGAGCGTCGACGACGCTGTCGCCGTTCAAGGCGCCGCGGTGCCGGCGCCGGTCCTTGATGCCCCGCACGAGGAAGATGCACAGCTGGACGAAGTCGACAAAGAGGAGGACGGCGAACAGGACGACCGAAACCGAGATGATGACGAGCAGGACAGCTCCGATGGCGACGCTGCGAGGTCGAGAGCGAGTCAGTCGTAGACCGAGAGAGACAGACGACGGCAGAGAAATGAGGGCGCACCGGACGATCTCGTTGAGCCCGATGCTCTCGTTGAACGGGATGAGGGCGCCGGCGATGACGACGCGAAGGAGCGCCCAGAAGATGTGGGTCCCGTTGCTGCTCTTGTCCTCGTACGGCGACCAGATGCACAGGGCGAGGAACAGGAGCGCCTGGATGGCGAGGACGGCGACCGTCTGGGTCCAGCCCGAGTTGCGCGCGAACCCGACGAAGAGCGCGGTAACGAACGGTGCGACGACGAGCTCGACGAGGCCGAACCACCATGCTCGGCCCTTCCACCAGTTGCGCCGCTTGGCCGTCGACCGGCGGCTGCGCACCTTGTACGCGTTCCAGAGCGGGCTGTACGGCGCGAGGCCGCTCGCGAGGAACCGGCCGCGCTCGTGCGTCTCGACCTCGCGTCGCTCCGCCTTGCGCAAGGCGCGCTTCGGGTCGGGGTTTGGCGAGACGGGAGGAGACGAGGGCGTCGGACCGAAAGGAAAGGTGAGGACGGGGGGTGCGTCGAACGTCGTCGGGTCCTCGATCGAGCCGTACGAGGGGCGGAAGGAGCGACGGGCGAGGACGAAGAAGCGGAAGGCGAGGAAGAGGATGGCGGCCGTCGTAAAGACCGTCGTCAAGACAGACAGGACGATGGGCGCCCAGGACTGTATGCGTGAGGGAACCAGGGTCAGTCGGGCCGGACTGCGAAGACTGAGAAGGCGAGAGGGCGTACGTCGGCCGAGCCGATAGTCCACTGGAAGAACGACAGGAGGAGGATCGGGTACCAGGCGACAAGAAGCTGTGCACGTGCAGGCAGCGAGTCAGAGTACGCTCCGTTTGACGAGGCCGAAGCCGAGAGAGAGAGAGAGGGGACGTACGAGGCGGAAGGTGCTCGCCCGCAAGACTGTCGCGAAAGGCCCGCTCGTCCTCGTGCGCACCCCGCCCCACTTTCCGCCGCTCGAGCCGTACGCCGTCTCCCTCACGCCCGCCTCGCCGCTCAGACCGAGCCGACGCCGACGCCGCTCGGCCTTCCTGCCCTTGACGCAGCGGACGAGCGCCCACAGCGCCCCGCCGACGAGCGCGAGCGCGATGGCGATGGCGCACAAGAAGAGGAAGTTGATGAAGGTGATCATGAAGCCGTCGAACGGCGAGATGTCGAGGTTGACGAGGTAGTGCGGGAGGCCGTACCGCACAGAGTCGATCGTGCTCGAGTTGGTCACGTCGGGCACGACGATGGCGTCGGTAAAGGGGGCGTCGCCGTCGGGCGTTGACGAGGTCACGCCGAGCTGGCGACTGACCAAAGTCGAGGCGACCGAGAGGCCGCGGGCGCTGAGCGACGGCGGTGCCGACGACGACGCCGGCGTCCCGCTCGAGATCGACTTGGCCAACTCGGTGAAGATGGCCGACGCGACCTCGGGCGCCGACGGGAGCGTGACGACGTCGCGCGAGAAGATGCTCTTGAGGGCGTCGGTGCCGCCGACGAGCGTGCTCGTCCCGGCAATCTGCGTCAGGTTGCCGCCGGTCGCGTTGCGCATGCGGTCGATCGAGCGGATGACCGGGTTGATGCGGATGAAGCCCAAGCCCCACGCGAAGTTGGCCGTGAACGCCTCGTAGATGCGCGGGTACTGGACCGACAGGAGACCCGTCGTCGCGACGAACTGGACGAGCGACATGAACAGGAGGAGGCGCTCTTTGCGACGACCGAGTGACGCCCACAGGGCGTTGGCGTGCGGCGACGAGGCGAGGATGGCCGTCGAGGGCCAGACGAGGGTGCCGACGAGGAACCACAGGGCCGACAGGAGGGCGCAGAACATGGCGACGCCGCCCAAAGCCCAGCTGACCGACGCGAACCGCGCCGTCTTGCCGTTCGACAGCTCGACGCGCAGGCATGCTGCCTCGCTGTTGTCCTCGACGCGCAGGAGACGCACTGCGGGAAGAGAGGGGTGAGTCAGGTTGCGCTCGAGCCAAACGTTGGCCTCACTCAGCGGGACGCACCTGTCGCGGTCGCCTCGAGATCTGGGATCCAGTAGCCGATGCCAGGAATGTCGATCGAGTCGCCGACCTCGGCGGGAAGAGGCAGGGTCGCCGAACCGACAAAGTCGTAGGTCGGGAGTGGGCACAGGATGCCGCCGAGGAGCGAGCACAGGTCGATCGTCGTGTTGACGGCGTCGATGCCGTACGCGTCGAGGCTAAACTCGAGCTTGGCGTCTGCAGGCCCGGGCGAGGTCGAGGTCAGCTTGTCCTCCTCGACGAGGTGCCGCAGGGTGGGAGTTCCGCCGCCTCCCGCCGCCGTCCTCCGCCAACGCTCCGGACACACGCCGCCGCTGAACCTCGCACCGCACGCGAGGCGACCGACCGTGCCGCGCCGGCGTGAGGGCCGAGTGCACCGCCCCGCCGAACCCTCGCACCCGTGCACGTCGCGAAAAGGGGAGCGTCCACGCACTCAGGTTGGGGTCGACCGATGCCGCTCTGCAGACACAGGGGTACACAGCGTCAGCTTGCGGTCCTGCAACGGTCTGCGCACGAGGAGGAGGAGGGGGCGACTCACGAGATGTCGAACGAGATGGTGCCGGCGCCCGAACCGAACAGCGTCTCGTCGGGGAAGTACTGCAGGAGGAACTGGTCCACCTCGATGGCCCGGGCATCCGAGCAGTAGCTGACGGCCCTGGCATCTGCAAGGGCGGGGCGGGAGAGGCGAGCGATGTGAGCTTCTCGGCCTCGACGCGGACAAGGAGAGGGGGAGGAGGGACGCACAGAAGCGGCGCCTGGCGTGGGCCTGGCTGGCGAGAGAGAGCAGGACGAGGGCGTGCAGCCCTGCGAGCAGCCGCATCGAAGTCACTGGTGGCGAGCAGTGCGCGGTGGTCGGCAGGAGATGAGGTCGAGCTGAGCGCTGCGACTCTGTCGTCCGCCTCGAGCCTCGGCGAAGGGCTTTGTCCTCGTCGATCGACCGTGCGAAACGCGCCCTCGCTCGCAGCCGCTCGGCCTTTTCACTCGGCGCCCTTTGCCCCCTTCTCCGCGTTCGCGGGGGCCGACGATGAGCTCATCGTTTGCACCGGTCCAGCTCGAAACGTCCGCCGTCTCTCCTTGTCGGCCCTGTGTGCGTGGAAAAGCTGCGCTTGCAGAGCTCGACACAGTACCGCCTCCGTGCTCGGCGCGCTGCCGAGCGCGCAGACGCGACAGACTGCCGCTCGTCGGCGCTCGCGCTTCTCTGCTTCGCACGAGCCTCTTGCTTTGCTTCGCTCTTGCTCTCGCACGCTCACTTCTTCTCGAACGCAAGCCATCGAGAGTGTCATGACGAGAACTGGCAATAACAGCGCCGCGAGGCGCGCAGGTCGAGGAGAGCTACAAATACAGAACCCTGGCGAGCCAACTCGCAATGCGCGCGCGCGCGAGAGCGCCATTCACTTGAGAGCCCGAGACGCTCCGGCCTCTGCGACTGGCTCAGTACGAGTACCGGAAGCCCGGGAGCTTCTGCCCGAGCGCCTCGATCTCGGCCTGCGTCTTGCCCTCGATGCGCCAGTCGTCGCGCCCGTTGGCCTTGGCCCGGTTCTCGCGCACCTGCCACGCCCACAGGCCGGCGGCGAGGAAGAGCATGACGGACGAGCCGCACAGGTTGAACGCGTTGCCGGGAACGTAGCGCGGCGCGGCGTTGGCTGCGAGTCGGAAGAAGGGTCAGCGCGGTCCGTGCACCTGTCACCCGGCTTCCTCGTCGGCCGACGTGTTTTCTGTCCCTCATGAGAGGGGAGGAGAGAACAGGGGACGCACGCAAGAAAGTCCACGTCGAGACGAGGCCGCCGCAGTTGCCGAAGAAGACGACGGTGCCGAGAGCGCCGGCGCGAGCAGTGTCCGAGGTGACGTTGGCGGCCGCCCATGCCGTGCAGAGAGCGCCGAACGAGAAGGCGCCGATGGCGACCATGAACGCCTGCACGGGCGAGAGGAGGGTCAGTGTGTGGACGAGGATTCACGGGAAACCGAGAACGGGTTCTCCACGTACGGCGGTGTAGCGAACGTGCGGGTCCTGCGTCGCGAGGTACATCGCGTAGCCCAGGATCATGAACGGCGCCGAGAGGACCATGTAGAGGCCGCGCTTCTTGGTCTTGAACGAGAGGTAGCCGGTGAGGAGGGTCGTGAAGGCGCCGACGACGTAGGGCGGGACCGTGCGCAGCTGCTGCTGCACCGTCGTCAAGCCCGGATAGATGGTGCGGATGATGGTGGGCTGCATGCGGCGAGAGAGTCAGAGAGGAAGGGCGGGCTGGAGCTGGGAGAGAAAGCTCACGAGGCTGCGGGACGAGGAAGACGATGTCAGCGGTGGCGCCGGTGCAGAGCGATTCGAGGAGGGACGCACAAGAAGCCAACGCCCTGCACGACGATGTTGTCGAAGAAGAAGATGGTCGACGAGACTGCGAGAGCGGGGAAAGTCAGAGAGAGGGCCTGAGCGCTCGAGGCGATGGCGACGCACTCAGGGTCGTGGCGTTGAACACGCCGGCGTAGAGGGTCTTGGTCTGCAACGAGTCGACGACCTCGGTCTGGCCAACGTTCTCGGACTTGATGCGGGCCTCGGCAAGCACTGCGAGAGGAGGACCGAGTCAGTCGAGTTGGTCGGACGGGTCCCGAGGTGGCGAGACCGGCTCGAGGGCCAGCTCGAGGGTATGGCGGGCTCAACAGCGAGTCATAGGCCGGCGCGAGACGAAAGGCGAGAGAGAAGGAGGACGCACAGCGCTCCTCGGGCGTGAGCCACTTGCAGACCTCGGGGCGGTCGGGGAGGATGAACCACGAGATGATCGCGATGCCCATCGTGATCACGCCCTCGACGAGGAAGATCATCCCGTTAACGGGAAGCAGGAGGGTCAGGACGGGCTTTGCCAGACGAAGGAACAAAAGAGGACGGACCGCCAGGTCCGGTACGGGCCAATCGAGTCGATCTTGAGGATGGCGCTCGCGAGCAGGCCGCCGACGGCACCGGCGAGGGGAGCGCAGACGATGTAGCAGGCTAGGCGGAAGCCGAGCTCGTCCTTGCGGTCTGTGAGGAGGAAGATTAGTCGACCTTCCCAAGTCGCGACGAGGACGAGGAAAATGGTGACGCACAGAAGCGCGACAGGAAGAACGCAATACCAGGGAAGACTCCGCCTTCCGCAATGCCAAGCACTGTCGAACGAGCGAGTCAGGACGATGCGCGGACGAAGGAGAGACGTCGAGAGGACGAGGACGAGGTGCGAGGAGGTCGAGGAGGTGAGGACGCACGGAATCGAACCGCGATGGCCTGCCCGAAGGTGTGGACGAACGCCATGCACAAGGAGCACAGGCCAAAGAGGAACGAGAGGATCGGGATCATCTTGCCCGGCCCGATCCACCTGCGAGGAGGACGAGGTCAGCGGGTCCTGGACACAGACGAGCGCGTGGACGCACTTGTTGACGACTTGAGCCGGGAACTCGAAGACGACGTAGGCGACTGTAGAGCGAGACGTCAGGAACGCTCACGAGCCGCAAAGTGGCGAGCGACGAACCGTAGAACTGTGGGAAGGTCTAGGTCAGTACACCGACGAGGACGACACGAGCGCTTCAGGACGGGACGTACAGCGGTGAGGAGAATGTTGTAGTCATAGCCCTGCGTAATAGAGAGAGTATGTCAGTGAGGGAGGGAGAGCGGGTCGTCGGCGAGGAGGCGGACCTTGAGCTTAAGGTCCTTCTCGAGACCTGCAGGGTGGGTGTAGGGGGTCAGCGGTCGTCCCGGCACAGAGAGTGAGAGTCGCACGCACCGGCGAGGCGGGCATTGCCGATGTTTGCGCTGCGGGAAGCGTAGGAGGGTCAGGAAAACGACGCAGGGGAGGACACGGGCACGGTCTCGCGGCGCTCCTCCTCCGCTCGCGTCGTCGAACTGGATCGAGGACTCACCGATCGATGAAGCAGAACCTGCGAGGGAGAGAAGGAGTCAGTCAGGGTCCGCGCGAGCGGGAAAACAGGTGCAGGAGGGTTTTCGACGCACAGGTACAAGAGCGCGACCGTCGGTAGGATGCGGAGGTCGATCTTGCGGCGCAGAGCACGCTCTGCAGCCTCGTCGACGACAAAGAGTGCGCGCCCGTCCTTAATGTCGGTCGCGGCATGGCCATGAAGTGCGACCTCCTCGACTGCGAGCTCTTCCGCGAGGTGAGCGCAGGGTCCTCAGGAAAGGGGGAGGACGGCGCGACGCACTGTTGTGCACCGAGGCCTTCTCCATGTCGGAGGAGGAGAACTGGCGGTCCATGGTGGCGGGTGTGGGGGAGTCGAAGGGTCGGTTTGAGAAGGTCGACGAGCTCGAGGAAGCGCACGCCAGCGAGGGGGCTTGAGCGCGTGAGAGCGAGCTGAGCGCGCAGAAGAGTGGACAAAGAGCAAGAAAGCCCGTGGGTCCCCAGAGAACGAAGCGAGAGCGTGCACCGCGGGGGCGACGAACAGCCGGACAAGGTTTCCTCCGGTCGAGGACGCAGAAATGCGATCGAGGAGAGGAACCGCAGTCTCGAACCTGCGCCCACGGCCTTGGCCCGGCTGAACGGCTGCCGCCTGCTTCCGTTCGAGGCTGGCTTGCGCACGCAGATCCGACTTGCTCTGCGACGAGGACGAGCCACCCGCACGCGCTCTCTGCGTCTGCGCCCTCCCTCTGCTCGACAGCTTCTCTCCTCGCCCTCGCTGTCGCTCTCGTCGAGGGAAAGCGTTCTGCAGGCCCGCTGCAACTCGTGCAGTTTGCCCGAGAGTGCGAACGAGAAGTGTGAGCGTGCCTGACCGTGCGCCCGGGCCGTTCCCCTCTTCCGGTCGCCGCTTCGCCCGGTCGTCGCACGCGCACAGTCGCGTCCCGCTGTGGTCGAGGATCAGTGCTTGCAACGTGCACAAATGTTCACCCTGACGCGCGGCTCGCCCACGCTCTGCGAGTTGCAGCTGCGGTCGCACGGACCCGATCACGCGCAACCGGACCCTCCGTGTACGTCGAACGCCTTGACGGCGCAGCTGCGCCGTCTTTGCCTCGAGCCAGACTGAGGGCATGCTCCCTGCGCTCGGATGGACGAGCCGCAGCATGCGACTGCGTCGATCGTGTCGAGGAGGAGCGAGAGAGAGGCAGCCGACGGCCGAGCGCACAGACCCTCTCGACCTCGTCCTCCTCGCAGGTGGATCGGGCCGGGCAAGATGATCCCGATCCTCTCGTTCCTGTTCGGCCTGTGCTCCTTGTGCATGGCGTTCGTCCACACCTTTGGGCAGGCCATGGCGGGCTTACAACGGACGCGCTGAGCGAGAGACGAGCTGCGCGGAAGGTACTGTAACCGCGGCTCGTTCCGCGGTGGCTCGAGAGCGACAGCGGGGAGAGCAACTCGAGCTGTGCCTTTTGCCGCTCGCTCGATCGAGCGAGAGGGGACGGACTCGCAGAGCGGGGACAGCAGATTCTCTCGTTCGGGCCGGTCGAGCGGGCAAGGGTACAGCCGCCCGTCGATGCTCCAACGGCCTGGAGCCAGTGCGCTCTCGACGCCGAGGCTTGCACGAGGAATCGGTGGCCCATCGTCTACATTACAGACCGAGGTCGTCGTCAAGAGATGCGCGCGAGAGAGGGTAGCAAAAGGGAGGGCACGACCGAGGGACGGAGGAAAGGGGGAGGCAGACGCGAGGGTGATACAGAGGGCTGCAGGCGTGCGAGGTGGGGGTAGCGGGGCGAGAGAGAGATAGAGAAAGAGGGGGATGCTGGCACAAAGGGGAAAGGAAGAGGGAGGGCAGGAGAGGTGGAGCGCGCTCACGAGCGGGCCGGGCTCGGGCTTGCCGGTGGCGAGCGCATGAGCGAGTTGCGCCTGCTCCTCGAGGGCGACCCGGGGCTCTCGTTGCCAGCCACCTTCTCGGCGAGCTCCTCCATCGACGAGTCGTTCTTGCTCATCGCCTCGCGGATCATGCTGATCGTGTTCTCGAGGCTGCGCCGCCTCGTCGAAGGCGACGTGCGCGTCGTGCCGAGCGACGACTGGCGGCGGTGGTGGTGGCGCTTGAACGGCGAGCCCTCGGCGCCGGGCGAGCCGGGCACGGGCGACGACGGCGAGCTGGGCGAGCCCATGGCGAGGTCCTTCTCGCTCGTCGGCGTGTCGACGAGGCCGGGCGAGTCCTTGGGCATGAGGTCGGGCGACTCGGCGACGCCGACGTCGGGCGAGGTGGGAGCCGTCGAGCCGTCTGCGGGCGACACGAGCCCGGCGCCGAACACGTCCTCGGCGCCCTCGTCGCCGGACGATGCGGCGGCGGCGACGGCGGCAAAGTCCTCCGGGTCGATGAGGTCGGGCGGGAGGTGCTCGTTGTCGATGTCCGACTTGCGGGCGTCGGTGTAGTTGGTGATCGACTGCTTGATGCTGTCGGCGCCGTTGGCGAGCGAGTCGTGCGGCAGGACCTGCGTGCCGGCGACGTTCTTGAGCTCCGAGACCGACTCGGACTCCTCGCTGGGGACGTGACGAGGAGGAAAGTCAGTGACGAGCGTCTCACACGAGAGAGTGACGGTGGCGAGAGCAGGACGCACCGAAGGACCGAGAAGAGCTTGCTCATCTTGCCGACGGCGAGGATCTTGTTCTTGATCGCCGCGCGCCTCTCGGCAATGTCCTCCTCTGCGAGACAGTCGCCATAACGTGTCAGTGAGGCGCAGAGAGAACGTGGGAGATAGAGGAGCAGAGGACGCACCGGTCAGGCCCTCGTCGTCCTCCTCGTCCTCCAACGGCTCGGCCTCCTCCTCGGCGATTTCCTCCTCCTCCTCGTCGAGCTCCTCCTTGCTGCAGATGCCCAGCATCGCGATGAGCATGTCGGTGACTGCAGGGGCGAGGGAGAGAGAGAGAGGGACGGGCGAGGAGAGTCAGGACAAGGGCGACCGTGCCGAGAAAGGGCGAGAGGGGGACGCACTCTTCTCGCCGACAAAGGGCAGGCTCCACGTAAAGACGTCCATGAAGTTGGGCAGCCAGTACGGGTGGGGCGAGCAGTTGAACTGGCGAATGTTCATGACGTTGTTCTCGTACTTGAGCACGGCCGCCTTGTTGTTGTACACGTCGAGGTAGTTGGGCGCCGAGAAGATGGTCATGACCGACGGGAAGCCCGTCGTCTTGGTCTTGCGGTACATGCGGTAGCTGTAGGGCGAAAATGGGGAACAGGGAGGAGAACATGAGTTAGTCGAGGGCGACGAGGAAACGAGGGAGAGCGGGCGAGAAGGTGGACGCACCCAGCGTCCTGCGCTTCGTGTGCACGGATGATGCTGAGGAGGCCGTTGCGCTCGAGGAACTGACACGCCGCCGTGTACCTGCTCGGCAGAGGAGCAAAGAGGGTAAGTCTTGGTTCGACCTCGAGGCGCGTCGCGCACCCGTCGACGGCCGTGCGCATGGCCACGACAGAGAGAGGGAGAGATGGCCTTGACGCACGTGAAGAAGTAGGAGCAGCCCCGGACGTGGTTGTGGACAAAGCCCTCGGTGTTCTTCTCGTTGCCGAATTCCTCGAGCGGGTCGGCCCACAGGATGTCGCACATGAGGCCGTGCGTCGGCGGCTCACGGAAGCGGTTGATCTGCGTGGTCGCGAGAGGTGCGTCAGGGAAGCGGCACCGACTCGGCTACGTGGCTCGAGCGCTCGGGGGAAGGAAGAGAGAGGGAGAGAGAGGGACGCACGACGCGCAGGTCGTCGAGCGTGTTGAGCTCGGGAGAGAGGCCGCCGTGGATGCACAGGAACTGCTTGTTCATGACGGCGGCGAGCGGGAGCGTGCAGAACGACTCCATGCACGCGTTGTAGACCTCCTCCGAGTACTTGTGCTTGCCTGCAGGAGGAACGACGCCGACGCGGTCAGGCTCTTGCGCAGAGTCGGACAGAGACGACCGAGAAGGGACAGGCGAGACGCACACTCGAGCTTGAACGTGAAGTAGTCGGTCAAGTGGCGGCACTCGTGATTGCCCCGCAGGAGGAAGAGCGTGTTCGGGTACCAAATCTTGAGCGCCCACAGGTACAAGACGCACTGCGGGAGAGCCAAGGCGTCGTCAGACGAGGTCCTCGTGGGAGGCTGCGGCGAGTGGGGCCGCGAGAGGACGGGCCGACGCACCTCGATCGAGAAGTAGCCTCGGTCGACGTAGTCGCCGAGGAAGAGGTAGCGAGTATCTGCCGGGTTGCCGCCGACCTCGAACAGCTTCATGAGGTCGAACTGCGGGTGCGAGGGAGAGCTCGAGGTCAGTCTTGTGTTGTCGGCGGCCGGCGGAAGGAGGGTCGAGCGTGAAGCCGACGCACGTATTGGCCGTGGATGTCGCCGCAGACTGGGGGCGGATACCGGTGTCAGTCCATGTCGCTCATCGAGTAAGAGAGAGGAGGGAGAAATGGGACGCACCGGTGATGGGCGCGTCGACCTCGAGGAGGTTGGGCTCCTCGCGCAGGAGCTTGCTCGCCTCGCGGATGATGAAGATGGCCTGCGAGTGGACAGAGCGCTCAGTCAGTAAGACATGCGAGGAGGTGCGCGACTCGGACGACAGCGCGAGTGAACGAGGGCGCACCTGCTCGTCGGTGAGGCGACCCTCGCGGAAGAAGTGGTTCTTGAGGAAGGCAATGTTGGGCTTCTGGCGCGTCTCGTCGGCGTAGAATTGCTCGTCGGTGGGCTTGAGGAAGGCCGGGGCCTGGACGTCCTTGACGACGCGCTCGGTCGTGTTGAAGACCTGGCCCTCGTCCGACGTGTGCACGGTGAAGTCGATCGAGGGCAGGCGGGTGCGGCGGTTGTGGACGGCCGAGACGGCGGCCGCCGTGTGGAGGCGACGCTGGTTCGGGTCGAGCGACATGGTGGACTCTGGCGAGCGGGTCCTGGGCGCGAGGCGGGAGCGCGGGTGATGAGGCGGGGGAGGGTGAGGGTCGCACGCAGCAGAGGGTACGGCGAGGCGAGACGGGGATGGCGGGTGGTGACCGGGACGCGTCGAGTGGGCCTGGGTGGCTGGCTGTCGCACTGGTCCCTGGATTCGGCGAGTGTGAGCGGGAGGAGGGAGGGAGGCGACGCTGCTCGTGGTGAGAGACGGGTCGAGCGATCCCTCACGCCCTCGCTCTCGCTCCAGATCCAGTTCTGTGTGGCCCAGTGCCTCGGATAGCTCTCTCCAGAACCTCAGGCGAGCCGGCAGCTCTGCAAGAGGCGACGACGACCGCTGGCGCCTCCCCTTTATTCCGAGTCGTCACCAGAGGCTCGCTCCTCTCCACTCTCTGTAGCGCTGCGGCGAGTGTATCTTCGGGCCGCGAAGGATGTAATCGAACCAGCGCTAGGTCGTTCGAGCAGGACAGGGGCGTCGCCGACTGCTCGTCTCTCTCCGCTCGCCCCCACCTCTCGCTCTTGTCGTCCTCCACCGGCTCGCCTGAGCCACAGCTGGCTGCACCACGCGCGCAAGCACGAGCTAGACGCCTGCCACCTGCTGCGTGGCCCGACCGCCACCACCCTCGCTCTGCATTCGCCGCGGACCAGGTCCCTGCATCCGGACGAGCCAGCTCGAGCGACCGTCACAGCAAGGTGCGCACTCGCGTCCACTCTTCTGAGTGCACCGCGACTGACTCGGCTAGCGCCCACAGCATGCCGTCCGTCAGCAGCGTCGAGCCGTCGTTGGTCGCCGAGCGCGACTACCTCGCCGCCCTGTCGCGCTTCATCAAGACGCACGAGGCGGCTCTCGCAGCGTACTACACGCCGCGCTCCAAGCACAAGGCCCACGCGCCGCCGAGCTGGACGACCGTCCTCACCCTCGGCATCGTCCCCACCGCCGACTCGCCCTCGCCCCCACCTCCTCCTCCTCGTCGACCGCCGCTCGTCCTCAACTTCGACCCGCACCACCTCTACTACCTCCTGCTCAGGTTCGACGAGCTCGGCATCCCCAACACGGGCGAGCTCGACGTCCCAGTCGAGGGCGGCACGACACGCCCGATGATGGTCGACTACTCGTCGGTTCCCGGCGGCCGCGCACCAGGCGGTGGAGGGGGCAGCCTCCTCGGCGGCATCCCTGGAGCGGGCATGCTCGGCTTCCCGAGCTCGTCCAGCGGCGACGACTCGCGCAGCATCCGCAGCGGCATCTCGAGCTTCTCGTTCGGCTCGGGCTGGTGGGGGCTCGGGTCGGGCGCGCAGGCGCCGACCAAGGACGAGGAGGCGGCCAACGTGCGCTACATCTACTCGTCGTGCACCAAGCTTCCGGCCCTCAAGCTGTCGCCGTTCCACCTCGTCGCCGCCGACGGGACCCCGACCCTCGCGTGCGCCGTCGAGGGCTTCGTCGACTGCCCGCCGCCGGCGACCTGCGTGCCCCTCCTCGCCTTCAAGAACCTGACGGCGCTCACCCTCGAGGACCTCGACCCGCGCGGCTTCGTCGGGTGGGACGTCCTGTCGGTCCAGCTCCGCAGCCTCGAGGTCCGGCGAGGCGGCATCGAAGACGTCGGCGAGCTCATCTGCGACGCGCCGTCCGAGGACTCGGCGAGGAGGAGCGAGGAGGAGCGGCGGCACAAGCCTGTTGGGACGGAGCGCAAGCGCCGCGCCGAGGGCGTCAGCAAGACGTCCCTCGCCGTCGAGACCTCGAGCGCGAGCGCTCTCCCGCTCGACGGCGCAAATGGCGAGCACGGCGACGGCGAGGTCGGCGAGCGACGGCCTGCCTCACCGAGAACGTCGGCGGCATACGCGACGCCGCCGCGCCTCGCATGGTCGTCCCTGCGCCACCTCGCGCTCCCCGACAACTCTCTCACCTTCGTCCCCTCCCTTCCCCTCACCTTCCTCCCGACCCTCACCTCGCTCGACCTCTCGTCCAACCTCCTCATCTCGATCCCGCCCGCCCTCGCCCACCTCACCTCGCTCCGGAGCCTCAACCTGAGCGACAACATGATCGACTCGCTCCTCGGCATCGCGAAGGCGCTCGGCGCCATCACGGCCCTCAACCTGTCGCGCAACCGGCTCGAGAACTTCTCGGGCCTCGACCGCCTCGCAGCCCTCGAGCGCCTCGACGTGCGCGACAACGCTGTCGCCGACGTGCTCGAGGTGTCGCGCCTCTCGCGCCTGCCGCACGTGCGCGAGGTGTACGTGCGCGGCAACGCGTTCACGCGGCCTCGCGAGGAGGGCGGCGACGAGCAGTGGCGGGTCAAGAGCTGGGGCTACTTTGTCGAGGAGGACGTGCAGGGCCACCGGGACGTGCCGGCGGCCGAGGTGCGGCTCGACGGCGCGCTCATGACGGGGAGCGAGCGTCGCGCCGTCGAGGCCGACTTTGGGCGGCGAGGGACGCCGCTCAGCAGCAGGGGGAGGAGGGCGAGCGCAGGTGCGGCAGACCGGCCGGCCGAGAATGGCCAGGCCAAGGTCGTCGTCGGCCGCCGCGTCGTCACGGCGCCTCATCGGCAGCACCGCGAGCGCTCGCCACCGCCGCCGCTACCCTCGGCGGCGCACCTCGCCCCGTCCACTGCCGCCGCCGTCGCCGGCGACACCGCCTCAATCGCCTCGGCGAGCAGCGCGCCGCGCCCTCTCTCGCCGTCCAAGGTGCACCACAAGGCGCGTCGCAAGCCCCGCCGCATCGTCGACCTCGACGCCGACCCGTCCCACCCCTCAACCTCCTCGCTCGCGCCCGCACGTCCCGCCTCGGACTCGGACCAGCCCTCGTCGTCCGGCGCCGAGCACTCGGGCTCGTCGCGCCTGCAAGGGCTCGCCGTCTCGGGCGACGCCGACGCAGGGCACTACTCGTCCGACGCGCAGTCGAGCTCGCCCGCTCGCGCGCGCAGCGCCGTGCGCTTTCTCGGCCCGGCGGCAGCAGGAGGAGCAGCGGCGCCAGCGGGCAGCAGCTCGACCGCCGCACGCCGCACCGCGCGCCGGCAGCTCTCGGCATCGACGTTCAACGTGCCCGCCGACGGGAGCGGCGCCGAATCGGGCGGCGGCGGCGAGGCGCTGCGCAGGAGGATCGAGGCGCTGCGGGACGAGGTCGGTGAGAGCTGGCTGTCGGTCTTGGGCGAGCGCGAGGCGCGGGACGTCGAGGCGAGGCAGGCGCCGCAGGAGCCTGTCGCGAAGCGCGAGGAGAAGCAGGCGAGCGGAGCGAGCGAGCAGGCCGGGCAGGGGTCCGAGCGGCGTGCGGAGCAGGGACCGCCGGCGCCCGTCGCTGTCGAGGACGCAGTGCCACCGCCGGCGGCCGAGGACGAGGCGGCGGCAGCGGTGCCGACGACGGTCAAGAGCGTGCGGAAGAAGAAGTCCAAGGGCGGAAAGAAGAAGGGCGGGCGATGAGGTTGTCGAGCCGGCTCGAGCCCTGCAACCTGTCCTTCTTGCATCCTCGAGCTGTCCTGGCGAGCTGCGAGTCGCTGTCGTGCTCTCTCGCTGCGTGCGCCGGTCCTGCGTTGCGAATTCTCCATTGCGTGACCTCCTCGCGCTTCTCCTCCTTCTCCTCGTTCTCCTTCTCCTGCTCCTCCTCCTGATGTACAAGCCCGTCGTCTGCGCAGAGACGAGAGGGGCCGAGACGACGCAATGCTGAGGACGGAAAAGACAGGTGGACGGTGCTGAGGAGTGGGGAGGAGCTGAGTGTGCGCCGAGGCGGGGAGAGGACGAGGGGGAGGGAAGCGTTCTAGTCTAGGCAGAGGCGAGCTGAGGCGCGGCAGGTGGAGGGGCGGACTGCTGCGAGACGAATGGAGAGAGTCAGACAGCGACGATGATGAGGGGCTGAGGGCGAGGCGTACTTCGGGGAGCTGCGAGGGCGAGAGAAGGAGTCAGTTTGACGGGTCGAGCGAGTGCGACAAGAGGAACAAGGGGACGTACGAGAGGCGAGATGGGCTTGTTGGTCTCGGCGAACAACCTGAGTGGGGCGCAGATACGGCTGTCAGGACGAGAAGAAGGGAAAGTGAGGAAAGGCGGGTGGGACGCACCGACCGACGAGGACGCCGACGCCCTCGAAGACACCGAGGAGAATACCGCAGCCGATGGCCGACCCAAGCATGCCCTTCGGTCCACCTGCAGAGTAGGTGCGTTGTCAGTATCGAGGCTCGAGACGGCGAAGGAGGGAGAGGAGAAAGGGAGGGGCGACGCACTGCGCACGGCGAGGGTGCCGCCGGTCAAGAAGCCCGAGATGATGGCGTTGTACGGGTCCTCCTTCTGCCTGTAACCCTTGACGGCGCAGTCGAAAGAAGAGAAGAGGCCGCCCCAGACGCCAAAGTTGCCGCCGACGACGGGTGCGCGGGCCTTGATGGCCGACAGCGAGCCGAGGAGGCGGTCACCGCGGGGCGAGTTGCGCGCGCCTTTGATGCCGTGCCAGACGGTGCCGCCTACTGCGCCCATCGCGCTGTGGGTGCACGGCCGAGGAAAGGCAGGGTCAGCTCGTGTGCTCGAGACGCCGAGCGCGGGGCTAGGGGGAAATCCGAGGAGAGGACGAGGGACGCACAAGGCACCGCCAAAGTCGTTGAGGATGACCCAGGGGCTGTCGGGACATGACGCGGTGGTCGGGAGTGCAGTCGAGGGCGAGTTGGCGAGAGCGATGAGGGCGGGATCGGGGAGAGGGAGAAGGACGAGGGTCAGCTCGGCACACGCGGTGTCGGGGACCGGGAAGAGGACTGGAGGCGCACCAGGGGTCGCGGGTGTGGTCGCTGGAGGTGCGCAAGGGTCAGTCGGGGCTCTGTGCGACGCTCGACGACGACAGCGAGATGAGGACGCACTGCCTGGACATTTTCGGCGGGCTGCAGCGAGAGCTTGACGGGTTGGGGGCGGTGGCGGGGCTGGCAGAGCAGAGCTTGAAGCAAGCAGAGAGCTCGTGTGCTGCTAGGCGAGAGCGGTAGGGAGGGCGAGAGTTGGTGGCGCCGTCGTTCGCCTCGTCCGGCTCGTCCTCCTCGCGCGCTCGCACCCAAGTCTCTCGCTCTCTCTCTTCTCGGACGCACACGGAGAAACGAGTACAGCCAGGTTGCACGGCCCTCTACGGTTCATCGCCGACGCACGGTGCCCTCTAGAGGAACGGCTCGACGTCGAACTCGAGCGTCGACGCAGGGTAGTCGAGCTCGTACGCCTTGAGCACGCTCGGGTGCAGGATGCCCAGGCTCCCGACCTTGACGTCCTTGACCCGCTCGACCTCGTGCGCCGCCTCGTGCGCCTCGTGGCCGGCCTTCTTGGCCGCGCCGACGACGACCGACGGCAGCGCCGCCGCGAGCTTGTCCTTGATCGTGTCGAGCGCGCCCTTCTTGTCCTCGTCCTTGCCGTCCTCGGCAGCAGCACGCGCGTCCGACGCACCGGTCGGCGCGAGGGCCGGGGTCGACGTCGGCGCGAGAGCGGGCGTCGAGCCCGGGACGGCCTGCGCGTCGTCCGGGTTGGCCGACGACAGGGGCGCGAGCGTCGCGTGCGCGTCCACGCCCGATGGCGGCGCGCGGTAGTAGATGTCGGCAGAGCGACCGGGGAAGAAGGTAAGGTCTGTCGGCGGCAGGGGGACAAGGTCAGTCACGGCTCGTGCGAGGCAGACGAACGAGGGCGAGGAGGAATGGGACGCACCGTCCGACGCCTTGATGTAGTAGCCCGACTCGCCCGTGCTCGACTCGGACACGAGGTTCCTCACGCCGAGGCCGACCATGAGGCGGTCGAGCAGGCCGTGCACGACCTCGAACCCGGCCTTGCGCCCGCAGAAGACGCCGCCCATGCGGCGCACGTTGCGCGCCTGGCGCTCCTCGCGCGTGTCCTGCACGACGACGTCCGACACCTCGAAGATGCGCAGAGGGAGCGTGTGCTTGCGGTTCTCGCGCACCGACTTGAGGAGGCCCGGCAGGAGCGACGTGCGCACGATCTGGTACTCGATCGTCTTGGGGTTGGCGAGCACGACCGCCTCCTTGCCCGGGTCGACGCGGTTCAGGAACTTGTAGTTCTCGTCGTGGGAGCACTGTGGGGGATGAGAGAGGTCAGTAATGGGGCCGGGAAGAGGCAAGGGCGAGAGAGCGAGGACGCACGAGGATGAGGGGCAGGACCTCGGTCCAGCTCGCCTCCGAGCACAGTCGCCGGAGCACGTCGGTGAGCTTGTTGACCGGGAGCGGCTTGCCGACCGTGTTGGTCTGCGGGAACGTCTTCTTGAGGTTGTCGAACCCGTACGCGATCGCGACGTCCTCCATGATGTCGCACTCGTGCAGGATGTCGGGCCGCGTCGGCGGCACGTGGACGTGGATCTCGTCCTCCGGGTCGATGACGAGCGACGCCTGGGCGTTGAGCGGCGCAAAGCCCGAGCCGAGGTGCACCGTCGGCGTGTTGGCCGTGTGGCCCATCTTGCGCAGGAGCGTGACGATCTCGTCCCTCGGGAGCTTGAGGCCGGTGCACGAGTTGATGTAGGACGCACGGGCGACGAAAGGACGCGAGGTGAGGGGAGGCGAGACGACGGTGCGCGCGCCGCCCGGGCAGCCGGCCTCGTACACGACGTTGACGGGCTCGACGCTGAGGGAGGGTCCGAGGTTCGAGTCAGTCGAGGAAACATGACGATGAGGGAGAGAGAGAGCGACTCGGGACGCACACGAACGTGTCCTCGCAGTACTCGGAGAACATGGTGACGATCATGTCGACGACGATGTCGAGCTTGGTCAGGTCGGTCGCGGTCACGTCGATGAAGATGTTCTTGGTGTCGAGCGTGATCTTGGTGTGGTCCGAGTTGATCTGTCGGGCGAGGCGAGAGAAGGTGAGCGTGCGCTCGAGGCGTCGAGGCGAGAGACAGAGGAGGACGGACGATCGGCGGCATGCTGAGGACCTGACGGCTCGAGTCGTAGATGATCGGGTAGACGGGCGAGTCCTCGATGATGTGCAGGTACCGCGACAGGTGCTTGTCCTCCTGCGGACGTGCGCGCACCATGGCGGAGGTCAGAGCGCGGCTCGAGAGAAAGGGGAGGGCACGACGCGACGACTTGCCTTGAAGAGCGCCATCATGTCTGGCGCCGAGTACTCCTGCGTCTTGTTCAAGGGCGCAAACTTGATCTCGGAAGGCGGAAGTGCCTGCGTGCCAAAGGAGGGTCAGCTCGACGCGCTCAAGACGAGAGTGTGCGTGAGGAGGGGGTGGGCGCACCTCGTAGGTGATGTCGCCCGGCGCGATCTTGTCGAGGTCGTGGGTGCCGATGGCGACGAGCGTGCGACGACGTGCGAGGTTCTGGTGCAGCTTGTCCTGGAGGTCGATGAAGCTGGCGTAGTTGAGCTTGTCGAAGCGGACGTTGCGGAGGATGGCCGACGCGAAGTACGGGCGGATCTGGGACGTCTCGGCCTTGACGCGAACGGTTCGCTCGGTGCCCTGCATGAACGGGTTGTCGAAGGTCAGCTCGCGGCGCTCATGATCGAGGCGAAGAGGGCGAGAGGGGGGACGCACGGCGGGAGCGGGGCGGAGAGCATAGGTCGGGACGCCGAGCTCGGGTTGCAGGTACAGCTTGAGGGCGCGTGCGATGCCCTCGATGCACAGCAGGTCGTAGCGGTTGGCCGGGATCTCGATCTTGAGCTGGTGAGGCTCGCCAGCTGGGTGGTCGGGGTCGCTCAGGGTCTGCTCGGCGAGGCAAGCTCTGGTCAGCGCGGCTGCGGTACAGAAAGATGCACAGGGAGAGTGGGACGCACGTCCTCGTCGAGCTCGAGGCCGTACTGGAACAGGAGCTCGTCAAACTCCTTGGTCGCTGTCCGGGGAGGAGGACGACAGAGGTCAGCTCGCAAGCTCTGGGGCTGATTGATGGGAGGACAGGGACGCACTGTAGTCCCTCCCGAGGCGCTTGAAGAACTCGACGCGGTCCACAGTGACGGTCGGCATGGTGTAGGGGTGACGGAGTCGAGGACGGAAGATGAAGACGAGGCGGACCCGGTCGACGGCGGCTGGAGGGCGTACAGGCGGTGCGGGCGGCTCTGCGGTGCGAGACTGGCTTGGTCGAGCAGTCGAGGAGCTCAGCCGGTCTCAGCGAGTTGTGGCTAGGGAGAATGCGCTCGCTCGCCTCCTCCTCGACTCTCCTCCGCCTCGGAGTCCTCGCTCTGCGACTTGAGCGCTCGCTCGCTCGTACAGCTCATCGAGGCGTGCTCTCTCGCAGAGTGGCACTGAAATCCTGCGCTGCACCGCGAACCGCCGATACAACTTCCTCCCCTCTTCCTCCTTCCGCCCGCGCTCGGCTCCTTCCTGCCCCCTCGCCAGCCACCACTGTCCCGCACGCCTCGACTAGACCTTGCCGTGAGTGCGAAGGAACGTCTCGATGCTTTCCTGCGCGACTCGGAAGGCGGGACGGGTCAGTAACGACGGCGACGACGAGAACGAGGAGGGCGGGAGGGGTTGGACGCACATGCAGCGGGATCTCGTGCTCCTGGCCGTCCTTGTCGCTGTAGACGCTGCGGAAGAGCTGCAGAACGAGTCTTGGTCAGTGTCTTGCCCGAGGTAGAGAGAGGGAAAAGAGAGAGCGACGCACATCCGGGTTCGCGCAGCCGAGCGCCTTGAGCGCCTGCGCGACCTCGAACGCGATGGCCGTGCCGACACTGCCCTTGTACGGCGACACGGGAGAGCCGCGCTCGAAGGTGATGGGCTGAGCGCCGACGAGGACCTTGGCCTTGGCCGGGTCGACCATCGACTCGTGGTCGACGTGGACGGCGACGCTCGCGAGGTAGTCGCTGAAGACGAACCGCTCGCAGCCCGAGCGGCGATTGTAGCTGCGAGCGTGAGACATAAGAGTCAGGCGTGCTCGGGCTCGTGAACGACTGCGAGAGAGGGAGAGAGAGAGACGCACAGCATGACCTGCGGCAGGAGCATCTTCGGGAACAGGTGGACCTTGTCGCCCTCGCGCTCGTCGTGGACGTGGCGGAAGTTGACGCCGGTCCAGTGCTCGTGGACGACGTAGCCGGGACGCTGTGTGGGCCAGGTCGGGACACGCTCGGGCAGGAGAGAGATGAGGCAGCTGCGGACGGACCTTCATCTCGACAATGACCAAGTCGAAGCGAAACTTGGGCTTCTGGGTAGGCGGCCAGCTCACCAAGGCAAAGGTGAGGTCGAGTGCGCTCCTGTGGACAAGACGTGTCAGAGTCGGCAAGAGGAGACGGAGCGGAACGAGGGGAGGGACGCACGCGTTACCCGAGTCGTCGGCGTGCTTCTCGAGAGCGTGCTGGCCGCTGCAGATGATCTTGAGGCCCGGGCCGACAGGAGCGTCCTCGTGCACGTGCGTCGAGAGGTAGTCGCTCGGGAGGAACTGCTCGGCGACGGCGACGACGCCGTTGAGCGCGTTCGAGATGAAGGCCTCGCTGCGGACGAGAGCAGGTCGTCAAGCTCGTTCTTCTGTGAGTGGGGGGACGCTGGACGCACCTGGCGTTCGCCTCGTTCGTGAGGAAGCGCTCGATCTGCGGAAAGTAGTCGATCGGGCGCAGGTCGCGGTCCGAGAGCGACAGCTTCTCGAGCGTGAGCTCGCTGGCGTTCTGGGCGACGCGCTCCTGCGCACGCCGCGTGACGGCGTTGTCCTTCTTGAGGTGCTCGTGCGCCTGGTTGAACCGCTCGGACGCCGAGCTCCCGCCGGCCTTTTTGCGCGGCGTGTGAGCAAAGTTGTCGCCGCGGCCGTCCTTCTTGAACAAGAGCTTGAGGAACTCGAGCGGGTTGTCGTGCGACCGAAGCTCGGCCCAATCGACGACCTCGAGGCCGCGGAGGTGAATCGCCTCGCGCTCGGCCGCCTTGTTGACCGCCGGCGTCGTCTTGGCGACGATGGCCCACTGGTCGTTGAGGGGGCGGTGCAGGACCTTGGACGGGTGCACGAGGATACCGCTTCTGCTGAACGGGTCCAGGTCGCCGTGGTGCTGGTTCGAGTAGGTCGGCGCGTGGTACACGGCACCCGTGTTGTCGACTGGCTCGCCGGCGACAGGACGCTCGGGCGCCCACGGCGTGTGCGAGTACGACTCCTGCGGCTTGGGCGTGCTCGGCGGCAGGTACTGCTTGCGCTGCAGGCGCTTGCGCCCTGGCGACAGGTAGGTGAGTGCCGCAGACGAGCGCGGCGCCGGGCGGCGAAGCGGGTCGAACGGGCTCGAGCGGGCGAGGGTCGAGGCCGAGTCGTCCGAGTGCGACGCCGCGTTGTCCGAGCCCGAGTCCGAGTGGAACGAGCTGCTGAGCATGTCGAGGCGGTGACGGGCTCGTGGTCGAGGGAAGTGAAGGGCGAGCGAGGTTGGAAGGCGGGTCGGCACGTCGGCGAGCGACCCCGGACAGTCCGCTCGCGAGGGGGGTCGAGCGGCGAGCGGACGGACAGGAGAGCGAACGCTCGCTAGCGTCGTGCGGGGGAGGCGACCGACGGCGGCGATCCTCGACGGCGAGCGGGAGGTGCGTGCGGCCGCGAGCGTCGCCTCGAGCCAGCGCGCAGAGGTACTCTCGACGGGAGCGGACTCGAGAGAACAACAGGGTAGATAACAGGGATCGGGTCGTATTCTGCGGGGGCCGAACCGCCAGTCAGCACCGTGAGGCGCGAAAGGTCGAGAGGACGGGAAGGAGGGGGATGGAGGACGACGTGGAAATGAGACTCACCACCTCCAGGCCGGCGCGCCGCTCGTCGCGATGAACCGGTCCCGCTCGACATACGGGCTGAGCGACGGCGCGCCGGCGTACCCCTGCAGCCCTGCCACCTGCCCCTGCTGCCCGACACCTCCTCCCTGCGGCTGTCCTGCGCCGCCTCCTTGTCCCGCACCCGCCTGCCCTGGACCCTGCTGCTGCTGGCGCTGTTGCGCCTCGGCCTGCTGCTGCGCCGCCTGAAGCTGCGCCTGCGCCTGCATCTCGCGCGCCGTCATGGGCTTGCGCGCGAGCGTCTCGCCGATGCGCTCGTCGCACGTCGCCGCGAACGCCGCGATGACGCCGTGCTCCCACTCATCGGCCGCCTCGGCGTGCAGCTCGCGCTGGTACCGCTCTTGGTCGCGCGAGAGCGGCTGCTCGGCGGCGCGCTTGCGCCGGCCGGTCGCCGTAGTCGACGAGCCGGCGTCGCCGAACGTGACGGGGAGGCCGAGCCCCTCGGACGCCCACAGCTCGCGAGTGAGGGTCTCGAGCTGGGCGGTCGACAGGCTCGAGGGGTCGACGAACGGCTTCTTGCGGGTCGCGCGCAGGACCGTGTGGACGACCCGGGCTGGCGGGGGAGGATGCACGCCGTGGTAGTAGGCGTCCGAGCCCGCCTCGGGTGCGAGGTCGAACACGTAGTCGTAGACATGGGCCGGGTCGACCTTGGCCTCGTCGTCCTCGCGCCTCGCCGCCGACAGGTGGAGGACGGCGGCGGCGGCGCGCTTGGCGGGCGTGGTCGACGACTCGGCCTCGTCCTGCCGAGGTGGGCTCGGCTCGTCGACGTCGTCGTCGCCCGACGGGTCGTAGCGCATCTTTTTGCGGACCTCGAGGTCGTCCTCCTCCTCCTCGGCCTCGATGTCGCGCGGGTCGACTGGCGGCGTGCTGCCCCTGCGACGGCGAGCGCGGCCGTGGCGCCCTCGCTGCGACGCGGCGTGCTCCTCGATCTGCTGGGTGACGGCGAGCGTCTTGTACTCGTACAGGTGGCGGAGGGCGGCGAGCTGGCGCGAGCGGAGGTAGCGCGACAGGGCCTTGTGGTCGACGGGGAGCTGGGTCGGCGGGACGAGGCTCGGCTCGGTGAACGAGGTCATGGTGGAGGTACTGCAGGCGAGCACGCGTGAGCTGTCGGGCCCGGTCTCGTCGTCGGGCAAAGTGTGGGGAGCGGACGCACCTGGAGGGACGAGGTCGAAGGCGAGAGCTGGCGCGGGAGGCTCGTCGGTGGCCAGCGGCGGTTCAGGTGGTCGTGTGGTGCGCTCGAGCTAGCTGCCGCGCACACAGAGCCGAGCGGTGCGCAGTCGTCGGTGGTGACCCGCTCGAGGAGATGAGCTCCTCGACGTTCCTCGCTTCCCACCACGGCTCGCTGCTCAGACTCTTGTGTGCGTGCGCCTGACTACTCGACTTGGTCTCTTGCGACCCGACCATGGTGCGCCCCCTCTCTCTGGAGCTGTCCTCTTCTTCGCTCACCTCGCCTCCGCCTCCGCAGGCCTCGTCCCTCTCTGCCTCGTGCAATGCGCCCAAGCACCACTACGACACGTGCTTCAACCACTGGCTCAAGTCGTACCTCGTCCTCGTCGCCCCGCCCTTGACCAACCCCGCCGACACCGCCGCCGGCCTCAAGGAGCGCGAGCGCCGCAACAAGCAGATTGACGACAAGAAGCGCGAGCTCGACGACAACTGCGGCGAGGCCTACAAGGCGTACCAGAGCTGTCTCAAGGTGCGCTCGCTCTCTCCTCCTTCTCCTGGTGGACCCGGAAGGCGAGCGCCTCTTTCCCTCCTGACTGTCACTCCGTCTCGCAGACTGCGATCCGAGGCGTGGACGGCCTGCCCGAGCTGCTCGACAGCGCGCGCAAGGAGGAGCCGCTCGACGGCTGGGGGGGCATCAAGGTCGCGACCGAGGACGACCTGCGACCGTGAGCGGCGGCTGTGCGCGCGCGACGTCGTCAACGAGGAGGGACACGGCAGGCGGCAAGAGCAGTCGCCGGTCGAGCAGGAGCAGGAGCAGGATCATGGCAGTGCCCTTGTTGTACGGAATAGACTCGCGCCTTTAGCGCTCATCCTCTCGCCGAGCTGCACGGGCACGGGCTTGGAGAGGAGCTTCAACTCGCTCTCGTTGAGGTCCGGCTCAGAGCCATTCCGAAAGCCTCTAGAGCAGTCAGTCCTCGCACACAGCGACGCTCAGAACGAGAGCGGTTTGCGAGACTTTGACCGGCTCTCGTCGCAGAGTGACATCGTCGCCTCGGCTCGCTCGCTCCTCTCGACCACCACCGACACACGCCATGCTCGCCAGTCGACTGTGCGCCCTGCCCCGCTGCAGCACCCGCAGCCTGCGCCTCGCCCTCCCTGCCCGGCCCTTCACCTCGTCGGCCGCCCGTCTCAACGCGACCCCGGACTGGGAGCAGCTCATCGGTGGCCGCGCCGGCATCGAGCGCAAGCGCGCTGCCTTCACCGACAAGTACCGCGATGCGCTCGAGGCCAAAGCCCGCGCCGAGGGCATCACGGTCGACCAGCTGCGCGAGCGCAGCGCGGCTCAGGCCAAGGCGGCCAGGGCCGTCGCCGGCGGCGACAACACGGTGCAGCAGGCGCCGATGGGTCCGGTCGAGGCGGGCAGCATGGACACGCGCAAGACGGGGCGCGAGCTGCAGGAGCCCGAGGTGGTGCGGCCAGCTCCTTCGGCTCGGTCGGCCAAGAAGCAGCCGCTCGAGCGCAGGAGCAGCGACAGCCCGATCAAGGTGCGCTCTCTCGCTCTCCATATGCCTCTCCTCGGCGCACACAGACCCTGACACCTGCCGCCCACAGCCGCTCAACGACATCATGGACCTCACCAAGGCGGTCGACCTGACGACGACGGCCCTCTCGCAGTTGTGGACGACCTACCACCAGACCAAGGGCTTCTTGTCGGCCGCCGTACCGCTCGAGACGTACCTGCGCATGCTCAACAGCGCGCGCAAGTTCCCGTTGTTCGTGTTGCCCCTCGCCAAGGTCGCCGAGCTGCCAGAGGGGCAAGCCGAGGCGACCGAGATGCACCTCCTCGTGCGTCCAACCGCTCCCTCCTTCTCTCGTCATCTCGAACTGACGACTTGTTCTCCCCCACACGCAGGAATGGTCGATCCTGCCGCCACCGCCAACGATGACCGAGCCCGTCCCTCCCCCTTCCACCGTCCTGTTCACCCCTATCGCCGAGTACAAGGCTCGCGGCGAGTACGCCCAGCCGTACCTCATCTTGACGCACTATACCGACCTCGCGGCGTCGCACAACGTCGTCCTCATGCGCGGCGAGATCAGCTCGAACGTGACGCTCAACGCGACCGAGGCCCAGGTGCTCGCGGTGCGGATGCAGCTGTTCTACAACGACTCGGGCAAGGACGGGTCGATCGAGGCTCAGCGGCGGGAGCTCCTGAGGAGCTTCCACGAGCAGCCGGAGCAGTTTGACGTCGAGAAGCTGGTCAAGGCGGGAGAGCTCACCGACGTGCAATAGATTCTCGAGGCCGGCCGTATTGGCGGCCTAGAAGCCGTCCTGAATGACACTTTGCGAGCGTGTTCGCCGAGAGAACAGCTCCCCTAAAGGTGGTTGGGAGCAGCGTGCCGCAGCTCGAGAGGGGACGAGGCGACTCGGAGGTCCACGGCGACGGCGCTCTCCGTCCACTACAGCGCCGCTCGCACCTCGCCAGCGACTCGTACAGCAACACATCTACTCAGCCAGTCTCACTACAGCAGGCCCAGCCGCCTCGCCGACCAGCCCACGCCCTCGCCAGCTACCCCCTCATCCTCATCACCCGCCCGCCTCTCGACCCGCCTCACGCCATGCCGAGCCTCGAGGAGTACGCCAGCGACCCGGACGACATGGACCTCGACCTCGCCGTCGCCCCACCACCCTCTGCGACCGCCAAGGGCAAGATGCCCGCCATGCCTCCAGCCGACCTCTTCCCCGGCGGCGCAGGCGGCATGGGCGGCATGGGCCCCGAGCCGTCCGTGCCCAAGGCCGTCCGCATCCTGTACGACGGCTCGTTCGGCAAGGTGACCGACGAGGCCTGGACTCGGTGCGTCCGACGCTCTCCCTCCTCCTGGCCGCACTCTGCTCCGGCGAGCCATGACTGACGTTCTTGGGCGCGCCACGCAGGTGGGACACGATCTACCCGATCTACGTCGACGCCAAGCGGCCGCAGCAAGACGGCGCACGGCGCGTCAACGCCAAGGTCGCGCTCGAGTGGCCCTTCGCAGAGCTCATGGCCAAGGCGTGTCGCATGCTCGGGTTCGAGGTCGTGTTCGAGGTGCGCCGCGTGTCTCTCCCTCTTGTCCATACACCACGAGCGCGTACTGATCGAGCTGTGTGTGCGTCCGCAGCCTAGCAAGACTCACCCGAAGGACTGGGAGAACCCGGGTCGGATCAAGGTGCAGCTCAAGACGGCCGAGGGCAAGCCCGTTAACGCCTCGATCAAGAACAGTGCGTCCTCCTTCTCTTCACGTGTCAAAGATCCGCAGCTCACGCTCGAGCTCGACCGCAGAGCGCGTCCTCCTCGCCCGCATGTGCACCCTCCTCGCGCCCCACCAGCCCAAAGCGCCCGCCCCGACCGCGTCCAACCCGCACCCGGTCCCGCCGATCCACCGTCGCCTGCCGGCAAACTCGCCCGCCATCTCGCACGGCACGCTCGACGAGGCCATCAAGGGCGGCGGCCCGCTCGGCGCCATGTTTGGCGGCGGCGCGAGCGAGGAGGACGAGGCGGCGATCGAGAAGGCCAAGAAGGACAAGGAGGACGAAGACAAGCGCAAGAAGGAGCAGATGCTTAAGCAGCTCAAGCCCAAGAAGATGCACATCAAGAGGAGGCGGTAGAGTCGTCGGCGAGCTCTTGTCTCTCGAGGCGTCCGTCTTGAACCTCGTCAGCGTGCAACGCCGTCTCCTTTGCTCGTCCTGCCCGTCTCACGAGAGAGTTGTGTGTGTCGACGCTCGAGAGAGACCTCGCTGGACGAGAGAGCGGCTCGATTCGTGAACGAGGAGGAGGCTCTTATTTTCTCTCCCGAGCCGCTGGGGATCTCTCGCTGCTCTCGCTCGCTCCGGCAAGGGAGAGAGTGCACACGCCCTCCTGCTCGTATTGCTCCTCCTCGGCCGAGAGCTCTAAGGCTTCGCGCCGACCTTCTTCCAGCCCTCCTTGGCCCGGTCGACGCGGTCGAGCGTGTCCTGGACGCGGCGCACGGCGTCCTTGCGCTCCTTGCGCGCATCGGCGTACGCCGACGGGATCTCGAACGCGTCGAGCTTGAGGAGGCCCTGGAGAAGGACCTCGGACAGGAAGATGAGCGTGCGCGAGGGCGCCGAGGGCGCCTCGGCCGTCTCGTCGCCCGACGCGGCCTGCGCCTGCGCCTGCTCGAGCCACTCCTCGACCTGACGGACCTGCGGCTCGAGCTCGTCGAGCTTCTGGCCCGCGACGTCGCGGATCCGCGCCCGGAGCGCGTCCTCGCTCTCGGGCTCCTTGCCGCCCGCGCCGCCCGCCACCGCTCCTTCTCCGCCCGCCGCCGCGCCCGCAGCAGCTGCGTCGGCCGCCGCGAGGTCGGCGAGGTCCTTGCGCTGCGCGAGGCGGTCGTCGACGCGCGCCGAGACGTCCTTGGACCCGAGCATGACGAGCTTCTTGAGCTTGCGCCCGCTGCGCGAGCTCGACGACCGGCCGGCGAACGACCACGAGTCCCAGAACGACTTTTTGGCCGAGCTGTCGCCGTCGTCTGCGGCCGACGAGGACGAGGCGGGCTCGTCGTCGGTGAGGCCGTAGGCGGACAAGGGCGCGAGGTCGTCCTTGAGGACGGCGCCCGAGTAGATGAGCTTCTGGTGCGAGGGCGGGACGCCGGTGAGGTTGTACAGGGAGGCGCGGAGGGTCGACAGGGGCGAAGAAGGGGGAGGAAGGGGAACGCGGATCCTGCAGGACGAGGTCGAGATGCGTCAGTACCTCGCGGTCGACGACTGCCCTGATGGCCTCGGGGCGGGCCAAAGAGGTCGAAAGGGAGAAGCCTGACGCACTTCTCGCGGCCCCACTGCACCTCGACGAGCCCGTGGTCGTCCCTGCTCCTCTGGCTCCTCGTCGCGCCCGCCGCCGCCGTCGCGCCCGCGGGGTCGCCGAGACCATAGTCGCTCATGGCGGAACCGTTGCGCTGCTGGAACTGGTGCTCGAGTTGAGCTTGCGCACGGCGGGTCGTGCGGTTGGCGAAGTAGAGGTGGACGGCGAGGCCGAGGACCGAGATGAGGAGGGGAGCTTGGTCCGAGGCGAGGGTGGTGGCGCGCGCGTAGGTGGCCTGCACTCGTGGGTGATCTGCAGGTGCGCAAGAACAGGGTCGGGGCAGGCAGGGCGACAGGCGGGACCGAGCGATGACGGAACGTGGAGAGATGGAGGGCAAGGCGAGGTCAGTACGGGCGACAGGAAGGAGGGGAGGGAGAGCGGACGCACCGAGGGCACGTACGAGAGCCTGTGCTGCCGGGTTGTCGCTGTCGTGGAGCGCCTGGTAGAGGTCGAGGGCGTGAGAGCGCGAGGCGGCGAGTGCGTGGTGGAGCGGAGGGAGGGCGCGGTCGACGGCGCTCGTGAGCGCGTTGTTGGCCGACTCGAATAGGTGCGCCAGCGTGGGCGTGTGCAGTGGCAGTGGCAAGGCACAGGTGCAAGCCAGCCGTGTGTCTGGAGGACGACTGTAACAGCGGTCGACAACTCGAGGAGCGACGACGAGATCAAGCCAACCTCGCCAGGTCCTTCCAGTGCGGCCTCGCCGGCAGTACGATGTACTATTTCAGGCCCTCCCGGCACTCCAAGGGACCCACGAGAGCTGGGTGAGGTGCTGGCGGCTGCGGCCGGCCAGCTCGTCGTCGCGGTCGGCAGCGCTCTCGCTTGTTCCTCACCCCCCGCTCTCCACCTCGCGCTCCAGGCCTAGCTGCCTCGTCCCCTCTCTGCACAAGACCACCAGCCACACCTGCATGTGAGTCTCGCGTTCCCCGCCGCCCTGTAGCCCCGGCGAGCGCCCCACTCCGCTCGGCCGTTTTTCCACCTTGCTCACCCTCGCCTCCCCTCCCCCCCACCTCGCAGGATTGCTGGGTTCACTGGTTCGACTCGCGCAGACTAGTGCGTCTTCCCTCCCATCCCCCTCGTGCACCCCCGAACGCGCCCTGACGAGCAAATCTTCCCCCTCCTCCTCCCCCCTCCTTATCTTGACTCTGCCGTCCCCTCTCGCACCCGCCTTTCCTCCTCCGACAGCCTCGAATACTCTGCCGTCTCATACTACCTCGCCGGTCACTAAACTCGCCCTCGCCCGCACCATCGCCATGCTCTCCCTCCTCCGCACCTCGCTCCGCACCCGCACCGCCTCGGCGCCGACCTGGGCGCGCTCGCTCGCGACCGTGGCCCCCAAGTCGCTCAACCCGTTCAACCCGGACCTCGAGGCGAGCCTCCACCTCAAGTCGGGCGAGTCGTTCGTCGGCCGCTCGTTCGGGTCGCCCAAGTCGCGCTTCGGCGAGGCCGTCTTCTCGACCTCGATCACGTCCTACACCGAGTCGATGACGGACCCGTCGTACCGGTCCCAGTTCCTCGTCTTCACGACCCCGCTCGTCGGCAACTACGGCGTCCCGGGCAACCTCGACCCGGCCAACCACGAGCCCAACGGCCCGCCCGTCATGCTCGAGTCGAACGGCGTCCAGTGCGCCGGCGTCATCGTCGCCGACGTCGCCGAGCGCTACTCGCACTACCAGGCCGTCGAGTCGCTCCACGAGTGGTGCGACCGCCACGGCGTGCCCGGCATCACGGGCGTCGACACGCGCGCCATCACGACGCTCCTGCGCACCAACGGCTCGACGCTCGCCCAGATCGCCGTCGGCGACGGCCACCAGCAGCGCCCGCATGACGCCGACTACTGGGACCCGGCCGTCGAGAACCTCGTCGACCAGGTGTCGACGCGCGAGGTGTACACGCTCAACCCGGACGGCGACGTCAAGATTGCGCTCCTCGACTTTGGCGCCAAGGCCAACATCCTGCGGTCGCTCACCCGTCGCGGCGCGTCCGTCACCGTCTTCCCGTGGAACTACGACTTCAACAAAGTGCGCGACCAGTTTGACGGCCTCTTCCTGTCGAACGGGCCGGGCGACCCCAAGCACTGCATGGACGCGGCCGTCACGCTCCGCAAGACGATCGACGAGTGGGACAAGCCCATCTTTGGCATCTGCATGGGCCACCAGATCATCGGCCTCGCCGCCGGCCTCGACGCGTACCGCATGCGCTTCGGCAACCGCGGCCACAACCAGCCCGTCCTCGCCCTCGCCTCGTCGGGCAACATCAAGGCCGGCCGCGTCTACGTCACGTCGCAGAACCACCAGTACGTCGCCCTTCCTCCCCTTCTCGGCCGTCCTCGGCGCCGTCACTGACTCGCTCGCGCCGCAGGTACGCTCTCGAGCTCCAGGACCCGTTCCCTCGCGGTTACCAGCCCTTCTTCCTTAACGCCAACGACGGTGCGTCTTTGTCTCTCCTTCGCTGTACCGCCGGCGCGTTACTGACTCGTTGCGCACCCGCAGCTTCGGTCGAGGGCGTCATGTCGACCCCCGAGTCGGGCAAGCGCGTCTGGGGCGTCCAATTCCACCCCGAGAGTGCCGGCGGTGCGTCCCTGTCTCCTTCTGTGTATCTCCTCGTCGTGCACGAGTCGCTGACCTCGTCCTCGCGTCGACGCACAGGCCCTCTCGACACGATTCACATGTTCTCCGACTTTGTCGCCGCGTGCCGCTCGACCGCCAAGAGTGCGTCCCTCTTTCTTTCCTGCGACGTCCTTCTTTCCGTCCGACACGTGGACTGACCTCGTCCTCGTCGACCCGCACCCGCAGACGCCGCCGGTGTCGCGCTTCCCGAGGGCGGCATGGCCAAGGCCTCGATCAAGCTCACCGACTTTGAGGCGGGCCTGTAAGAGGAGGAGCCGCTTACAGAGCGTCGTCGTCGTCCTTTCCCTCTCCCCTTCCTGCCTTGTTGTCTTCCCTCCCCCTCGAGCGGGCTTAGCGCTCTCCCCTTCTTCTCTCCCTCTCGTCCCCTCCTCGCAATGCTAGACTCGCCTTGACTCGCCTCGCAGGCTCGTCCCGAGCACCTCGAGAGTACGACGAGCTTGTCGCTTCGAGAGGACGCGCACGCCCCTCGCTGGCTCCTGCCCGAGCCCGCGGACCTTCCCGGTCTCTCGGCCGTCGACGTTCGCTCGCCGCTCTTCTCCCGCCGCTTCACTTCCTTCGCTCGCTCGCTTGAGTGCTCGCGGCAAGTGGCACGCGTGGCACTCGGCGCCTGTTCATCCGCCCAAGGTGCGTCCCTGTCTTTCCCCTCTCGCGCGAGCGCGCTCGAGCGAAGCCGACCCTCTCTCTCCTCTCCACAGCCTTCGACTCGCCCGACATGGCCAGCTACGCCGTGCAGCCGATCCCGCCGTTCCGCTACTGGCGCGCGGCGGCGACCGCGCCTCAACCCGCACCGCCCTCGTCCGCCCAGCCGCCGCCTGAGCACGCACCTCCCTCCGACCTCCCCGTCGGCCCGGTCCGCGACTCGTTCACCTGCCAGTCGACCATCGAGATTGACCTCGAGATCGGCTCGCCAACCCTCGACCACGGCGTGAGCCTCGACCAGATGCCGCTCGCCGGGTCGTGGTCCGTCGTCATCCACCGCGTCGGCGACAAGGTCTACTTCGACCTGCACCGTGGCGCTCTCTACGACGGCGCCATGATCGACGGTGCCGTGTTCGAGATGCGCGTCGAGTGGGAGGGAGCCGGCGCGTTGCACGTCCTCGCCAGTGGGGCGTGGGTCGTCGAGGACGGCCGCAACCCTCCTCCCGCCGAGTACTACGGCCACGATACGTCGACCCAGTCGTACCGCCTCGTCATCACGACGGGAACGCTTGAGCAGGTCCGACTCGCGACCGGCGCCGTCTTCGACCCGACCGAGCTGTGCAGGTTCCGCATCCAGACGAGTCTGCGCTCGGGCAGCCGTCCAGCCTTGTTCGAGTCGTTCGAGCTCGCCAACCACATGTCAAGTGCGTGTTCCTGCGCTCTGGTTCTACACGGAACGCGCTCTGACCCTGTCGACCCGCCACAGCGATCCACCTCAAGCCGGTCGTGAACGACGTCCGCCTCTTCTTCCCCGCGACCAGCACGCGGCCCGATGCCGAGCTGTGGGCGTCCGAGGCGTTCCTGTCGAGCGTGTCGCCGTACTTCCGCACCCTGTTCGGCTCGGGCCTCGCCGAGACCGTCATCCGCCCCAAGAGCGAACCGCAGCACGGCGCCGCTCGGGACCTCGAGCCGCCGTCGGCCGTCTCGTCGACGCTCGGTCCGCGCGCCGTCAAGCAGTTCGACGACTCGGACGACGAGACGGACAAGGTCGAGACGATCCCGAACATGTACGATCCGCTCGTCGACGGCTCGGTCGCCCACAAGCAGATCGTCATCACGCAGGCGGCCTACTCGACCTACCGCGCCGTGCTCCTGTGGGCGGCCACCGGGTACATCAGCTTCGCCTCGAGGCGAACGCCGCCAGCGGCAGCGCCGGTCGCAGGTGGGTCGACCCTCAAGGACCGCCGCGCCCTGCCCCTGCCCGTCTCGCCCAAGTCGGTGTTCCGCCTTTCGCACTTCCTCGAGCTTGATCGTCTTGCGGCGACGGCGGCGCTCTTCTTCCGCGACGAGCACATGGCCATCGACAAGGTCCATCTCGAGCTCTTCTCCGACTTGGCGCGCAATCACTCGGTATGGCGCTCGGCCGTCCTCGACTACGCGATGCAGAACTGGAACGAGATCAAGGCGAGCGAGGGTTGGGTGGAGATGAAGGAGCGGGTCGCGCGTGACGAGGTCGAGGGGGCGGGAGCCGTCCTGGTCGAGTTGACCGACAGGCTCGCGAGCTGCAGGGGTGCGTCCTCCTCCTTTCCCTCTCTCTCTCTCTCTCCGCCCGCCTCAATCGAGGTCTTTCTGTCGAGCCGTGAGCAGTTGACTGACCCTTTGCGGCGTGCAGGCGTTTGAGTCGGGCTCGCAGATCCTTCTTCCTCCTTCTCGACCTCGCGTCGACGCATTGGACACCCTTTCGCGCTTCATCCGGCCCCACTCGCGGCTCGAGAGTCACCGAGAGAGCGTCGAGGATATCACTCGAGCTGCTGGTCGCCGGCCTGAGCGCTTGACCATGATCTCGCAGATGGCGGCTCCAGTTTCGTTCGAAACGCGACCGGCGCGCTCTCGTCCTCTTTTCCCAGGTGCGCCGCGTCTCTCTCGCCCTCGTCGACGTCGTCGTGCGCAACAGGTGAGGGGGACTGACTGTCCAAAGCCCTTGCAGTTTGACGCCCACGCTCGAGCGAGATTGGCCCTTCGTCGTCGTCGTCGCGACGCGGGGTCAGTGCGGGGTGCGCACCCGCTCGTTCTGTCCACCTCTCGTCCTGCGGGCCGCCCCTGCCGTGCGCTCCTCGTCGACGACTTGTCGTGAGCGAGTGCTGGGACGTCTGCCGGCGCAACACTCGGACCGCGCCTCCACTCGAGCGCACCTGCCTGCAGCTCTCAGCGGCGTCGTCTCCGAGGCGGCGGCCACCGGGCTCCATCACGATCGGGACCTGCCAAGCCTTTCGTCCACATCGCCTCCAGCACGGGCCCGGCGAGAAAGGTATTCCCGGCCTGTGCGTCGCGCCTCTCTTGCTCGACCTCGTCGCCGCCTAAACCTCGCCGCCGACCAGCAGCGCTCACGTCGCGCCGCTCCCGCAGCTCCCCGCAACTTCGTCCTCCACGCCGGGCCCCGCTCTCGTCCACCTTATCCTCCTCTCTGCCAAGTACTCGCCTCGCGCGCCGGCTCGTCTCCCCCACTTGACTCGTCGACCTCGCTCGTCGACCTTGCGCCGTCCTCCACCTACACCTACATCGCCTGCCGGCCGTCACCCTACCGTCGCTCGCCTGCTCGACATGGACCGAGCATCCTCCAGCGACGCCGAGAAGTCGAGTGAGAAGGCGTCCATCCACGACCGTGCGCCGGCCCTTTCGTCCTTCTCTTCCGTACCGTGCAGCCGAACTCATCTCGACCCGTCCCGGTGCAGTCGAGCTCGCTGCGCAACCTGGGGTCGTCCTCGCGGGTGCCGGGCGCACCGTCGCCGTCGTCGACGAAGCCGCCGAGGCACGTCTGCGCCGGCGGTTCGACCTGCGGTTGCTGCCTGTCGTCGCCTTGATCTACCTGTGAGTCTTCTCGTCCTCTCGCCTACCCCGTCGATGCCGCTTGAGGCGAGGCACCAGCCTTTCCCAGCTCGAAAAGCCGACGGCGCGTACTCGCTCGGACCTCTCCTGACTCACTCGCGCCTCGCAGGTTCTGCTTCATCGACCGGTACGTGCGCAGTTCGAGCGAGCAGGCCGTTCGTGCGAGTGATTGCGCCCTGCCGCATCGCCCCTTGTCGTTCCTCTCGGTCACGAGCGGCCTGACTGACTCTCTCTTGAACCTCGCGCAGCGCCAACATCGGCAACGCCAAGATTGCAGGTGCGCCTCGAGCCTCGTCTGCGACGTTGTGCGACCAGGTCGTGACAGTCTTCCCGTGCAGGTCTCGAGAAGGACCTGGGCATGAAGGTGAGTCCTTCGCTCCCCATTCCCCTTTCTCTTTCTCGATCTCCTCTCTGAGCACGAGCGTCATACCGACACTATCACCTATCCAGGGCCTCGACTACAACGTGCTGCTCTGCGTCTTGTGCGTCCCGCCGTCGCCAGCTCTCCCTCGGCGCCCGAGCCTCTTCCCTGACTGACTCTGTGATCCCTTGCCCCCTCCCTCTCTCCCCTCGCCCTCGCCCTCTGCAGCTACGTCTCGTACACGGTGTTCGAGCTTCCTCTGCAACTCGTCACCAAGAAGATCGGCCCCGGCAAGACGCTCCCGGCCCTCGCGTTCCTCTTCGGCCTCTTCTCGCTCTGCATGGGCTTCGTCCAGAACTACGGTCAGGCCATCGGCGTTCGCTTCCGTGCGTCCTATTCTCCCTCTCTGTCAGAGCTGCGGCGACGTGCGGCGTCTCGGCGCCGGCGTCGTCGTGGTCGAGAGCCGCGGGATCGCCTGTTCGGCCTCCTCGTGCCCTCCCTCTCCCCGGATGCGCTCACACACTTAGTGCGACAGTCCTCGGCGTCGCGGAATCGTGTATTTTTCCTGGACTCGCCTTCTACCTCTCGCGCTTCTGTGCGTGCCCGTCCTCGTCGTCCTCTCAACTTGGGAAGGTCGCCCTGACTCGTCCTCGTCGCCCACAGACCGCAAGGACGAGCTCGGCTTCCGCCTCTCGTGTTACCTGGTCTGTACACCCGCTGCAGGCGCGTGCGGCGGCCTGCTCGCGAGCGGCCTGCTCAAGATCGGCTCGATTGGCCAGTACCGGTCCTGGCGGTCCGTCCTCTTCTCTCCCTCCTCTGGCAGAGCCCGTCCTGACCTTCCTGGCTCGCGCCATCAGTGTTATTTTCGTCTTCGAGGGCCTGATAACGATGGTGATCGGCATCGTCTCGTACTTCCTGATGCCGGATCGGCCTGAGGCGTGCAAGTGGCTCTCGGACGACGAGCGAGGCGCGCCCGCTCATCCCCTTTCCTCTTCGCGCTCAACGAGCCTTACTGACTCGTATACTCCTGCAGCTCTCGCCGAGGTGCGCATCAAGAGCGAGAACGTCGGTCAAGCGCAGGCGGTCGACAAGCTCAGGACGCGGGCAGTCTTGCAGGGCATCTTTGCCCCGTCCACGCTCGGTGCGTCCCCGTTCCCCCTCTCGCGCACAGGTATCAGTCGCCGTCCAGAGTCGACCCATCAGCCGCCATGGCGGCTGGGACTGCCGGACGCGCTCGCGCTCCTCCTGAGCCAGACACTGACGGTCCCTCCTCGCGTTCTCCCACGCAGTCGTCGCAGTCGTCTTCCTCTTCAACAACATCACCGTTCAGGGTGTCGGCTTCTTGTACGTCCTCGCTCTCTCAGTCAACTTCACGAGCGTGAGCTCACCATGCACTTCCTCGCGCCCCATTTTCGCACCTCGACAGCCTTGTACGTCCCCCTTCCTCCTCTCGTCTCGCCACCTAACGCGACTGACACCTGTCCTTTACAGCCGACGATCGTCAAGACCATCTACCCGAACGAGACGACGATCAACCTGCAGCTGCGCACGGTCCCGCCCTACGTCGTCGGCGCGTTCGTCGTCCTCCTCACCGGCTACCTCTCGTTCAAGACCAAGAAGCGCGGCCTGTACCTCCTCATCTGCGCACCGTTCGTCACCGTCGGCTACATCCTCTACCTGTCTTCTATGAACCCGCAGGTTCGCTACGCCGCCGTACGTCCCCCTCCCTCTCCCCCTTTACCTCCCTCGCCGCCTCTTTCATGGCTCCTGCCGCGGTCGACCTGGATTGACTCTCTCTTCGTGACGCAGGCTTTCCTCGTCGCGACCGGCTCGTTCGCGTTCGGCGCCATGACGACGACCTGGGCGGCCGCCAACGTGACCTCGGACAGCGCTCGAGCCTCTGCCATCGGTACCGTCGTCATGTTCGGCAACATGGGCGGCCTCATCTCGGCTTGGACCTTCCTGCGTGCGTCCCGGAGCCTCCTTGGCCTGCCTCTTGCCTCTCCTGCAGAACGAGCGCACTGACCCTCGTCGCCGTCCCTCCCAGCCAAGGACGGACCTCGCTACGTTCCGGGCAACGCGTTCAACCTCGCCGGCAGCGTCATCATGTTTGTCCTCACTGCGGGCCTGTGGGCCTGGCAGGTGCGCGAGAACCGGGCCAAGGAGAACGGGCGCGACGACCACTACCTCGTCGGCAAGACGGAGGAGGAGATCCAGCTTCTCGGGACCAAGAACCCGCACTTCCGGTACAGCGTCTGAAGTGGAACACGAGCCTGTCTCTCTTTGTCATGAGAGGCTTTCGACTTGGCTCCTGCACGAGAGATCGGACGTGCAGAGGCTGCAGGTCAAGGTCGAGCGAACGGAGCGTTGCGCTCCATCCATCGCTCTCGGTGACTCGCAGGATTCAGGGAAAGACTGAGAGACTAATGATGATGACAACAGCACGCGCTCGAACCCGTACAAACCCTCTCGCGCCGCCCTCAGTCCTCCTCGCCCGTCGCCCGCTCTTCTCCTCTTTCGGGCGAAAGGCCCGCGTCTTCGTGCGCCCGAGAACCCTTGAGAATCGAGTCGGGCTGTCGGACCTGCTCGTCGACGAGAGAGTCAGCCCTGGTCCGCTCGTCGGAGGGGAAACGACAGAGAGAGAGAGGAAAGGAGAAAGGGGAGCGCACCGCCTCGTCGTACGAGCCTCGCGCGACAACGTCCTCGAACTGGGACCACAGGTCGTGCACCGACTCGAAGTTGCCGACGGACGTCACGTTCTCGATGTTGCGGTTGAGCGTGTTGATGTTGTTGAGGCACCTGCCGAGGTTCTGCGACGAGGACGACGAGGCGAGGTGAGCGTCACAGGTCCTCCAGGCTGGTCCCTTGCGCAAGGCTGTCCTCCAGATCGTCGTAAAGCCGGCTCGAGCCGCCCCCTTGCCATCACGTCGTGCGCTCGCTGCCCTCGACCGCGCTATTGACCGCGACTCGACGAGCGCGAGGGCGAGACGAGCGAGACGACCCTCGCACGACAGGGGGGGAGGGGTGGGACGTACATCTGCGATCTCTGCGATGAGCCTGTCGCGCTCGCGCTCGAAGCTGGACTTGTCGGGCTGGCTCATGGCGGCGAGTTTGATGAGGATGCGAGACGGAGGCGGGCGAGGCGGGCAGCTCGCGTGGTGGGTTGGGGGCGGGTCGCAGGTGCTTGTGTACAGCTGTGGAGCGTGCAGGAGCTGCGCACTGGTCGACTCGGTCTAGACAGTGACGAGAACGAGGAGAGCCGGCTCGCGTCCCCAGGTTCGCTCCTCTCGCCCGCTCTCTCTCGCTCCACGCAGCTCAAGATGGCAGTACAGCTCGACCAGACCGCTACGAGTACCTCCAGGCGTGAGCCCGTCCAGCTTTACCACCAATCGTCGCAGTACCGGTTCGTCTCCCTCGTCCCTTCCTCTCCTTCCGACCGATGACACGCCGCAAGCTCACACACCCCTCGCCGTGCACCAGGAATTGGCGCTTCTCGAAGGAGCAGCTCGACAAGATCCGGCAAGACCTCAACGAGCAGGCCGTCGAGCGTGTGCGCACCCTGTGGGAGGAGGAAAGGGTCCGCCCGTCTCCCTTTCGTCCCTCTCGCGCCCAATCTGATGCCGTTTCGACCCCCTCGCAGGCACAGCAAGCGCAGACCGAGTCGACGGGCGACCGACCAGCCGCTACCGCCGACGGCAGCACGTCAGAGCCGCCCTCGCAGCCTGCGACACCTCCTGCGCCAGCCGACATCGAGTACCTGAGCGTCGCCGACGAGCAGCTTCTCGTCGCGTACTACCTTCAGCAAGCCGTCGGGCTGTGCGGCGCCTTCAAGTTCCCCGAAATGGTGACGGCGACGGCCCTCAGCTACCTCAAGCGCTTCTACCTCCGCAACACGGCGATGGACTATCACCCGAAGGACATCATGTCCGTCCCGCCTTTCCCTCTCGAGCATAACTACGTACTGACTCTCGGACTTTGTACAGGCTCACCTGCGTCTTCCTCGCGACCAAGACCGAGAACTTTGCCATCTCGATCGACACGTTCGCGGCAAAGGTCAAGGTCCTGCCGGCCGACATCCTCGCGCTCGAGTTCCTCGTCTCGCAGTCGCTCCACTTCGAGTACAAGGTGCATCACGCGCACCTGGCCCTGAGTGGCCTCGTCCTCGACATGCAGGTGCGCTTTCTCTCCCTCAGTCTCCTCTCTCGCGCCGTGTCTCTCTCATCCTGACGAGCCGCATCCATGTCCGCAGACGACCGGCGTCCCCTCATCGAGCATTGCGTCGGCCCTTCCTCGCGCTCAGGCCTTCCTGCGCGCCGCACGCCTCTCGCCCGCCGAGCTCGTGTACGCCCCGTCGCAAATCGCGCTCGCGTGCATGCGCATCGCCGACCGCTCGGCCGTCGAGACGTGGCTCGCGGCCAAGGGCAAGGGCGCGAGCGAGCAGAAGGAGGAGCGCGAGGCGAGGAGGGCGCCGGCGGGACCGACGAGCGCGGTCAAGAAGGAGGGAGAGGAGGGCGAGGGAGCGCCTCGAGCAAGGGGCGAGGACAAGGGCGACGAGCCGCAGCAGCTCGAGCAGGACGTGCTCTTGCGGCTGCTCGACGAGGTGCAGGGCATGATCCAGGAGCAGCAGCGCAACCCGGTCGACAAGGACAAGGTGCGCGAGGTGGACCGGCGGCTCAAGTGGGCGAGGAACCCGGAGAAGGACCCCAAGAGCGCTCTGTGCGTCGCCTCGTCTCTCTCATCTCGGTGGCGAGCACGCGCACTGACACTCGTCGAGCGCGCGCAGGTACAAGAAGCGGAAGGCCGAGGAGGAGGCGGCTCGAGAGGAGAAGGACCGGGCCAAGATGGCCAAGCGGCCGCAGAACGACGACGCGAGCGTCTTTGATTGAACCAGTGTAGCTCTCTGCCTCTCCGTGCTCTCGTGTTGTACTGCTAGAGAAGTCTAAAGGTATCGCATTACGCCCTGCCGCCCCAAGAAAGCCCTTCTCGAGCCTCCACCCCTCGCGCTCGAGCCCCGTCTTTACGACTTGAGTGCGTCGAGCGGCTCCTCGACAAAGTACCACGCCTCGTACGAGTACATGATGCCAAAGATGAGGAAGAGGACGGCGCCGCCAAGGGTGACTGCGCGCGAGAAAGAGTGTCAGGAGGACGATGCGAAGAGGCTCGAGGGCGAACAGGGGACGCACTGTGCTTGAGCGAGATGCGCTGCGAGATCCACCGGCCGCCGAGGACTGCTCCACCCGTGCAGACCGAGTGTCCGAGGGTCGTGCCGAACGTGACGATCCAGACGTTCTGGAGGGAGGGCGAGGCAAAGGCAGGTCAGTCTCGCTGGCTCGTGGCGCGAGGAAAGAAAATGGAGGGGACGCACATGCGCTGCGCCGAGGGCGATGGTCGTGATCTGGCTGCGGTCGCCCCACTCGGCGAGGAAAGTGAGGATGAAGGCCTGGATAAAGATGGGGCTGAACAGGAGCTGGGCGAGGTTCTTGACGCCGTCCCGCACGCTCGCGACGGCGCTGTCCTTGGCCTTGGACAGGCTCTTGCTCCGTGCGCGGCCCGTCACCGGCTGCGGCAGGCCCTCGTCGGACTCGGCGTGCGCGGCCGAACCCGTCGCTCGTCGGCCCTCCTCCATGTCGTCGAGCGCGAGCCCGCCCGGCCGGCCCGTCACCTCCTCCTCGGCCTCCTCGACCTCCTTCTGCACCTCGCGCAGCTCCTCCTGGAGCTTCTCGCGGCCGGCCTCGCCGCCCTCCATCTCGAGGCCCTCGCTGAGCATCTTGGCGCCAAAGACGAAGAAGAGGACGGCGGCGGCGGCCGTCGTGTACTGCTTGGGCAAGAGGCCGGGGAGGATGTTGCCGAGGAGGGCCGAGAGGAACGACATGACGCCGAGGGCCGACAGGGCGGCGGCGAAGATGGTGACGCGAGGATGGTGCATCGAGAGGATGGCGGCAATGAGGAAGGTGCGGTCGCCAATCTCGCTCGTCAGGCTGCAGGTTGGGACTCGGGGTCAGTGTCTGGTTCCATGCGAGCTCGAGGGCGGCGAGGCCGGGTCGACGTACATGACCGCTGCGAAAGGTTGGGGAGCGAGGGAGGAGGCGAGGGTGGGAGAGGTGCGGAGGCAACAGGGCAAGTCAGGGCGTGCGCTCGTGGGTGGGCGAGGGAGAGGTAGTGGACGCACAGATGGACCTGGTAAAGCCGTCCATCGAGGTCGGGAGCGAGAGATCGAGCATCTTGCGACGACGTGTGAAGGTTCGACGAGGTGGAGCGACGACCGAGGCGAGCTCGAAGGGTGCGGTTGGCTAGATAGGCGTGTGTGGCGTGCAGGTGAGCGTGTGCTGCGCAGGCTGGCTCGGCGAGCTGTCGTGGAGAGAGAGAGAGAGCGGGGCGGCGACGAGATCAAGCGCGAGCGCGCGACGAAGTTCAGAAGGTCCGGACTTTCGGACGCGTCGCCGGCAACCCCGACCCTCTCGCTCTCGTGGCACGCCAGAGGGGCACAGGGCAGAGACAGAAGGAGACGATGTACAGCGTTGCACAGGGCGCGACCCGCGAAAGCACGAACAACCCCCACCTCCCCCTCCTCGCGCTCACTCTTCCTCCATCGACGCGAGCGCGCGCTCGTTGAGCGCCTCGGCCTCGATGAGCTCGAGCTCCTGACACTCGCGCTCGAGCGACTCCTGCAGGTCGAGCAGTTCCTTGAAGCGCGCCTGGCCCTCGCGCTCGCGGCGCTCGAGCTTGTCGACCTCGTCCCGCAGCGCCTCGAGCCGGCGCACGACGGCCCCGTCCTCGTTGTTGGCCAGGCGCGCAAACGACTCGAGCTCGATGCGGGTTCGCGCGAGCTCGTCGTGGCCCTCGCCGAGCTTGCCCGCGAGCACCTTGCTGCGCGCGACGTACCCGCCGAGCGTCTGCCCGAGCCGCTTCTCGACCTTGGCCGCCTTGGCCGACTCGCTCGCCATCTTGTCGCGGTTCGACTCGATCAGGCTGCGCAGGCCCGCGATGCGCTCCTCGTCCGACAGCGACGCCTTGTCGACGTACCGGTCCGTGCGCGCGTCGTACGCCAGGCGCTCGCACGACGGGCGCCACAGGCGGTCAAAGTCCTCGGGCGCGAGCGCGACGGCGCGGCGCAGGACCTTGTCGGACGCGCCGGGGAGGCCAGCCGCCTGCGCCACCTCGTCGTGGACGAGCTTGCGCGCGGCGGCGAGGTCGTCGTCGGCGATGGCGGCGAGCTTGGCCGGCTTGCCGCCGCCGGCACGCTTGCTGCCCGCGACAGGGTACGCGACCGAGTCGTGCTCGAGGAGGCGGATCATCTCGACCGTGACGGCGCGCTCGGCCTCGCGGCGCCACTTGTCCTCGCGCTGGTCGGCGGGCGCGTCCTGCGCCTCGAGGTCGAGCTGGGCGAGGAGCGCCGCCGCGTCGACGTCGAGCGGCCGGGGCAGGCCGCGCTTGACGGCCTGGCTGCGGCGAGCAAGCGCGAGCTGCTCCTCGTGCTCGCGCAACTGCTTGAGGCGCGCCTCGCGCTCGGTGCGGTCCTCGATGCGCATCGCCGCCTGCACCTCGGCGCTGTCGCCCGCAGCGGCGCCCGACTCGTCGTCCTCCTCCTCGGGCAGGACGAGCTCGAACTCGTTCTTGGGCTGCGGCAGCGACGAGAAGCCGGCGCGCAGCTGGCGCTTGACGTCGTTCTGGCGGTGGCGCTCGTCGCGCGGCGTGAGGCCGTACTGCGACGCGTTCTCGTCGTTGATGCTGAGCGTGTCGCGCATCGGCGTGCGCAGCGGCGTCGCGCCGACCGACGAGGCCGGCGTCGCGCTCGGGTCGCCGGCGTCCGACGCGCCGGCGCGGAACGGCGTCGCGAGCGGGTTGGGCGTCGCGGCGACGGCGCCGCGAGGCGTCGCACCCTCGAAGCCGGTGCGGCCCTGGAGCTCGTGCATCGGCGTGTTCTCCTCGCCGAGGAGCGGCGTCTGCTGCGCCGTCAGGTTGCGCAGGTTGCGCGCCTCGGCCATGACGTTGTCGACTGCGCGCACAGGAGGATGTGAGCATGCAGGTCTAGAGGACGGGAGAGAGAGCGGGAGAGAGAGAGGGACGCACACTCGGGAGCGGTCCTGGGCGTGCGTGCGTCGCGGGCGGCACCGAGCGCCGAGTACTCGCCGAGCAGGCCCTGACTCGCCTCGTTGCCGCTCTCGTCGACCATGGCGCGCGCCTGCTCGCCCGCACGACCAATCTTGACGAGGTCGTCGAGCTCGCGCTCCGAGACCTGGGGCGTCGGGAGGACGAGCTTGCGGCGCTTCGAGATCTGCTGCTCCTCGCGGCGCTGCTGGAGGAGCGCGTCCTTGCTCGGGACAAAGTGCGACATGGCGTCGGCGTTGGCGTCCTTGGCGTCCTTGGCCTTGCGCTTCTTGTCGCGCGTGTCGGCGTCCTCGCGCTCCTTCTTGCGGTTCTGGCCCTCGAGCTCGCGCAGGGTGCGGCCGGTCGGGGCGGCGAGGCGCTTCGACTGCTCGGCGCTCGTGTCGTAGAAGCCGGCGGCGGGCTGCTTCTCGAACGGGATATCGGCCATGTAGTCTGCGGCGAGGGGAGAAGGCAAAAGGTCAGGTCGGCGGCTCGAGCGAAGACGAGGAGAACGAGAGGAGGGCAGGCGGACGCACCCATGCCGTTCTTCTTGGGCTTGGCGCGCATGAGGATGCCGGCGGCCTTGAGCTCGCGCTTCTTCTGGAGGATGGCGAGACGACGGGCCTCCTCGAGCTGCCGCTCGCGAACCTTGCGCTTGGCCTTCTTGCCCTGCGTGTTGGCGAGACGGGCACGCGCCTCGGACAGCACCGCCGCCACTGCTGCCGCACCGCGCCGGCCACCCGACTCGGCTCGGGGAGGAAGAGAAGGAGTCGGGAAGGAGAAGGACGCACCGTCCTCGTCCATGTCGATCGGGTCAGGGCGCGCCGCCCTGTTCTCAGGATCCGGGTCGACCTCGCCGGGGCGCAGACGGCGCACATCGTCGGCGCTCGGGCCCGCGTCGTCGACGCCGGCGAGGCCGAGCTCCTCGTTCTCGGTGCGCTCGGCCTCGTCGAGGAGCTTCTGGTAGCGCTCGAGGCACTGGTTGGCGGTGCGACCGACGATTGGGGCGATGGTGCGCCACTGGGTCGGCATGAGCTTGGCGAGGTGGAGCAGCTTCTCGTCCTCCTCCTTGGACCACTCGGTCTTCTTGATGGCCGGGTCGAGCCATTCCATCCAGCGCGCCTGTGAGAGAAGGCAAGGTCAGGGCCTGTCACGACAGTCAAGACTGGGAGGGGAGCGTGGGCGGACCTTGCACTGCTTGGGCGTCTTGCGCACGAGAAGCGACGAGATGCGGGCCCACTGGTTCTTGCCGTACTTCGACTGCGGGCACGAGGGCAGAATCAGTCCATGATCGCTGGCACAGAGCCGACGAGGGACGCACGATGGCCGCCTTGAGGATCTCATCCTGCGAGTGCGCGGGCGAGGGAGGAACAGGTTAGCTTGGCGGTCTGAGAGGGGGAGGAGGTCGAGGGGGCGCACCTCCGTGTTCTTCCAGACACTGCGGGCCGGGTACTCAGGTCAGTCGTCGAATCATCGAGAGGCAAGAGAGCGTGTGCGCACCCTCCCTTGATGACGATACGCATCTTGCGAAGAGCCGAGTTGGCGGTCGAGTGCGATGAAGAAGATGAGCTGTGAGGGGGACACAAGCCGAGGATCAGTGTGCGTTCGACACCTCGTGGGACATGTGCCGAGGTGCCACGGCGTCTTCGTGGCCGCTCAGCCTGCCGTCGAGGACGGCGCGCTCGTTGGCCGTGGAGGCGAGTGCGGGCGGGAGCTGCGTGGCCCACCTCGCCGGGGCTCTGGCTCGAGCTGTGCGCCGTGCTGTTGGTCTGCCCAGAAGCAGGGACAGGGGTACTCGTGCGCGTCGGGAGGGTGTGCCGAGGAGTGCGGCGAGTGGGCGATGAGGCGAGGAGGGGGAGGCGGACGACGAGGGGCGACAGAGAGACGAGGGGAAGGTGTGCGCACCTTGTGCGGTGCCGCGTCGGGGCTGTGCGGGTGCAAGCAGCAGTCGCGAGCTGTCCTCGGTCGGGGCGAGCGTCGGGTGCAGAGTGGTCCCTCGTCGCCTCGTCCCGCTCGCGGGGGAACTCTCTCGCTCGCCTCTCACCGCCCCGCTCGACGCTCAGCTTGTCATGGGGGCTTACATGCGGCCGGTCAGCTGCGCGCTGCGCCCCGATTAAGAGCAGGCGACGTTCGCTCTGTCGTCCAGCGGCTCCTCCTCTTGCTCCCCCTCCCAGCGCCTTGCTTCGCGCCCTGCGTCGCGCGCACGCCGCTGCTCTGCTACGGCCGACCGCTGCTACAAACCGCGAGACTCGGCACTCGAGCCTCTCGCGGACTTTCCGGCGGGCGACGAGGCTCGCGCGCTCGCCGGTCCGTCCCTTCGCTTCTTCCTCCGCGCCGTCTCCGCGACAACGCCGAGCTCGCCTCGTGCTTCTCTCTCTCTCTCTTCTGCTCCTTGCCCTCTCGTCGTCGCACCGACCCGTTCGCAAGTCGTCGCTCGGTGCGTCTCCCCTCCTCCCTCTCCTTCCCTGCACACCTCCCTGACCCCCGCTGTCGTCCACCAGCACCTCGTTCTACCCGAGCCCGGCCCACCCTCGTCATGTCCGACAAGCTCAACGACGATGTCCTCCTCGCCGTCCTCGAGCACATCGCCGAGCCCGCTTTCGACCAACGCGGCTACCGCACGAGGCAGAGCACGCTCTTGAGCTTGTGCCTCGCCTCGCGCCACCTGTACCGCCTTGTCGAGCCGCTCCTGTGGCGCCAGGTCCGCTTCAAGAGCGTCGAACAACTCGCTCAACTGCGACGACGCGTCGCGGCCGGGTCGCCGAGCGGGCTCACCTCGGTCTACACTGTGCCGTGGCAAGCCCGGACTGAGCACGACGAGGCCGTCCTCACCGTCGCGGATATCCTGCCCAACATCGTCCACATCGAACTGAGCGGCACCTACCGCTCGATCCTCCCGCTCGCGAGCCACAGCAGTGCGTCCCGAACCTCCTTTTCTCCCCCCCTCGAGACTTCCTCTGACCCAGCCTCGTCCTGCAGACTTACGGCGCCTCTCCCTGTGGCAGGTCTACCTCTCCAACTCGTCGCCGACCCTTCCTCAGCTCGAGCAACTGGCGATTCGCGACAGCTCGGCGCCCAAGTACCTCCTCGAAAGGTGGCTCGACCCGTTCCACCTCCCTCGCCTCCGCGCCCTCCTTTTCTGCGGCGTCAGAGACCAGGGGACGTTCCTCTCGCTCGAGGTCGTCGTATTGCCGCCTATCCTCGCCCAGCTCGAGGTCATCCAGACCGACGACCGGTCGCTCGGCGCGCACGACCCTCTCGCGTGGAGCGACGAGCCGCCCTGCCTGTGCTACCACGGCCTGACGAGCGAGGTCGTCGTGCGCTACAACCTGTACGGCCCGACCTCGATCGACACGCCGTCAATGACCAGGTCGACCCGGCGCAGGATCGACGCGGGCGTCCGTCGCGAGCAGCTGCGCGAGCGCCGGCCGTCCGTCTTCGTCTTTCCGGCGGCGGGCGTGGACCAGATGGCGCGACTGGACGTGCCGCAGCTCGAGGAGCAGGGCCTGTGCGTCTTGTTCGACGAGGGCGACAGCCACGAGCCGCAGTCGCGCGAGCTCGTCTCGCACGAGTTCTGGTGGCTCGCTCGGGCGCTCAAGGCGGAGCGGGAGCGGCGGGAGGACGAGGAGCACGAGTAGATGTCGAGCAGCTTGCGATCGACTCGTCACTTGACCGCGCTCGTCGTCGTCGTCGTCGCCTGCGCGAGAAGAGAGAGCCTGAGCGTCGCCCAGAACACCTCTCGCCTTTCGCTTTCGGGGCTCGCCGTCTTCGTGCGTCTCGAAAGAGAGAGTGTGAATGTGCGCCCGCAACAGCAGAGCGACGCCTGTTGAGGAAGAGAAGACCGCGGGCGAACTCGCCGACGAAAGCCGTCGGCTCGTCGCTCGTCTTCATCGCAGCTCGTCCGACCACGCTTGATGCCACGATGCACTTGCTAGACTACATCACGGGCCAGCCGCCTTCACAGTGCGTCCCCCTCGCCCTCTCCCAGCGTCGCAGCGACCTGACCCGCCCTCATCACCTCGCGATGCGCTCATCGCCCGCCGCAGCCACCGCAAGAAGCACTACGAGATCAAGCAGACCCTGGGCGTGTACGTCGACCTCTCTCGACACTTTCCAGTCCTGCGCACGGCCCAGCTCACCCTCGCGACGGTTGCCGAAACAGCGGAGGGTTCGCCGTCGTCAAACAAGCCACCGCGCTCGACACGGGCAGGGAGGTGCGTCGATCGTCTCTCCCATTTCCTCAGAGACTGCGTGCGAGTCTGTTCGGCGTGCGCGCCGCCGCGGCCCTCCCACGCTCGACGAGCGCTGACCGTTCCCCACTTCCCGCCCACCCGTCCGGCTCCCTCCTCTCCTCGCCCACGTCCGCTACGCCTCGTCCTGCGCCTCGCGACGTCCTTACAGGTCGCCATCAAGATCATCCCGAAGGAGCGCATCCGCGACCACGAGCAGCAGGTGTTTCGGCAGAACACGCTCCTCCAGCTCAAGCACCCGCACATCATCGAGACGATCGAGTGGTACGAGAGCTCGAGCAAGTACTACCTCGTGTTCGAGCTCGCGGCGGGAGGCGAGCTGTTCGAGCACCTGATCGACAGCCCTGGGTATCGGCGCGTCCTCGTCCTCTGTCCTCGACTTCCTCCCCTTCTGCCGTGCCGTGCCACTGACTCGCTCTTGTGGCTGCAGCTTCTCCGAGGCAGAAGCCCGAGAGGTCATGTACGCGCTCGTTGTGCGTCCCTTCCACCTAGCGCCGCTCTCGCCGGCAGAACTGACCCTTGCCCGCTCCCTCCCTCCCGCTCGTCTCGCCGCACGCCCGCCGCTCTCTCGATACAGGACGGCGTCACCTACCTCCACTCGAAGAACATCATCCACCGCGACCTCAAGCCCGAGAACGTCCTCTACCGCACGCCGCCCGGCTCGCACCCGGACGTCGGCCACGACGACCTCGTCCTGTCCGACTTTGGCCTCGCGGCGTACGTCGAGCGCAACGGCGGCAGGCTGTACACGGTGGCGGGCAGTGCGGGCTATTCGGCGCCCGAGATGTACCCGGAGGAGGGCGTCGTCAACGGCCAAGGGCGAGGGAGAGGGTACGGCCTCAAGGCGGACGTGTGGAGCCTCGGCGTCATCGGTGCGTCTCGCCCTTGCCTCCCTCTTCCTCTGGAGCGCGTACTTACTCGAGCTTGCTCCCGCCTCGCAGCTTTCTGCTGTCTAGGTGAGCACGCGCTCGACCTCTTTCCGCCCTCCTCGCGAGCTGACCCTCGTCGTCTTCTCTCTACACAGGCGGCCGCTTCCCGTACAAGAAAACCGACCCAGAAGAACTCGTACGTCTTGCCCTCCTCTCACTTCTCGAGATGCCTCATCCTCGTCGCGCAAGGCCCTGACGACTTGAGTCTCGACCCCCTCGCAGGCTCACGAGGCGCGCACGACCGAGCTGTACTTTCCTCGGACGTGGGACGACGTGTCGGACGAGGCCAAGGACTTTATCCGGCAGCTGTTGACGGTCGACGAGGACGAGCGACCGAGTGCGGCCGAGGCGCTCAACCACCCTGTGCGTCGCCGTCGTCCTCTTTCGTCTCGCCCTTCGCGCGCCCTGTCGTGCGAGACCCTGACTGACCAGGCCGGACGACCGCACAGTGGCTCCGCACGGCCGTCTCCCGCCCTCCCTCGCCCGCCGCCGCCTCGCCACGCCGCATGACCTCGGCGACGCTCGAGCCGCCACCCGGGCACGCCGAGGACGAGCACCAGCTCGGGCCGACCCTGTCCAAGACCGAGACCATCACCGACCACGCGCCCATCATCGAGAAGCGCAGCACGTACTCGGGCGAGGGCGCGCCGAGGATCGTGTGCTGAGGAGCAGGACCGAGTCGAGCGAGGAAGGACGAGCTGCAGATACCCCTTGTCGATAGTTCTCTCGCCGTAATTTCTCATGCTGTATCTATAGCTCACTCTTCCTCCATCCTCTCGCGTGATTGAGCGAGTCGAGAGATCTCGGGCCGTGTCGTCGAGCGAAAAAGAGAGGGAGAGAGCAACGAGGTGCAGCGAGCAGCTACGACTCGACGCGCCACACCTTGACGAGCCCGTCGTCGCCCGCACTCGCAAACACGTCCCTCGCACCCTTCCACCTCGCGCCGTCGTCCCGATCCCTCTGCTCCCTCGCCTCGTCGCCGTCCTCCTCTCCTCGACCGGGCTCGTCCTCGTCCTCGCCGCCCTCGAGCGCACGCAGCGTCGCGGCCGCCCGCGCCGGGTCGAGGACGCACCACGCGACGTGGTTGACGTCCGAGACGCCGTGGGCGTCGTCGACGCGCGCGACGAGGGACCAGGAGGGCCCGGCTGAGGGAGCGTCGGGTGGTGGCGCGGTCTGCGGGCGATGAGGACGGGCAGGACGTATCAGTGCGAGAACGAGAGAGTCACACGAAAGGGAGAAAGTCTCGGTCGAGAGAGGAAGAGAGAGAGAGTGTGGGGCGCACCATCTGAAAGACGTTGATGCGCCCGTCGCCTCCCGCCGTCACGATCCTGCCCCTGCCGCCCTCGCCCTCGTCTACGCCGCCCTTCTGCCAGTCGACGGCGTAGATGGTGCGCTCGTGCGCGCCCTCGATGACGCCCCTCTCCTCCCACGCGTACCGCTCACCGAGCCCGACCCGGACGCCCGTCGCGCTCCAAGGTCCCATGCGCCCGCCGTCCTCTGGTCGGGCCTCGCCCGCGTCGCCCGTCACGATGCCCTTGGGGACGCGCTCCCACAGGCGGATGGAGCAGTCGTCGCCGGCCGAGGCGAGGTAGGTGCCGCACGGCGAAAAGGCGAGGGTCCACACGGTGCCGCGGTGCGAGGCGAGCGTGTGGATGCAGGTCCACTCGTCGTCGAACGGGTCGGCGGCGTACAGCTTGATCGTGTCGTCGTACGAGGCCGAGGCGAGGAGCTGCGGCGCGTGGGAGAGCGAGAGGGGGTCAGTGTGGGTCGAGGAGGGAGGGAGAGGGAGAGGCGAGAGAGAGAGAGAAAGAGAGAGAGGTGGCGGGACGCACCTCGTCGGTCGGGTGCCACTTGACGGACTTTACGTCCTGCGAGTGCTCCATGAGGACGGCGAGGCACTCAAAGTCTGCGGGGCCGACGGCCTCCCAGACCCAGACGCTCTTGTCGCGCGAGCAGCTGGCGACGAGGCGGCCGTCGTTGCTCCACGCGACGCTCTTGCACTCGCTCTCGTGGCCCTCGAGCGGGTCGACGGGTTCCCAGTTGGACGCGGCCGAGTGCGAGGGCCCGTCGTCGAGGCCGTGTTCATCGGTTTGGCACCAGACGCCGACGGTCGAGTCGAACGAGGCGGTGGCGAGGGTTGCGCCGGTTGGGGAAAAGGCGAGGGAGCGGACGGTGCGGGTGTGCGAGGTCGGGATGGTGGACGCGAGGCGGAAGGACGAGGGGGAGGCGGTGGTCGGGTCGGGCGAGTACGAGTAGAGGCGGACGGATTTGTCGGTCGAGCACGAGGCCAGGGTGGGTTGAGCCGGGTTCCATGCGACGTGCCAGGCTGTAGGTGGGGCGGGGGAGTGAGTGAGTCGAGTGAAGAGAGGAGGAGGAGGAGGAGAGAGAGGGAGGGGGGAGACGGACCGCGATCGGTGTGGCCTGCGAGTGTCTGCACCTCGTGGATGGTGGGCATGGTCGCAGCCGGGCTAGCGTAGCAGGCAAGCGCACGGGTGGAGAGCGAGAGGGAGTCATCCGAGTGGTTGTCCGTCCGTCATCTCATCTTGACTCTCTCTCACTCGCTCTCTGTCGCTTGCACAGCCTGTAGCTCTCCCTAGAGCCCAGCACACCACACGCTCAGCCCACCGAGCCCACCACCCATCAGCTGCCACCGCTCCTTCACCCTCCTCCGCCACCTCCCTTCTCCTCATCGCACCACCCACTCCCGCCCGCCGCCGCCGCCATGCCGCCCGCAGCCCCGCCACCACTCGCACCCACAAAGCCAAAGCCCGCTCACTGGAACATCGACCGCGCGATCCGCAAAAACATCCTCGCCCTCGCACCTTACCGCTGCGCCCGCGACGACTACGACCAGGGCATCCTCCTCGACGCAAACGAGAACGCTCTCGGCCACGCCTTGCCCGCACAGAACGGCTCCGCAATCGACAGTCCGTCCCCTCCCCCTTCCTCCCCTCCCTCTCCCCCGAGCAACCCCGCGAGCTCACCTCCCACCCGCACAGCCTCGTTCGACCACCTCGACCTGCACCGCTACCCGTCCCCGACCCACTACGACCTCAAGCAGCGCCTGCGCGAGCTGCGAGGCCTCCCCTCGGAGCACAACCTCTTCCTCGGCGTCGGGTCCGACGAGGTCATCGACCTCCTGTTCCGCATCGCGTGCGTTCCGGCCAAGGACCGCGCCCTCGTGTGCCCGCCCACCTACGGCATGTACAGCGTGTGTGCCCAGGTCAACGACGTCGACATCGTCAAGGTCAACCTCGACGTCGAGGGCGGCGCCTTCAGGCCCAAAGTCGACGAGGTGCGCCCCACCTCCCCCTCTGTTTCCTCCCACGACTCGCGACTGACTCAAGAGAACGCCCCTACAGATCAACCGCACCCTGTCGGCCGCCGCCAAGTCGGACAACCCGATCAAGCTCATCTACCTGTGCTCGCCGGGCAACCCGACGGGCACCCTCATCCCGCTCGACGACGTGCGCGCCATCCTCGCCAACCCGGACTACGAGGGCCTCGTCGTCGTCGACGAGGCCTACATCGACTTTGCCGACAAGAGCAAGAGCGCCGTCGAGCTCCTCGTCAACGAGGGCTGGAGCAACCTCGTCATCATGCAGACGCTCAGCAAGGGCTTTGGCCTCGCCGCCATCCGGTGCGTCCGCCTCCCTCTCTCTTTCGGTGACCCACCAACCTGACTCGCTTTCGTGACGCACGCAGCCTGGGCATCGCCATCTCGTCGCCCGAGCTGATCCAGGTCCTCAACAACGTCAAGGCGCCCTACAACATCTCGACGCCGACGGCGACTCTCGCCCTGCGCGCCCTGTCGCCCGAGGGCCTGACCACCTTCCGGTCCAACATCGCGACCCTCATCTCGAACCGCACCTACCTCGCCGAGCAACTCGCCGCGCTCCCTGCGATCCTCGCCCTCCCCGGCGCCGGCGACGCAAACTTCCTCCTCGCCCAGGTCGGCGGCGAGGACGGCAAGCCCGACAACGAGCGCGCCAAGCGCGTCTACACGCACATGGCCGAGCAGGACCAGGTCGTCGTCCGGTTCCGCGGCAACGAGGTCGGGTGCGAGGCGTGCTTGCGCATCACGGTCGGCACAAGGCAGGAGTGCGAGAGGGTCGTCGAGCGCTTGACCGAGCTGCTCAAGTAGACGAGACGCTCGTAGATCGGGCCGTCGTTGCAGTGCCATAGACTCACGCTGCCAAAACCTCGAGAGGAAGCGCGCGGCCGAGAAAGAGGCGACCGCTGTCCCTCGCGGGGCGAAAGACGATACGAGACTCGTTTCTTTGCAGTCACTGCTTTGGCACAGATCTACTCGCTTGGTCCAACCCCCTCAGCCTCGCCCTCACTGCCCTTTCCCTGCCTCGGTCGCAGCTCGCTCTCTCGTCCTCGCTCGCTCCCCTCCTCTCGCGACGGGTCCTTCGACCCTCGAGTCCGCCGCGCCTCTTTACTGCGTCTTCCTCTCGCGCACGCCCGCCTTGCTCTTGGCGCCCTGCACGCCGCTCGCGACCGCCTGCTGCGCGTCGCGCACGCCCGCCGCGAGCTGCTTGCGCTGCTTCTGCGCCGCCGCCTTGGCCGACGACGCCGAGGGCGACGACGACAGCGTGCGGCGCACGACGGGGAGGACGAGCCGCGAGGTGAAGAGCATGGCGGTGAGGAGGAGGGCGCAGAAGCTGTGGTGAGAGGGCGGAAAAGGGGGGTCAATACGGCTCTTCGAAGAGGGCGAGGTTCGAGGGGGGAGGAGGTGCCGGACGCACATCTTGGCCTCTGCGGGCTGGAGGAGCGCAGAGCGGCGCACCGACGCGCCGAGGTAGCCCTTGGGGACGTCAAAGACGTGCTGGCGCAGGGCGGGCACGTTGGCGAGGAGGTACGACACCGGGCGGCGGAAGAAAGGGTGCGCGTCGATGAGCGTGCTGTAGAGCGAAGAAAGAGAGTCAAACGAGGCCTCGAGAGGAAAGAGGGTCGACGGAGAGAGAGAGGGAGGTCGACGCACGCGTAGACGTAGCCGATGAAGGCCGCGCTCCATACGTCGATCGGCAGGCCGCTCTTGACGAACGCCGGCGTCGTCGTAAAGCCCCACTCGGGCCCGAACATCTTGAACATGGGCACGAGCATGCCGCCGCCGCCGCCCGACAGGAACGCGACGAGGATCATGGCCCACGGCGACGAGCGCACGGCCTCGTTCGGGTGCGTCAGGACGACGTCGACGCCGAGCGTCGTCATGCCCATGATGCGCGAGAAGCCGTCGACAACGCAGAACAGCGACTCGCGCGGCAAGGTCGGGAGCGACAGGATGAGCGACACGAGGCCCGTCTTGGCGGCGAGGAGCGGGATCAACCTGCGGTCGCGACCAGGTCAGCTTCGGTGGGTCCTCCTCGGAGATGGGAGAGAGAGTGGACGCACCCGTAGGTGGCGACAGGGATGGGCGTGACGACCCAGCCCGGCACGAGGCCAAGGAGCACGCTCGAGACGGTCGAGCCGCCGAGGATGAGGACGAGCGGGACCAGCGCGGCCTGGAGGTCTGGGGGCATGCTAGAGGGTCAATCGCGTGCTCCACCGCGGTCCACAGAGAGAGAGGAGGACGCACTGCCGAGCTGCTTGTCGTACCCTCCCGCGCGAGCGATTCCACGGTAGGCGCACGCGACGCGGACGGCGTGCGCGATGGCGAAGATCGAAAAGGGCCTAGATAGGGATGCGCACGGGGCTCATGGTCAGCTGTACGGTCCACGGAACTGCGAGGCTGAGGAGGGAGCGGGGACGCACACGGCCGGGTGGGGGGTCGTCGCGCTCAGCCACCCGTGGGTGGAACCGACGCGCGAGAGCAAGGCAGACGAAGAGCCGTCCCAGATGGCCATCCTGAGCTAGTCGTCAAGCTGGCAGGGAGCGAGGTCGACGAGAGCGACCGAAGCCGCGGTCCAGGCGGGCGACGACGACGACAACGAAGCCAGTCTCACTTTTCCAGACGCGAGCCAGGCCCGGGAGAACAGAACAGTCGATACAGACAACGAGGCACTGACAAGAGGAACTACAGCTTCGAGAAAGCCTTCTCTCCGCCCGGGAGGAAGGCGTCCGGGTACACGCCGCTGCCGCCAACACTCTGCGACGTATGCCACTGCGCGCAACGGTCGACCATGGTCAGGGTCGTACTCTAGAGACAGAGAGGGAGAACGAGGGACGCACGCTGCCGCCGTCGACGACGAGCGTCGTCGCCGTAATGTACTTTGCGCCGGGCGAGAAGAGGAACGTTGCCGCCTGCGCAATGTCGTCGATCGAGCCGTACGTCTGGAGCGGGATGGCGCGTGTGTGCTCGGCGACGAGCTCCTGCGGCCGGGCGAGAGGGGACGGTCAGTGAGGCCTCGAGGCGAGAGGAAGAGAGGACGAAAAGACGGACCTTCGGCATGAGGCGGTCCATGCCCTCGGTACCGGCGATCGGTCCAGGGGCGATGATCTGTCGAGCGATAGATGGTCAGTGTTGCGCCCGCTGCTAGAGCCCGAGGCGTACGCGAGCGGGAAGGACGAAGAGAGAGAGAGAGGCTCAGACGCACATTGGCGCGCACCCCTCGCGGGCCGTACTCGACGCCGATGACCTTGATGAGGGCGTCGACGCCGGCCTTGGCCGCCGACACGTGCGCCTGCAGCGGGGTGGCGGTGTAGTGCAAGGTGGCAGAGATGGCGAGGATCGAGCCCTTGGTCTTGCACAGCTCGTCGATCGTCGCCTTGAACGTGTGGTACGTGCCGAGGGTGTCGATCTCGAGGACCGTCTTGAAGGCGTTGGCGCTGAGGCCTGTGGGTGCGCAGGGTCGTCAGATGTGAGCGCGACGAGGTAGGGGGAGGGAACGAGCGAGGTAGGGGGAGGGAACGAGCGGCGCACCTGCGAGCGGGCTCAGGAAGTTGCCGGCGGCACCTGCGACGACAAAGTCGATCCGGCCAAACTCGGCGACGGTGCGCTTGATGGCCTCCTGGAGCGTGTCGAGCTTGCGCACGTCGCCGCTGATGCCGATGCACTTCTTGCCCGTGTCCTTGCTCAACGCGGCCGCCGCGTCCTCGATGTTCTTCTGGCGGCGACCGAAGATGGCGGCGTTGCAGCCGTCTGCGAGGGCGAGAGGGATAGAGCCGGCGGGACGGGAGGAGGGACGAGGAGGAAGAGGGGGAGGAGTGGGCGGAGTGGGTCAGCGACGTCGATGCCGAGAGCGAGGGGACATGGACGCACGGGCCATGAGCTGCTTGACAATGCCGTAGCAGATGCCCGATCCGCCTCCAGTCTGCGTGTGAGGGAGGGAAGCGTCAGGCCAGATGAAAGTGGGGCGGCGAGAGGGAGGGGGACGCACAACGAAGGCGACCTTGCCGGCAAACACGTCGGGCTTGAAGACAGAGACAGTAGAGCTCATGGTGTGCAGCGCGAGTCGATTGAGCGGGTGAGTGAGGAGGGAGGGAGGCTCTCGTCCTCTCGTCGCTCGGCTCGGCGGGACGAGAGCCGGACGCTCTCGCAAAGGGCGGACGAGAGCCTGCTGTAAGGGACGGGCGTGTTCACTACGACATCAGAGAGGGCTGCAGAGTGCTACAAAATAGACGGTGGACGAGAGACAGGGGGTCCGACCGACAAGCCGAGGACGACGCACTCGGGCCTCGACAGCGCCCACCGCCCGACGTGGACAGGCGAGAGGCAGTGTACCTCGACCCTGGACCCTCAGGGCACCCAGCGACGGCGCCGCACTCACAGCGCCCTGCCCGCCTTGACCTCGTCCTCGTCGTCGACCTCGACCTCGCCCGCTCGACTCTCCCACGCCGCTCTCCTCGTCTCACTCGCGCTCGCCTCGAGCTGCGCGGCGACGCGTGCGCCAAACATGGGCGGTGGCGGCGGTGACGGCGGCGCGTAGGCAAAGCCGGCCGAGCCGGCGCCGGCAGGGAGCCTCGGGCTCGGGGCGGCGCTCGTTGTGGGCGTCGGGGCGCACGTGACGATGTCAGGCGGGCGCGTTGCGCGTATGGAAGGTGGTGACGAAGACGAGGTGGCGGTTGCGGGGAGAGGTGAGGGCGAGGGAGAGGAAGGCGAGGGCGACGGGATCGAGAGCGCGAGCGACCCAAAGTCGAGCTCGAGGGCCGGCAGTCGCGGCACGTCGTCCTCGGCCGACAGCTCGAGGGCGGGCAGAGGTGGCGCCGCCTCGACTGGCGCCGTCACACGCTCGCGCTCCGGGACCGCCGTCGCCGCGGTGTCGACCCTCTCGCGCGCATCGACGTCCGCCTCGCCGCCGTCCTGCGGCAGCGTGACGACCCTTGCGAGCGGACTGCCCATGCTCGTCGCACTCGCCGCGCTGCCGCTCCTCGCTCTCCCTCGCACGCCGCCTTGACCCGACGACGCAGCGACCGGCGCCGCAAGCCCGGTCGGCACGCCCGGCTCGAACGCCGGCGGTTGGTCGACGTCGCCCGCAGCGTCGCGATGCGCCGCAGACGAAGGCGGCGGGAGCGCGACGCCCGGGCCGTAGCCGTACGCGCCGAGCGACTCGCGCGACGAGAGGAACGCGACCTGCTGCGGCGTCGGCCCACCCTTGGGGTACACGAAGCTCGAGTGGACGAACGAGTTGGGCAACGGCGACGAGATGCCCTGGTCGCGGATGCTCATCGTGCTCGAGCTCGCGCGCGACCCGAGCGAGCCGTACGGGCTCCTGCCCGCGCCCGCACCTGCGACGCCGGGTCCTGGCGGAAGGACGAGCGACGACGAGCTCGAGTTGGCGCTGCTGCCCATGAGGCGCTGGAGCGTCGATGCGCGAGGGCGACCGAGTGTCGGCGGCGGCGAGGGTGGCGCGAGCGCGTTGATGGGCGAGGACCGCGACGAGCGGTGCGAGAAGTAGGACGGACGAGACGACGGCGGCGTGCTCGTGCCGGGAACGGAGGACGACAAGAGGTAGGACGAAGGAGGGGAAGAAGGGCGGACGGGCAGGTCGATGAGGCCGCTGCGGGACGCAAAAGGCGACGAGCCGCCTGGCGTGTGCGACAGGTACGGCGACATGCCCGGCCGCACGGCGCCCGACGCGCTCGAGCCCGAGCGACCGCGGCGTCCGGCGCCGGCGCCGAGGGGCTCGCTCGCCGAGCGCGGGCGGCCAACGACCAGGGGCGCCGAGAGGAGCATCGAGCCGGGTCGGCGCTGACCGCTCGCGCCGTCGCCCGACACGTCGATGCTCGGCCGCGCAAAGAACGAGTGCTCGTCCTCCTCGTCGTCGTCGACGAGCCCGCCCTCGTCGCCCTCGCCCTCGCCGTCGAGCTCCGAGTCGCCGACAAAGCTGCCCTCGCCCGTCGTCGCGCGCGACAGCGACAGGTCGACCTGGGACGCGGCCGGGTCGACGCTCTTTGATAGGGTCATCTCCTGCTCTTGCGGCTCTTGCGAGTAGAGCGGCAGCCCCACAGGGCTCGCCGTGCGCCTGCGTCTGCGCCGCCGGCGCTCGCGCGGCTGCGTGATGGGCCGGTCGGCGACCGTGACGCCGCTCGGCGGGTGGTGGCTCCTCGGCGTTGCGGGGCGAGAATTCGAGCGGGTCTGGGAGGGCGAGGCTCGGGTGGACGAGCCGGGCGAGGGGGCATGAGCGACGGGCTCGACGGGGACAAAGTGCTGCAGGCAGACGAGACTGGTCAACGGATAGGCCCGGGGCGATAGACAGAGAAAGGTGGGCGCACCTTGCGAAAGAAGGCCCTGACGCGTTCTCGGCGGGTCGGCATGGCGCGCAGCTGCTCGTGGTCGGCGGGAGGAGGCGAGCCGGGCGGAGGCTCGACGGCTGCGCGCTCGTGCGGGTGGCCCGGCGCGGGCGTGGACGCGTGCGCTTGGTGTGCGGTGGCTAAGGCAGGCGACTAGCCCGGCTGGAGGACGAGGGCGACGGTGCGAGCTGGTGCCGAAGTTCGGGGTCGTGGGGCGGGCGAGATGAGGGGTGCGGCCGAGGAAGGGCCGGCGGGACGCAGCTCGCGCTCGGGCTGGGTGCGCTCGGCGGTGACGGCGACGCTGGTCGAGAGAGCGTCGAGACTGTGAATGGGGACAGCGAGAGAGGAGGGAGCGAAGCCTCTCGCACGCGCGACTTTGGCCCTCGGCGACGGCTGCGGCAGCCTCTCTCCTCGGACAGCTGGTGAGCGCAGAGATGCACGACAGGGACCCTCTGCTGCGAAAGCCCGGGAGGACAGGGAGGCGGTGCATGAGGAGGAAGAGCTCTCGAGCGAAGCTGAGCGCGCGCGAGCCTCTCGTCGTCGGGATTTGGGTACTCGTGCGTGCCATGGCAACGCCCCAGCCCAGCCATCGATCGCTACAACAAAGCACCACCGCGCCGTCCGACTCGCCGTGCGCCGCCGCTCGCCGCTCCGCCGCTGCTGCACTAGCCAAACGCACGGGCGGGAACGAGGTGCCGTGCGACCCGAACCGAGGCGAACCAACGACCGACGACGATGAACCGAGGACGCGACCAAGAGCGACGCGCTTAGTCGCGACGGCCGAGGCCGACGACGTTGCGGCGGTACGGGCGGTCCTGGTTGGTGGCCGGGGCAACAACGTTGACGGGGAGGGCGTCGAAGCCGAGCGACTTGAGGAGGTCCTTGGTGTCGGCGTCGACGTCGATGGGGACGCCCTGGGTGTCGAGAGCCGACACCTCGGGGACGAAGTTGTCCTTGCGCTCGCGCTCCTCCTCCTGGAGCTTGAACGAGATGCCGCGGACGGGGCCCTTCTGGATGCGCTTCATGAGGTGGGTCGTGAAGCCGGCGATCTTGTTGCGCAGGCGCTTCGAGGGGATGATGGCAACCTCGTCGCAGATCTTCTTGTTGGTGTGGCTGTGTCGAGGGTGGACGCGAGAGGGTCAGTCGGCGGGCGAGAGGTCGAGGTCGGGACGAGGGAGGAAGTGGAGCTCACAAGTCAAGGGTCAAGCGAGGGTAGTACTTCTCGATGACGACGCGCGAGGCGCGCTTGACGGTCTTGGTGCGGACACGGCCCCTGTTGGCGCGAGCGGGCGCAAGGGTCAGTCGGGAGGTCGTCGACAACGAGGGGGATAGGTGCTCGTCGTCCTCCGGCGGCGGTGCACGCCCGCCGTGCGTCGCCTGCCGTGTCCACTGCTGTGCCCACAGCACCTTGCCCTGCCCTGCTGCCCGCTCCACCGTGCGCTGTGCCGAGCGCGAGCCGGGTTGCTCAAGCGCAGCTCGCCCGCCCGCGCGGCACTCGGTCGCGCACTCGTCGGCGCAGCGGTGCGGGACCAAGACCGCTCGGACGGCGGTTTGCTCGGTACGGGATCGAGGGGGCCGACAGGGACGCTGGTGCGGAGCGTGGTGGGCTGGCAGGGCGAGGGCAAAAGTCGAGGGTCGGCGGGGGAGGTTGTCGAGGTCGTTCGAGGTCGGTGGGGCGGTCGACAGGGGTGGGAGAAGGCGGCGGTTGCGATGGTGTAGCTCACATGTTGATCTGCGGGAGGGGTTCGGCTGCGAGAGAGACGGACGGGGAGCAAGAGGGGGGCGGCGGTCGGTGGAGCTTGGGTGCCAGTTTCGACTCCGCCGGGAAAAGCTCCCCTCCCTCGTCGCTTTGCTCTCCACTTCGTCCCCTCGCAAGTCACCCTCCCCCTTGTTGTAGCCAGGTAAGTGCGTCGACTTGGCCCCCCCTCGGTGTCGGCCGCCTCGAGCGGGGCGCACGTGGAGTGCGGGTGCTGAGGGAGGGGAGCTTAACGGGTGGAGTCGCGCTGGTACTTCAGCTCCCGGACCGCGGTGTAGAACTTGTTCGCAGTCTGTCACCATCGCAGCAGACACACACCAGCAGATATTCATGGTGGGGCTACGCCCTCGAAGCCGCGGTCGACCCCGAACCCTGAAGACGTCTCCGGAGAGCTCGACGGGCTTGGTGCTTATAAATGGCCGACACGTAGTCTTTGGACCTGATCGCTAGCGACGCCGTCGAGACCAGCAATACTACTCGAACCAATGTAAGTAACGTGTCTATTTT